GCTACTACTACCTGGGGCTGCTGCTGGGGCTGCTGCTGGGGCTGCTGGCTGGGGCTGCTGCTGGGGCTGCGGTATAGCGTACCGGTATAGCGTACCGTGCCCCCAAAGGTTAAACCCCAGCGAGCCTCTCAGCCTCATATGGGTTCTGGGAGCCAGGGAGCCTGCAGGGAGCCAGGGAGTGTGTGGGCTCTGTAGTCTAGCTCGAAACGATCCGGCGTTAGTCCCATCGGCTGGAACTCGAACTCGCAGGAAGGCAGCTCAGCGTAGCACGGCTTGTGCCGTGCTAATGACTGTACCTGCCGCAGCAGCAACTGATGGGATGGTGATTGGCGGGCAGCGGGCGGCGGGCAGCGGGGGCTGCGACCGAAGTGCTGCTCGGTCGGCGGCCCTCGACGTCAGCTTCAGGAGCTCCACGAGGACACTGGTGCATCGGCGCATCATGTCGGCTGAAGTCTTGAAACGCAGAGCGCAGGATGTGATTGGAAGGGAATCACTGACAAGGGGTGGCTTCTGGATGAGGAAGGCACCTCGCTGCTTTGCAGCATCACTATCAACATCATCAGCAACCGGGCAGCATGGCCAGCATCGGCGAATGCACACCAAGGCACGAGGTAGGGACTCTAGGGCCCCCTGCCCCCTTATTAGGTGCCCGGCCATAGGTCTACTAGCTGCTGACCTGCAGACATGGTGGCTTCGAAAGACGTGGGCGAGCAGGCGAGGTAAATAAATAACCTACCTACCTACAGTACCTACACCCACCTACGGCTAGAGAGTACGTACCCGGGAAAACGTGTCCAGGCAGGCGTACCCGTGCCCGGGCACCACGGAGGACCACAAGACAAGAGCTGACGTGCCCAGGCTTATTTATTACTATTACCAGGTACCTAGCCAGACACCAGACTGGTATTGCACCCCGTAGGTGACGGGGCAGACAGGAGACGGGATACCGTACCATACCGTACCGTACCGTACGGTACCGTACGGCACATCTGCCAAGGACTGTGCTCCAACCCGCACAGAGTGCAGCCTCGCGTGGGCGGCGCTGCTGGACAGGCAGCTAGCTACCCAGCCGTCTCATCTCTTCCTCACCGGTGCATGATCCGACACTGGAACCAGGTCCAGACCACCGTGCCCTGTCACGCCCCGTTTGGCCCGTCCCAATCCGTCGGGGAAGTGGTGACGATGAGCAGGCTGGATGACGGGTGGACGGGCCCAGGGAGTGAACCAAGGTGATAAAAGCCGAGGGGAGGGAGTTTGAAGATTGGGTTATGGGTTCCAGGTGCTGTAGGTCGCGACCAAGACGGACACTGGGGGCCTGGGCATTAGAGCCGTCACATCTCGGAAAGGTTGCCTGCCTACTCCCTGCCTCCTCCTGTCCTGGTGACAGACAGGGTTGGGATGCGCAGGAAGCCCGTCTCGATCGGGCGCCGCTTGGCCTCAAGTGCTGGTCTACCGTATATGTGGTCATCACCAGTAACTTGGACCAGGACGATGATGTACAATCTGCTGTCTGCTGTCTGCTGTCTGCTGTCTGCTGGGCGGAAGGCTCATATATGCGCAAGATATCTACAGGAACAGGAGAGAGCACAGCATATAAACACATGTATGCAATGCACTCTGCACCGTGCCATGTTTGGTGGTGGTGTCTGGCACATGTACGTCTGCGCATGAATATACTGGGCTCGAATAGACCCGGAAATGGAAGTCCAAATCGATGCTCAGCTCATCATCGGCTTGTCCTCCGGCCCGCGCGTACCTAGGCAGGTGGGCTGGTGGGAAAACCGCCATGGGGGTATTTCCCTCATTCATTGCTAGTGTCATCTGCCTCGTCCTGATCTGTTCTGTTCTGCTTGCCTGCTTGCCTGCTTGCCTGCCTGCCTGCCTGCCTCTGTTCCTTCTGACTATTCGCGTGCATGCAGCCGTAAGCATCCCTGCAGGCTTCTTTTCTCATGCCTGCCTCTCGCTGACTGACTGACTGCCTGACTGCCTGACTGCCTGCAGGTCAGCAAGCATAATTATCATCATCATCGCCGTCGGGGGACGTCTGTCTCTTGGGCAAGAACAAACAAAGTCGACCATGAATGATACCCCAGCCTAGGCCTTACAAAACAGGCGCACATGGCCAAGTGATCCGATGTTGCCGCCAAAAGCCCCAGCTCGTGTGCACCCAGCATCCAGTTGCCAGAGCCGGAGCAAATGCAGCAGTGCCGCTTGTAAGGACCGGGTTGATGGTCGCCGCACGGTGCAGTACCAAGCAGCTGGTCCGGCCGGGATCTTGGCTCGAGTCGAGGACGGCAAATCGGGGCTAAGCCCAAAGAGGAAGTAAGTTGGCAGTTGGGCGGGACCACTGGCTGCTTCTGGACTTGTCTGCAGCGGCGGCGCCACCAAATGGCTGGCTGGGTCGCTGGCCGGGTCGCTGGCTGGGCAGCTCATGGGATGGCGACCCTGGGCCCTGGGTATCGGGACATTGCTGCGGTACGGAGTACATTGCAGTTGCTGCCTCGTCCCAAGGTCCGCCACGCGCAGCACGCCCACGGTCTTGCGGGCTGCCTGTGCCTGCTGTCTGTCACGTCCCGCGGTGGTCGGGGGCAGGGCATGATGATCGCCGCCCACCCCGGCCGCCCGCGAGCACCGAGAATCTGGGTTTGCAGCAATTGGATGAAGCCCGGTATCTGTCTTTCAGTCTTTCTGTCCCCGACCATGACCACTGACCACTGGCCAGGCAGGGAACAGTGACGGTGGCTCTCTCGCTCTCGCGCGTCGAGGCCGTCTGAGCCTCCGCAAGCTTCAGCTCTGCTGGGGTGATCCCGAGCTGTGTGGGGTATCACGGACGGAGCGCGCACAGTAGCGCGGTGCAGGACTTCTGGGTACTCTTGAACTCGGGCACCCGGGTACTCTGGTACTCTGATACTCTGACAGTAGTACCTTGCCCGTCGTACCTCCTGTACCGTGCCACCATGCAGTCCCTGCTGCTTCTGCTGCTGCTGCTGCTGCTGCTGCTGCTGCTGCATCATGCATCAGCTTTCACTTCAGGATGGCCTAGACAGGGGCCCCTTTCCCATCCCGTCTGACCATGTACCTGCCAGGCCTCGTCCTGCTCTGCCAGCCTGCACACTCGCACACACACAGGCGCACGCCCGCACACCCCTCTCCCAGGATGCTGGGTAGGGGCACCGCTGCTCGCCCTCCGAGGAAGGAAGGAAGGAAGGAATGAATACTCGCAGTCGAGGTAGGTAGGCATGCAGTGAATAATCGACAGAACCGAGCCGACTGGTTGCTCCATCGGTCCATCCGTCCGTCCTCTCTACATACTGACCCATCTATCACTCTGTCCAGCCTCGACATATACCACTCGGTGCTTGCTGTCCGACAACGATCGCGCGGCTTCCATTTGTCATCTCGCACCCTTCTCTCCTCCCTGTGCCCTGTGCTGGGTCTCGTCGAGCCAGGCAGACCGAGTGAGCCCTCGCCCCGAGTCTCGCCGTACCTCGCAGATTGGGATCTCGAGCCCGGCCATATCCCTCGTCACCCACAACAGTACTGTGCTGCCTGCCTGTCTGTCTGCCTGCCTGCCTGCCTACCTGTCGTGTCGTCGCGACCCGGATGCTCCACTCCATCATCGTCATCCGCTCACACGCATCGACTTAGCACTCGGTAGCCTCACACTCACCCACCTCGGGCTCACACCCTCTGCCAGCTTCTGCGCCACGACAAGGATATTGCCAGTACATCAGAACGCTGTCAACGCCCAAATACCCTGAGAGAGCCCAAGCAGCATCCACCACCCACCAACCCAAAAAGCCTCATCGCCCGTGTCTGGGCCCCCCCTCGACATCTAGAGAGTCACAGCAGTACCCCGTACAGCACCGCGCAGCACACCACGGCACAGCGCATCCACCACTGCCTTCCAAGGTTCGCAGCAGTCTTTTGCTGCCCACCGAACCCCCCCCCTGTGCCACTGCCGAATCCTCGGCTACACAACGCCTGCAGCCTCAACGACCCCCAAGAGCGCACGCACACGCGCACGCGCACGCGGCGCATATCAATCAGACTGCACTGGACGCTTTGGGCGAATCTGTTGCTCCACGCGACTGGAACTGGAGGCGTCGCGGGAGAGGACGCCATCGTGCCCATCGGACCGGTTGTCGACGACAGGGCAGCCCGAGAAAAAGCACGACTCGAATCCAATACGGGCCCTGGGCGCAGGCAGGCCGCCCGTGCCAAAAACGCCCCTCCGATCTCATTAGTAACAGATGCGACTGCTGACTTACCGGCCCCAATATTTTTGATTGCCGCGAGTCCCATCGTCATTCGTCAAGGCTATTTCAAAAGGCTCCGATTTGATCTACCTTTTCTCCTACCAGCTTCGACCCTGTATCCTCATCCTATTCATCCAACGCCTGGCCAAAAGTGCCTCCATACAACACCAGTGCGCAGCCAGCCGCGACGGTCACACATGCGCGCTCTTATACAGGCACATGGTCCACCTCTGATATTGATACTGTCTTGAGTCCTCTTCACCTTGCTGGATTGGGCCCTCCTCCACCACCACAACGGGAAAACGAAGCCACTTTGGTTTGTTCCGCCCTGCAGCCCGCCCCACCAGCTTTCCCGCTCTTCGCGTGGTGGCCCTTGTCGACCGGCCACCTCTACAAAACACACCAAGCGCGCACCCCCCCTTCCTCCCCCCTCCCGCATTCCCTGCTCGCCACCACCCAGGCCAAAACGGGTTCGGGCCATTTTCTACCTCGTCAAACTACCCTGTACTTAACTGGTAGCATTCGGCGTGCAGCAGCCCAGTACCGTGACCCAGCATCGAGGTACCGCTCTCCGGGAAGCGAAGCGAAGGGCCCCCCCTTCCTCTTCCTACGCACCCACGGTCCCCCAGACACGCCCAAGACGGACTGACCAAATCCCCGTTCAGCGGCGCCAGAAGGCAAGCGAGTACCACTTTTCCTCTCTCATTATTCCTCAAGTCGAGAGTCAAGGCACTGGGGTTCGTGCCATCCATTCCAACGATTAGGTACGCACACCCTCGCACGCACAGTCCGGCCTGCCCTGCCCTGCCCTGCCCTGCCCTTGCCCTGCCCCTTGCCCTGCCTGCATCAGATCGCTGTGCACACTCCCCAAGTCAAGCTTCGCAGCCTTTGCATCCACCTCACCTCAACCCTCCAACTATATCAAGACACGTCGTTTCGCCGACCCGTGGACTTGGGTGCCGATACTGTCGCTGCTGCGCTCAATGTACTCCGCACAGCCTAACGCTGCTGACAGTGCGACAATCAATCCTGCTGCTCTCGCATCGTCCGGTAAGTCGCCCGCCACCCTCCCAAGTGTCATACATGAACCATCGCGACCCCTCCCGCTGAGCCGGGGCGCGCCCTGGCCCGCGCTTCTGCTGCGCTTCGCTTCGCTGCCCTGCCTGCGCTGCACTGCGCTGCCCTGTCCCAGCATCGCCGGCCGCCGCAACGCGACCATCGCAATGCATCTCCATCGCATCACCGCCGCAAAAGAGATTGCGCTCCACCCTGACTGCAGATCGATGCGCCGTGCACTGTCTTTTTATCTCGCGTCGCCCTGCGTCGCCGCGTCTTCTTTTGTGTGCTCGTCATTGACCATGGCTCAACGATGCTGATGCGCAGCCTCGCAGACCTGCTCGAACAGAATTCAAGAGGCGTCAAGAGGAGCCGATCGCCGGGCACGTACGAAGCGCGGTCCCCTGCTCCGGCTGGGGATGAAGGTATGTCGTGGTCAATTTTGTGTAGCTGTGTCGGGTCGCCATCGACATGTCTCATGTTACATGATCAGGGCAGTGCGACACGGCGTGAGGACCTCGGGCTGATGGCGTTGTCGCGCAAGCAGATCGAAACCCCAAGAAACGCGTAAAGTCCATGAAATCGAAGCCTTCCGGCTCTATATCAGAAAGTCCTGCCCAGGCGCCCGTTCCGATGCAGCAATCAATCCCGCCCCAGACCCCCCAATCCCAAACTGCGCCTCTCCCGGGACCGCAACCCAGCTACACGCCGTCCCAGGCGTCAGCCTCCTCGCCGCCCAAGCCCACCCCCACCAAGTCGACCTTGAAGGCTTTGCCCACCGTTAGGGACCACACCACGGACCAGCTTGGCCCAGGGGGCGATGAGTACCTACCCCGGGAGATCGACGAGGCGGGGGAGAAGAAGGTCATGCCCAACGGACAGCTACTTGGGGGTCGCGAATATCGCTGCCGGACATTTCTCGTACCGAACCGAGGAGACAAGCTCTTCATGTTGGCGACAGAGTGTGCGAGGGTCCTCGGATACCGCGACTCGTATCTGCTGTTCAACAAGAACCGATCTCTGTTCAAGATTATCGCCAACCAGACCGAGAAGGACGATCTTGTCAGCCAGGAGATTCTCCCCTTCTCGTACAGGTCGAGACAAATAGCGATTGTCACGGCACGAAGTATGTTCCGTCAGTTCGGCAGCCGAGTTATTGTGAACGGCCGGAGAGTCCGAGATGATTACTGGGAGACGAAGGCCAGGAAACAAGGTTTCACCGAGGCCGATCTGGCTGGTGAGAAGAGGCCCGGCGCATCCAAGGCCCGAGAGGCTGCGGCGGCTGCGGAGCAGAGTGCGTCCTTGCTAGGTGGTCCCCAGGGAGAGATCGTGTACAGCAACAACCCAGCGCAGTTTGGCGGTGCTCCGCATCCCCAGCTCATACAACAAGGTATGTTTGACGTGATTCAGTTGGACACGAGAGGGACAAGAGGGCGCAAAGCTAACACCGCCAGAATATCCTGACTCCCGACGGACCGACTACTCGTCCATACTCAAGACTGGGCCTCGGCAGGAGATCACTGGTCCTCCTTACCAGGACAGATCTCAACCAACCGCAATGCCTGAGATCCATGCGCAGGCTCACCATGCCGCCGAGTACAACCGATCGGTCAACCAGCAGCGTGAAATGCGAACCGATTACATGAACAACATGTGGCGGAGGCCTCATGAGCAGCCAGTATCCGCAGCCTTGACACAGCCTGTCAGTGTTGGCACCGCTGACGCCAGCATCCCAACGTCCCGTGCCACGCAGTCGCCTCACGCGACGTCTGCAGGAATGCCACAGCAGCACTCCGGGCTGGTCCCAAGCCAGAGTCCTCAGCTCATGATGACCGCGCCGCCGTACTCGAACCCGATCCAGGCCCAAAACCCCATAAGTCAGTCATCGACGATGAGAGGTATGGCCCAAGTTCCAAGCCAGCCGCAATCAAAGCCAACCAGCTTGCCTTCAGGGTCCACCGGCAGCATGCCGCAGACAGCTCAGGGCTATGGTTACCAACCTTCAAGCCAGATGTGGCCACCCACGCCGCAAACGCCCCAGTACGGGTATACCCACAACCAGCAGGCCCAGCAGTCCCCTCACCCCCCACAGAGCTCTACGTCACAGATGCGCCACTCGAGCACCTCGGGCTCGGTGCAGCAAGGCGGGATGCCATATTCTGGCATGCCGGGAATGGCACAGGGCTATCCTGCCCCGTCGCCGTATGACCATCAAACCCCGCGGCAATACATGCATCAAGGTTCAACCCCCTCACCGGCTGTCACGCAGGCCTGGTCAGGGCAGCAGCAGCAGCCACAGCAGTGGTGGACGCAACAACCTCAGTAAGCGGGGAAGAGCTACGCAGGACACTCTATGAGCGACCAGGCGATTACTATGAAGATGAGGAGTTGGGAAGAACGGGCAAAAACGCAGACACAGACACAGACACAATTTGGCCCTTGCCCTGGAACCTTTGGTTGTCATCCCCGCGCCTACCCTCTAGCTGCCCAAGTGGCTGAGGGCGCTCCGGCGAGACCATCTGCGGTATCGCTTGTCAGTTCCGCATATCCCCACCACCAATGCGAACCCGGACCGCAAACGAAGCTACGGCCTACCTTGACCTTGAAACGCCTTGGATGTTGAAATGAGATACGCATCCGACAATAATCCTTCACGAACGACTACTTTTTGAGTGTACATACGGTCTGGTCTTGTCATCAATATGGGCGGAGGAGGCAGAATGCTTGGCACGCGTCAAATTCTAAACGGGCCCCGACCGTCTTGTCAACTTCATGGCCCCAGCTCCTTTTGGTTACGTACAGTTTGAGCGATCCATACAGCGTGCATTTGGATTCGCTTCATTGAAGATATACATGATTGATTTGTGGAAGCCACTTACATTTGGAACCGGGGGGCTTGTGGTTTTTCCAATGGTGCGGATGATTCGCGCAGACCTGAGTCTGCGGGTCGCTGGTTGTGCTGATACCCTACTCTCGTGTGGCGTGGTCAGGCTTGTGTTGTCCGGCGGTATACCTGGTTTGTTTCGTGGTCAGATGACAATTTTTCTTTTCCAGCAGTATTCCTAGCTCTTCGGGCTTTTGGCAGTCGGATATCCTTGGGCCTTGCGGTTACCCCCCTGATTTCGCATACAACGCGGCGGCATTGTGGGATGCTCCACTTCCATTCGAACTTTTCTACCATCGTTTTATTTTCCCCTCGATGTGTTGATACCCGGCCTATTGGGCTTCGTGTTTACATGTCGAGATCGCAGGTCTTGGACGGCTACATTCTAAGCATCGGAGGAGTTCATTTGTCACGCAGTTTCTTCCTGCCGATTCTCTTGAACTTATTGTGTTAGTACACGCGCTTTATTCGTCGACTGGCAGGCAGTATTGCCTCGAGCGATCTCACTGGGTGGGAGAGGCTGGGCATTGCTGTTGTTATTTGAGTCTTGGTTCTCGAGTTGGGTCACCTGTTTCTGCCTAGTGTCACCTCAGATGTTAAACCATGGCATGGGCACACGGGTGGGGAGAAGGCCCTTCTATTCTGGCTACCGCCCTTGCTTCAGTCTCTCAAGGACGACTGCGCGTCAGGCGTCGCAAGGAGGACGGCAGTCTTGCTTTAATATACTTTGTCCAATTTTGCTTCTCTTCATCTGCGCCACCGCCAATCGTCGCCCCTCCCGTGGTCCAAAGTGCGTGTCACTTGCGGCGAAATAAATGATCCAACTACAGCAACCGTGGTACGTGGAATCAGTGATGATCGCGAAAGGTTCAGCTCCTGCCTGGATCGAAGCCACGGCCTTGGCATCCAAGAGCAGCAGACACGGGGTGGAAGCGAAGAAGAATAGAGAGAAGAATGCCACGATCCAAGGTTCACAAAGGTATCAACTAGACGGACTGCATTGTATCGAGTGTCGCGTAAGATGGCCGGAGGCCCATCATTTGTATTCCGCGCACATGCCTGCGGGCCTTTCCAGGAGCCTTTGATCGCCCAACCCATCAGCCAGCCAGCCAGCCAGCCAGCCAGCCCTGCCAAACTAGGAGTTTCGAACGCAACCTGGCCCCACAGGTGATCTAGATGGCCAGTGAGAGGCGCCGCACCCTGTGGCAAATTTGGATTTGATTGATCCATGACCAGCTGGACGGTCTTCGATGGCAGTGACGCCTCACACCTTCTTTTGCACAAGGTTTGCCCCAGGTATTGACGCCTTTGATCCAGGGTGCGTGACTGGTGACATTATCGGGCCTAATTAGTCGCTGTTGTTCCCGTCGTCCAGAGCCTCGTCCTCGTCCGGCCTGCCCTGCCGCTCTTCCAGATCGTCGCCCTCATTGTCGCCGTCCTCCTCTTCGTCCTCTTCGTCCTCCTCATCTGCCTCCTCGTCCTCCTCGTCCTCGGCCCCGTCCTCGTCGGGCACACTCTCCGGGTCGCTGGCGTCCGCGACCTCCTCGTCGACGTCCATCTGGTCGCCGTTGTTGGCGCCATCTGTCCTCGCCTTCTTGGCTCGCGGCTGGCCGGCCCCTCCTCCTGACCCTGTTGCGCTCGTATCCGCGACTGAGTTCATGGTCGTGTCGGCGCCGCCCATGGTCGTGTCGGCGTCGGCGCCTGCCGTCGACGCATCTGCGCCATCCTCGCCGGGCCCCTTGGTAGCCTTCTTGGCCGCCGCCACCTTCTTACGGTAGGTTGACCGCTTGCTGGTCTGAACCTCGTTGAATTCTGCAAGCAAGGGTGCGAAATGTCAGTGGATTCTTTGTATCCTTTCCGGCGTGCAAATGTTTTTTTTTTTTGGGGGGGGGGGTCTCTTGCGCACTTGCAAACTCGGCTTCTACGCGCTCGCGCATGAAACCGAACTCGATGTCATCCAGAGCCCTGAAAACGTCGGCGGGCATGACGGTCTTTTTGTTCTGCAGCGTCGTAACCTCGTTGGCCCTGTAGTGCAGAAGCAGGTTGTGTCAGTTCCGCCCGTGGGCACTCCCGGAACGGGGAACGGGTGATAGAGAGGAGCGTACGCATTCGCTAGGTGGTTGATAAAGACGGTCGCGCTCTTGGTCATGGCGAGTATGGCATTGGCCTGGATCTGGGTGTTTGGGGGCAGGACGCCCTTGGCCAGACGAGTGATTATGGACTTTGGTAGTTGCAGCTCCTAGGCACAGACGTGATGTCAGCATATGGACCTCTCGTACTTGGGGTCAACAGCCTGACTGCCAGGCCGCACTGCCGTACCTCAATGGGGATGGTGATGGCCTCCTTAGGATGGCCACCACCACCCGTCTTCTTCTCCTCGGTGTTGCTCTTCTCAGACGGCGTGGATTGTGAAGGGTCCGCGTGGGCCGCCACGGCCGACGACGAGTTAGGCCTCAGCGGGTGCAGGGCCTCGGGCGTCTGGGCGAGGCCCGGGGGCGGCAGGCTCGGGGGCGGCATGGAGGTGTCCATGGAGGGCTTTGCGAGCCCCGGGGACGGTGTGGGGACGGCGGTCGAGGCGGCGGGGGAGTCGTCCGTGAGGACGAAGCGCGCTGTTGAGGATGAAGCGTCGCTCTTGCGAGAGGCGTCGCCCTTGCGAGAGGCGTCGCTCTTACGCGACGACATGGCACGTTATCGACTGGTTGTTGTCCTTTGTTGCGGCGAGTCCAAGTGGAGGAGGAGGTGGTCGAGGTGGGGCGCGACGGGACAGTAGTGCCTGGGGTGTGTGTCGGTCGGGGTTGTGAGATATTAGCAATTGTTGGCTTGTGAAGTCGTGATGCGGATACGATATGTTTGCCAGTCGGTCTGGGCTGGCTGGCTGGCTGGGGCTGCTGTCGTCGTGGTCGTCTAACATAATAGTGGATAAGCGGTGCCGACCAAGGGGAATTTTGTGACGCGCCTTCCCACGCGTAGAGTGCCCCCAAAAGCACGGGTCAGCTACAGGCTCTTGCTCATACACCCCACAGGGAACCACCCACCTGCCGATCTACTATTACATCAGGTAGTATGTACTGTATGTACTGTATGTACACTTCTACCGGGTCACTTCTTTGTGCCACTCTATTTTAGGCACGGAACACCATGTCTTGTCATTCCCCAAGAAGCAGACTTCTGCCGACACTTTCCCCCCGTGCAGAGCTGGGCATTCGATGCATGCTCATGATATCGACCGGTAAGATCAATGTATTCGGCGCGACGTGAATGCTAAATCTGACTGCCGGCACATAGCAGGTGCAGCGGGTGCAGAGCTGACTCGGCCTCCCACGCGTGATTGAACGGAGTCAAACAAAGCAGACGGCTGACTCGGCAGCTGCAGAAGGCATCGTGAGCAATACCACATGAAGCCCACATGAAGCAAGTCCTTGAGATGCGTCTGCCTGCCCGCGCCACACCAGTCCCAGTCACATGCTATGCTCCTCATACTCCTGGCGTTTTAGTGCCAGAGTGCTCACTTGGTGACGAGTTGCGAGGCTGGTTGACGGGCTCACCTGTCAGACAGGGGGGCAGGGGGGAGGTTGTGGAGGCACATTGGCACAGTAGACTTCACCACCATCCCTGTCTCGCCCGTTCCAACGCCAGGAGAAAAAGACACAGCCATACCCAGTTCTGCCAGTCCACACACGGGCCAGACGGGCTGCGATATCACCTCATCTTGTCGTAACCCAATCCCGGAGCCCACAGACCTCCGGCTGTCCGCTGATCACATAGGCGCCCGTGCCCCCTGTGCCCGTGCCCATTACGTCGCCTGGCATATGGGGCTTCGTGTGTGTGTGTACATGATAGTCCTCTGCGGACAGACTGACGCTTACTATCATCACAGTCATCAATAACGCACGGCCTCTGCCAGGCACCACACAGAGGGCCGGCTTGGTTCAGTGGCGCACCCGCTCACCGTTGCTTCCCTCTGGTGCACTGCAGACTGGCTAGTCAAAAGAGCCGCAACAATCGCGTGGTTGAGATGCGAGAGACCATTTCGGACGGGATGGCCCGGCAGCTCGCCGTCAAAGTGCTAGAGCTCGGGAGTGGCCACGGCTCGACCAGCGCTGCGGGATAAGCACAGGCATCCTCAATCTACTGCGAGGAAAGCTTAACCCTCCGCCCGAGATCGACAGACGTCGACCGGTCGCTGCCGTGATACTACTAATGGTTGCTTGGGAATGACGTCTAGACAGGGTTTGGCTCGCCGGTTTGACCCAGGTACCGATGCATGTCTTGTGTCCATTCTGAGAGGATCGCTAATCTCGTTGTTGGGGGGTTGCTAGCTTGCTTTCTCCTAATTGAGAAGGATACGCTGAAACGAGTGTTGTTCGATGTAGATGATATTCAAGAAGAAAAAAAAGCCATACTGCCTAAAGTTAGGAGAGCAAACAGCATCATAAAAGCAACAAGGCCTGTCTGTCTGGAGGCCTGCCAAACACCGGTAGACAGAAACCGAGCTCTCATCGTTGCGCCTCGCATTGGCCCTCAGATCTGGGGTATATCCTCCGTAATGTGTGTCATGACATCGTGTGTTGAAAAAGGGAAAGGGAATGAAAGCATTTAATATGGTGTGTGCAGGTGGCATGCGGGAGAGGCTTAACACTGAGACTATGTCTCGCCCGACTCCCTCTTCCCAACGTCTGTGTTGCGACAATGGCGCAAGAATCCGATAGATTGCTTTGGAGGAACTAGGTCTGACCACCTAATGGTGGTCGACCAATATTCGCGTCCACGGCACATGGCAGTGTGGCAGTGGGAGGCCAAGGTTGAAACTCGAACAAGATGTGACGAGCTGTCACTGCCGGCCGAGGCTGACCGCCCCGGCATCTCCAGCGCTGTCGGCTTGACAGGCCAGCGCACTCTTCCGTCCAAGTTCCTGAAACAGCTCGGACAGCCGCTTCACGTCACCTTTTTCGGACGACAAATGACGAACCGAGGTTGCATCTGGAGTAACAGGGAAACAAACGACACATCCAGTGCCGTGGTCCTCATTGTCATTCAATCCGACTGTATTGCTCGGCCGGTGCGCCTTGAAGGCTGCATCGAGATTTAGTATACGTTTGGGCTACTAGGACTGAACCCCTGTGCCGACACACGTGGTCTGGCCAGGGGGCAGGTCCGGTACCGCGGCCTTCAACCGATGGCTCGTCCGATCATAGCCTGGCGTAGTTGGGGTGATCCAGGCCAATCATTCGACAATGACAACCTTGGCGGTATTGACGAAGACGAAAACACGCGGGAATGATGGTCGTTAGAACGCCTCGCCTGGTAATCGTGGCAGTCTTGGGACGTCCGCGGGGTCAGCTCAACTTCAGAGTCATAACCTCTGATGTGATCACCGAGGCTGCGCAGGCTGAAGCTCGATCGCGTCCGTGTGTGCGCATGTCTTGGGTGTTGGGGATGATTGGGGGGCGTCTTGGAAAGACGGGAGGTTTGTCGCTTAGGATACTGAATGAAAGGATCATCACCAGGAACTGCATCGTCCGTAAGACCTTCACGAGCATTCGGTGCCCTCGCTTGTATTGGCGTTTGCGGCAGCTCTTTGTCGAGGCTGATCTTTCGTCCATCGAGGCTTCTCTTGCCGTATTGGAATTGTGCCCGCGGCGACCTGGGCGAACGCTCCTCTGACCTGCGAGTATTGGAGTAAACAATCACGCTGGTCGACTTCCTGGTAGAGCTGACTGATTCGTGCTTGACATGCCCGTTGCTATCGCTGTACTTGGTCAAGCCCGCATCGTCGCCTAGTTCCTTCTCGCGGCGGCTGCTCTTCCAGGTTTCGATCTCGTCATCGTCGATGGGCGTTATTCCACGTCTGAATAGCTTCGACCGTCTCCGGCGACATCGTAGACAAAAGAGGGTGGCGCCTACAACCAATATGACACCGACGACCGACAAGACTGTACTGAGGACGACGATTGTTGTCCTGTTCGGATCTGATGAGTCGGAGCCATTGCCATTGTCAGGTGAGGGTGTAATGTTGGGCGATGCGGTGGTATTTGCGGAACTGCCCGATACGCCCGAGTTGGGGCCTGGTGTGTTCCCACCGGTCGCAGCGGATGCGGTGCTGGACTGCACTATTGAGCTGACGGTGACTGTTGCACTCTGCTGGAAGCCAAAGTTACCAGAGGGCAGCAGACTTTGACTCAACAACGAGTCGTCTCCTCCATGGGGTAAGGGCTGCAGGTCAAAGGTCGACATGGGAGGCTGTTCCAAGCTCGTTCCTCATGGAGTGGCCGTTGTAGCCTTGTAATGAGTGCGTCTATGGGTCGAAGCCCTTGAATGTGGTTCCTCAATCACTTTCCACGACGGCAGTGACTGATCGGGAGGACTTCATGAGGCTGCTGTCCCTTTCTTCCTCACAGTAAACGTCCTATGTGACACAGGTCAGCTTTGGAGCTCTTGATGGTCTTGTCATTACGAGTCCACCCGCAATAGAAAAACAGTGGCGAAGGGACAGCCTCACGTCACTCAAGAGGCAATTTAAGACGAATGGGAAGGTGTGAACAAGACAGAATATTTTCAGATTCGACGTCCGCGGAGAGCAGCTCAAGGAGGCTTGCCGTCGCGGGACGAAGAGGCAATAGTGAAAGAGAGTAGAAGTGAAGGAAGCGGGGAGCTATGGGGCGGGGCGAGAACCAGGTGGCTCACGTGGAGGAGACCAAGACATACGTACTACCCAGGCCAGAGAGCAGTTGAGAGAGAACGACGTCGCCAACCGAAGATGTTGTTGGCAGGTAATAAGGAAAGGAGAGAAGAATATGATATTTCGCAAAGAGCGTGATCGAAGAGCAGAATGTGGGCCTCGTCGCTGCAAGATAATATGAATCTCTAGGCTAGGGTCGACGGAGGGAGACACTGACAGAGGCAGTCAGTCTGCCACTGTTGATGCAGAGCATCTGAAAATGCGACCCAGACGGTATTATACTGGGCAGGTGGTCCGGTGCTGGCCGTGACGGACAAGGTTGCCCCGACCAGGAAACTTGCTCGGGGTCGGATGCGGCAGCAACACGGCGATGGTGTGAAGCAAGTTTGCGTTGCTTATCATGAGATGGTGCGAGGGGTACTTGTAGGTGAGAGGGAGGGGACGGCGGGCCAGCCAGAGATTTATTAGCTGTTTCAATAGATGGAAACTCGAGAGCTTTTGGGCGATGGTGGTGGGGCTCGCGGTATGTCGGTGTACAAGTACCATACTATGTAGCTAAGCGTGTAAGTGGGACGCCACGCAGAGTCAATTCTCCTTGCCGGGATGTCCTGGTCAGGTGGAGCATAACCCACGGTACCTACATGGTGCCTACTATGTAGTACCGTTCCAGCACTTTGCCTGACTAATTCTCGCAGGTGACCAATCACAACATGATTGCCCTGATTGAAGCTCGCAAGAGGGTGCAAAGGGTCGACTTGGACATTGGGATGGACATCGAGGGTGGGTGTGCTGTCTGTGCCGGGGCGTGGCAGGCCGCTCTGACACCCCTCGCCGACGGAGGCCAGGAACAGGCATCGTCGGTAGGAGGCTATCCTGGTGGACTGCGCGAGCGGCATGGCGACAAGGGCTGGCTCTCGCCAGGCTGGCTGGCCCCTGTCGGCCGCTGGGTCGCTTGAGATCTCTCGAGGCAGTGACACCTGGGTGCCGCGAGTTCATGGCACGACATCGATTAGCGGGCTTCCACAGCCTGTCAAGTCGTGGCACATGGTTATCTCGATCCTGTGCGTTGACGTCTGCAATCGGGACATTTTGCAACGCCAGCTTGACGGCCAAGGGCTTTAATTGCGGCCCAAGCTACAGCAGTCAGGATCCTGGACTGGTGCGGTCCGCAGCCAAGTGCACAATGCTGGGCTGGCTGGCTGGCTGGCTGGCTGGCTGAATTGCGGGCACATCCACAAAGTGCCAGTTGGCACCAGTCCTGGGTGGCAGGCGGACCAGCTCGTGAAATGCTTGCAGCTGTGCTGCAGACAGGATTCGCCAATGGGAGCCCCGAGAGTCACACTGAGTGCTTCCTCCCCAAAGGCTATCGGGCCAGAGGGGTAGGTTATGGCGAAGGAAGGCGGGCAGACACCACCTTGTCAGCGAATGAGATATGGTGTACCTGGTCTGAGGCTTCCAGGCCGTGGGCCTTCCATCCGGTCTTCTGTAAGCTCGTGCTGCGGCGAACGGGCATGACATGCCCATGGACCGGCTCGTCAGCGACATGAAATGGCGTCGGGCGTCGGGCGTCGAGCGTCGAGCGTCGAGCCGTAAGCTGCTGAAAGCCCCACGGCAGATGTGGGTTGTCGGCATTCCGGACCACACAAGCTGCCTGGCTACCAGTCTGTCAGAGGGCCCAACCCAGCCCAGCGGGCGACAGGGCGATGTGAGGCTTGGGTGATCCTTGGGCTGTATTCAATGCCTAGCCATCAGCCGCATCTCGGGAGAAACGGCAGACTAGAAGCTGGCTTCTGGAGACGGTCAAGCCACCGGGTCAACGTCTCAAAGACGCGCCTACTCCCGCCTCCATGACGGCATGTCGCGAGTGTCGGGCTGAGCACTGACAAAAGGCAATCATCACCAGGTGAAAGGGCCTCACAGCACGGGCAGACACCGGGACGGAAGGCAGCCGAACCAGCTTGGGTGCAAGGCAGGCTCGCCAGCCAGCTGACACGAGGGTTCAGTTGGGCGCTGCTGTGGTGCCGGCCCCATCGGGGATTATCTACCTTGTAGTACAAAGTGAATGGGCCAGAGCTGCCGGCCGCGGACGATGGACGGTGTTCGCGGCCAGGGGTGTCAAAATAAGCCGGACCACACAGTTGGGCTTCTCCGCATCGGCTGCGGGGGATAGCGTGTTTTAGGTGGAGGAGCGCCAGCCAACAAGAGTGTCAGGACGGGACACAAAGCCGGAAGACACAATCCTACGGCGTCTGGGCCGCGGTGGTGAGTGAATTGGGCTGCCGCCAAAGCCGTCGGCGCATCAGCGCCGTGTGCCAGAGCAGGAAGCTGAGATGCTGGCGGTGGTGGCAGCGGTGGTGGTGGCGTTGGTGTCAACCGTCTCGTGGGTGTGAGGTGGTGGGGTGGTGGGAACGGAGGTCCAGGTGGTAATCCAGGTACCAGCATGGGGAGCCAGTCAGGATGGCCGGAAGGGGCGTTGGAAGGAGGAGGAGGCTTCCGTCACCTGACAGAGCGGGTGCAACGTGGTGAGCAATTACTACTATTAGCGCCTGTTGCAATCTCAGTCACGGCTGCGTGCAGGCCTGAAGCAACATACCGCATCCGCACCGAGGACGGCCTGCCCGGCTGCCCAGGTTTGCAGTAGATGGCACAGGTGCAACGGCCTTGAGGCTTGACTCGGCGATATTGCAGTGTTGAGGAGTACAGTCGGCCAGCGCGGTTGCACGGGACGGGAGAAACACTGGACAGCACCCTGCTGGCTGGCTGGCAAGTACCCTGCACCCTGGCACCCTGACACCATGGGACTGTGAACCGTGGGACAGGTACGGAGTACCACAGTACATACATGTGCTCCGTATGACCCACCTGCCCACGTCCCTTGTAGATCGGAGCAGGGTTCCAAGGGCAGGCGGCGGGTGGGCAAGGTGGGGGTGGGTCAGAGGACCCACCCAGCCCACCTCTCTCTTCCGTCCCGAGTTTGGCCGTCCAGCCCGTCTTGGACATCTGGACCCGACTCGGATACACGATACACGTATACTGTACACCACCCGCTGCCTTTTTGTTTCGTCTCATCATGGCATCACCGATTGACATGCGCAGGACTCGGATGCGGTGTGGCCGTTGAGACGATGGCGTACTGCCGGCTGCTGCCACTTGATGGCACACTACCAGCAGCGGCCCGTGTTTCGGCGAGTGGGACGGAAGGGCGGGCGTCGATCGCCAGCGGCGACAAGGACATGGAGTGTCCATGACAAGAGGCAAGAGGCTGCCGCGATTGCCTGCGTCCTTTATGCATTCTGGCACCTGGAACTGTGCAATTCTCGACCCTGCGACAGCCCGACAGCCGCATCGGAGCATCCTGAGGCAAGGCTCCATTCCATGCGAGATAGACTTTCATCTGGTCTTCCCAGGCCATGTCGGGCATTCCCGCTCCCTCTCCCTGATGTGAGCCAGGCCTGTGTCTTTCTTTACCCCTCCCCCGATATGATGAATCACGCACCTGAATTGACACGAGAAGCATCAATCGGGCAGTGTGGGTGGTAACCCTTGGGAACGATCCAACTGCTGCTACAGTACCACACACAGCCTTGCCCTCCGCGCTTATATGCATGCAAGGGCTCTCTTTCTTGGGTTCTGTGCTGCCGCCGCGCCAGTCAGTGAGAGGTCAGAAAGCAGGTCGACCCTCGTCGCCGCAGGCCCAGCCCTCCGGACGTCAACATTGAACCTTGTGCCAGCCGCCAGCCGCCAGCCGCCAACCGCCAATCGTCTCTCGCTCCTCGCGTATAAGCAGCTTCCAACCCCTCCGCCCCTCCACGTCGAGCCCGGCCTAGTCTCGCATGCTACACATGGCGCATATGCACATGCACGCTTATGCACACCAATGCAGGAGCGAAACAGGCGCTCGCGAGGCTAGGCAGCCTGGCAGCTTACACAAGACTCGCTGCAAGCACTTGCGGGCTCCTGCGAGCTCCTGCAAGCACCATCGCTGGAGCCCTCACGCAACTAGATTGGCTTTTTCTCAAATTACCCTCGAGGCCGATTCATGGACGCCATTCCACCACTGCGAGACTCGCCATCCAAGACGTTCACCGCTCTTCTCGCCCATCTGTGACAGCTTCCGTGGCATCGCCTACCCCCAGGGGCCGCCGCCCGGTGGGGTCCTGTGTAAAGACTAGTCTTTTTCCTCCATCCCGGGATCCGAGGGATCGACTTTCCTGACAGAGAAAGTCCATGTCACCTCATGTTCGGCTTAGCAAGCCAATAGTGTGGCCCAAGGTGTGGCTGGTGTGTGCGTGCGGCGCTCCTCCGCCCGTGTCCAATGCGCTGCCACGCCTGCCAGCACCCATCACGTGCGTGTCTGCCCGGTGGTCGCCTACTATGCCGCACCCTCGCTCGAGGCTATTCTCGGTCTCGCTAACGCATGACCTGCAGAAGGAATGCAGGTACGGCGCCAGCACGACGACTTGCGGGCCTGCGGGCCTGCAAGGGGTCCTCGTGCCCCCCCCCCTATTTTGCCATAGTACCGCGGACTTTGGTAGTGTTTCCTGGCATCGAGGGCCCGGAACCCGCACGTCGAAACAGGCCGATGCACATGTGTGTGTAATGTGGCTGCATGCACCGCAGTAAAGTAGCCTCATACATGTCCGCCAACATTTGCGCAAGCCCATGGTTTGCCACCGCCGAGTCATGCCAGCCACGACAAGGCACGACTTACAACCGAGGCACAACACCTCCGGAGCCTGAAAACCGAGCACTACTCCTGCCCAGGTGCGCTACTATGTAGTATGCTGTCAGACTGGCGGTATGCTCTGGGTGGCTTGCTAAACCTTGACTGCGGCGTCCAGGAGAGGCCCGACCGAAAACAGTCGGCTTATGGCGGCCGACCAACGGTGTTTCAGCCAGCGTTGAACATGATCGTTGAAACCCGTTGGTCGGAGACCTGCAGAAACGCTGACTCTCCAGGGGTATCCATAATTCTCCGCTCGAGCTGAACGACTTTGGGGGAAAGGATGAAGGAGGCTAGGTTGAAAAATGTGTCCCGAGGTCAACGATCTGAGTGTCGGGATGCAACTGAGGCACTGCGCAAGACTATCCAAACTGGGAGGCTTTGCAGTCAATAATTCGATATGCATGCTCTCTGGGAGACGGCTTCCTGCGAGGTAGCATTTGGTGGGGTAGCCTCTCGTAAACTAACTGGGAACCTCGAGTGAATAGTCCGCAAATGAGTACCGCACAGCTAGACACGTCTCTTGGGTCCTCCTCAGCGTTAGCTTACAGAATTAACCCTGCCTCGGCCCCAACACCCGTGGAAACTTCATCAAAGCCCTGCAGGAACGTGCGGTCACTTAGAATGCACGTCGGGCGGATGCATGATGCTGTATAGTGATCCGCAACGAAGCCTCATTTTTCAAGATCTGCAAGAAAGGGCCCGTGTTCCAGCAGTGTGGTAAAGACGGGCACACAGCCCAGGGGTTCACGATCACAGAGGACAGGACCGGGGAGGGCCAAGGCAAGACCAAGGAAAGGGGGAGAGGGCAGAACCCATGTCTTGCTCCTCTCCGATCAGCTCGCCACTTCCCTGCGCCTGCCAGAACAGACGGGTTAGAGATCTTGTCACGCACCGATGTAACACGCCGAATTAACCCTGTCACCCATGTACCGTCAAATTGTCGTCAGCCTGCAGATCTCGAGTCATGTAGACTTGCCAGCTTTTTTGGGTCCGGATTCTCGACCACTTGTGAATCTAGTTCGGCATGATTGTGATGAGCTTTCGCATGGCGCGCCGGCCCCGAGGGATATGGAGGGCGAATGTCACTGGTATAACGTCAGCCTCATTTCATACCAAAGGATTACTGACAAGTGTCTGGGACACACCCTACTGCGGTCACAAGGATCGCCGACATATATGCAGCGTCCAAGAATATGTGAAAACCAGATGACACAAGACCCACACACACATACAAATGTACAGACTCATATCATATTATAATAACTTCCACGAATCTGGTGCACAACATGAGATGATCGAGCTGAGCATGACCATACTAGTGATCTGACACCGCGTGATCCGACAGATGCCACGGTGGCCAACAAGTCTTGGAGCAGATAGCTCCTGCCGCAATATCACAACTCGTTCTGTGTGGCCCTGAGAGTAGTCTCCACACTTCTATTATCCCATGCCCTTGCGCAATGTGGTTTCGCTTCTATTCCGTATACGTCCGAGGACATACATGGCGCCTTCATAGCACTCAAGACCCAGCGCTTGGAAAGAATACGATGTCGATAACAATAGTTATAATATGAAAGGTGCTTCTAGCCTTAGCCTTGCGACGTACAGACAAGGCTAAGGGGCACCGCGCCATATATGTCTCGAATGTATGCGGAATAGAAGGGAAACCAGTTATTCATAGCACTTTCTTTAGAGGTATTTGACTGGGATTTGACATGGCTTGATTGGGATAGACCGCCATGTGTATAATCTGTTTTGTAAAAGGAGACCAGCATTAATCCATGGGTAAAACAACTGTAATTTTAATCATCCTTAAATTGTGCCACGCCTATAGCTATTGCCACGGGGTGTGGGATTGCATCATACTGTTTTTCCAACTGTCCCCGAACCATTTGACATCTTCCGTGGGGAAGGCTTGAGCAGGTGGACTAGGTGTTTTGCGAAGGGTTAAACCCTATGCTGGTCGGTTGGTGTGTGCCCTGATTGGATACTTGAGTAGTCTGCAAGATTCCATCCCATCCATGTCTTGCATGACTCTTACCCCCGGTCAACAGCGACTTACACAACGTCTCATACAATTCATCGACAGCAAACATAGGTATCTTCTCACCTGGGAGAATTGCAAAATTGGCGATGTTCCCATATTCCAACTACCATCATCATTTCCAGCTTATTTACAGATCATGAGTGCTGAGTTTGGGTGTTGTTGGGGTGGACCCCTTGTTGGAATCCTCTGGAATGTTCTAGCGGCTTCCAGCGGCATCACAGAAGCCGCAGCGGTGGTGAGACCTTCATCGCGCACCTTCTCCAGGCTTCTGGACAAGGCCGCACCGGGACAAGTGTCATGTTTGTGAGCTCTGAAAACGGCCATGGAAGCATCTACGCCTTACCACAGCCTTCTGGACATGTCGTGATGATTACGTCTCGTTGCAGCCTCGCCGTTCCACGGTCTTCGCGAAGCTTCAACAAAGGCGTGATGGTCACTCCTTCTCAAGTATAAAGATGTGACGAATCTCTCCATCCTCCAGGTCGGCCCTGCTCATCATCAAGACATCAACAATCCAGCAAGGACCTTCATGCACTCTACGAAAACAGTCTACAAGCAACTTCCTCGCACTCTTCGCACACCATCAACTACTCTCAAGATCTCCCGACCTATCACAACCACAGCCAAAATGTCCTTCTTCCCCCGATCCTACTTTGCTCCCGAGTCCTCCTTCACCCCTCTCTTCCGCCTCCTGGACGACTACGACAACTACTCCCGCGAGGTCACCCAGCAAGGTCAGGGACAGAGGCAGGCTGGTCGCCGCGCAGCCTCTCTTCCCGCCTTCACCCCCAAGTTCGACGTCAAGGAGCTAGAGAACGCATATGAGCTTCACGGCGAGCTCCCTGGAATCGAGAAGAACAACGTCAACATCGAGTTCACCGATGACTCAACGATTGTCATCTCCGGCCGCGTTGAGCGCCACTACTCCTCGGGCACCCCACCCGAGGATGGCAGCGTCCAGATGAGCGGCGCCATCACCGAGGGCGACAAGGAGCACAGCAACTCACACAAGGCGACGGTAGAGGACGAGGAGGCCGAGAAGGCCAGGGAGCAGGGCACGTCCACCGAGGTCACCAGGGCCAACAAGCAGCAGGAGGTCTCGAGGCCAGCCGAGAAGTACTGGGTCTCAGAGCGGTCTGTCGGTACCTTCCACCGCACCTTCAACTTCCCCAGCCGCATCGACCAGGAACGGGTCACGGCCAACCTCAACAACGGTGTCCTGAGCATCACCGTCCCCAAGGTCAAGAGGCAGGAGGGCCGCCGCATCGCCATCCAGTAAGTGGGCCGTTGCATCTGAGCCCACAGGCACGCCGGGTGCAATGCTTCACTCCTTGATGCAGCACACCTGGCAGTACATGCCGCCAGAGACGATTTGATGATTCGGACGATGGGGTTTCATGGGATTGAATTTGCATATTGCGGCATTGATTCGATTATTGAGGGCGTACTGCATGGACCAGCTTGGAACATTGTTTTGGTCAGATCATTCATTTAATACATGCTATTATTAATATCAAATATGAGGACCCTGAGTGAGTGATGTGTCTTTTCCATCGGTGAAGTACCTATTGCATTGCTGCTACCGTTTTCAGTACAGCACATCCTATGACAAATACGGTCAGTTGATATGTCCAGTTGATATGTCCAGGTACGGAGATATGGTTGCTGCCGTTGCCGCATTCCTCCGGCACTTTGCTCCGGCGCGACGACGGGGCCAGCCGCGCTGGATTTGCGCCAGACCAACACCTTTGCCTCTTATCCATTCAGTCCGCCGTGGTCAGACCAAAAGAATTGAGATCATCGTCATGGACAGCCCGACCGAAACAACTGCGAATGTGAGACTGGGCTGGATCGGTACGCATCCACGGGTGGAACAGGACGAGGAAAGCCAAAATGTTCTGATAAGGTCACAGGGCTCGGCTCGATGGGCTTGGCCATGGCAACGAACCTCCAACGCCACCTGTCCAAGCTCGGCGCCCCCGGCGTGAATTATCACAATCGAACAATGGGCCGCGGACAGGCGCTCCAGGCCCTGGGCGGCGTGCCATGTGAGAGCGTGGCGGATCTCGTGCCACGGGCAGACGTGATATTCCTCTCCCTCAGCGACGACTCTGCACTGGCAGCCACCCTGGACGCCATGCTCGGCCCCGGGCCCGCCGGCCTGTCCGGCAAGGTCATCGTGGACACGTCAACCGTCCATCCGCGGTCCTCGGCAGAGGCCCAGGCGCGGCTGCGCGCGGCGGGCGCAGAATTCGTCGCGGCGCCCGTCTTCGGCGCGAGCCCGGTCGCCGCCGAGGGGAGGCTCCTGTTCGTACTGGCCGGGTCGGAACTTGCCGCCCAGGTGATCAGCCCGTACCTGGTCGGCGTCATGGGCCGGGGTGTCATCCGCCTTGGTGAGGCGGCCAAGGAGGCTAGTCTGCTGAAGACTGCAGGGTGAGTCTGTGTGACCTCGTTTGCCGATCATCAGCCTGCTCACCATCTACCCTCTAGGAACTTCATGACCGCCGCGAGTAAGTGTCTGAGCGGGCTCACCATCTTCAACATATAGTTGGACGTGGAAACAGGTATCCATAATACTAACAACAATCTAGTGATGGAAGTCGTTGCCGAATCACACGTCTTCGCAGAGAAGACCGGTCTTGGTAGCGCCGCGATGGAATCCCTGATAGAGCAGCAATACGGGCCCCTGGCGCTCTCCATGTCCAAGAGGCTGACTACCGGTGCCTACATGCCAGCAAGGGACCAGAGACCCTGGTCGGACCTGAACCTCGCTCTCAAGGACGTAGGGCATGGCATCGCATGTGCCCGGGACGCCGGGGCGGACCTGCCGGTGGGCGAGGTGGTACTGAAGCACCTCGAGCAGGCCAAAAAGTTCTCTAACGCTATAGAACGGCCGCTAGATTCCTCGTCCATGTATGGTGTTCTGAGGAGGCAGGCCGGACTGAATTTCGAGACGGATTTGGTGAAGGAGAGAGACCACACAGGTTAAACACCGTCTAGGTTGAGCTTTACCTCTCTGTCTGCCCTGACAGCCTGATAGAAACGACCTCAGTCATGTGCTCCCATTCGAAAGTTGCAAAGCCCTTTATGATTTTGTTGTAGTTGTAAGTGACAACACAGTCATGGGTAGTGCTGTTGTATTATCGGTACGTTGTTCCTTGCTTTTTGGTTTCATCGCTGAAGAATGAGCGAAGATTCTGTGTGTTGGAGACGAGGCAAGTGTGTATTATACTGGATCTGACTGTGTACCTACTGTTCATTGGTAGCTTACCACGTTGAGCGTTTTCATTCTCAGTCCGAATATACATTCCATTAAAATAGTCACTGCATTCGATCAAGCTCCGTGGAGGACGTGGTGACCAAGACTGGGTTTATTCATGGCAACCATCTACATGTAGATCCAACAAGATGGTGTCAACTACTTCAGCACAAGTTACCCTCTCCAGAGTCGGCATAGAGCAACGGATTCAGTTGATCTGCGAGACCACCTTGACGACTACATGACTAGACGTTCAACCCGCACTTGACGCCTATTGCTAGTTTGTATGCCCAAGAGGTCTTGAGCGCTTACCACCGTATGAAGGCGCCATGTATGTCCTCGGACGTATACGGAATAGAAGCGAAACCAGTGAAAAACAACGAAACCACTAATTGTCATTGCATGTGATGATATTTTTCACCTTTCATTTTTCATTTTTACTCATTTGTTTTAGAGAGAGAGAGAGAGAAACTTACTATTAACAACCAGATCTCACATCTTTTACTCATAGGGCCATAGCATAGAGCTGTGAACGAAGAATGTGACATCGCCCTACCACTGTAGTACTAGATAGTCTAGCCAGGCATGTAATTTATCTCGCCCGGCTCTCGTAGTACCCGCAGAGCGCTCCTGCAGACCTGTAGTTGGTATCACTGCCTTTCCAAGTGCGTCAAGATTCTTAGCACGCGCAATACGGCAAGCCACAGTGTGGACATTAATTTCGGAAGAGCCCAGCAGCAATCGATGATACGCAACAGAATGGGTGCCAATTCATAAGGACGCTGGCCATGCGGGAGCTGCGGGAGCCAAGCTCCCTCCCTCACATGCTTATTCTGCCAGCGATTCTGGAGTAAACGATTTGCTTGTCGCGTGCGTAATACTTCCAGGCGCAACTCTATGAGAGCGTTGATTTACAATGAACCTGCGCAGGCTGTCTGCCCCAAACATTGAATGCTTCTATCATCTAGTGGGCCTAGGCAGGTACTCGTGAATTTCAGGGGCACGGCACCTGGGGTATAGGATGGCCCAACGACTCGATGTCAAACAGGTAGCTCGCCTTACATGAGACGCTGCAAACTCGGTTCAAGACTGCCTGGGAAAATCCCCTGTTTATACATAGTGTCCGAATGAAAGAAATGCTTTGTGAGTACACGTATCTACTTGGTCGAAGCTCTTCCTAGAACACCAAAATACAAATGTAATAAATAGCTGGTCCCTCATAGCAACGCTTGCACGCCTGAAGATCATATGTTCGCCTCTCTTTTACCGAGACCTGGATCCCTGCGAACTGCATCATCCAGTCTGGAATACCGGGAAGACTTGTGGGGCTGCGAAGAAATAGAGTTTGTTAGCCGAGTTCGCCTCCCGTTGACAGCCCAACGGTTAAGCTTCGGCAGGGTCGGACGACATGCGATGATGTTCCACAGGAGGCAAAAAATCCCACAAGTCATCGGGGACAGCAGGTGGCGACAAGTCGGTTTCGAGACCGCAGCTTCCAGGCTCGCGGGACCTATGTGGTCGGCCAGAAATGATCTTTGATGTCTCAAGATGGGATATTGTCGGTATCTTGAGGCGATGCTATACTCATAGACAAGTGACATCCCAGAAACCCGTCTGAGATATCAAACGCCGCCAACCTTTTTTTAAACACCCCTTGTTCACACGAAATAGAAATTGTGCATCCAGCAGCGGCCCTTTCTACCATTAACCTGCATATTAAATCGAGGCTCTGCTCACTCCAGCTCCTCCACACCAATCCAGTTGGAGATTACGTGCAAACAGCTATGCTCAAGACCTCATGGACGCGCCCATGAGCTCTCCTGCCTGAAATCAAAGCCGGTGCCTAAGCTTTTGAGAATACGAGGGTCGCTGCCAGAGACCGGTCCTTTGAATCGAATAAAAACATCGTGTGATTGGATTTGAGCTCAAATCGCGGGAAGCCCTCGGGTCACATCCTATTGGTAAGTGGGCGGGTATCCCATGAGCGCCATTGGCTGCTGCTGTGGCGGCATGGACAGCGGGACGGGCGCCATCCCCATCCCCATCGGGCCTCTGGGTGCCGGGGCGTTGAGGTTCTTGTTGAAGAGTCCTATGAGTCGCCGGCCGACGGACGGCTCAAGCTCCGTGCCGTCTCGGGCAATTTTGACTTCTCTGTTTGAATTCCAAGGGTTGCGCAGGCCTCTGCAACGGTAGAATGGGAGTCTGGTTGTGCATAACCATTCGAGCTTGAAGGGCTTGCCCCAAGTCTTGTTTTCTGGGCCGAGATCACCGCTGAAGCTCGACTCGGCGTCTAGCTCGGTAGTTATACCGACTGCCGCCGCCTCGTCGGCTTCCGAGTTATCAGGATCCTCGCGGAGAACCTCCCAGAAGATTGTGCCTCGCGCTGAATCATCGATAATACGTCCCTTAGGTGTAGAATCCGTCGGTTCGGTTGGAATCTCCTTCGGCAAGTCCACGTCGCTCACGGATTGGACCTTCGGGGCGAACTCTATCGCCGCAGCTGGGTCTTCGTTGATAGTGGAAACCATTCGAGCGTAGCCATAGTATTCACCGGACTTGTTCGCAGAGAAGACGAGGTAAACATTTTCCACCGTCTACATTCCGTTCCCATCAGTTAGTGGCTGTCCGCACTCACGGGATCGTCTGGTGACATACCTTAAAGGCTTTGTTCAGGTTCTCTTCGTTATGAGCTTGGGTAGCCCAGATACCCGTCCGTACGCTTAGTTCGAGGTCCTCGACCGTTAGGCTCTTCAAAACGAAGAACTTGTCCTTCTGTGCGGATCCGTCGACTGCGGTGGGGGAGATCTTCGTCTCCTGAGCGCTCGAGACCGATGGTGTTCCGTTCTCGGAGCTGCTTGGCTCAGCTTCTGTAGTGGTGGCGGGCGCGGTTTCTTTGGGCTCCGGCAGGGGAATATGGTGAGGTGTCGCAGCCGACGGGCCGGTTGGTGCCGTGATTCCAGACACACCTTCGACGGTATTCTTCCGAAGTCTGCTTACAAGTCTCACGGATTGAAACTTGGACTCGTGGAGTTTTTGCTGTGCGGCCAAGCAGCTGACCTCGTCTTTATAGTTCGCAAAAGCGCAGTTAGACTTCGAGATCAAGAATAAAGACTCAAGACCCTCTGCTTCCTTGCAGACATGATGAACAAGACTCATCAAGTCTGTCTGAGACGGCAAGTTACCAATCCAAATAGCATGGCCTCCAGAAGAAGGGTTAGCGAGATAACAAAATTTGACTGGCGTCGGCAACTAGACCTACCGCTTTGTCGGGGCTTTCGAGGAGGCCCGCGGACCACGTTGGACTGGCTATCGCTTGAGCCTGCGCCTCTGTTTAGCTTCGTTCTGATCCACAGCGGTCTCGCCTTCCCGACTTACCATTCTTCGTTTCCTGTGTGGCAGCAAAGGAGCCGCCGCTCGCGCCTTCGCCAACTTGTTGAGGTCCAGGCCTTAGTTCAGGTTGGGAGCCTGGAACAGGCATGTAAGGGCCGACCATCGTTTGGTTATGAGGTCCTTGCGCGTGCGCATGGAAAGGGGCCATTTGAGGATAGAAGAAACCTATCGTGGAGTGATGCTGCTGGTTTCCCATGAGCTGGTTGCCGTAGTAAGGCATGCTCGGCATGCTGGTCCTCGGTGACATGCTTGACTGGGGCTGGGAGGGCGACATGGGAGAGCTGTAGTACGGCGACATTTGCGGTTGCTGCTGCATGTAGTACGCATGGGTCGGCATCTGGCTCATGGCTCCCTGGCCGCCATACTGATGCATGGGCTGCGTCTGCCCGAGCATGTTTGGCGAAGCTCCGGAAGGGTTGTAACGCAGCTGCGAGTTATTCACGGGGGCCTGTCTGTAATGAGGCTGTGGTAGAGCGTTTGCCAGTGATGCCATGTTGTACGGGCCCGGTCGGGCGGGTATTTGCGGTTGTGCCATCTCAGAGAGCGAGTTAAAAGCTGGCTGGTGGTGACCGTAGAGCTGATTCGTGTACGCTTGCAGTGTGTCAATGCCTTGGCTGCCCTGGCTGGTAGACTTTTGGGGCTCTAAAGGAGCTGATTGAAGGAACGCGCTTGCTGGCAGATCACTGGCGGAACTCATTGGATCGCCGCCGGTTGAAGCTCTCGCCGGACGTCCTAGACTCTTCGAGACAGTCAGCACAGACGCACCAATGCAGCGGCAGCCATGCACAGCTTGTTCCGGAGCAGCATGGCAATATACCTGTGTATGTACAAAACGAATGGAAGACTGCGGGTGTAAGCAAAAGACTCGGGCTGTAAGGGCAGTCGGGAGGTTTCCCCTAAGAGGTCGGGGCGGAGACGTCGCGTGGACCGTGTTGGGAAAGGACCAGGAGAAAATGCTCGGAACTAACCAGTCTTAAAGGCCAAGGACTTTGCAGAGGCAAATAACGGTTGTTGATGTTTCGGTACCTCAAGGGCGGTGGTATAGCGTCCTTTTTAGCCCTGTCGTAGTGCAGAGACTCGTGGCCTGGTGCCCGTCGAGGGTACGCTGTGACAGGCCCGGAAGTTAAGACGATGTCCCAGTAGCAGGGGCCCCGGGAAGGAGGAGCCGCCAGGTGCCTTGTCTCCACAGGGGCAACAAAGCTGAGACTGGGGGATGATGAGGCAGGTTGTGGCTGGAGGAGGGAGCGCGGCTTCCTTGAATACCTTTTTTGCTACTCTGCGGTGCCGAAGAGGCGAGAGGCGCCAGATTCCTGTGGGTTTGGCACCGTACGGAGCATATGCGAGCAACTCGGCCCAGTTGAACCAGGAAAGAGAGAAGTGTGGCTGGAGCGCAAGCGAGCGGCGGACTCGAGGAAGAGCTGTGATTGCTGAGCCCCTAGGCGGTCTGGAAGGGGTCTGGTACTGTGATCCGGAGGTAGCTCCGGGGCGACAGAACACAGAGCAGATCTCGCCACAACAGACGGCGGATAGCCGGGGCCTAGCGTTTGCCGTCGAGTAATTACTATTTCCCGTGGTCACTTGTCGAGGCAAAAGGTGGGTGACACTTTAGGACCAGATTATATCAGCACGTGTGGAAAAGGCCGATCGTTTGCGTGGAGGGGATGGAGCACGCATCAATGATGATCCAGTGACGATCTAGACGGGTTTGTTTTAGAAATGTCGATGGTGGGAAGGGGACTGGTCAGGCGGGCGTTGGGGCGGACGCTGGGCGGGCTACGGGAGGAGATAGGTAGGGGAAGATGACGACAAGCGATATACATATGTACCGCATTGGTTTAGGTGGGTGGCCAAATTGTCTGTGAGGACCAGTCCGGTCCGGTCTGGGGCAGCTCAGTGTCTATCAATTTTTCAAGTGTCCGACGCATGGCATGACATGGGACGGGGACAGTGGAGAGATGGGGCGAAAAAAAACGAGAGGAAAGGGTCTTTGACAAGCACCTGTCCACTTGAGGACAGGCAGGAGCATCCTGGCTCGAGGACCTTTTAAGCAGAAGCCCTGACCTGACGGGGCGTGGAGATGCACAATGGGGTCTCCATCCAGCGACGCCGCCGGGGAGGGGTGCTGGTAGCGAAGGGGGCACGGCCGGAGGGTACTAGGAAAGGATACCTGCCCATCAGGAAGTCTGGATTATCCCAGCCTCCAGAACATCGATCCCACACAGATGGTAAAATGAGATGGGAATGTCGATTCTCGATGGGGTACTAGGAGGCAACACGGCAGTGTCTTGGGCCAGGGAGACGGGGGCCCACCCCTGATCATCAGTTTTTTCGCCACCCACAGCCCGTCGAGAGACGTCGCAGCTAGAAATTGCTGAGCCACACTTGGTCTAGGCTGGCCCAACTTTGGGTGTCCTCCCACGCGCGGGTGTTACCACCAAGGTGGCGTTGCGGTAGGGGGGGGGGAAGCTATCTGGGCCGTGTGCCAGGTGGGATCCGTCCTCCTTGAAGCACGCCCGAGCTCTGGCAGTTATTTTTCTCAGGGACTTCCCTCTACCCAAGGGAAACGAGGAAAAATAAAAGAAACAGAACAAAAAGGGAGATGATGTAGGGCAGAGTCGCAAAGTCAGGTAATTGCTACGCTGATCCTTTCTGGTCGTGGGGACCTGCCCTGTCTCCATCAGCTGCCGAGGCGTGGTATTTTGATATCGCGCACAGTCGAGCCTGATGCGCCTCCTTGGCCGGTACACAAAACAAACACAGCCAAAATCTAGCCTCGGTACTAGGTCGGCTTATCAGTGCTGCACTTCACACACGGCAGAGCGAAACGGATGGGTGGCAGGCTGGATGGAGGCGTTGTCCAGCTCGTCCCAGACTTGGGGGGTTGGTCTGAACACACCTGGCATGTATTTGACCCTGGTTGCTGGCATGCAACGGCGACCCCTTCCGGTATTTATTGGCGTACTAGGTTGCTGGGTAAAGCTTTCTCCACACTGGCTGGGGCTTGATGATGGTACTTACATATCTAGGTAGACAGAGCGAGACAATGGGCTGCAGCATTTCCCGTCAGCGGGATGGATGCACGACGGGTGGCGATTTCACGTTCCCCCGCCCAGCCCAGTCCAAGCGAGTCGGATGAACCACTTCAAGATCGCGGCGCCTACCTTGATGCTTGACCACTCTAGATACCCTAGCAATAGATACCCAGGTCCAGTCGCTGTCCACTGCCGCACTCCGGTAGCTTGCGATGGTAGCTACGTCCAAACCCCCGGGTGCAGCAATTCGGGGCAGCAACCCCACAACCGATACTGTGCGCGACCAAGACAGGTCTACAGACATCAAAGACCTCGTCCATGACATGACATCAGACCTTGAGGGTTTTAATATGATGACGGCATGCAAATATGGCGCCTGACGAAGCGTGAGGGCAGGGCGGATGGGCCTGATGATGCGCCTTGGTAAGGGAAATAAAACCCACGGTGGGCGGTGGGTCTCAGAACGGGTGTGCTGCCGATGTGGTCAGAGGTCTGAGAGGAAGGGATCGCGCGCACGAGCTGACATGGCGGTGGCGCTAGTCACGGTACGTTGCCGGGGTCTACAGGGTCGACATGGCCCCTCGACTCGGTAGGTAGGCAGGTAGGCAGGTAGGTAGGCAAGTAGGCAGGTCGTGCCTTTTTTGTGCATTGGGATCTGGCGATTCGAAACGAAAATTCTGCCGATAGGCCGCCATGTTTTTTGTGCCGTTCGGAAAGGGTCTCATTCAAGACTTGGAGTCAAGTCTGGAGACTGGGTGACAAGGCAAGCAAGGTACCAGGTAGTCAGTAGTCAGGCAGTCCTCCAGCGCGGCTCCTTTACGCTAACAGCAGGCGAGAAGACCCTTTTTTGACGATCCCAACAGGGATGCTACTGCTCGGCCGCCGAAGCAGCCAAGGCAGAGACCAAATGGTGCATCTGTTGGAGCTCGGTAGCAGCCGCAGGGCTCTCCACGGTTGGGCTGTTGTGGCCAATTGCTGCAGACAAGAACTGGGCCGGACTGTGCCGTGCTGTACAGGGCAGCGATCGCCACGGCTGGTGGAGGAAAGGACCAGAAAATGACGTCGATGGGGATGGGGCGCGGGAGGGGTGTTGGTCCGTACAATGTGCCACAGCAGCAGCAGCAGCAGCGGTCCAGACAGGAAACCCTGGGAGGGCTGTGGTGTGCCGTGCTGTGGCTGTTGCGACTGTCATGACTGTTGCGATGGACCTGGATTACTCCAGAGACAGACGCGCACCCGCGTGAGATTGCGATTAGCCTGGACCAATCCAGATCCTCTCGCGTTTTGCGTGTGAGACCACTGCTGGCCCCGAGAAGTCGTGGGGCCTTGCGCTAGGTTGCTCCCATGCGACGAACGGGTCGCCGCCGCCGGCTTTCTCGGTCTGCTGTCCGGATCGGGTGCAGTGGCAGAGTGGATACTGTGTAGGTCATGCTGACAAGCTGCTGCTGGGCAATGCTGGCGAACCGGCTTGAGGGGGGCAAGCTCTCACACAGTACCACAGTACAGCAGTGTCGAAACCGTACCGTACCTGCACCAGGTAAATACGCCGTGTTGGAGAGAAGCCCGGTGGACTGGATTCCATAAATAGGCCGAGTGATGTCGGAATGACAAGTCGCATAACGATGTGGGAGATGATGCATACTGAATGTACCTGAGTATGGAGTACGGAGTACTGCACGACTGACATTGGTCGGCAGGCATGTGCGCCAATCTGGAGCAGCTTGACCAAACCAGGGCGTGGGGACTGATGTAACATATTGCTGGCTGACGTCATGAATCGAAGGGTTCAAGACAATGGTCTCGAAGCGAGACTGAGTCGGTTCCTGCAAGGCCAAGGCAGCTCCCACCAAGGGTCCTTCCTCTTTGGGTAACCGGGGCCCAGTGTATGGAGCCTTCCAAGGTTGTAGCCCTAGGACACTAGCCAGCCGTGGTCTTGTCAGTCAGTCAGTGTGGAATTGCAGCCAAGGACCCTGGCTTGCCTGGGTCCTCGGCCGTTGGCTTCCAGAGTCTACTCCGTACACCGATGAGCCCAAGACCAGCAGTCCCTTGCTACCCAGGCGCCCAGGTACCTGGTCGCCTAGGTATAGCGTAGACCTGACCGAGACAGAAACCATGTGAACCCTTGGTAGGTTGCAAGTAGGGAAAGTGCATGCGGCCGGAAACAAAGAGTCCAGTTCGAAGATCCGGCGGACGAGGCAAAACAGAGGGGAAATACCTCAGGCTCTCACCCCTGGACGTGCACCGTACGGTGCAGCTCCATCCAGCCTTTCTGGGGAAGCTACCAGCTGCGACAACCAATCATATGGGCCAATGCGCCCCAGGCGGCCCACATTTGACGTCATGTGTCGGAAGCTCTCATGTCCCTCAGGCCGTTGGGCACTTGGAATGCGCAGCCCGTTTATGAATCGTTTCCGCCAAACTGCTGAAATTGGGTTAACAGAGAGGCAAAACAACATGGAAGTTGGGAAAGGGGACCAGGTCTCCAACGGTTGCGGACAACGAACAAGGAGCCAGGTGTGCCAGAAGGGTGTGCCAGAGCGCAAGGCCCCCCCAAGCTCCTCCTGCTCTGCCCGCATCGAGCACATGCGCAAGCCTGTTGCCACTGGTTCCCGAACATGCTGACAGGACCCTGAATTTTGTCCGTCGCAGCTACATGAGGGGGGATACCAAAGCCTAATTTGCCTTACAGTTTGCAGCTCGGGAGACATGCACAGGCGGGGGGCCCTGGGGGGGGGGGCTGGTATTATTGGGCCAGGAACTGGTGCGCTTGCAACGGATGTGGTCCCGCCCGCAAGCGTCTGAAAGCCTGCCTGGTCATGGCACCCCACGTTATTTGCCATCGGGAGTCCTCGAGCCAACAATCAGGAGCGCCGCCCCCCTTGAAACCTTGAGACGAAGTTTCGAGTCCCGCAGATGCGGTCGGGTGCTACAATACGTCGTAAGGCACTTCCAGGGCTGCCAGGCTGCCAGGTTGGCAGGCGGGCAGGCGGGCAGGCGAGGCGGGCAGGCGAGGCCATCTTGACTGGCTTGCCTGCGCCAGCGCGGCCGGGATATCGCCGCCAGTAAGCTTCTGCTGCCCCAGATGCGCACGCCCCCTGATGTGAGAGACAAAAGTGGCAAACTCCGACGAACAGGGCGATCACCCACCTGCCCTGGCTGCCCTGGAACTGAACACAACTATGCCTCCTTCGAAAGCTGTTGCACACACTCTGACAATCCGGTTCTCCCGCAGGCCCGGGAGGGAGCCAAGCACCCAAACTGCCAAACAATCCAGACAACTCAAATTGTGCCGGGGACGCCGTCCGAGGATCGACAAAGGCGTCGTAGCTACTTTACCTTGGCGCGCCGGGAGATGTTCTGACTTCCATACCGACAGGCACCGCCGTAAACCAGGCCTGCCAGCCTGCCAGCCTGCCTCGCCGGGCGACCCTTTCTCGCCACCTCATTCCCGGCATTTCCTCTGTGGGTTTGGCGCGAGGCTGTCCAGGTGCTGCCGGCCCTGACGGCTAGACCCATTCTAATGTCCGGCCATGGCTCAGGTGTCCAGTAGCCGTTGGAGAATCCCTTCTGCTGGAGATATTGTTGTGCCACTAGAGCGCGATCATTTTCCTTGGTTGGTGTGGTCGCTCAGCCCACGATATACAGCTAATGTACTGTAGGAGGTGTGTCAAGTGCGCAGGTGCGATGTCGCGTCCTCGATCTGGGGACGCCAATATGTCTCCCAACATGTCTCGCCTACTGGGCTTCTCAGAATGACGGGCGACAGGATTATTCGACATCCTAACTATTTGGGCATTTCGTATCTACGGGACTCGCCGGGCATCCACGTGTGCATATGAACGAGCCAACCCTGTATTGCGCAGGCACTTTCAGTGGCCATTCACATCCCCTCTTTGCAAGTCTGTTAACATCTGAGCTGTCAGCAACGGCGTGGCTGAGCCAACCGCTTGCTCGAGAGGTAGGTCTACATTGGATACTGGGGCAGATGTGTAGGACAGCATGGCAATGGAAAGCTTGTCTTCGCTTCTGGACCGGACAGTCACTAGAGATAAATGGCTGCTCAATCGAACCTCGCCGCTAGGCCCGGGCTACGATAGCAGAATGATAGGCAGTCAAGGCAGTGTCAGTGACGAACTGGCTGCGCAAGAATATTTGGAGATTCATCCAGTGAGCTCGGGTCTGTGGACAAGGGTCGAGCTCCAGCTGCAAAGCCAATGTCTGTTCACTGGCGCAGAAAGACCTTGTCTGGAGACGGAAGATGTCCGACTTGTCCCCCACCCCCCAAGCATGGAAGTCACGTATAAATTTCGTGAAATCTCTTGGAAAATAACCAATTGCTGATTCACAGCCCTGGAAACCAATGCAAAGTTACACTCTGTATTCAGATAACGCTGAACCCAAGACTGCCAAAAGTAGCTCTCACAACGGCAGCACGAGCCTAGGAGAAGGCATACCAGAATCAACACGCTCAGAGCACAACGAATCTCGCACATTGCAAGACGGCTCCCTTGGAAATCCGAGCACTTGCTGGCAGTGTCAATCTTGTTCGTTCAGGTTGTGCTCTCCATGCCTGACCTTCGGTTGCTGAACTCTCTCACACACTCACACACACAGACAGACAGGAAGTCTGATGCGACTATCATTCTGTGCTCTACATGGGTCGATTCCAGTCTCCTATTACGGTAGTCTAGCCAAACTTTTGCAACGACTTCCCAGATGATTATAAAAAGAGGACATAGACAGCCCTTAGCCCATGGGCTCGAGCATCAGCTACATGCGAGTCACTGACTACTTCGGTCCACTGTGCGGCAGACATCTTCTGTTGGCGTGATGATTAGAGCTTATAAGTCATTTGACTGCTTCCCATCGCCGTGGAACCGAAATCACCTATGGATGAATTCCCCCCAAAGATCAACGGCCGATCTCAGACCGTTCAGGGCAATTACGCTGGGGGAGCCCTCATGGGCCGCGAATAGCCTGCGCCAACATGCCCGCACCGTCAGTATCGCCATCTTCGGCCCAGAGCCGGCATTTCAGGCACAATGGCGTCGTGCTGGGCTGCACTGAGGACGTATGGAGGCTGGCCGGCTCCGCGCCACCTGGGCACGCGCCTCTGCCGGCGCCCGCCTTCTCCGTCTCCCCCTTTGCGCGTCCGTCGCCCAAGCAACCATCACTACCTCAGCCTGGACCGATGCCTTGAGTTTGAAAGGATACTAGTTTAAGCTCACAAAAGGAAGATGGCGAGGAGAGGAGAAGCGGATCAAAGAGAGCGCTATCTCCAGGGAGTGCCTCGGCTTGCCCTTTGAAGCTCAACAGGGTGTGCGAAGTGGCAGTGGCGTGGCGCTTTCCAGTCGACTGTGTGCCTTTGTATTGAAGTTAATGTCTTAGCTAACTTGATCGGGTTTTATAGGATCATCGTGGTGGAGATATCAAGCAGACATATAAACCTGAACGACCTGCTTCGTAGATGTACATGACGCTTTGTGTTGGCATGAGACCGATCAAGACCAGCCGTGGCGGGGATTTGATCTTGTTTCTCGAGAGTCGTGTTTCGAGATCTTCGCGCCGTCAGTTGAAAGGCTGATGACCAGGCCAAGAGTGGAGAAGATAAGACAGCAGTGGTAGGAAGAGTCGAGCCAGGCGGGGTGAATTTGAAAAGCGTGACGATGGGCAGCATACCCGCCTGGGTGCAGATGGCAGTGTCAGCTAGCAGCTTCTTTCGGCAGTCTTGACTTCGCCTGAATCCATTTCGTACGTCCGCTCGAGGGAACGTCTCAAACTCACAGAATGTCTAGTGTGACGACAGCACTGCAGGAACGGTTGTCCGTGGCTGGCCCGGCACTTGCGAGCGGCCCTGCTCAAAGGAAGGGGGGGGGGGTTTACTCTGAGTACCACAATCGTGAAGCGGGTTCGAGAAGGACGTGTGACGAGACGCCACACACATCCGCTGGAACATGCTTTTCTGCCCCGATGCTGGCATCCTCTGATCTGCTCGAAACCCCGGGGAACAAATGGCCGGTATTGCATTATCACCAGCATATATGAGCCTGTCTTACATCACCTCTCTAGCGCGCACATGCAAGTACACCCCGCACCTTGTGAAGCATTTCCATTTCCGTGCTGATGCTGACGTTGAATCCACGATGAGTAGACCTGCGATCTACCACCAAGCAGCGGCGTATCTGAGCTGATCTCTTCCTTCCAGCGAGGGTAGTGATTCGCTGAGCCATGCTTGAAAAGTACACGCCAGAAAGCTCTGAGAACGGCCGAAATGTGTCGTGAATCTAGTCCTTGTCTCATTGCATGTCTTCGGAATCAAGTAGTGTGATCATATCGTACACAAGTTACCTTGCTAAGCAGGACGTGAGGCTCCATATTCCATGGCCCGTTAGTCCTTCTTCAGAGGGAGCAGAATCTCCTCAATACCATCTTTCGTGATGACCAACATCTGAAGCCCATCACCCACCTCGATGTGCCTCTCCACCGCACCGTCAAACGCATCCTTCACCAAGATCTCCACCTCCTTCCGAGACAGCGGTACCTTCTCCCGCTCCTGTAGCTCGTGTCCCACGCCGCTTCCCGGGACGAACTGGTTCTTGAAGTTGACCTGGTTGTCGAGGAACGGCATGATCAGACTGGCAGCAGCGCCGCCCGCCCTGCACATCTCCCGCTCGTAGCTCCCCACCGGGTCGTAGCTGTAGACCGCGCCCTTGCCCTCCTCGTCGAGGCCACCCAGGATCGCGTATGCATAGTATGGGAAGAAGCGCTTCTGGTAGAGGATGGTGGACAGCCGCTTCGCACAGGCGTTGACGCTCATGGGCTTGCCGTGGCGGTACCGGTACATCTTGCAGATCGTATCGAGGCGCTCCTTCAGGGCCTCGCCGTCGGCCGCGAAGCCGCACACGGAAAGAACGAGGTTCGCGTCGTGCTGGTCGGCCGTGCTGCCGCCGACCTTGAAGACCTTGGGGTAGTGTCGTGTGTTGATGCTGTAGCCGGCGGTGTGTCGTGTGTCGCCTGCGAGGATGGAGAAGTCGGCGCCGGCGATGGCGAGGATGGAGCCGCCGTTGTCGGTGTATCTGCAAGAGTTTTAGCATTCTAGAAAGGCAGGCGGTCTTGAAAAACAACGATGGATCATCTGCTCACGGGTCAAAGCGATGCTGTCGGAACTCGCCGTTGTTGGTTGTGGGCGCATCGTTGAACGAGTAGTTGGGCCCGTCCATGAGGGGGTTCTGGCTGAACATGGCAGCCATTTTTGCGGGTTTGAAGATGGAGAGAAGGGAACCAGTGGGGAGTTGAGAGGTATTTTGTACGGTGGAGGGGAGCGAGATCTGTCTGCCGTTTGTGATGATGGTATGCGATGGGTGTGGGAAGGTGGGCTTGAGGCTGCAAGCTGTCGAGTGAGGTCGGGCGCGTCAGCCTTGCTCTGCCTGTAGCCCGACAGGGGTAGCTGCAGCTTTGACTAAGCAACGAGCTGGAGCCCCCGTTGTTGTGGCCGTTGGATTTGATTGGACTCGTTATTAGCTGTCATCTCTCTTGGAACAAGGGACCCGCCCCATTAGTCTTAAGGGGATGCCGTCAGCCCGAGCCCAGTCGCTACTATGTAAAGACAGGAGGAATTGGGGCCACGGCAGGCGCAAACACCACACTTCCTCCCATATAACACTGATGCTTCTTACGGCCGTTGGTCCGACGATAGAAAGAATTCAATTGACCTGCTCCTGTCTGTCTTGTTGCTCGCCAGCCCCTGCCTAGAAGCACACTCACTGCCGTGCCTGCGAACCGCGTGCTTGCGCCGAAGCCAGCATGGCTCCAGACATTCGTTCCAAGGCGCTGGAGCGCATCGCCGCCCTCTCGGCTTCCAAACCCACGGCGCCATTCGAAAAGTCGGATTTGGATCGCCTCTGCAGGGCCTGCCCAAGTCATCATCATCACACGAGGTCGAGGAGTGGCACAAATGGTTCCGAACACCGGAAGGCCGCCTCTCTCGCGCGCGTGCCAATGGTGAGCGAGCACTCTTTGATCATAGCCACTGTCGCGCGGCGCTGACCGCTGACCGATGCTGCAGACAATTCGAGAATTCGAGGTCCTCCTGTCCCTTTGCAAAGCCGCCCCGCTGGTTCAAAACAGCCAGAATGCCCAGAGGCTGGTTCGGCAACTCTCTCCGTATCTGCTCGATGCCCACGTCCAGGAATTTGCGCCCTCCCCATTCTATCGAAGAATCGAACCCTCTCCGACCGAGTCGCTTTCTTACCATGTGACCTCGGCTCTTTTGTGTCTTGGAAACCACGATGGAGACATATATGAGAACGTCTCTGCTAACGTATCCGTGTTCTTGAAAGCGTGCTCGCGCGCAAGCGAGAGCTTAATGTCTGCGCAGGGAGAGGGAGGCGGTGATGTGAATCTCGCCGATGCTATGCAGATAGCTTCGATTGCTGTGTCGCTGTTGGGGTTCCTTGATGCCGCCGCGGCTCAGGCTGATTTTTGGAGGTCCGGAGGCCGACTAGCCCTCATACAACGGCTGCAAAAGCTATTGAACGAGAGATTCTTGATCGCTGTCGAGACGGCCTTCTCAAAGATTCGCAATTCACACTCCCATGATCGTGCGCCAAAGGAATGGAGACGATACCTGCGCCACTATCAGGATACCCGGCGACCGTTGGGCGCAATGCTTCTTCAGCAGAGGTTCATGCTCCTCGTCACATCTTCGACTTCGCTCCTCGTCGCGGAAAGCTCTTCTTTGAAGAAAACTCATGTCCTAGACCTCCTGATGGCAGGCGAAGGGCTTCTCCGACCTGGCACCGGCAGGAGCGGCAATGGAGACACGAGCTCCGTGGTGACCTACTCTAACATTGTCATCGACCAGCTGAATTATCTAGAGGCCAGTGCCGATTTCATCCGCATGGGCTCCTCATCGCAGCAGAAAATCGCCTGTGCGGTCAAGGCAGCAGCGTTCATTAGCTATCTGAACTGCTCTAGACTCAATGAAGACGCTGCGGACACAGACACGCTCATGGCATGGTTGGAGGATACAATCATTGATCCCGACCAGATGGCTGATGAAGATCTGGCTTCCGTCGTTATCCGAGCCATGGCGATAGTCTGCAGAATGTCCCCAGCACATGGCGCCAATGTCAGCCGCCTGATGCCTCGGTTCATCGTGCAAGGCCGTGCTCCAAGCCACATTGTCGTGGCGGCCTCTCAATGTTTGGCCTACGTCCTCCGCATGCTATCAACCGATGCAGTCATCACGACACTGTATACTCTTGGCAATGTGCTCAGTCCTGCCTCCGAGGAGAATGAAAAAGGCGAGAATGGACTTGACAACAGTGACTCGCAGGTCTACCGCGGGCGACAATCGACTGGGAGCTCGATATCTCTTCAATTCATTGGGGAGGAAGAGACGTCCACGGTCTATATGAATGTCATTGACGCGATCTGCGGCATAGCGACCGCTTGCAGCGACGAGAAGATCTCCGGTCTGGCTCAATCCATCCTCCTTCAGAAGTACGACAGAATCAGCAATGTCGTGGATGCGAGAATTATAACTGGAGCAGCAGTCCTGTCTTTGAGTGCAGGACAGCTGGAGTTCCGCTCTTTGCTGAAAAGTTTTGCACGCATTTCCCATGCTGCTGTGGTGGATAACCGAGTGATCATTCTGCATGCGGTGAGTCTCAACCTTCCAGGTGACCAGATTGAGCCTTGACTTATAATATTGCAGTTGACTGCGGCGAGAAACCACATCTCTGCCAATCTCCATCGGGACTCTCAGCTCTATGACATCTACTGGGATCACATGCTGGACAGCATCGTGTCACAAGGAGACGTATCTCAGACCAGCCATGCCAAGGAGTCCGACATGGAACTCGCTGCCAAAGAGATTGCGGAGCTACTTCAGCCTCTGGCTGTTTTTATGTCCGCAAACGATATGGCCTCTAGCAACTGGGCAGATGACGAGTTCCACGCCATGCTGCGTGATGCCTGGTTCAATATTGTTGTGCACGGCTTCAATCCAGTGACTGAGCGCGGCAAGAGGTACGCGGACGATCTCCGAGTCATAGCCATCCATTCGCCGCCCCTAGTTGCAGAGCAGCGCGGCGAGCAGGTTGAGAGTGACATTGAGCTGAACACGGTGCTTCGTCGAGGCATGAGCTCCGAAAGAGAATCGCACCAGAAAAAACACCTGGCCGAGCTAGTGGCATCTAAGGCATCTGATATCAAGAGTTTGAGCTATCGCAAGGTCATCTTCTTGCACACTGCCTATCTCGTCGAAAGCTTGAGAGCCGAATCGGGTGACTGCACGAAAGTGCTGTCATACTTCCTCGAACCGAGCATGCGCAAGGGTGATGTTAGCAGTGTCATGGAGGGGATCACGAGTGTTGTTGTGGAGAAATACCTGAGGAAGACGCTCGGTGGCGTTAACAACACCTTCTCTGCGCAATATGCCGCGTCACAGCTGGCTATGATCTTCTGCAATTGTTGCCACAGGATCGAGCGCGTCCAACAGGCGGCGTATGCCTGTGCCGACCGCATCATCCGCGATGTTCCCTCTGCCCTCTGCCGACGATCCTCTCTATTCGCCCTTCTCGAGCTGCTGTCGCTGATGTGGGCAAGCTGTCTGGAGGCAGAGACAGAAATGTATGAGCCGAGGTCAACTTTCACCTCCGAACGTGGGAACGTGACTGTTGAGCTATCTGATGATTACACGTTCAGAAAGCTCACCCTGAACCGGTTGTACAAGGCCGCCAGAGGCTGGGTCTCGACAGCTATTAATCTGTCACCAGCGGACGTCAAGGGGCTGCTGCAAACTCACCTTTCCGAATTCGATGATGAGGGTGCGTATGGCCATGTCTCTCTTGGAAGGTCCTTTGCAATGGAGCTTGGATCCGCCATTCCAGTCTCTGACCAGAGACTTATCTCGATTGATGGCATGGGAGAGGCCAATATCAACACAGCGTCAGACTTTATTGCTCAATATACCACGCGCCAGGAATACCGCTATGCAGAGGCGTTACCGGATCACAGCCTGGAGTGGCTGACCTTCATGCGGATCGATAGGAGGGCATCTTACCTATCAGGTGCCGACACGGAGAGTGCCGACGCAGTCACGGCTCTGGCTCACATCGAAAACCGCATTTTGCAGAAAAAGAATACACCTATGGCCGATGTCCGCGACATCCTCCGTCGGGCTGCTGCTCTGTTGTGTCGCAGCGAGTCAGGGGTGGAATGCGCTGTGGCGCATCATCTAGTGAGCATACCGTTCGCCATGTTCACGAAGCAGGCCATCAAGCTTGGAATCTCCCTGTGGCTGGGCGTAATGAACGAGAATCCAATCTGGGAGCCTCGGATTCTCAACGAGATATCGCAGCAGTGGGAGCTCAGTATCCACAAGAAGCATGGCCTGTTTAGTGCGGCGATCACATCCCCAGACCCGTTCTTCCTCAGGGAAGAATTCGCGCCGAGTGATCAAGAGGCGCTTACGAAGAAGAAGCAGTTGGTTCACAACCTTCTTTCGCCCCATGCTCGACTGTTGGAGTTCCTCGGCAGCCATTTCAATGCAACACGGCTGGGCAGCCCTGACACGCAAAAGGTGCTCGTCAGGCTACTTGATGTAACAATGGAGGAGTTGCAGAAGGCCACGCCTCATCCTCTGGCGAGAGAGCTGAGGCTTCAACTCGTCCTGTTCGGGCTGAAGGTCCTGCGGACTTCGACCACCATTGGTCCAGTGTCACAATGGCGTCTGAAAGATAAACTGTTGTCAGCAGCATTGAGCTGGTTCTGTCATGCGCCCAAGTGGTCTTTTGGAAGTAATATGCTTCAGATGAAGACTGAGATCCGGCTGATAACAGATGTGATAAACGCTGTCAAAGCTGTCGGCTTCATTGGAGCCCACTCCGTTGGCACTTTCAGGTCCCTGCAGGCTCTGCAATCCAAGGAACAGCTCTTGCTGCTGTTGCTAGAGAGTGAGCAGTCTAGGCTGACCGTATGGGTCTATCCTCTGAGCGAGCCTGCACAAAGACCATCGACCCTGGTCCACACAGGCAAAGGATCACTCGAAGTAAGACATCGGCCCCTGCAACCGTCCGTGCCAAAACTAACACATGTCCAGAATGCCTTGCTCCCGTTGATACGCACGGCATGGGCCGAGAGCCCCTCACTCGCGATAGAGCTCTGCACGAGGTTCCAATCCCCCCGGGTCCACAAGGAAATCCGATCTTTGCTCCTTACATTCCCGGAAAAGGCTGTGGGAGAACCCGAGGCTCTGCCCATTCTTCTGGGCGGTGCCCTCCCCAGTGATATCAGCAATCAGTTGAGGGTGAGCAGACCCCCTCCCCCGCCGGGGGACGATCTAGATGAGCTTGAGCTAACTCATACAGTTCCTATTGTTCTGGGCACCCGTCAATCCCATAACCTCGGTCACCTACTTCCTGCCAGCTTATCAGAACCACCCGTTCCTGATTCAATATGCTATGCGGGCGCTGGAAAGCCACTCTGTTGATGTGACCTTCTTCTACGTTCCCCAGATAGTCCAGACGCTTCGCTATGATGCACTTGGTTATGTTGAGCGCTACATCATAGAGACTGCGCAGTTCTCCCAACTCTTTGCGCACCAGATAATCTGGAACATGAAGGCCAACTCGTACAAAGACGATGACGGCCAAGTTGTAAGTGTTGCCCGCATCCGATGGTCCAGACTAGATGTTCTGACAATGCGTGCAGCCCGACGACATCAAACCGACGCTGGACAAAGTGATGGAGAGAATGGTTGACAGCTTCGATGCTGTTGATCGAGAATTCTACGAACGAGAATTTACATTCTTCGACGAAGTCACAGGCATCTCGGGCAAACTCAAACCTCTGATCAAGAAGTCCAAGCCGGAGAAGGCACAGAAGATTGAAGAGGAGCTCCGCAACATCAAAGTCGAAGTTGGCGTCTATCTTCCCAGTAACCCAGATGGTGTTGTTATTGGCATCGACCGCAAGTCTGGTAAACCACTTCAGAGTCATGCGAAAGCACCGTTCATGGCAACCTTCCGGATCAAGAAGGACAAGGGCGGCATAGAGGAGACCGGCAGCATGATCGAGGAGACGGTGGAACGCGGCGCAGCTCCGCCTCATACCGAGCAGTCCATTGAGGTCTGGCAGTCGGCCATTTTCAAGGTCGGCGACGACTGTCGTCAAGATGTCCTCGCCCTCCAGATGATTGCTGCCTTCCGCGGTATCTTCCACAGCGTCGGGTTAGACGTGTACGTCTTCCCGTACCGAGTGACCGCTACAGCGCCAGGCTGCGGTGTGATCGACGTGCTGCCCAACTCCGTGTCCCGCGACATGCTCGGCCGCGAGGCCGTCAACGGGCTGTACGACTACTTCATCTCCAAGTACGGAAACGAGGACTCGCTGCGGTTCCAGCAGGCGCGCAATAATTTTGTCAAGTCGATGGCGGCGTACTCGATGATCTCATTCCTGCTGCAGTTCAAGGACCGGCACAACGGCAACATCATGATCGATGACGCGGGCCACATCCTGCACATCGACTTCGGCTTCTGCTTCGACATCGCGCCGGGCGGCATCAAGTTCGAGCGGGCGCCGTTCAAGCTGACGTCCGAGATGGTCGCCGTCATGGGCGGCAGCACGAACCACCAGTCCTTCAAATGGTTCGAGGAGCTCATCGTCAAGTCGTTCCTGGCCAGCCGCACACACGTCGAGAAACTCAGCCAAATCGTCCTGCTCATGATGGACAGCGGCCTGCCGTGCTTCAAGCCGGAGAGCGTGGAGCACTTTAAGCAGCGCTTCGTGCTGGACAAGACCGAGAGGGAGGCGGCGGACTTCATGAAGGAGCTGGTACGCAAGAGTTACTCGAGCTACTCGACGGGTATCTATGACCAGTTCCAGCTCATGACCAACGGTATCCCGTACTAAAAGGGGGTTCGAACTGTGTATTGATATTCTGAGTGGCACTTGAGGAAATAGGGCTATTTCACTACGTACAAATACTTTTAATACATACTTAAGTATTGATAATTTCAGCACCACCCACTTTCAAGTCCCAAGTTGTGTGCTGTATAGTATGCATTGATCTTTTTACACGAGCAAACTACATCACCCCGCTCCTTTCGAATCCTCTGTCTGGGTTCTACTGTGTGGAATCACCACTGACAGGTCCGTACGTTGCTGCATGAGCCAGGTGTCGTATCTAAACAGAATTGTCTCATCATCTCACGCCTACAACACTCTCAAGGAACATTCGTTAGCTGCCTTTGGAGCATAAGGTGGTCGTGGATAGCCTCCTCGGAGAGCATGCGACCAACTCGCAGTGGCGCTCCTGGCTGATGAATATTTTCCTCGAAACTCCTCTGTCGCCCTCTCCCTTTTCTTTGTCTCTCTAGATATAACCCAAAGTCTTGCGCACCATCCTGATCACAGATCAAAACGCCTTTTTTTATGCCACCCGAAAAACTCCTGCAAGTGATTTGACACGACCCATACGCCAATGCTCCCCCAGCTCAAGCCGCCTGCTGCTCCATGTGGGTTGGCAGGTTGTAACTAGCGTAATCGCAATGTACAAAAGCCCTGTCTACGATAGGGACCGACTCCAAGACGTACTGTAGACTCTCACTGTTTGCCATTTGGTCAGCTAATTTGTTTCCCGGCTGCAGGAGTTTTTTTTTTGGGGAGGGGAGGGGTTATGGGGTTGGTTGCTTACGCAAGATCGTGACTGTCCTTGAGCGACGTGCTGGCATCCAGCACAATGTCCACTTCCACATTGAGCTTGTCGCCCGAGTGGTACGCCTGCAGGCCCTGGATCTGGCGGATGGTCTTAGCGAAGCGCATGGTCAGGTACAGCAGGATGTTGCGCTGGTCGGCGGTGGCGGAAAACCCGCAGAGGTTCTTGATGTGCTCGCTGGCGCTGTGGCTCCAGTTGAAGATGACGACTAGGGACAGCAGCAGACCGCCGAGGGCGTCTAGCCACCAGATGCCGGCGTAGTAGCCGACGATGGGGAAGGCGATAGAGCCAAGGTTGAAAATGATGTCAGTCATGGCGTCGTCGGCGAGGGCCTGCACGGACGAGTTCTTGATCAGGCGGCACCAAAACCAGCACATGCCCTTGATGATGACGGTGCTGGCCATGATGCCGATGGCCGGGCCTGTCAGCTGGATGACGGTGTGGTCGGTGCCGGCGAGGGTCGATAGGGCCTCGAGAGCGACCTGTACGAACGAGGTGATCATGATGACTGAGAATACTAGCACGCCGACCGGCTCCAGGCGCCGCCGGCCCACGGGGTACCGGTACTGGTCCTGGCGGGCGATCAGTGTGGTGGTGATCCATACGATGACAGTCGAGAGGAAGTCGAGAGCGGCGTCCACCAAGCTGGCGAGCACGGAGACAGAGGGGACGGTGAGGATGACGACTAGCTTTCCCAGGAGGAGAGTGAGGTTGGCGATGAAGTTGACGTAGATGGCCACGGTCACAATACGGGCGCCGCTGTCAACGTCATCGTCGTCGGCCCAGGGGATCTCGGGCTTGGCCTTGTCATCATCCTCGGCGTCGGGCTCGGCGTTGATAGCGCCGTCCTGGTTCATGCCCTTGATGAGGAGGGGCGTCGCCTCCTGCACGGAGACGTCTGACGACGAGGAGGACTCGAGGTTGGTCGGGCGGTAGATGTCCTTGGGCGTCCGCTTCACCTTCCTCACCGCAGTGCCGTACCCCGAGTTGGTGCCAGACCCGGCACCGCTGGCGGAGCTGGATATGGGCTGGCCGTTGGAGGAGCTGGCCGGGGTGGAGGGCTCCTCGGAGATTGTGGTTGGGACCTCGACGCCGCGGCGGAAGGCGGACAGAGGCATGTGGTTGTACTCGTTCAGGAGGTCGTGGGGCAGTGACGAGTCCAGCAGCTTGTCGATGTACAGGTACTGCTGGATCAGGTAGTTTGTGCGCTCGTAGTAGCCGCGAACCGACTTGGTGGGCATGTCCTTGAGCTGGTCCTCGGTCTTCCAGTACCTCTCCCACTTATAGCGAGGGTTTGTGCTGCCTATCAGACGCATGCTGCGCATCTGGGGCCCTGTGAGGAGGGCATTGAGTCGGCGCTCCTCGGCCAGGGAGCGGTGGTCATCGTCCTCGGCGTCGATGCTGTTGCGGTGCCTGAAAGCAGCCCAGTCCGGGAAGGGGCCGCTGGGGACGGCTTCCTCCTCGTCATGATAGCCCTTCCACGCGGGGCTCTGTAATGAGGCATGGGAGCGATTCCTGATAAGTGTGGTCAGGGTGCCGTGGCCCTTGGAAGCGAGCATGTTGGGCTCGTCATGCTGCAGGAGCAGCGACGAGGGCCGCCGATGTGAAGGGGATGTCATGATTGTGGCTAATGTGCCTGGCGACGCTTGAGATGCGCCAGAAAAAGAAAGCCAGAAGCGCCGGCGACGGTTGGACAACAGACACACGAGTATGCTCTTGGAATCTCGTAATCTCGCAATCTCGACTGGACGGCAGGAGGAAATCAACGTTGGAGCCGCGCTCTGGGTTTTTAGATTGGCATCTGCAGCCGCAGTGGTGGGTTGCCAAGTCGTCAAAAAGTAGCGCTCTGCAACCGAAGCAGGCTGTGTAAGTGTGCAGGTATCCAATGGCGTGTACTTGGTAGACCCGCCGGACAGACAGAGGAGGTCGGGACGAGGACAAGACACTGGGCATCGCTTTAAATATACAGGCCCTAGATATCTGCTCGGCCTGCCCAGTACCACAGTTAGACTGCAGGATTGGACACCTACTAAGTATCTGCCAGTCTACCTAGGTAGCTAGGTAGTTACCTAGCAATGCCTCCGCGCGCGCGCATTGGCGGTGGTGCACAGTGGCAAGGCTTCCGTCACAAGCAAAACTGGGGAACCGTCAAGGCCCGGTCCCAATCCGACAACGGTGTGAGCTGTGTGCCAGAGATTTGATGCCATGCCAAGAGCCCAGCGACGTCGAGGAGTCCGCTGCGTGCTATTGTGCTACAATGTTACATGGCTCATATGCGCGCAGGCACGCAGCACGTTGGCACACGTCCCCAACGTCCCCCCCAACGTCCCAAGCAACCTGCCCGGACTAGGGGTCATCCTCGCCGATCCCTGGGCGGCCCTACTGGCCAGGGCAGCTTGTGCCGGGCGGCTGCTGCTGTTAAACCCCGTTCTATCTCCATGCGGCACCAGGTGCAGCACATCACTCCTTCTTTGCCTTGGGGGCCGCACGCTGCCAGCAACACCCAACCACCACCCAATGGGAATGAGGCCAATGCCGATCACAGCGAGCAAGACGACGACCTTGGACGACGAATTCCCTGGCCGACGTCAACAATGCCGCCCGCAGGACCCTTGGTTGGACCCCTGCTCGGCTCTTTTGGACCCCTTCTGGTTTCAGGCCAACAGGCCTGTCTGCTGGACCTGGACCACACATGTGAAGGGATGAAGGGTCCTGGTCGATCAATTCGGGGTCGTTCCTGGTGCTCTTCGATGGCCGTCTCAGCCATCACCCTCCCCTCGCCGTCGGGGTTCGCCCAGATGGCCCCGAAACCGATCAGCACGCGCTGGTGGAGAGCTCGACGTACACAGCAGCTACCGGCATTTCGTCGACAGGCAGCGCCTTGCCAGATGCCAAACCCCCCTCGGGGTTGCTGCACCAACTGACCAGGTCCCCATCAAGGTCGTGACACCCCCACATAGACGGGGTGTCAGGGTGTTTGGGAAGACCGTGCAATGGTCCTACAGACGGACTGAACTATAGCTGAGCCGTTAGTCCACCAGCCCGCCAGCCCGCCAGCCCGCCAGCCCGCCAGCCCGCCAGCCCGCCGCCTCAATTACTACATAGTATTCCCTCTCGGCCGGGCGGTCCTTATTATGGCGCACGGTTCTCGGATCCAATGCTCTAGCTGTCTAGGTCCGGGCATGGAACCACACCGCCCCTCCTCGAGTGCTCCCTCTTGCTGCAAGACACGAGACGAGCTCGGGACGCGTTGGCCCATTACCTGCCCCGAGACAGACAGACATTGTCAAAGTAATGGAGAATGCTACCGTCGCACTGCCGCCGTGAGTAATGGGACAGCAATTGCCTTTTCGCCTCATCGGTTTCCTGACATATCTCGCCCCCTGCGACCCGGCCATCCAACAAAAGTGCAAGTGCAGCCGATCTCTGCTCGGAAACCTCGCAAATCTCGCATCCACAAACTTTCCACCCTTCGGTCAAGTGAAATCTTGAGGCAGAAAAGCAATGCCAAGACCTGCTGCGGCTACCCTGCGGCTCCTCTTACGCTGTCGCTATGAAACAGACAGGAGCACCACCCAGAAAACATGTCTTGTCTGTTTCCTTCCGCCCGATTGGGCTTGTGCAGTTGGTCACTGACGGCCTGTTTACTCTGCCGCGGTCTACTCTTTTCCGTCACCACGCTCGTGTTCTTGGCGGACCATAACCTCAACCTGTGGGCAAGAGAGGCACGCACGCCATCGAGTCCGTGAAGCCCAAAAGTTGTATCCAGGCGTGTCGAGGCCGAGACCGATAGCGACGGCCCTCTGTTGACTGACTCGGCGCCTCTCCCCACGAGACTGCCCTTTTGCACACGAATTGGACGAAAAGAAGGGACAAAGAAAAATCGAAAGATTCGACGCATGAAAATTGAAGGATCAGCCAGAAGGGCTGGCCCACGATTCGATCACAAGCACACGAGTCCAGCGCCGTGTGTCCTGCAACCTTCTACGAACAATGACGGGCAATGACGGGCTTTGACATCAATCTCACCATCAACGTAGCTTGACATGATCCGGGTATCACTAGTATCTATGGTTCTCAGCCTTCATGTGCAGGCGACAGCAGCTTTTAACTACGGCTGTCGGCCAGCATTTGCCCAGCCGGGCATGTATGTATGGTTGTTTTGACCGGTAAAGGCGAGCCCTGCTTTTGAGGGCTCCTTGCTGGTTCTTGCCTGCTCGAGCATGCGTGACAACGCTCATGCGCTGTCCCTCTTGGCCAGCAACTCGCCGACCACCTCGGCGGTCGCCTCGACGATCAGCTCGTGCTCGTGGGAATGTATCCTCTGCTCGAGCTCCTCCAGCGTCTCTCCCTCGCGACACTCGATCTCCCTGGTCATGATGGGCTCGCCCCTGTCAACCTTGGCGATCACGTAGTGGATCATGATGCCAGTGCGGTTTTTCTCTAGTCTGCCTGCCTGGAAGTCATTGTATGCTCGTTCGATCGCGCCGGCCCCGTCGAATTGTCCTAGTCGGGGAGGAAAGAGTCAGCAGGAGATGGGGATTAGGGTAGCGAGGACGGCGTAGCGAACACTCACCTGGCAGGGCAGGGTGGAGGTTGATTATGGGGACACCCTTCTCGGCCAAGGGGTCCAGGAACGAAGGCGTGAAGACGTGCATCCAGCCAGCAAGGACAATCAGGTCAGGGCTCTGCTGCTTGACCTTCTCCGCCAGCGCGGCGTCGTACCGTGACCTGGCCTCGGCGAGCTTGCCCGCGTCTTTCTCTCCCTTGGCCTGGAACCCGCCCGACACCATGTTGAAGTACTCGGACGGGATGCCAGCCTTCTCCGCGCGCGAGACGGCAAAAGCCGTCTTGCGGTTCACGAAGAGCCGCACGATCTGGGAGTTCTGGATGCGGCCAGACGCGACGGCGTCGAGCACCGCCTGGAAGTTGGTGCCGCTGCCGCTGGCCATGACGACGATGCGGCATGGTGAGGCCATGGTGACGGTGGGTGGCCGTGTGCCCGGGGGGTGGGACGCTGGCTTGGCAGGGAACGAGGAAAAGGCCTCGTAGATGGCGGCAGGGTGGTTGTCGACGAACTGCTTTTGGCGGAGCTGTGAAAGCTACCCCTCCATACTGAGCAAAGTCCCTTGCGGCGTTGGAAATTTTAGTCTGACAACCCCCACCGGAGAAACAAAAGCACCTACGGAGCACGTAGGCAAGCACCCCCCGGTCGCAGCGGGGGCAGATCGGCAGGCCGAAGGGTGGCCCACCTCGCAGTCTGCCAGCCAGCCAGCCAGCCAGCCAGCCAGTCCTGCTCCCGCTGTCTCCCGTCCCTGTCTCCCGTCCCTGCCTCCCGCCTCTGCCTCCCGCCTCTGCCTCCCGTCCAACCCCCGACCTGCCGCACCGTGACACGCTCCATTTTCGGACCCGCATGAGGGCCCCGCAACACTCAGCCGCACACGGGTCGTCTCCTGGTCAAGGCTGGCTTGGGTGCTCGGGTTGCCGATGAGACTTGGCCGGGTTTTGGAAAGACGGAGACGAAACTCGGCCAACAGGCAATTGGAAACAGACCAAATAATTCAGCCTCCACCGGCGGTCATGACTAGCGATGGCAGGATGGCTTGGCAGAAGCAGAGGCAGCGATGGGAATCGCGCTGCGTGCTTGCGACGGGACGGCAGACGGCTGTGAAGTACGGATGAGGAGTTCCCTTTGCCCCAGAGGAGACTGGCTGCCCCAAACCTTCTGGATCCCGGCGGTCAGGCGCGGATTGGCGCATTGGCCAGAGCCACGCCTGGATGCGACATGTCTGGTTCGCCACACAACCTGCACCGGGCTGCCGATCACACGCGCGCCAGGGAAAGGGGAGACGTCGTTTGATGTTCTCTGAATAGAAACATGACGAAGGGCCACCAAAAGAATGTGGGGAATCGACCCATGTTGCCGGAACCCCGAGCCCGACGAGCTCGGGCTGCCCATCGACCACCGCGCCGTCGAGTCTGTCGGCGTGCCCATAAGAGCTCGTATCTGCGCCGGTTTTATTAGGGGAGGCCGCTTCTGGGGCACGCCCGTCAGCTTCCCTGGGATGCCTGCAGTCAGTCACCTTGGAAAGAGCTGGAGCAACGCGGGCGTGGGCGTGGGCGTGGGCAGTGTGAGTGGTACCCCTTTCTCGTGCGCCGGGTGCCTTTTGTCTCTGGGTCTCGAGACAGACATGTCATACTCCGGGCTCGTGTTCTGGCCATGTGGGCGTGGGGGATGACGGCTGCTCTGGGCCATCTGTCAAGAGAGTCTGTGCAATCTCGCCGGCTTACGTGTACTGTGGTAGCCGAGGCTCGCCTGCCTGCCACAGTACTCACGTAGCCATGCTGCCGTGGTGTGATATTTGCAACAGGCCTGGTGGTGAGCCGCATCTTGATGTCGGGAATGACTTGTTGGGTGCCCGAATGGCCCCAGCGGTAAACGGCCTACCTATTCTTGCTAGAGAACGTTTTGGTTCTACATCGTTCTGGGCGACTCATTAGGGCCTTGGACGGACGTGATTGGAGTGCATCGCGCCGAGATTAGCCCATTCAACTCGTCGGGACCTTCGTGTTGCATTCACTGCTGCAGCACCTGGTGTGAGGAGTTCCAAGACGCAGAGAGCTGGGGCAGAGGAAATGAAAGGCTGATTTTGCGGATGGCTATTTCTCGAGTGCCAATCCTCCCGTGACAAAAAGGGCATCCTTCTCCTTTAATGGGTACACTGGTCAGTGCCATTCTTCCAAGGTTGTCAGGTTGTTTTACGCTGCTCGTTACCTGTTTCGATAGCCATAGCACACAAGCATTCGGCACTTGAACAATAAAATCTGGGTCTCTCGACGAGTCGCGTCGAGGACAAATGAACATCGAGTGGACGGCCACTGTTTGGCTGGGTGCGTTGCGAGAGGACAGAACGAAAGGGCCGGGGCTAGCCAGGCCCGGATGCAGGACCAGGGATATGATCTGCAGGAACAGGGTTCAGGGCTGCTGCGACTCCCGTATCCCGAGCAGGTGTGCCTCGATTGGTGGTGTGGAGGAGCTGTGGAGGTTGCATGCGGCCCTCGCAACAATGACAATCGGCGCTGGGCTGCAGCGGCTCCTGCACCAACCTCCTCCCCTCAAAATACGTGGTTGGGAGCTGGGGGAAAAGGGCCACGAGTCCATGACGAAAGGACAATCACAAGTGTGAGCTTGATGCTTGATGATGGCCTGCGATCCCGTAATCTCATCCCCGCTGTGCCATGGCCTTGGCTGGATTGCGCAGCAGGCCTTCACCACCAGCGCGTGCTGGTGCGGGTTGACGCTGACATATCATAAACACACACACACACACACACAGTTGACAGAGAGACAGACAGAGAGAGAGAGAGAGAGAGAGAGAAAGGCTGCACGGCCAGGCTGGCAGGCTGGCTGGCTGGCAGGCTGGCTGGAAGGCTGGAAGGCTGGGAGGCTGGATGGGCAGGGCTGCGAGATTGGCAAGAAACTCGGGTCCCACCGCTGTCTCTGGTCGCTTGGACGATTCCAGATTTCCAGCCAGACACGTCGTCTTCAGGCTAATACCCGCCTCTTCTCTCGGCCGACCGAGATTCTGACTTGGTTTGGATCTAGAGCAACTGCTCACCCGGTCCACCTGCGCGGCGATCTGTGTAGGGCTGGAATGCAAGTCCGGTCTTTCGCACTCCCACGGCCGCGGAGGTATGACGAGTTACGTGGTCCTCCGGTGGCTGGCCTCAACGCCAACTGGCTGGCCGGGGAGGTTGTGTCCCGCGAAACAGACTCGGGGAGTGCAGAAATGCTGTGTCTTGCCGCATCGATGCGCGGGAAGGACGCCACTGAAGCCCCACCCCCGCCCAGAGTGGCTGCGATGTGTCTTGAGAGCACGACCGCGAACAGCTCTAAGTTGCGGTCTAGAGCCTGTCCGAGTTGCCGGGTGGGTTTTCTGGACTTTTCTTTCTTTCATTCCGGCTACCTACCTACCCAAGTAGGTAGGTACTTGAGTAGTTAGTCAGCTGGCAGAGCTTATAGGGTGTGTCATATACACTAGACAGGGCCCATGACGACCAGCTACAAGAGCTTCTGCTGCGCACCAAAAGCACAAATGCGGAAGACTTGGCGTAGGTGATCTGCAGACTATTGGGGCAATGGGGGTGCCTGAAAATTCACAGCATCTCAGCGAGTTTCCCCTGCAGGCGACGACTTTGTTCGAGACACGCTGCACACGCGCCGTCAGTGCTGGAGTCCCTCCGGACCAAACGCGGCGGTGAGCACCTGTACGGGTCTCTGGAGCCACCCGAGGTGCCCGCGGTGGAGGTTTTGAGTGCCGTCAAACCGTGGGTCCGGGCAGAGTCCTGTCCGGACATGTCTGCACTGGGCGTGTCTGCCCGAGGCTTGTAGTTTGGCATTGGCAATAATACTGTGGCACACGGGGGATTTCCAACGCCAAGTCCACTTCAACTACCACCTGCTCGGGGGTGGCGAGCGAGCGACAGCAGGCCAGCAGGCCAGCAGGCCTCTCCGCTCCGCCAATGGCCATATGGAAATAAAGCCATAGCAGCACCATCAAACGCTGGCTGGCTGGCCTGGCGCCATGCTGGACCGGGCGGCCAGGAGGCGCCAGCCGTGGTACAAGTTGGCCGGCGATGTCACCCAATTACAAAAAAGGGGGCGGTCGATGTGGCTTGCTGGGCCGCAGGGAAAAAAAGACATCCCAAAGACGTTCTGCAGAGGCTGCAGAGGCTGCAGAGGCCGGGACACGGGTGCGAGGCGGGAGCTCCCTTGTCTGGCTGGCCCAGCGCCCTCCCGCGTCGTGTCGGAGAAAACAAGAGAAACAAAAGAAGGAGGCAGAATAAGCCAACCGACGGGGATCTCGTGGGGCATTATTACGTCGTGGGCCGTTTGTCCATCGACAAGCACAGCACAGCACAGCCGGACCCGGCAAGGTCAGCCCAGACAAGGCAGTTCAGGCCGAGCAAGCAGGGCATAGCAGGGCATAGCATGACTGTCATTTGCGTTGGAGTTGGTTCTGTGGTTGATGATGGAATGGGAGCCCCAGGACGGCCTAATTTTAAAATAAGCTTCTGGGTTACGATAGTACATACAGGCCTGGTCTGGCTGCGTGGGAGGGTGTGAAGCACAAGGGGGGTGAGGGGGGAGGGGGGAGGGGGGAGGCACCAAATCCCCGATCGATTCCAGCAGGGTGGTTCATCTCTACGGAGTACCTGACCCGGGCAAGAAGGTTCCAAGATCTCGTCCAGCGAAATACTTACTTACTTAGCTAGCTCGCCGGAATGGCGGATGTCGCTGTCGAGGAGCTGAGCAGAGGGGAACTGGCCGGTGACAGGAGGGCGGTACTTGGGTACACGTGGTTTCCTGCTGTACGGTACAACCTCAGGTACCTAGGTACGGATAGACAAGGCGTCCCCACCCGCCCCAGCCCGACGGACATGGACTTGCCCCTGGCTTGCGGTGCAGTAGGAGCGCAGTAGAGCATGCTACTACACTAGCCGGCCAATTCGATTGTCGTGACAGCAACAGATATGGATGGATATGGGCGTGCCTCGTCTGTTGCAGCACCCAGACATTATCACGGCCTGTTGCCTCGCAGCAGGTGCCTGGCAACCTGGCGACCTGGCGACCTGGCGACCTGGCAGTGCCCGGGCATTGGAGCTTGCTGCCCGCTCCTCCGTGAGATGCTGCAGCAATGGCTCGGCTCGTCGACCCTGGAATGGCAAACTGGGTCTAGCATTAATCGCTTCTCCACCTGGGTGGCAGGGAAGCATGCCTGGATCGGCGCCCATGGGCCCTGGACCCCGTCGGCCCATGACAGAATCGCTGCAAGTGTGCTGGTGCCGGTTGCTAACCCTCTAGCCTAGCCCAGGTACTGTCGTGCTGGAGAAATACCGTACTGCACCAAGGCCAGCCAGGCCAGCCAGGCCAGCCAGGCCAGCTTGTCTAGCGCTCGGGGGCAATCGACGCAATGGGAACCTGAGCCCTGTCCGACCACAAGAGGATCGGCTGAGCCAACCGCCAGAGCACGCCTTTCCCCTTCTCGCCGCCGCCGCCGCCGCCTGAATTGTGAGTTTGTGCCTGCCTGACTTGCTGGACGTGACTGGTCTGAATGACGGCCTGCCTGCCTGTCTGTATGTCAATCCTGTCAATCAATCGTACGTACAAGCAATCAACCGATCAATCTCGCGGTTTTTTCTTTCTTTTCTTCCTCCTTCCCTCCCTCCTGCAACTCCCCCCTCCGTACCCTACCTCCCCTCCCACCACCGGTGAGCCACAAGAGCGGTGTTTTCTCTCTGCAGCCAAGCAACAAGCAGGCAGCATCGTCTTCCTCTTTCTTCCAGACCTCTCCGTAATTTCTAGTGCCTTTTTCCTTTGCGCTCGGGCTGTCCTGCACCGGTCAATCGTTTCTTCAAGTCCCTTGTACTGTGCCGTTATTACTGTGCCTCCAGTCTTTCGTTTCCTCTCCGACGAAACCCTCTCCGTCTCCGCGCCACTCTTTGCACCCGACGATATTCTGCTGCATCGCCGTGTCACTCGCACACCCACTGGCCCTGCTTTTTTCTCTCTCCAGCCCGTCCTTCTCAGCGTCCACTTTGTCTCGCAGATTTCCTTGCTCGTTCACTTCCATTCGAGTCTTCTAATCCGGCATCGTCATTGGACGCAGCCTGGCCACCACCGAACCGAACCGCTTGTTTACTTTGTGCGCGCGTGTGCATTGCGTTAATCTCGTAAGTACAAGCAAGGCAAATGCCATCCCCTTTCACATCTGCTGCCACGTCCGGCCTGGGCCCCTGCCGTCTCCGCTAGCACCAGGAACCTGAACGACCTCCTTGGACTGAGTGTGATTCCACCGCCGGGTAACAACAGTAGCCTGCGATCCGCGCTGCCCTGGTGCCCAGACACACTCCCAGTAACCGGCTGGGGCCGAAGACTGGGGCCGACGATACTGCAATTTTCTCCGGCCTTGTTCTCCAGCAGCCACTATCACCTCCGAGCCCTTGTGCGGCTCTTGTGGAGGTGCTTATCCTGGACGCCCTCGCCTTCTAGAATGATGTCACGTCGGTCGTCCGACGTCTCGAAAAGCAGCGGCCAGCGGCATCAGGTTCTCAGGGCACAAAGGCTAACTTCACATCCCCTAACATGCAGTCCACCGGCTAGTCGCGTCACAGTTAAGGTCGGGGTCAAAGAAGAAGAGAGAGAAAAAAGACCTTTCTCGGGCTTCTCCCGTCGCTCGACTGTGTTTGGAGTGTGAACTACCTCAGAGGCTCCGACTGCCCCAATCTGCGCCACTGCCGCCTCGTATTCCGGGCAAATCCTGCCCAACTTCCTACACCACCCGAGACACCGGCGCCTATAACATCACCCTCTGCAACGTCGACAATCAGCCACGCCCCGACAAGTTCATCCGCTGACGGCGAATTGAGCATTCATGGGCTGTAGTTGATTGTGTCAACTACTGCCAGCCCTCGAGTTCATATGCCTAGATTCGCGTTTGGCAAGCGGAAGTCAACCGCAGAGAGCGAAAATGACATAGCAGCACCTTCATTTCGCGTTCTAGACCGTTCCGAAGTGGCTGAAGGCAACGGCAAGTCATTTGACGGCGGCGTGAGATTGTCAGCAAAAACCCATACTCTCCCCAAAACAACAGTGTCGGACATCTCGGTGGAAGACAACATCTTCGCGGATTTCAAGCCCAAGAACCGGTATGTTTTTTATCGCTTTCAACCCAACTCCACTGGGCCTGCGGCTGCTCCGGCAGCACTTGCCACAGTAGCTGCCTTTTCAATTTCCCACACGGACTGCCAATTTAAGTTTACGGTGTCTCAACTTGAGTCCATACCCGGTCCAGAATTTAATCGAAATGGGGCCTGGGTGGATACGGGGCTGACTCTTTCACTAGTGGCAGCGGGTCGTCCAACACTACCAAGACCAACTCGACCGACAACTCTTCTCGACACAGCGCTGCATCCACCGCTCCGTCTTCTGCAGACTTGAATGGTCAAGACGACTGGAGGTTGCCCAACAAAAGATCTCTGACAGACGCCCCTCAGCAGTCTCCCTTGACCAAACCGGGTCCGTCGGGTTTCCTCAAGTCTGCCGGACGATCGTGGTCTTTTGGTGCTTCTAAGAAACAATTGCCCGCCGTACCCGCTGGTGACGAAGACGTGCCGATCACTCCTGCAGTGCCCGAACAGTATAAGAGTGGTAGGGCTAGGGCGACGACCGGCTCGACCGACGCCACGGTCACTCCCCCAAAGGTAGACCAGGATATCGGCTTCGACCTCGGTGGTAGTTTCAGCAAAATGCTACTCGGGTTTGACAAGAGATCTAGCGTCATGACACTAAAAGACGAGAACGGGCGACAGGTTCTACAGCCTCCGGCTCCCACCGGCGGGCGTCTAAATGCACCTTCGCCTATCCATATCGACCACACCTCCAAAGTCGAGCCACCCCCGCATTCCTGGGCCAGCCACCACTCCAACGAGAATCTCCTCACGGGAAGCCCCCGTATCCCATCACCAGCAAAAGAAAACACACCTCCCCCAGTCCCAGCACACGGGGAGCCTCAGTCAAGACCTAGGGGTCCTGGTCATTCCAGCTCTGAGAACCTCCTCAAGAGGACTAGCGCGATCTTTAGCGGGAGGAGAAAGTCGATCAGCAATGCTCTGGAAACAAGCGAGGGAGACGATTTGAACACCTCCCTTCTTGCTGTCAATCGGTTTATGTCGGATGCCAACAGCAGAAGCCAGACTCCGGTCGAGGTTGTCGGCGGGCGTTACAGAAGGAACGAGGACACGTCTGGGCCTGGTTACCGAGTTGTGTCTCCCCCGGCGGTGCCTTCCAAGTTGGACACGGTAGACGACGACGATAACATGTTCGACAATGTTCCCCTGAATTCTGAAAGATTCAGTACCCCGCGGCAGCCAGCGCAGAAGCCGGCCCCGAAGCAGGCCGAGACGCCAGCTAAGAACAAGACAATGACGGCCTCCGAATTCGAGCAATACCGAAAGGACAAGGAGGTCGAGGAGAGGCGGGCAGAGGTGGACAAGGCCAAAGAAGAGACCCATGACGACGAGGACGAGGACGAGATCAACTATGATGACGACGAGGATGAGGCAGAGAAGTCCAAGCAACTCGCAAAGCAACGAAGAAAGCAGGAGGCACACATGACCGTCTACCGCCAACAAATGATGAAGGTCACCGGCGAGTCTCCTGATGCGGGTCCTTCGCGGCCAAGCATGCCAATGTCTTTGAGCACGCCGAACCTCGTGGTCCCGGAAGCATCAAGGAACTCCTCGTCAGAAGTCTCGGAGGATGACGAGGAAGTGCCCCTGGCTATTCTAGCCGCCCACGGGTTTCCCAACAAGAACCGACCTCCCACGCGGCTTACGACCATGATGTCAAACCCGAACCTGCGACAGGCTGCTCAACCAAGCTTCCAACGACCTGGCTCTGCTGCAGGACACAATGCGACGGCCAGCGGGTCCCTGCCTCCTTTTGCCAGGGGTCTTCCACAGGACCCCTACGGGTTGGTCAACGCCCCGCCCAGGGAGAGTTTTGCATTGGGCGGGGGCGCCCCAGCAGGCCATAACTCGCCTGTGCCACCCGGTGGTCTCGTCGGTGTCATTGCAAACGAGGAGCGGTCGCGAGCTATGAGGCGTGGAACCCCTCAGGTCGCTCAGATGGATAATTACCAGGCCATGCCGCAAGCAGGCCCGGGCGGATTTGATCCCGTGCAGGGCATCCCCCAACAGATGATGTATCCTCAGCAACCAGTCATGCCGATGCTGTCGCCCAACGAGCAGGCGCAATTACAGCTGAATCAGCAGATGTCCCAGTTTATGCAGATGCAGATGCAGTTCATGCAGATGATGGCCGGCAACAACAACAACAACAACAACTACGGCAATGGACCACCTCGGTCCGCCGGCCACATGGGCAGCAATTCAATGGGCACAGTCCAGGGGATGGGCGGCCCTGGCATGGGCATGGGCATGGGCATGGGGATGCCCATGGGCATGGACATGAACACAGGGGCACGCGGCTCATATTTGGAGACACCGATGATGGACCAGTCTATGGGTGAATTGCACGGCCGGACCATGAGCATGGTCCAGCCGAGCTCCTCCTCCTGGCTCCAGGCCCCTCAGCCCGGTTATGCAGGATCGATTCGTCAGCAGGGCAACGGTTACACACCATCTATTGCGCCATCCGAGCGTAGCAACGTTGGCCTCCCTGGCCGATACCGCCCTGTTTCGCAGATGCCGGCTCCAGGCCCCGCAATCACGCCTGACCACACCCGACAGTCGTCCATGATGGGCTCAACTCTCAGCCCTTATAGTGATGCGCAGACGCTGCGACCCATCGGGGCGACGTCGCCGAAGAAGTCGGATGCCGGGAAGTCATCAGCAGGCGAAGATGCGGACGACGATGATGAGGAGGGTTGGGCGGCTATGAAGGCCAAGAGAGACAAGAAGAAGTCTTCTTGGAAAACGAGGAAGACCCTGGCGCCCGGTGGCCTTGACATTGGCTCTCTTATCACGTGAATGGAGCATTTGGGTGTTGAAAAAAGACAAGTCGTTTGGTGGTGAAATTGGGGGAGGGGAGCATGATTTGGGTAATCTCAACCGGCGAAGCATTCTGGCAGCATAACTTTTCACGGCATCCAAAACACCTCCTACAGCATTTGACAGTCATTTACTCATCGTTCATCTCACCATTTGGGGCGAAGTGACCCGGAAGGAGGAGGGCAAATTGTGTGTGTGTGCCTATGTACGTGTATATTTCGGCACATGGGGGCTTGCAAACTTGATACATAGGCGTTGCAGTTTGGGTAGCTAAGATGTACTTAGGCAGGGCGGGTCGCAACTCGGGAACGAGATTATGATAGACATCCCTTCCGTAGGGATTAATTCTAATGTTGGGCATCGACTAGACTCTCTGGACCCTGTGCTCCGCCGTGCTAAGCCTTCTCTGCCTTTGTCTCCATGCCATCGACGCGAACCACTTGCGCATCCCTATATTTAGTGTCGTCTCCCTGACTATACCCATATCACCCCCACCATTACCTGAATATGTCCGGATCTAGTGACTGTCTTGAATAGTGGGGATGCCTGGGCAGCCAGGGGGCCGAGAACCCGTTGAAGAGCATACCACAATACAAATGCGTAATCAACATACCCACAATATCACAGCCAGTCCGCAGCTAGGGTGAATCATTCAGTCTATTCATCTTGATCGAATCATTACATCCTAGAAGGTATGGCAGGTGCATGCTGATATCTCTCGCAGCCTATCCAATGGCTTGCAAGATCAGACCTAGGTACCTAGGTAGTTTCCGGCTGGCGCATGTCCATTTCCCGACAAGCATGCCTCCCTCTGCTGGGCAAGCTTCAGGAAGCGGATGATGCTACCGATCGCCGCGCCTACGGCTGAACCGCCACCGTAGATTGCAGGTGCAAGGTTTGTGTAGGCATTTTGCCCCCCCCCCCCCCATCGGTTTGCCGTAGTTGCCCTCTCCGTGATAGACTTCATTCAACCCACCCTCGACGCTCCTACCTGGTGGCGCCTATCCCTCCGCACATGTCCCATCCGGCCCCTACGACGACAGCTTGCCGCTAGCCCAGCCCTTGCGCTTGCCGCCCATCTCGACGGCGGCGAGCCCCCAGTCCTCACCGTGGTTGTGGCTGCCGCTGGCGATGCCGGCGCGGGCCTTTGCCTGGTCCTCGCTGAGGACGGTCAACACGCCGAAAATGACGGGGACGCCCGTGTCAAGCCCGACGCGCATCAGGCCGTGCGAGACGGAGTCGGCGATGTACTCGAAGTGCATGGTCTCGCCCTTGATCAGGACGCCAATGGCGATGATGGCGTCGAAGGCCGTCGACAGCGTGGCGCCCTTGCCTGCGCCCGTCGAGGACAGGGAGGCGAGGTCCGTCGTGGACCCGCCGAGGAGGTCGCCGGCGCTGGCGGTTGACGAGGAGGAGGATTGGATCTGGGAGGCGGCGTACATCCTGAGTGGTTTGCGGGATGGTTCAGCACACGGTACGGGTAATTTATGGAGGGGTGGGTGCCTGTCTGCGGCCTGGTGGGGGGGGAGCTGCGTCATTGACGGACGGGAGAAATGGGATGGGACGAGCCCATTGGAGCAGCTCTTGGAGACAGGTAGGGACGAATGGCTCACCGCTGGACGCCAATTGGCAGCTCCCAGGACCCCGGGACGGACTCGACGATGATGTTGCTCTCCTGCACGCCGCAGGCCAGCAGCTTCGCCTTGGTGCCCTCCAGGAGGGGGTCGATGATCTCGGCGTTCCAGCGGGCGTGGACAATGCCGATCCGCAGGCCGGAGCCGTCGTGCTGTTCTGGGGTTGGGCCCTTCATGTTGAAGGTGTGTAACCAAAGGCTGCGTGTTAATTGTTTGTGGATGGAAGAGGGTCTAGGCTCTGGGGGTGGGAGCTGTTGATTCCGTTTCGTCAAGCTGCTTGCCCGGCTCGGTAGACTGCATATGTAGTTCGGGTAGCTGAAGAAGGGGGAGGGTCCAAATGGCGACCCCGCGGCTTTGCAGGGTGGGGGCCGGGACCTGGAACGTCCAGGATTATGTAAGCCACCATGTTGAACATGTGCTCGATCCTTATTTGGACCTCACTCGAGTGTCTAATCGTAAACATCCCCTTTTAAGATGACTGTTCCTGTTCAAGGTCGTAGTATTTCACGATTTTATGGGATTTGCACGCAACTCTATCCCGGACGGCAGATACAATTCACAACGAGCAGCCTTACCCGACCTCCACGCCGCCTTCCCCCAAGCTCCGACCGACCGTGTCTTGGTGTGTTTAATTGTGCTGGTCGAACCGCCGAGAGCTTCTCTGGCCGAGTGACGCTGCCCTGTGAAATTGTCTGAGCGCTCTGTCACGGGAAACAGTGCTTTCTCGTGTTCTCCGTCTGCTGCTCTCAGCCTGGTGAACTTTTGGGCTTGACGGCGTCGACGAGTTGGTGCCGGAACACAGTCTGGTTGCTTGTCCGTCAGGCGCTTACGATATGTGCTTCTTACTCATTTCAGCTTAGAGTAGCTGTGAGGCCTCGTACTCTCAACCTGCCACACTGTAGCAGGTGGTTGCAGCGTGCTCATTAATGTTCAGAGGCCCGAGGATGGTCTGTGTTGGAGGGCCACCGGTCTAGTGTTGCTCTATATCGAATGGAGCCTGCCCAACACAGAATAGGCTTTTCTATAGCATCAAGCGTTGCAAACTGGACTTCGAGCGACACGCCTCGGCCAACACGCCGCTGCTGTCCGTTGAGAGTTCATTCAGACTTGTCCGAACCAAGACCCAGACGAAGCTCCTTAGGGATGATGGCAACCTCGTATAGACGTTCGCATGCCTTTGACCTGCTACATAAAGACTCGTGTGTAGCAGTGACGTTCCATCCTAGGTCTTCTCCTTTTTCACAACATAAGCCTGAGTCAAAACAATCCTAGCTTTGTTAAGATTAAACCTGGACACACATCAAACATGGGTGCTTACACCACGGACTCCGATTCGGAGGATTTTTGCGAGAAGACGCAGACGACAACCGCCCCCAAGCAGTCATACTGCCCATTCGTCTTGATCAGGCAGTATCGCAAGGACCGTCAAGAGAAACGAGACCAGGAGCGCCGCACGAAAATTGAGAATATTCGTGAGCAGGTCAACAAGAGTCGCAAGAATCTCAAGAATAACCAGGAGACCCCTTGGCGGCGTGCGACCTCCACGGAACAGAGGCGTGAGGTCTTTGAACATGGAGTGGAAGCTGGCTCGTTCCGCATTTATGGCTGCACATACAAGAAAGGTCGGAAGTGCAAGCTTACGTGGACGTCGGTCAGAGGGGGGTATAGCTCGAGTGTGATACATGACCTGCGCACTGTACAGGGCCGCGATGAGGCTTTCAAATGGTGGGACGAGTCTCATGCACGTGAGAGCAAGGCCATCACTCGTTCCGTGTCAAGGTGCGATTCCTGGGAGGCGCGCTACCTCGAATACATCAAGAATCATGATTCCCATCTGCGGGACTTGCTTCTCAAGGGTGACCCAACCAGGTGGTCACGCGTCAAGGTCGAAATTCTTTTTGACTGATTGACATGGTCATCACTACCTAGGTACCTACCTAGGTAGGCAGGGCACAGCAGGATCTTGGCGAGGCCTGTTATTCGGGAGGGAGGAAGGAGCCAGCTTGGGGTTTTGGGCGTTGGCTGCGCGGCGTCCTTCGTCTGCCTTTCACCACCATCAAAAGAATGGATCGACTGTTACAAGGAGAATATGTTGAACATGAAGTATGTTAGATGCTGTTTCTCATAAAATCCATGAGATATTGTTGCTCAAAACGAGCTCCCTGACCCTTTCTTCACTATGGTCGACTCACACCGTAGCTTCCTCTTGTGTTTGGCGACCCGGACCATGTTACTGAAAGATGGCCTTCCTTCCTAGATTTTCGTAACTACCTAGGTAGGTACCTAGGTAGGTATCCAGACATTGATTTAGCTTCTCCAACTATCGTATGGATTTGCGATCCTACAGGGTTCTACTTTTTATCATCCGTCCGTATTGATCAAGTCACACTCCCTAGGCCTTGCAACGTGTCGCGACGCCCCCGTCAAGCAATTTTGAAGACCATCTTAAGATGCGCATCATTCCCCTTCCAGAGAAAACGGTCCGTCTTCTGGGCTCTGCGGCGGCCGTTTCCTCACCAGTTGACGTGATCAAAGAGCTCCTGGACAACGCTCTTGACGCGGAAGCCAACTCTGTCGAGATACTGGTTTCACCAAACCTTATTGACAGGATCCAGGTCAGGGACAATGGGCACGGAATTCAAGAAGAGGACTTTAAATCACTCGGCTGCGTGGGCCATACGAGTAAGCTGCACTCCTTCGAAGAGCTACAGGCCCTTGGGGTGAAGACGCTTGGTTTCCGGGGTCAGGCACTGGCCAGCACGAACTCTCTGGGCCGCATCACCGTCGTCACCAGGTGTATCGGAGACTCGACAGCTATGAAACTAACTATATGTGCCGGTGTTGGCGGAATTGAGAGCCAGCAGCGGGTCTCTGCCCCAGTTGGCACGACTGTGACCGTGACGGGGCTCTTCAAATTCATTCCGGTCAGGGAACAAGTTGCTGAGAAGGACGCACAAAAGAATCTCGCCAAAGTCAAGCATCTGTTTCAGGCTTATGCTCTGGCTAGGCCGCTGGTTCGCCTTTCCCTCAAAGTAGTGGGAGGAGATATCAAGCAGAATTGGTCTTACTCGCCACGCCCTGGGGCCGGCGTCAGAGAGGCTGTTGTTCAGGTATTCGGGGCTGGCGTCGTGGCGGAATGCGTCTTCAGAACAGAGTCCTACAAGGCAGATTCACCTACAGGGAAAGACGCCCACGAAAAGACACAGATTATCATCGAGGCAGTCTTACCCAAGCCAGATGCAGACCTGTCAAAGCTGTCCAAGGGTTCCTTCGTATCTGTCGACTCCCGTCCCGTTTCGACCTCGCACGGCACCATGAAGAAATCGATGTCAATACTCAAGGCGCACTTCAAGACATCTTTGGCTGTGGATGCTGAAGACAGAAGATTGACCGATCTATTCACCTGCGTCAACGTCAAGTGTTCCCCCGGTTCTTATGATCCCAATGTCGAGCCATCGAAGAGCCAAGTCCTTTTCGTGGACGAGTCTCAGCTAGTCGGCCTATTCGAGGGACTTTGCTCGAACACGTACCAGAATCTACGGGCTGTGGACGCTTTCGCAACGATCGAAAGAAGGCCACTTGCAAGAGATACTCAGACGCAAACACCGCCGCCAAGCAGTGATGGACCCCATCATTGCCACAAGCCATTCACATCGCACCTTGATGAGCTGCCCTACGTTGAGCACATTCGTCAGCCCAGAACACCTGAAGCACTTAGTCCAAATATTTCCCTGCGAGGTCCTTTGGATGTATGTGCCGTCCCGTCTCAGCAAGCGTGTCGTCTTCGAGCGCCAGAGACTCAGACGAAGGCCAGTCTTCAAACATTGCTGTTACATGAGTCCGGGAACAGTGTTCCGGATCCAACAAACCCATCTAATAGGCCAGGTCGCAAGAGGAAGTTCGTTGTGAACATGTCAACGGACCCGAACCTATCATCAGACGAAGAAGCCGAGACTAACGGCCTCGGTTCCTACGACTTGCAGGAGACGTTTCCATCGCACGAAGGGCCAAGCGACAGCCACAAAGAAGCCTTGAACCCCTGGACTATCGCAAGATTGACTGCACCTGCTCGGCAGATAACCGCTGATGATGTCACGGAAGCCAGCGCCGGTCGACATGTTGTGCGTACAGAAGAGCATTATGGATTTTCCGCACCTGTCGAACCATTCGAGGAGGAATTGCCGATCCTGCAGCCACAGATGAACGCACCCAGGGACCTGGATACACCTCGCGTGAAGAGATTTTCAACATCGCATATCGGTCATGTTCAAGCCCCCAATATCACATATGCTGGCCCGCCGAATTCTCGATATCCACAGACAAGTTCTCGAGGAACAATTCATGAGCCGCCTCAGTCACTTCCGCCCGCGGACCGATCGACCGAAAGACGCCAGCTGCCCGATTACAGGCCACACAGCGATACAGCCGCTGACAAAATCGATCGAGATGGGCTGTTTCAGACCACATTATCCTTTGACGAGTCACGAGAGTCCCAGCACGATGACCCAGCCCAGGCGCAGCTTCGCATCGACGACATCCCGACGCGAATGCGGCAAAACCCCCCATTCCGGAAACCTAGAAGAGTCAACAAACGTGATCAGGGTCACAGCGAGCGCGAAGATCATTCAATTGAACAGCGAAACGCCGAGAAGATCGCGAATGTCGCCATGACAGACCACCGCTTGGCGTCATCTACACTACCGGATCTCCGTCCTGTGGCCCTTGGAGACGGCCATGGCGCCCATCTGATGACTGAACAACAGGCAGCCGGGATCAGCACGTTTGATGGGGATTCTAGACAGTACCTGATACGAAGGCAGCGCTCAGAGGCGGCACATCGGAGAGAGGGCCGGCAGTCCATCAAAAGGACGAAAACTGACAAGTTGCCCCTAGAGACAATTCCTTCCGGCAATGGAACAGGACAGCTCGTATTGTACCTGAGCCACGAGACAGCCCAGACCTGCATTGCGTCGAAAAGAACGGCCTCTTTGACTGCTTACCGCGAGGGAGTGCGCTTCGGCGACACGATGAGCTTGGAGGATGTGAACGACATCCAGTCTAAACTGCAGACCGTGGTTGCAAGCTGGACAGAGAAGACCTTTGGGGAGAAAGCAGAGATCGAAATCGATCTACGGAAGGCAGTGAAGAGAACTGTGGCCGCTTAGCCGTTGTTGCTCCGACGTGTGAACATTTACATTTAGGGAGTTTGTTCAGATCATTTGCTGGGGAACATGAGAGCATGCTGCCAACTAAGCCCGGCCGGCATTCCATTGATATTCTGTGGCTAGATTGGGATGAGGCTATGACCCAAAGCACTTGCTATTGACTGTTGTTGATTTCGGGCTAATTGTGAGTGACCGAGGGCATCGGTGGATCGCCGAAACAGAGAGGCTCACTGTACACGGCCGATGCATGCACCTCATGGCCACACGGGATGTAGCTGCAAGCAATTGGTGGTTTCCAATGGCAGGATCTGATGATCGCCGTTGCGATCTGGAATCTGGGTGCATACCGCTTTTCTTGTGAGGCCACTTGACCAGTGTCGCTGCCAAGTTTTGTGCATTTGGTGCCTTTTTTGTGTTTTCGAGACAGTGCTATTGGACAGGAGAGAACCTCGTATTTGGAGCTGTGATGGCTGACAGCCCGGGACGAGGGTACGAGCGTACTGTGTAAAGATGGGCCGGAAGCGAGTGGAGGAGCGGGCACCCAGCCCAACTCTCGACGCCAGTGGGGATTTCTTTCCCTTTTTTTTTGTTTTGGCTGACGAAGTCAAAAGACAACCGATTGATCGGCAGCAAGCGAGGGGACACTCCCATTCTGGTCCCCAATGACAAGAGATTCCCACAGGCAGACAGGTTACCCTGCCCGCGAGTTGGCCGGGGACCCGCTCGCCCACACTGCCGCAACGGCCCTGAGACTTTCTGGTGGCCAGAGAGGAAAGGGATCGTCATGGTGCGGCCGTGCAGCCGGTGACGCAGGGCCACGGCTTGGCGCGCCCGGAGCGGTGGTGGATACCCATACCCTACGGATAATATGGGGCCACCCAGGGCAAGGGCGGGATTCCGACCGTCCGTATCTCTGTCGGCCTGTCTTGTATGCTCAAAATAGTAGTGCCTTGGTCGTGATGGGCGCCCGGAGATGACCCCTTCTCTCTTTGGGTGTTAGCCGTTAGCCGGCCCCGTTGTGATCGGGACGTCCAGCACGGGCATACCGCCAGACCGTAAGCACAGGTAACGCTGAGGACAGTGGCCTCGGTGACGGTGGGGGCGGGGGGAAGCCACCCGAGGAGCTGGTTCGTCCTTGTCTGTCGCTGAGGCCTCTGGGGCCGGGCTCTGTGGCGCACGGAGATTCCTTTGGCATGGTCAATTCTCGTTCCTGTTCGGCAATTGCATACTATGTACAGGTCTCACACGGTAGGCAGATTTCTAATGCGGGTGGTAAAAAATAAGTGCAACGTGGTAGCGGTAGTGCAACGGGGCGTGGTTCCGACCGACATACATGTGTGGTGACAATGGCGACTGTGGTGGTGACAAGATGCTGTGTTTCTTTCCCGGGCCAGGGTTGAAGTTGGCAGTGTGGGCCTGTCTATCTTGTTGTCAATCTTGTTGTCAATGGCAGTGCTGGGGCTTCGGTGACGGGGTCGTGGAACAGCCAGGGAAGCTCATTTCCCGCGCAAATAAGGTTGACTTCCGGGGCCCCCTGCAGTGACAGGGACAGTGGCAGCAGTGATTTGAAGACTCAAGGCATCGTATCGCGTGGGAGGAGTAGCCTCCTTGCCTCCCCAATACTGTGCAATAAATGCAGTGTATGGCGGGGATCGGGTGGTGGTGCTGCAAGACGGGGCACCATGGATTCCATCGTACCACAGTATGGGACATTTGCGCAGCGGATCCCAGGCTTACTGACCCGGCGCCATGTCATTCGCCATGTCGTTCCGTTCCTTGGGCGGCGCATTGCTGCTGCCTTGCCTTGCCCTGCCTCGCCCATGCCCTTGCCCCATGCTGTGTTATGATATGCCTCTGCTTCCGGATTGCAGGTATTGAGAGGCAGACAGACAGAGAGACAGACAGACGCCCGTGGGCCACAGGCAACAGCCTGGCCAAAACAAAAGCACAACAAAGCACACAGCACAACTCCTGTTGCCCGTCCGGGACGCCAAGCTCGATTCGATCCATTCAGGGCCACCCACACAGCTGCTACATGCAGGCAAGCTCCTGGCACGAGGCCCCGCCCCGTTCCCCTACTGCGCAGCCAGGCGGGCCCAAGACTGCAATCTGGAATCGTCCCAATTCTTCGACCGGGGGCGCAACACCACCACCGTCCCACCGTACAAGACGCACTCGGCCGCACACGCACACAGACACTCACACACACACACACACACCCCTTACCGCAGACACCATCTCCATCCAAAAACCCACCTGCCAACTCACCACGTCATTGCCCAGGCAGCCCTCGACAGGAACACACACCTACCTGGCTGAACGACGCCGTTTCAGACAAGCAGACAAGAAAAACATCCCACGCCTTTTCCTCCCCAATCGCCCTCCGAACCACTCTCGCCCCGCCAGACCCGCAACACAGCCAATCCGCCATCCGCCTATCCCGTCGCGTCCTTGTCTTGTGCTTGGAACCCCGAACCTCGACTGCCCTCCAGATACACCCACGCCGACCCCGTCCCGGCTCGACCAGTTTGCTGCAAACTGCGCCAGTTGCCTCTGCCAGCCCCAGCCCACGGCTCAAGCCCCAGCCCCGCGCTGCTCTCGCCCATCAGACACACGAGCCCAGTGCAACCGCTCTCCCAAGATGTTCATTATCTGACACGCCTGCTCGCTTTCCTCTTCGTCTCGTCGCGATCCCAGACTTCCGGCTCCTCCACTCGTTCCGCGCCAATCATGCGAGCACTCGATGCACCCTGCGACGATGACCCCACAAGGCAACGATCCTCCCAGCCGCGGCCGGCCACTCGCTGGACCGATGTAGATGCGGTTGTTTACCACAAGAGGAGGAAACCACATCCGAGGCCTGGATCCCATCTCCAAGATCCTGCGCCGATGCATGCCGGCCCAGGCAACACCACCACGGCGCGCTACCCCCGGCGACAATCGAGCAGGGTCACAAATCCCAGCTTGCGCTCCCTCGTGTTTCTGTCGCTCTTGTCGCAGCCTGCCGCTGCCGTTCTGCTGAACAAATTCGACAACTGTCTGGAGGAATCGATCAAGGACAGCAACCCTCGCGAGCTGCAATGGATTCCCTTGTACGTGGGCGCGACCTTCGATACCAAGGACAAGAGCCACAACCTCAGGGTCACCGTGTGGGGAAACGTCACGGGCGCCTACAACCCGACTATGAGCCCGCCATTACCTCCCTGGAATAGCGACGATTGGAACAATCCGAACATCACAAATGGCAAGATCGTGGCCAACCCTTTCCCGGACAGTGCGAACCCCCGCCTCACCACATTGCACAGCAAGATCAACGTCGTGACGTACGAGCCATACAGGGCCGATTTCGACTTCTGCAAGGACGCCTTGACCAACTCGTCGTGCCCCTTGGGCCCCGTCTTCAACAACGAAACGGCAATAGACCCTCTTACTGGTCTTGCTGGCCTGCCGTCCATCACCATGTCCAAGGACTTCTATTCGAGCTACGCTTTCACCTCGTTCTCGCCCACTTTCTCCATAATATATGGCGACGATGCGCGGACAACTGTTGGCTGCATCTCCGCGACCATAACTCCGGATCTCGGCAAGCTGACCTGGATGTTGAAGTTCCTACCCCTGATGGTCCTCCTCTCGGTCGGGTTTGCTACTGTCTTTGCCAGCATCTACAGCCCTTGGGGGACGACGGATATCTTTCACTGGAGCTCAAACTTTGGGAGACACAATGATCTCCTCCGCTTGGTGACCCCAGGATTCGGGGACTGCCTACAATACATCCAGTTCGTGGCTCTGACTGGCGGCCTCACCCTGAATTATCCCGGATTCTTCCAGCCCATCGTCAGTCAGGCGTCATGGTCTGCGCTCATGTTCAACGAGAGCTTTGTGAGCAAAGACCCAGGATGGCAGAGCTTGAGGGATGGCATTTACTTCACCAATGGTAGCTATGGCCTCCAGGATCTCGGCCAGCTGGTCGGCATGGGAAACGTGGAGGACATCTGGGCAGGCATGATGGTTTGGTTGATGGGCATCATAGCCGGCGTGGCAGTCATCACTCAGCTGGGGTTTGCCGTGCAATGGGTCTACCGCTCCGTCAAGAACGTATCTGAGGAAGACCTTCGCAACAAGAACCTCCCCTTCACCGTCGGCAACGTTGTCAGGATCCTCTTCAACTTCTTCCTGCTACCTCTCGTCGCATTGTCCATGTTTCAACTCGTGGTTGCCTCACAGTCACCGGCGTACACAGTAGCGCTCGCGGTCCTGACCATCGTCTTGCTGCTCGTCTTTGCCGGTTGGCTTCTGCGCCTCATCACGACGACCAAACCGCGGTCGGTCCTGTTCGACGATCTCCCCACCGTCCTTCTTTACGGACCTCTCTACAACACATACTCCGACGAAGCTGCGGCATTCGCACTGATCCCTGTCCTGTTGACGTTTATCAGAGGTGTCGGTATTGGTGCCGTACAACCTGCGGGCATTGCACAGATCATTATTTTGGCAATCTGCGAGGTTGTGCAGGTGATCACGCTGCATGCCTTCAAGCCATTTTCTTCACCGACGTCGATGAATGCGTACCACACTCTCTTCGCCGTGCTACGGTTTACAGTAATTCTTCTCATGACCGCATTCATCCCACAACTTGGGGTCACGGACGGTCCAAAGGGGTGGATAGGATACGTCATCCTCGTAATACACAGTGGAGTACTGGTTCTATGCTTTATGCTCAACGCTCTGCAGACCATCATCGAGGTTATTGCGAGGCTACTGGGTGCAGGGGGGGACGACAACAAGGGTCTGTCGCAAGGCCCGTTGTCGAGGATCTTTGGCGCGCGGCAGCTTTCCAGGCGAACCTCGAGACGTGGTGGTCCGTCCAGACAGAGTCAATTGTCCAGCACCGCAATGCTGAGTGCAAAAGACCCAGTCCATGCAGGATATATTGCACCAAGCGGCCGTCTTCGAAGCGAGTCAGCTGGTAGTGTCGGGGTGATGCTCAACGGCCGGCCTCAGAGAAGCTCATCCGCCCTTGACGCCACGAGCTTCGATAACTCGATGCCGCCTTCTCGTCTGGACGGCGGAACGTCCTTCGCGCCTTCGACACCTGGCGAAGCCAGCACATACTCTTTCCTCCCATCTCCCGTGGTTGGGCAGCAGACCCGACACTCGGTGCCGCCGAACGCACTGATCACAGACAGCCCGGGCGACACGTTTTACCGGCCCCCGAGAAAGCGAGGGAGGACACTTGAAAACCAATCATCACATTCAAGAGCCCGTGGATCTTGGGGGACTAGTGGCGAGTGGTCTCAAAGGCGGACGAGTCAAAGTGGTGTGGGCCCGCTCGACCCGGTCGATGCTGACCCTATCGACCGTGATCGTGACCGCGGGACACCTGCGACGTATTCTTTCCCCACGAGAACGGACTATGCCACTCGCGAAGTGGATTTCTATTACGGTGTGCAGCGGGGTTCGAGGCTTAATTCAGACGCGCCGCAGAGGAAACTGGGCACAGGGCCGGCAGACCCCACCGGAACGGTTGCCACCGCCACCGGCTGGTTCAAGAACATGTTCAGCGGCAAGAGAAAGGAGAAGGGCAAAGGCTTCGAGGTTGTGCGAAGCTCTCGGATGCCTCCGGCCATGCGGTCTGATCAAGCTTACGATGATACAGATCCTCCTGAAGGGACGCCGGTGGCGATGGGTGTGCTGAGGAAAGGGCCCATCGACTCGGATTCTGACGAGGGCGCGGTCAAGGACCGCGGCACCGCCGCACATGTTGATGAGCCTCCACCAAGCGCTCGTTTACTCAATGACGACGGTGTCAGCATAGAAGAAGACGTTGCTGATGAGCCGGGAGATTTGGTCACTTCTCGAAATGCACCAGTGCTGCCTGACGTGGATGCCGGTGGGAGTTTCCACGTACCAAGCCGCGCAGTCTCGAAAACCAGCCACATCTCGAGGCGGACCGATGCGGACGGAACGGTGCCTGATGTCCCCAGGAAAAGTTCCAGGCGCAAATCCGACCTGATAAGCGGGTTTAGCCTTGATCTGGAGTCGTCGCCAAACCGTGGACAACAGCAAGCAATGTCGTCACGCCTACCTTTCCATCCATTGTCGCGAGACGTGTCGGCAGATAAGAGGACGCCGTCGATATCGTCGCTTGGGGACGACGATGACACGCACCAACATTCCGGCGAGGATCGGCTGGGCACCGTGACCCATGGTAGTATCAACAGGTTCCCATCGGATTCAAGGGGCAAGATCGAGGGCAGCTCGGCTGAGTTTGTGGACCGGTAACAACGTGCGATGGAGATGCATACATTTTGAGAAACACATACTTATCACATCACACCTACATACATATCTACCACCCTGCGATTGCACACGCAGAACCAACCACGCCAGGGCTCGATCTGGCGCACATACATAATAAGCCATCGGACACATCTGTGCTTTTTGTTTTCTCCTTTTCTTTTCTTTTCTTTTCTTTTTCTTTTCTTGGATCACTGGCAAAGCGGGAGTTGGTTGGGTCGGGTCAAACACGGTCCGGGGCGCTGCTGCCAACATGCACGGAAGGCGGCAATAGACTGATTTTCTTGGGTAACCTCACTTATTTTGGGGGTTGGCTCGATTGCTAGCGATGGCGCATCAAAATTTAACCCTCGGGTGCTCTTCTCTTCCTGTGCTCTGTGTTGTACTTTTTGTTGGTGTGATGTCTCTAGCCAGCTTTTCTCTGTACGGTAATTTGGCGAGATACCTACCATGCGTGTACACTGGGATGATGGGTGCTGGTAGCAGCAAGAAGCCAAGGAAGATGTTTCCATCCACGCCTATCCCAATTTTTTGGTGACCTTTGTGATGCCAGACCGAACTCCATGAGTAAAGCCTTCGTCTGGGAATCATCTACGCAGGGTATCAATGTCTGTCACAGTGGCTGCTCGGGTATAGACATACACGTGCATAGTTGTACGGGAGAGGTGAGATTCGAAGCTGAAAATACATGATACCGAGGACATCTGATTCATGTATATTCCTCACTGACATTCCACGACCAGAAACATGGATAGGTAGTGTATAGACTGGAAATTCAGGTTGTTGGAAGACAGTAGTACAGCTTGACACATAATTCAGTCTACCTTTGGTGGTGTGAAAGTGGTTGGTTATTAAAATTTAGGTGCCTACGTATGCTTGATTCAGCGGGGAGAAGAGGTCAAGCATCCAGTCATTAATACCTAGGTAATAAATAGCCTGTGGGGACTTGAGGATGACATGGAGTCCCTAGCGTCCGCATCAAGATCAACCTCACACGGCCGCAGGCCCGTCACAATTCCCGCGCCTCTCTTCCATCCTACAATCTGGCCACTGCGACTTTGTACGTACTCAACGGAGGTTGTGCTGGTGGTCGGTCTACTTCTAATTTCTGCTGCCGAAGGCTGCGGCTACCGGAACCGCCTCAGCCCGGTCCGAATAGTCTCTCGCACACACACGTTCATTCATCCATCCCCCCATCCAATTTTCTGCAGTGCCAAGCCTGCGAGCGGAACGCACCCGTGAGAGATATAATACACCCACGTTCCTGGCCACTTTTGATCGAGGATTTCCTCACAGGAGAAGAAGGGTTTGCCGCATATTCTTCGCCTTGTAATGTGTACCTGAAGCAGGCGGCAACTGTACTTCCAGACTACGGGGGGCTAGGCTGGCCGTAGTCACAAGAGGCCACCGCGGTCTTCGTACACTTTAATCCAGCTCCAGAATTGTGTCCGCGGGACCAGGCTAATGGCATCTAGTGTCACCTGGCATATTTGTATCTTCCTCCAGCTGGCGGCGCGGCGTGCGGACTTGGGGAGGCCAGGGGCCAGTCTATGAGGACCTAGATAGATCGGTGGCTCACTACCTCGGGGACCAGCCCACACTGAGGGAGGGAGTTTGTGTCTGTGAGTTTGTAATTTCTATATTCTGGGCTCTTCTTTCGTCTCCCTCTCCCACACAGCCAGCCCATCTCGCTGTGAATCCGTCCATCTCGAAACAGACATCGCGACAAATATCCGGGTCGCACCTCTATCCACCACAAAACACACATCCAAACCAGAATACCCTTCTACTCCCACTCAAGGAGCCACAAGATGAAGACACCCGTGCTCATTGTCGTGTGCGCCTCAGCGGCGGTGCTCTGCACCCTTCCAGCCCTCTACATCTTCCTCGCATACCACACGCGCAAGGAGCGCAAGGGTTGGGTGGTCGACTACGACGAGGCCGTCAAAAGACTCGAGGCCGAGCAACAGCGCAACCCGCGGCCCAGGAGCCCCGCCATCCCCGGCGGCACAGACTCCTCAGCGGAACGGGGTAGGACTCTCGCGCGCGAGCCGGCACTCCCCGCCCCCGTGCACGACCCACGAGCGGCGCCTCCACGGCCCCTCAGGAGGAAGGGTCCTCTGCGACCCACCACGCCGCGCTCGAGGACGACGGCGACGACGAGCACGGGTAGCACTGGTGGCCGTCGCCGCAGCAGCGGCTCCTCCGAGAGGCGGAGAGGCGGAGACGGACAGACAGCCACCCAGATACCGAACCTCGAGTCCAACTGGATCTAGATCAGGAGTATCGCGGGCCTGGCTCGGCATGGCCCCTTCTGGCGAGAAGGAGGTGCCCCGCCCAGCCGCCCGAGTGCAAGCCGGGACACCAGACCACCGCGGCGACAACAGGTTGGCGCGGCAGCTGTTGAAGCCGAGGCGGCGCGCGCAGATCGAGGTGTGGTTGGATGAGACCGTGAGCGAGCAGGAGACGCAATGCTGCACAGCCGGGAGGGAGTTTGGCCACCGCTCGGACTCGCTCATGCCACAGCCCGCGGGTCAGCCCGGCGAGAGCCCCCGCTCGACTCCTGTGATAGAAGGCATCTGCCCCGTTTGCGGTCGGTCCTCGGGGGGCGAGGGAGGGCCGCCGCCACGACTGGCGGAGGGAAAAGTTAAGCATATGCTCCGCGGGATCATGGGGGCCATGGGCCAATTCAGGGCCAGGGATGCCGGCAAGGGTGGCAAGGGTGGCGGCGGCGGCAGCGACGAAGACGAAGACGACAAAAAGGTGCCCGGCCGAGCGGTGACGGCCATGTTCCTTGCCGAGGCCAGCGGCGACGACGACGACGACGACGGCTCCGTGGCCACCGTGTTTAGTTCGAGTGGCCGATTCGGCGGGGGGGAGGGCAAGGCGCTTGAGGAGCGGCTGGCGCGCTTGATGAGGGCCCAGAAGTTGCTAGAGAAAAGCCAAGGCAGGCGGGGATGAGGCCTGTTGCCCACGGATGTAATGTCGCGAACAATATAGCTTCTTTTTCATGGAACCGATGACTGCGGCCCTATAATTGTCGTGTGGTGGTCGCCCCCTCCATCACCATCCGATCCCGTACAATAATGATTGCCGCCAAGCGTGGCGACGCTGAATCTGAGCGCGCACAGTGCCCAGGGCGGTAAACTCGTTCTGCCGAAATCAATCTCGTGATTCTGGCTCTGCCCAAATCGGCCGAGGCATCAGCAGTTCGGTGTCTCAGCATCTCAAGGGCTTGGGAGATGGGAACTTGCCAGTGCCAGCAACGCGTGCCTTGCTGGGCTCTTTGCAGCCCGGACCTTACTCTCACCTAACGTCGTCTGCCTTGTGGTCGAGCTGTAGCCTGATCCAGTATCGTGAAAACATGGGGATGTCGCCATCATTCGGCAATTGACTGGAGCGGCGGGTTGACTTGATGACTGTTTTGATTTTTTGGGGGGTAATGGGGGGGGCTTTACATCTGTCTGTGGACCGATAAACATTGGGGGTAATTCCGAGACGACCTCTCTCTCTCTCAGCATGAAATAAGGCAAATGACGCATACAGGCGGAGATAAGGAAATCAACATAATCCATGAAAATCCCGGGTTGCGACTCTCTGAAAAGGGAGAAAACACCCAAAGGGAAGAGCGAGGAACAGCCATGTTGCTAGAACACAACGCCGAGCCCGTCAAGTGGTCAACCTCCCCCACGGGAGCCAGAACCAGAGGACCCAGAGTCCATGTCCTGCGTTCTCGCTACCCATCGCAACCAACTCCCAGGAAGAGTGACCCCGTTCGTGACCAATGCCATAAATCACATCCTCTCCGCCGTCCAGACTCCGCTTAGAGGGCGCCTTCCACCATCCTCCCGGCACGGACGCTCAGCTTCGGCAGGGAACATCACTTTTCGACTTTCAGCAGGCGCACAAGGGAATCGTGAGCGCCCGTTTAGGACTCGGGTGCGGGCTCCTCGGCCTTGGCCTCGGTCTTCTCCTCTGTGGGCTTCTCCTCCTTGGCCCCCTCGGTGGTGCCCGCGGCCTCGGCCTCGCCGTTGTCGGACGAGGTCCACAGGGTGAGGTTGTCCCGGAGAAGCTGCATGATAAGGGTGCTGTCCCGGTAGGACTCCTCGGACAGCGAGTCAAGCTCGGCAATGGCATCGTCGAATGCCTGCTTGGCGAGGTGGCAGGCACGGTCTGGGGAGTTCAGGATCTCGTAGTAGAACACAGAGAAGTTGAGGGCCAGTCCCAGGCGGATGGGGTGAGTGGGGGTCAGCTCGGTCTGGGCAACGTCGGTGGCGTTCTGCGGGCAGGGGTGTCAGTAGACCACGCATCTTTCGTCTCTCACGCGCAAATGAGCTCCCTCACCTTGTAGGCCTCGTGGGCAGCAGTGGCGGCGGTCTTGCGCTTCTCGCCGGAGGCGAACTCGGCAAGGTAACGGTGGTAGTCACCCTTCCTGTTTGCGGGGGGCCCGGGAGTCAGATACGGCCACGCTCAATGACGAGTCGGTCGGGGGCTTATCACTTACATCTTGTGGTAGAAGACCTTGGACTCGCCGGAGGCGGCGTTGGGGATAAGAGAGTCGTCCAGGACATCAAGGACATCCTGGCAGACCTTCTCGAGCTCCAGCTCGATCTTGGAACGGTACTCCTTGATGGTGGGGACGTGCTTCTCGGAGCCCTTGGACTCCTCCTTCTGCTCGATGGAGGAGATGATGCGCCAGGAGGCACGTCGGGTACCAACGACGTTCTTGTAGGCGACGGACAGCAGGTTGCGCTCGTCGACGGTCAGCTCACCGCCGAGCTTGGCGACCTCCTTCATGTAGGAGACCATCTCATCGTAACGCTCGGCCTGCTCGCACAGTCGGGCGAGGAAAGTCTTGCTGTTTGGGGATTCGGTCAGTTTTCCTTGTGGCGCGGACTTGGGCAGACATCAACCGAGTCGGGAAAAAACACACCTCTCACGCTAGAGATTGGGAGCCACGAGTTAGCGGTCTGCATGATGAGGACGAGGTAGGGAACGGAGACAAGCTCAAGATGTTCACAGATGGCAGCGGGCACAGAAGACGGGTGACGGGGAGCTTATCCCAGGCGGCAAGGCAAAGGCAAAGGAGCTGGGCGGGAGAGGCGGTTTGAAGAGCAAAGGGGGGAGAGTGGGGGTGGGCTTGGTTGCGGGTGCAGCAAGACCAGTCTGGCTACACGTACCTCGTTCGCCATGTTGTCGGATTTGGTTGACGGAAAGGATGAAGAGAGAGGGTTTAAAGAGAAGAAAGTCTGGTGGTGTGGAAAGGAAGAGGGAAGGTGGTTGGGACTGCTGGGTTGCAGGTCGAGAAGGCTGTTTACAAGTTGTCGTCGGTCGGTGATGTTGTTGTGTTGTGGGCAAAGTCGGTGTCTTGGGGTTGGGGGGCGAAAGGTGGGAAGAAAAAGCGGCAAGCCAGCAGGCCCAGGTAGGTTAGGTAGGTAGGCAGGGTAAGGCAGGCAGGCACGTCTGGGTGTGTCCTCCCCCCCCATCCCCCCCCCTCTGGTCTGGCCTGTCTGTCCTGTAATGGTCCTTGCTAGGTGGCAGTTCTGGCTGGCGCTCTCTGCTCCCCCCTCTGGATACTGGGTCTGGGTCTGGGTCAGGCCGGCAGGGCTGCGCGCGGGTAGGGCCACGCCCAATGGCAGGGCTCGCCGGCCAATGTACCCAGCAAAATCAGCCTTAGCCCAGGAGGGAGGCAGCGCAAAATTGATAGCGGGGAACATCCCAAAATTGAGCCACTCCACTGCAACCCGGTCTGGGTACACGCACACATGCCCTCGTCTCGTCCTCGCCATCTCTCACAGTCACCCTCCACCCTCACTTGCCCCAGCCTGGCTGGCATCCGGCCAACTGGCAGCACGCACGCACCCAGGTGTCGGGCTCCCTTTCCCAGCAGATGCCTGCTTGCCTGCTTGCCCTGCTTGCCCTGCTGGCCGGCTGGCTGGATGCCCAAGTGTGCGCTGTTACACCACATGATCTCTTCGGGTGGCCCACTGTCTACCACGCTTCTTCTCGAGACTACCTACGGACACCCAGGTATCTACTTACCTGGGCAGTGTGAAGGCACTAGGTATCTGGCAGCTATGAACAAGCTTGGAATAAGGCATTCTGACTCGGCAGGAGCCTGACGAGGCACGTCCGTCCTAGCCGAGCCTCGTCCTACCAGCCGTATATTATCTACATTACATTACATACATGACATTGCAGGCCTGTCGTGCTGTACAGATTACAGGTCTGTGTACGTGCCATGTGTGTCCCCGTGCTGTTGCTGTACAGTACCATGTGGCCGGTGCTGCTGTCGTTGACCACCGAGGCGTGGGAGCTATGCCCTGTCTTTTCGATCCCTCGTTTCCTCGTCCCATCCCAGCTGCCCAGTCTGCCCAGGTACCTAGGTCCCTAGGTACACGTGTAGTTAGTAGTACCTGGTGTACAACGTCGTAGCTGGCTTGCAATCGGTACCCAGCTCAGCTGGCTCTTGACCGTCTTGTGATCGACCTTGTCCATCCATCCAGTGGGCTCGTCCTCCCCGATCGGATTCTCCCTCTCTCCCCCCTGAGATGCCCCTTATAAATTGAAATCACGATAATTTGCCAGCAACCTCGTCACATTCCGCGCCCTAGGATTGTTTTTCATTTTAGTGAGCAATCCTGTCCCGTCCCGAGATAAGCTGCCCGAGAATGGCCTGCCCGCACGTGTGCGTGACAGTTTTATTGGGCTGGACCCTGGGCAACTCAAAACCTTGACCATTGAATTGCGGGCGAACCCAAGAGAACCGCCAGGAATGGAGGGGCCGGGCCTGAGGGGACGGGGCAGGAGGGGGGGTGGATGGGGGTGGGCGTCAAGAGTCAGGCAGGGGCCGTGTCTTGGGCGCACGCAGCCTCTGCCCTGCGAGCTGCAGCATGACGACAGACGACAGTCGCACAAGTAGCTTGTCTGAGCGCCGTCGAAACCCCTAGTTCCCCTTCCATGCGTCTCGGCCTGCTTCACCAGCCTTTTCACCGCAGCCCGGGCTGGGGAGTCCGTCCGTCGACACACGGTATCTACGGATAAACAGCTTTCTGCCTGAGAGACCAAAGTCACAAAGCCGAGCTGTGAACGAACAGACCTTCTCAAACAGCAAGGGCACCTGGCCAGGCACCTGGCCATATATGCCCCTCCCGAGCCTTGCCCCCCTCGGCATCCGGGTGACATCTGGCATCAGCAAAATGCTTGACCCGGCCAGCAATGTCAGGCTCATCGTCATGCGTCCGGAACCCGACGGGCTGAGCCGCGACACCCGTGGCCCCGGGGTCTTCCTTGGTGGCGTCTCGAACCTCGGAACGCCGAGCTGCGGATCGCCAATGGCAGCTAAGATGGGACCATGACATGCACCCAGGCGCTTCTACGGCCTCCCGGGGCTCACGTACCGCAGTCACTGTCACTTCCATCGGCCAGGTGTTTCTCGTGAATGTGTGAGCAATTGGTGGTGGGCTGAAGCCGTGCTCAGGTGTGGGCAAGTCTTTTACTAGGCACTCTGGCCAGCCCATACCCACCACCCACGAGTAAGTGCCACAACTCTATGCATCATACACAGCCTGGACACCACATGGTTCCGGTACTTTATCTACACAGTAAAGAACCTGGGAGCGAGAGGTGCAATGACAAGGCGGTGAAACACGTGCTGCCGAAATCTAGGCAGGTCAAATGAAACACGGGCATCCTACAGGATATCCTCCATAGGAAGACCTCCTGTGGGGACCCCCAAAAGCCACTTCCTACGCTCGTTCAGGAACGGGCGTGATTTTTAATAGACGTAAATTCTCACGCTATCGAGTCCAAACTATAGTTCATCTGGAGGTGAACTGACATTATACGGCGGCCGGCCCCAGTCGAAAGGGTCACCGCCGGGGACACAAAGACCAAGTCTCCAGAAATAGTCCCGATGGGCAACAAGTAGCTGCCAGAGCTTCAACCTCGATGGGACGCCAGTGAGCATGTCCAGCCTGCCCTCACCTCGTTTCTCTACACGGGGCACCTCATTCACAGCACCCGCTACCCGTGCCAGCACAGCGTTGTCACCACCTGCGATGCAAGCCGGGTCCTCGCCGCCGCGGCACAGCCTCAGATCCTCCACCGCAGGCGAGAGTTCAGACTTGGTGATATGGACCTCCCCAGCGTGCGGCCTGTACCCCCATTCGCTCAGCGGGAGCAGCGGCACCGGGTCGTCAACGTGCGTCACCCGCCGGTACACCCTCCGTTCCAGGTCAGGGTCGTAACCGTCGAGGCCGCCGAGATCAAAAACGCGGTCGACATAATCCACGAAGCCGGCGTTGCCGGTCTGCGGCTCCCCGAACGTCGTGACCACCAGGTCATCCCAGCCCAGCGCGGTCTTCAGCTCCAGGGCCGCCAGGAGCGCGACGGCACCTCCGAGGCTGTGGCCGACGAGGTGGATGGGGTAGTACGGGTGCCTGGACCGTACGTTTTTAAGCACCGGAAGCACCAGTTTGCGCGCCTGCGTCCACGATTCCAGGAAGCCCATATGAACGGTGCAGTTGTCGCACCTGCTGCCGGTCTCGTTCCTCCTCCCTCCGTCATCGGGATCCGGGTACGGCACGTACTCCTGGGGTACCGTGCTCAGGTCGATGACGGTGTTTGTGATGCTGTACGTCCCGCGGAAGGCCACGACGATGGCGCCCTCTTCTACTTGTTCTTTCTTCTCTCCAGGACCGGTGCTGTCTCCGTGATACTGCTTGGGGCCAGGCCCATGGTCCACGGCCACGTACCCGCAGCTGTCGCTCATGAGGACCCCGGTGTTCCAAGTCGACGCGAGCCGCAGCTCGGGGAACTCGTTGCAGCGCGAGGCGCACGAAAAGGGCGGGGAGATCCCCGTTGTCCCGACGCAGTATGTGATATCGACCAGGCGGGCGAGGCGCTCGAGCGAGGCGAAGAAGCCGGTGGAGACGCTACTGGCCCCTGCGTACCCATCGTCGCTCGAAGGGGAAGAGATTGGTCGCTGCTGGGGCTCTGGGTGGGGTTCGGCGGCGGACGAGCCGGCGAGGCTGGCCGGGTCGAATGCGAGGAAGGTAATTAGAGAGGTAAGGAGTTGCATCTTGTGATGGCGCTCTAGCCCAGTCTTGTGATTGTGGGCTTGCGGTCAGGTATTGGTCGGTCGAGCTCTACCGAAGTCTTCGACTTGGCAGATGTGTTTCCCTTACATCTTCAGGTATAAAATTTGGCAAGGGGGGGCAGAGAACTAAAGGAATGTATATTATATACTAGGAACGTGGTGTTCGTGACATTGGTAACAGGAATGGAAGACCTGGGAGGTCATCATGAGGAGAACCAGCGCGGTGTTGGTAGCATCAAGTGACCACATGACGTCGAGCGGCTGCAGCTGCGGCTGCTTGGGTTGTCTCGGAGGTCAAAAGTTCGGGGGTTAGGGGAAACGTGGTGTGGGCCAGAATCGCAAATTGAGACCCAACACATTGAGGCTATGGAATCTATGCGTCTAATCAAGGGGATTTTCCTAGGTCGGGCAACACTACAATAAAGTGTGCTTCAAATCCCCGGGCGGCGGCGTCGGAACATTTGAAGCCAGAGGGTACCTATTGTGCAGCCCAGCACAGCCTATTTTCCGACTGACGCCTTGTAACATTGCTTGCCAACAGCCTTGGATATCATACACCACACCCATTAAAGCGATGCTTGTTTCTTCTTTCAAATATTGTGCAACGGTTTATAAGGGCGTGTCAGAAACCTCAAGCCCGCCGGATCAGACGGGTAGGTCCCGGCCCACCACCTCCTCCGGGCTTTAAAGGCTCGATGCTGGTGAACTGGCCCTGGTATGTCGTTGAGTTGCTCACACACTCGACGCCTCCTCGATTGGCGGCATCCTTGCAGGTTAGACTGGGAATCCACGAACCAGAGGTATCGTATTGCACCCTGCATTCCTGTCAGAGGGGGCTAATTGTGGTGGGCGCACATCAAACTCACGAGCTGGTGGGGCATGCCAACTCAACCACGGTCAATTTGTTGCTCTGCCAGATAAAGTTGATCGCGGAGTTGTCACATGCATATCTAGAAGCGCCGCCTTCAGCGCCGAGATCTGCCGAGGTAGAATTCAGGTTGCAGGTGGTGGTGATATCCGTATCGGAATCGACATCTAATCTTTGGTCAATGACCTGCAACATCACCGGATATGGTGATAACCTCATAGTTCCCCAGATAGGAAGGAGCGCCAAGCACCATTACGTTGTCAAGTTGTGTGCGGAACATACAGCCAAAATTGACCTCAGTCTTGTTTGATGCGGTTGGAGTGAAAGTAGTGAAGTCCTGGATAGTGAAATATGCAGGGTATTCACAGTCCTGTGCCAGGTTCTCCTTTGGGATGGCGTTGGCGTAGAACAAACCAGCGAGGTTCTTTGTGGCCGCCGCCAGTGGGGCGAGGCAAGCGAGGGCCGCGGATCTCATCCGGATAGATCTTGTGGGGTTTGTCTAAAGGAGTTTATCCTAAGAGAGGTGATATGGGGAGTGAATCGAGCGGGAAGTGGTTCAAAAAGCGAGCGAAAGGAAGCGGGAGATGTTGACCCACGATGTGTACTGTAGACGTTTGTGTGGAAAGACAGTACGAGACCAGCCAGCCAAGACAAGAAGGACTGGGGAAACGACAAACAGAAGCTGATGCAGGTGCATCTGCCACTCCTGGATGAACCGTACCTAGGTACCTAGGTAGGTAGGTACCGTATTTGGCAGTGGCAATGGTACCTTGCGGATCTCCATTGCCGACCCTGCAGATCCCAAGCGGGTTGGGCGGCCAGGCTGCCAGGACATGTACTGCAATCATGCATGTTAAAAGGCACGAGGCAGGCGAGGCTAGAGCCTCCGGGATGTAAGGTATTCCAAGGGGCAATGACGAGAGACAACTTGCGGGAGTGTGGCACCAGACAAGGTCATGAGTATTGTATTTCGAGGCTCCTCCATTCCCAGGGGCTTCTTCTTTTCATAACCTGATGACGGTGCTTGCCTGGATGCATGTGGGCACGACTGTCATGGATGCCGTTCACGAATCCGAGTCTCGTAAACACGAGGTGGAAGGCGGCAGGTGATATGTTGGTACAGGATACTGCCTGACTGCACGGCATCAATTTGTGTCCCCATCCGTATCCTGTGGTGTAATAAGGGGTCAACTGGTAACCGCCCGCCGTGGTGAAGCTGCCAGGCTGCGCACTGCCACCCGCACAAAGGTCTAGGGTCAGCGCAGCTATAGGCCGCGGTACCAGTTGTCGATCGAAATCTTAACAGGGCAGATTTATGCGAGTCAAGCCCAATGTGTGAAACTTATGTAAAGTCCAATGCCTTTCTGTCCATTAGCCCAACCGCAAACAGATTGCCACTCGACGGTGGACTCGTCACATAGATGGAACATATGCCCTCATCCATGAATACTGGACTCGGTGCAGCGCTGCGCATCTCGTTTACCTAGAAATCCTTCTTGCCATGTGGCTTTGCCACGATAGAATGGAGCCAAGCCGTTCTACTCTGCTCTGCTCTGGTCTCCGCTATCCCGCAAAAAGTTTAAAGATTACAACAAAAAAAGGGTCTTGTCGTAGGAACTTCCCTTGCCGAACTTGAGACTGTAACACCAAGGCTGCCAGTGACCAGCGTCCAGATGGTTCCGGCAGAATGAATGATGAGGCTGCGTAGCGGACACCAGCCCAAACTTCATGCATGCAGAGGGGTTAGGGTTATTGATTGGGGGCAGAGGGGGGTACGTTCCTGGGGAGGGCAAGGACGACCTGCTCTTCCAGTCATTGGTCGCTCTGTCCCCACAATTCGGGCAATCCACCTTCCGGCCTAGCGTCCGCAACCCACACCTCTCCCACTGGTCTAAAACTTTTTGCGTGCAGTAACATTTCCTCCTGCCGGACGACTTCTCACCACTCCTTCATCGACCAACCATCCCACAGCCATCCCGTCAAAATGGCCAAGGAAGCAACCGCCCGCTCGGGCCTGATTGTCGGCATCAACAAGGGCCACGTACGTTGAACCAGCCCAGTCTCACCTCGTGGAGGATCTCTGCGCTGCCCTCCTCTTCGCGAGGCAGTTCGTGGATGATGGACTTTGAAGCTGATTATCGGTCTGTTCCCAACATGTAGAAAACCACCCCTCGCGTCGTCAAGCCCCGTGTCTCCCGCACCAAGGGCCACCTGAGCAAGCGCACCGCTTTCGTCCGCGACATCGTCAAGGAGGTCGCCGGGTAAGTGCTGTTCCCTGATCCGCTCCCCGACTCGACAAGTGGCCGCCCCCAATGGCGGACCGACGGCCATCTTGATGGCACACATTTCATCCAAAAAGCATTCTCACTGACATTTCGCCTTGATAGTCTCGCTCCCTATGAGAAGCGTGTGATCGAGTTGCTCCGCAACTCCCGGGACAAGCGTGCCCGTAAGCTCGCCAAGAAGAGGGTACGTCTCGAACCGCAACAAGAGCCCTGTCGTCCACGAAAGCAGAAGCATTAACATCTTTTACAGCTCGGCACCTTCGGTCGTGCTAAGAAGAAGGTCGATGAGCTCCAGCGTGTCATCGCTGAGTCCCGTCGTGCCGGCCACTAAACGTAACCTCGAACGTCAACTCTAGACTAGGAGCGACATGGATTAGGATCACGTTTCGGCGTTATTCGATGGGGGGGCATTTCATGGACCAAAACCCGGTGGAGGGACTGAGGGAATAGGCATAGCCTCCGCATGTCGTGAGAGCTGCCTGGCGTCAAAAGAAACGTCACGTCGATACCAAATGATGACACTTTGAAGCACCAATATTCATGATCTTCCTATCTGGTGGTGTTACAATCTCAGCACCGCAATGCCCACTTGATCTGCTTAATCGCAGAGGCGCGAAAGATGAGCTGGGATCCTGATCCGATGTGTCTCTATGTCTCTATGTTGAACTCTCAGCTCCCATCAGCTTCTCATGTAAATCAGACAAGCCTAGCCACCCGTACAACAGGGCGCAAGGAACCAAGAAGGTAACTATTCTGCCAATGACAAGTGATCATCGAGGTCTATTTCTCTTCCGCTAAAATTACAGTACGCATCTACTGCTGACGCTAAAAAGCCCGTTGGAAGGACTGACATAAGCTTCGGTGTACCAGGCGCCACCTGTTTCTCCTTACAAGCCGTTGACAGTCTGCAGAAAACACCGTAGAGCGTACCTAGGTAATAAAAGGTGTGTATGCCAGATCCTTGCTTGTCTCCAAGGTCATCGGTCCCCGGTGACCTGAATCTATGGCAGACGCCTGTGCCTGTCTGTTGGAGGGGACCAAGATGTCGAACAGCGGCGGACGTGCGCAAATCTCAAGGCAGTGCTACACCAATGCCAACCCTATCGTGCTTTGAATCTCGAAACACCGAACGCCTTCGCTCTTGCAACAAGGAATTGTGTTCCTCGCTAAAATAGACGTCTATTTCTTGGACAAGCCCTTGAGCCACTTCGGCATCTTGCGAGCGCCGCCGCCGTCGTTGTTTTGCGACCGGGGTGGAGCAACTGGAGCTGGTGTGACGCTACTCTCGCCTTCTTCCTCCTCGGGAGCCTGTGGAAGCTCGATATTCCTTGCTTGACTGGCGAAACTGTCCTTCAAGAACGGTGCTTTCTTGATAGTATGAGATACCTTGTCCTCCCAGACGAGGTTCACAAGAACGCGCCCTGACATTTTGTAGCCTCGGACAAGGTTATGCTTGGTTCCGTCTTCATCCTTGATGAGATTCAGAGGAGATGGAACCCCAGGTAGCACCAATTTGAACGGGGCGGCATCATTCGCCATGACCCCTCGGACGGCCTTGTAAATAGTCGCACCCGTGTCCATGGGCCCAAAGGTCCATTGCGCCGATGTCTCGTCCGGGAATCGCACTTTCACGTCAATTTTCTTGACGGCTGCAGCCTTGGCCTCCGCAGCCTGGGCGTCTGCGGCAAGCTCCGCATCAGACTTGAGCCGCTTGTTGACGGCGTTCGCCTGGAGGTTATGCTGGTGTGCCTGCGCGTGTGCTATCGTTGGAGTGTAGACAGAATCAGGGACATTGACCGAGGCAGCGACTGGCGTGGAGTTTGTCGGCGCAGAAAAGATGCTGACAGGCTCGAGGCTTGAAACGCTCGTACCAGGATCACGAGCCTCGTCGCCAATCGCCCGAGGCTGTGGGTTTCCGCTATCGACTTCCATAGCGTCGCTCTGCTGCTGCCCATCAATCGGCAATTCCCTCGCGTCTGCGGGCGCTGCTCCGGATTGAGCTGATTCCACCACTTGTGAACCACCAGCGACTCCCGCTCCTGTTTCAGCAACCAAGGGAGCCTGGAGGGTGGTACTATCGACGCTCTCTGGGTTGGGTGTGTCCAGCAGCGAATCAGTCTTGGCTGACGACGCACCCGCCACCGTACTCTGTTCCTTTGCCTCTGCCGTTTCCTCCTCTTTGAAGAATTGAGAGATCTCCTGCATTGCGTCGTTGAGTGTCTTTTCCGTGGGCGTGAAGGACAACTGGATCCTATGGCTCCCAGCGGTCAAGCCCAGTTGTGAAAGAGTCTTTTGAAACTCTGCAAGGGATGAGATTTCCCGACTCATAATTCGAAGTGACGGCATCTCATAATATAATTGTCCACTTCCAGCCTGGGTACCGTTGCTTGTCTGAGGTATACCCCGGTCAGTGAAGTTGAATACCTGGCCTGACTGCGACCCTTTGGATTCAAACTGCCGGAGCATCTTCCATAGCGTGGTATCACTTCTGAACTTCTCCGTCAAGCGTCCGTTGACCACCGACATGGATTCAGGTTCCGGAAGCTGGAGGGCGATATTCACCACGGAGGTCGTCTTGGATCTTGCTACAAGCTCAAGTTTGGCCCCTGGTGTCAGGCCAGTAACGCGAAACGTATCTTTGAGGTTGATCAACCTCTTCTGGTGCCTGCCATACCCGTCAGTCCACCTGGACGATATCGACACACACTACAGGGGCCGGACTGGTGAGGCGAGGGGAAGCCACTTACTTGAGAGACCACTTGTCCGCCTGCAGGTTCAGCTTCTTGCATGCCTCCTCAAGAACATGGAACATGTGAGTTGCAGGATTGACCTTGACGTTGACCCTCTTAACGTCGGGTGAAACAACAACCACATGAGAAGACATCCTGGTTAATGTGTGAATAAATGGGTCCAGCAGTTGATACGCTTTGTATAAGGTCTTGAAAAGATGCCGGGTTCAGAGTCCGAGGAGGCCCCGGAACGCTTTGATGCGACGCGTCGCTGTCCTCTTCTAGATATAACCACAAGTGACTAGCCGAGGAATGCAATATGAAGATGCTCGAGAACAGCGAGAACAGCGAGAACAGCGAGAACAGCGAGAACAGCGTTAGACTTTATGAGCGAGCCCGGGCCTTCCTGATTGACACTTCACAGTGTAAAGGTTGTGGCGAGGCCCAAGGTGCAACGTACCTAGGTAGTCAAGGCAGGAGCCGCCCCTCCAAGCAGACAGCGGTGCAGGAACTATCGGTTACTTGGTAGTCTGAGGCAGGGATTCGGAGGCTTGACCGAAGAAGAGAAAGAACAGGCGCGGTTTACGTTAAAAGGAGTGTTACAAACTGGACAGTACGGAGTGAGGTGGTGGCAAGCAGCTTGTCGAGCAATCCGAACTGTCTGCGGCTTATGAAGCAGTCAGGCAGCCTTGTGAGATCGTCTCTGGGTACCTGCGGCCGACAACTAGTCCCCTGGAGCTGCCCAAAGGAAGTCACCAGAAGAGCTACATGCGTGCCAAAGCGATTGTGGCCAATCAGCGTGCGCCTCCCACCTGGCAGGCAGGGGGGTACCTACGTATCCCCCCTGCCACACGGGGGCCGACCTTACGCAGCTCACAGGTTGCCTTGAAGCTCCCCCAGGCCTCGCCCGGACCGCATCAGCTGTATCAAGACGCCAACTTCAACTCCATTCCACCCGCGTCTCTGCCAGCCCGTCCACACCAACCAGCATTTCCGACCCAGACGATACACCGCCGGAACTATATCGAGCCATCTCCACCTGAGACTCGTTCCTTGGCTTCAGTCAGACAAGCAAGATGGTGAGTATCGGCGACTACTAGCACAAACCAACCACAGCTAACCGCCTCCATAGTCATCGCCCTTCTCAATAAGTCAGCGCTTCCTCGTGCCCCCGAACCCACACCACCCCAACGCCGAGACTAACAATGAGCCACAATAGACGGCGGCGCCTGCGTCGCAATGGTCGGCAAGGACTGTGTCGCCATCGCCTGCGACCTGCGCCTCGGTCTCCAAGCCCTGACCGTGTCCAACAACTTCCCAAAGATCTTCAGCTACGGCGACAGCGTGTACCTGGGCCTGACGGGCCTAGCCACAGATGTGAACACCGTGTCCGACCTGTTCAGGTACAAGGTCAACATGTACCGCCTGCGAGAGGAGCGTGCCATCGCACCCACCACCTTCGCGAATCTCGTCTCGAGTTCGCTGTACGAGAAGCGGTTCGGCCCCTACTTCGTCAGCCCTGTCGTCGCAGGGCTGGAGCCCAAGACGGGGAAGCCCTTCATCTGCGGCTTCGACAGCATTGGCTGCATTGACTTCGCAAAGGACTTCATCGTGAGCGGCACGGCGACGGAGCAGCTGTTTGGCATGTGCGAGAACCTATGGGAGCCCGATCTGGTACGTTGCGGAACAGCCACACACCTTCCTCTACGATATTTCAAGATCGGAGGGTTGATTCTAACACGAAATGAACACAGAGTCCCGACGAGCTTTTCGAAACCATCTCCCAAGCTCTTCTGAACGCCGTCGACCGAGACGCCTTATCAGGCTGGGGTGCACACGTCTACATCATCGAGAAGGACAAGGTGACAAAGAGACTTCTCAAGGGCCGACAAGATTAAGCGGGTGGCCTTTGGTGAGGATTGAAATGGAAACGGGCATAGAAGAGAGGCGCGGGAGAAGGCGCATCCTGGTCCAGGAAAGGAAGGACGAGGAGCTACGAGACACTGTGCATTGTATGACTAGACACATCACGACACAGCTGGCTGGAATCATCACAGCCAGCTAGAATATCAACCACCATGACAAGAAGACACATGTGTCAGATGAGCGCCCATCTTGTTGGGAGCACATGCAAGACTACGTTGCGGCTTGAACAAGCTCTGCACTAGACTCACTGACGTTCGGCCGCACAGCACAAGGTTATCCGGAATCAGTGCTATGTTGCCATTTTCAGGCTTGATGCGGGCGGTGTGTTGATTCTCTGATTCTTGGATGCCGAGAATCGCGGTCAATGAGCTCTGACAGACCTTGAACATGCGAATGTGTACAGCGCCGAAGCTAATACGTCTCCCTACAACCTGGACGTCATGCAACAAATGTACTCTTGGTGCATGGAACATCCGCTCATTATCATCCGGTCAGCCTGTCCACACTTGCGGATCCCATCTGTGACACATTGAAACCCGAATTTCCTTCTAGGTATTGTATAAGTTCTCACAAGGCTGGGATAGCGCACAGATCGGCACTCGTCATGACCATTTAGGCATCTATCTACGATGCCGGCACGTCTCATCTTTGGCCTGTATCGGTTGTAAGTCTTTCTGTACTGCGATGCTCTCTCTATTTGAAATGATGGGAAGCTGGTAGTAAGCCTTGCTGATCAGACCGCAAGTGTCAGTCAGCCGTAGACGAATCCCGCTGCATGCCTGTCTCTAAATGAGATCTACAGTGTTGTGTTATACATCTTGTGTTATTGTACATGACCACCGTCTAGGATCATAGATTGCAGCCAGCAATAAACGACATTCTATCACTCTACTGTTCCTTCTTGGCCTTGACCTCGGCCACCTGTGTTGTTTTCTGCATGAAGAAAGACCGCTCGATGAGCTTAAGTCCTTCGTCAATGAGACTAAAAGTGCTCGTAAGTAAGTGTTTGAAGGGGAATAAGTCGGGATCGCAAGGGAACTTACATCACAGGGGCACTGATGGCAAGCACGGCCTGCCATTCTGGCCAGTTCAGCGGCAAAATGGAGAAAAGAGTCTGCAAAAACGGCGTGTAGAGCAGAGCAAAGTGCAAGGCCATTGACAGACCGATGGCGTAGACCAGCATGAGGTTGTCCCATAGAGGAAGCGTGAGCAGAGATTCGCTACTCGAGAGCGCGTTCATGGCATTCAGCATCTCGATCGTGACCAAGATAGACAGCGAGACGGTCGATGCGGACTTGGCCATGTCGTTTGAGAACATCTGGCAGCCAATCTCGGGGAAGTCGGCAGAGCACCGGTGGAAGTGACGCAACTGGGAGAAGGCGATCTGGGGACCACCGGAGTAGTACATGAACCACCAGGCGTAGCCGGCAACAGTGGCGACGCCGACGTAGGTACCGATGATCAGGTAGCGAATGAAAAGCCACCCACCGATCAAAGGTTCGTCGCGCTTGCGGGGCTGGCGGCGCATGATATCGTGGTCGGGTGGGTTGAAGGAGAGCGCAGTAGCCGGGAGACCGTCAGTGACCAGGTTGACCCATAGTAGTTGAACGGGGATGAGTGCCTCGGGCATTCCCAGAGCGGCGGTTAGGAAGATCGAGACAACCTCGCCAATGTTCGAAGAGATGAGGTAACGGATGAACTGCTGTGTGTTGTTGTAGATAGAGCGGCCCTCCTCGATGGCGACTTCGATAGTAGCGAAGTTGTTATCAGCGAGAACCATGTCAGCCGCCAGCTTCGACACGTCAGTACCAGAGCCCATGGCGACACCAATGTCGGCCTTCTTGAGCGCAGGAGCATCGTTGACACCATCACCCGTCATAGCAACAACTTCACCGAGAGACTGAAGCAGGTCAACGAGTTTAGACTTGTGGCTGGGTTCAACGCGCGAGAACAGAGAGGCGTTCTTGGCAGCGTCCAGCTGCTCAGCAGGGCTCAGGTTCTCAAACTCGCGGCCAGTGAAACTCTTTCCTGTGAGATCTTCGTACTGTCCAAACACACCAATTTGACGGCAGATACTCTCAGCAGTGTTGCGGTTGTCTCCAGTGATGACGATGACGCGGATGCCAGCCTCCTTGCACTTGGCAACGGAGGCAGGGACTTCGGGACGTGGAGGGTCAAGCATGCCGACCAAGCCGAGCAAGGTCAGGTTCTGCTCAATTTTGGCGTAATCAGCGGTGGACCTGGCGGTTTTCAGGAGCTTGTTCTCTGAGACGTCGTCGAGGCTTGCTAGTGCGATTACTCGCAGGCCCTTGTTTCCGTAGTCCGTGACTTCCCGCATGATCAACTCCGAGAGCTTTCCATCCATCTGGACCTTCTTACCGTTTGCGCCAAGCACGACACTTGTGCAACGGTCGATAATGGACTCCGGAGCACCCTTAACGAGGAGCTTCTGCTTGCTGCCATTCTGGACCAGGACAGACATGCTCTTTCGGTCACGGGAGAATTCGAAGGTGGCGAGGCGAGAGTACTGCTTGTCATACCAACCGCTGGCATGGTGGACACGATCCTCGGGTGCGCTGTTTCTCGGCGCACAAGGCCCGATCTTCTCAACAAGCGTCCGGAGCGCACCTTCGGTGGGCTCGCCAACGTTAGAGAATGTACCAGTCTTTGGATCATAGGCCAACATGGCATCATTGCAGAGCGCGGCAACTTCGGACAGCTGGCGCACGGTAGAGGACTTCTGAGAGAGATCCTGAACGATCTGGCCCTTGTAGGTGACATCGCCTTTGGGCTCGAAGGTGGTTCCCTCCACGTCGAGTTCCTCCAGGTCTGTTCCGTTCTCGTTAAGATAGACAATCTTGTTGACGCTCATTTGGTTTGTTGTCAAGGTGCCGGTCTTGTCCGAGCAGATGATACTGCAGCTTCCCAGTGTCTCCACCGAAGGCAGGCTGCGAACAACAGCGTTCTTTGCAGCCATCTTCCGAGTTCCCAGAGCCAGACAGGTTGTAATGACGACGGCCAGACCCTCCGGGATCGCTGCGACACCGAGAGAAACAGCGATTTTAAGGTAGTAGATGGCGCCCTTCGCCCAGGTACCATGGCTGGGGTCGTTGAAGTTGGGAATGTTGATAAGCCAGACCAGGATACAGATGACAGTAATAACCTTGGCCAGGCTGTCACCGAAGTCGTTTAGCTTCTGCTTGAGCGGCGTCGGCTCGGAAATCTGGGCGGATATGCTCTCGTGAATGTCACCGATGGCCGTGTTCGCGCCAGTCAAGACAACAACAGCCTTTGCCCGGCCAGTAACAACGGTGGTACCGGAAAAGAGCATGTTGACCTGGTCCTGCTTGACGGACTTCTCATCCGAGACGACCGCCTGTGCATCCTTGCTCACGCTCTCGCTCTCGCCGGTCAGGATGGCCTGGTCGACAGAGAAGCTGTTGCTTTCGATAGAGATCAACCTGCAGTCGGCGGGTATTCTGTCGCCAATGTGGACGGAGATGATGTCACCAGGAACCAAATCTTCAGCTTTGACCCTTGAGACATGGCCATCATTCCGAATGACGTTGGCCTCGTTGGCCGAGTATTCCTGGAGGGCAGCGATGGCTTTCTCGGCGCTGCTCTCTTGTGAGACACCGACGACGGCGTTGAGGATCAAGATGGTCAAGATCTAGGGTGGCAGAGGGTGGTTAGGTCTAGTTCTGTCCAAAGAGTTGTGCCTGGGATATGGCAAACACATGGCGAGCGGAGACGTACAACGATGGGATCGACAAATGCGCTCCAGCCGCCTTCGTCCTCGAACAGGGCCAGGACAAAGGACACAGCAGCGGAGCCAAGGAGGATGAGGACGAGTTGATCCTTGAACTGCTCGAGAATGAGCTCCCAAAGCGGCGTGGGAGGCTCTTCGGCAATGGCTAAAAGGCGATCTGTCAGCATCCGGGTGCCCGCCGCTTTTTGCGACAGGATGCAAACCTACCGTTCTTGCCATACTTGTCAGTCAACTTTTTGACCTGCGCATCGGTCAAGCCAGCGGAGGCTTGTACTCCCAAGGTCGACAAGACCTGGTCTACCGGCCTCGCGAAGGCATTCTCCATGTTTCGCGATGTGGGGAGACTCCAGTCTCCGCGAAAGGAGGTGATGGGGATGCGGGAGGGCAGTCCTAGCTCCTGGAGGTTTTTGGCGCAGGAACTGGAGCGGGAACCGGGGTGGGTGGATATGCGATCTCGGTCTTGGGTCAAGGACGCTCGAGGAGAGAGATGACCGGCAGTCCCAGGGGGTGAACAGATGCAGCCGTCCAAGTGCAGAAGGAATGGAAGGGTTCTTGTAGTCGTCTCCGAAAAGAAAGAAGCCACAGCAGGTGCAGCCGAACTAAAACCCACGGATCTTGGAATCAATCCTTCAACGTGTCAAGAACTAGATAAGTGCAGGCAGGCTGTGCTACGATGTACTGCCTAGGTTTTCCAGGAACGTGTGGGTAGGTATGTAATGGAGGGCGGCGGCACCCACTCGGCAGTGTTGCCGATGTCATGGCGGGGGGGCTGTTTTCGGCAAGCCAGGCATCTGGAATGTTCACCAGGACCGCTGTCCTAGTAGGGGAGGGGGTCCGGTCCCAGGCAGACCAGGCCCCGAAGCCAGCTGATGGGCCAGACCTCACTCCGCCTGGGGCTGCCATGCATCAGGTACTCCGTAGGTACCTACCTATAGGTGCTGTGAGCCTCATTATGCGGAATAGTCGATATCGTTTCGCCCACGTGGGCGTTCCGCACCTGTCATGTCATTGGGCTTCCACGGCCTGGTCGCTTGTTCTCGTAGTGCTCGTTCTCTCCTGCTGAACCCAAGCCTTTTCCACACTGAACTGTCACTGCTTCCACAATGTCTCACCTTGTGTTATTCCCCACAATTACAGACAAGACTCCTCTAGTGTACACAGCACTGTGCACCCGCGGGACGATTCCTAGCATGCTCAGCCCCAATTCTTGAGAATCTTTTCCCTGCGATTTTCCATCGGACCCATTTCCCGCCAACACGTCTGTGCTTTCGGCACTCTTTGCCGGGGGCCATTGCAATGCACCACCCACTTGAGACCTGAGTTTTGAATTCATACCGATTCGCAGCATGGCAAACCACGCGAATAGAGAACGTTCAAAAGCGAGTGCTTGTGACTCAGATTAAGCGGAAGCAACTGTACTACTTCCTGGCCAAAAAATAAAATAAAAAAGGCATACACCTTCCCATCCTCGGTCCCCGCAAAGCACTGTAAAGTATTTTTCCAGGCCGCATGCTGGAGCGTGGCCCAATTTCCTAGCATCTCGCAACCCATTCTATTCGGTGTCTTCATATGCCACACCCCTCACGTTGGACTTCCTGGCACCCCACGATAATTCCGAGGGGGTGGCCGGTATGGACGGTAAACCACAGGGGTTCGAGGCTGCACCGGAGAAGTGGCCGGAGAAGTGGCCGGCAGCTCGGATATCGGCATACTTACTCCATCCAGCTCAGAAAGGTGCCCAGAATGGTGGTGGAAGGGTTGGGTCGGGTAGTCGTCAGCGCTTTGGTTCGAAGTCAATTGTGCAGCGCTCATGCCAAGCCGATTGTTCTGCTCGGAGGGAGTTGACGGTCCTGCCATGCCGTTGCCGTTGTTCGAGCTGACGGAACTCTGCCGACTCGACCTATTGACGATGTAGAGGACAGGCCTCTGGCCATGGTTGAGGGACGGGGAGGGCGAATGCGAATGCGAAGGCGTTTGGATCCTGTGGTCAGAATCTGGAGTTCTATCAGTGCTGGAAGCTTTGCATATTTTACTGCTGCGCGGGGTACTCACTTCGCGAGACATACGGCGCGCTCATGGGCAAGGCCATGATGCCCGGTACCGGTGGCTCTGATCCCGTGAAGACAACTTGTCTACGTTTCTTCCACGCCCTCACTGCGAAGAACGATACCACAGCAGCGAGGAGCAGCAGGGCCAGGGTGGCCCCAACGCTGACGCCTGCGGTGCCCCCTTTCGAAAGACCTTGCGAACTCACAGGGCCCGCAGCCGACTCTGAGCTCGATGGCGGCGTGGCCTCTGTCGCCTCGGACGAGGTTGTCGGGCCGGCTGAAGCAATGGACGTTGTGGGAACCTCCAAGCTGCCCGGATTCCTCGATGTAGTCGAGGTTGTCGGGCCGGCCGAAGCAATGGACGTTGTGGGAGCCTCCAAGCTGCCCGGGTTTCTCGATGTAGTCGAGGTTCTGGAGCTTGTCGAAGTACTCGGAGTCGGTGCTGTGGTCTGCGTGGTTTGTGACCTTCTGAACGCGGCGGCGCTTTTGGGATTGCTGGAGAGCTTCGCAGCCACGAGGTCGTCGGCCGGGCACCCCATAAGATCACAGGCATTTGAGGAACAGCATCCGAAAAAGGGCTTGTTCAAGTCAAAGCAGGTATACCATTCGCCAGTTGGGTCTTGGCACTCCTGATCCGTGATGTTTGTGCCCTTCTCCCTGTCGAAGCTAGAATACCGGACACTGTAATGGGGGCAGTCCTGGGGCCGCGGGGATCAGCGATGAACACGACAAAGAAAAATCTTCGCATTGCAAGGTATGCCGTGGGCTTTTTGTGGCCACGGTCATGAGCCCCAGCTTCACCGTCATCACGAGCTCAGGGAAGAACAGAGGCGATCGACGGTGCTTCCCAATGGGAAGAGAAGAGAATACTGGGAGTTTACTCACACCTGAGCCGTCTTCGCCGGGGTCCGAAGCGCAACAACCAAGAAATTGGATATTGCAATCCTCACAGACAAAAAAGGCGCCGCCCGCGGGGCATGTGATGCCAAACACGTCTACTGGATTGTATACCATGGTGGGCGGTGTTCACCTGGTAGACAAGTGGTTGTCTGGGGTTGTGGCTCAACCCCGTCCAGAATATGTGTCGTGTTCAGATTGGAAAGAGGTCTGGAGGCAGCAGGCTCTGGGGAAAAGAAAGGCGTCAGTGACAAGGTCAAGTGACCCGAGGAGGGGTCGTCCAACGTCGAGCGCCCGGAGTGGCAAGAAGTGGGAAGCAAACAATTCCAGGTAAACAGACTACAACCAAGAGAAGTATCGAGGTACCTTTGCTGCTAGCAGAGTGCGGCAAACTGGACAGCTGTGCTACCCACAGTCGGGTCGAACGATATCAATGTTTCTCGAGTTTGCCGTCTTGGAGTAAGTGAATTATAACAGTGCTGTTGTAGAATAAAGTAACGTGATCGACTGCTGCAAGCGCACTTTTCCACAGTGCTGCAAGAGTGATTGAGTAGGGTGTCCCATCCCCTGACCACTCTGACCAACTGTACACCAGTGGAAATCTATTATACAGGGGGTTATTCCAATGGAGAATACCACAGCACACAGGTGGTCTTTACATGTGAAGAAGTTGACAGCTAATACCAAGCAGTCGATCTTGTCACGACGAATTGCTGCTCATCAGAGCTGAGTGACGAGTAGCACTGCCAATGTTAGGCGTGTGAGAGCAGGAGGGTGTTCGAGAGCCCGCATAGCAGTTCACTCTGTAACAACTGTCAATCCCTCATCTTCATTCCAAGTGATGGAAGGCCTAACTCAGCAAACACACGGCCCTTTGCTGCAATTTGGACGAGGGGGAGGGTATCCCAACGTGAGCATCGTAACGCAAGTAAATGGTAGAAAGGCAATAATACCCTCCGAAGAGTCAGAAAACACCCCCGTCTTTGGCAGACCATCGCTGGTACTTTACTGATACCTCTGTGGGCTGAACCTGGAAATATTAGCACCACAAATCGGAATCTGACGGCTACCCAAATGGGCCATCCCACCACGAGAGGCGATTTCCTGCAGAAGCTCACTGCTTATGTAGGTGGCTGTTAGGTCGCATGCCGCCGTGTACTCGATGTTGTCGTCGTTGTGGACTACTTCGATGCTTGTCTACCTCTCATCGCCTGCCCATCATACATAAGTTTCCCAGGACATCTACGTGGTGATAGCTGTGGGGAGAACATTTTGTAGCCAGCCCAGTTGTAGAAATATCATGGTATCATTTTCAAGTCGCTGCCGTTTTGATTGTGTCCTAATCATAAACAGCAAACCCCGCACGCTGTAATATCACAAGCCATTGAGCACACTCTGAATTCCTACACTGCTCGAGTCTTCCCTCTTCTGTACGATGGACTTGAAGTCCGCCTTGGTCAGCTTCTTGCCAGTCGCAGCTGAGCCCGACCCCAGATTTCGGCTTTTCTCTTTGAGCGCCTCCGGGCCGATAATGAACAGGTATCCGATCTCCGGGAGGAGGTCTAGTATGCTTTGGACTTCCTTGGTGAGGGGCCACTCCTTCAACGTCGAGATGTACTTGTTTAGGTCCTTAGTCACCATCAATCCTCCAGTCGCGTTGACGGAGAACTTTTTGAAGTGCTCCAGAAGTAGCTTGTGTATCGCCAGCGCCAGCTCGCTACTGAAGATTTCCAGGTTGTGGCCATCGATTGCCTGCGTTGAGAGCTGAGAGACTCGCTTGAGGAAGCTGCAGATCGTTTGGCATGTGGGTGTCTGCAACAGTTCTGCAATGAGCTCAAGCTCTGTATCTTTGGGGCGGAAATCCGTCTTGCGCTGTGTTGCTAGTGTCCTGGTCACCCAGTTTATCACAACGTCTACTGAGCTCTTGACCACACTGTTCGTTTTCCTCTCGATCGTTTCCATGGCCATCTTGGCCTGCGCCTCCATGCTTCGCCGCACAGTCGCATTGCCCTCCGCGAGTCTAATCATGACTGTGTGTATGAATCGGGACATGATGTTCGCATTGGTAACGGCCGGCCGAATGTTGGGCAAATATGACATGTCTGGCTCGACCTTTGAGTTCTCCTGCGAAGACGAAGCGTCGAGTGCGGCATCCAGAGCGGTCTCAATGTAGACCTGACCCATACTGGTCAGGAGGAGGCTCAATAGACTGTTTACGTCTCGTGCAGTATCCGTGGAGGAGCCGAGCTCGAGCGTCCTGCGGACACTCTCTGCTAGCCACCTCATCATCCTTTGGGCCACCTCGACACTGATTGCGCCATCTTCGTCAGAAACCTCAATCTCATTCTTGTTCTCGCTGTTGTCCTTAACGCCAGCGACCCTCAACATCATTGCCTTTTGAGTCGGTGTGAGGTCAGATGATTCGAGACGTTCCAGGTAGACGTCTTTGGCCGATGCCAATAGCTGCGAGCCTTGTTGGGCTATTGCCGCCATGAAACCACTTGGGGCCTTCTTGCGTCTGGAATGGAAAATGGTGTACTTGAATAGCAATGAGCTGTACAATTCCTCCAAATTCCTGCGCTCTCTTTCGATGTATGAGTTTCCGACGAGGTATGGCACAAAAAGCTCCTCCATTTGCTGGTCCAAGGTTTGCGAGATTTGTGCAGAGCAGGGTTCCGGGTTGTCAATCAATCCGTGGGTCTTGAGATCCTCGATGAGTTGGCCGATATAAGTCCTTGCTGAATGTAGTGACCGTAGGAATGCCAATGAGGACACGGAATCTGCCTTCTCGAGCACCATCTCCAGCCGCTGTTGGACAGACTGCTGAAATACTCGTTGGATGAATTTGATGAGAACCGTCTCAGCCATAGGGAAGGCTTGCTTGATGATGAACGACTCCTCTTGCATGACGACCCTGACTTCGTCAATCAGAGATTGTAAGCTCTGCTCGATCCCGGGAGGTTCCTTGTCAGGATCAGCGAGCAATTCCCAAGATTCGTCATCGCCAGTGACCTCGTCTGCCAGGAGCTGATTCCTGTTGATAAAAAAGTCGTGCTGGTTCACAAACGTGGCCACCACACTGTTGCCTCCATTGAAATCGAATAGGACCTTGGCACACTGCAGCATGTCGGGAAAGTTCTGAGAACGATAGCTCCTGTTGAACTGCTCGAGCAGGTCCTGCTCCAGAACCTCGCAGTACTTCTCCAGCACCTCGCGGGTGTTATGTTTCCGACTTGTGCCAGTCACGCCATTGGTTATTCCGTTTCGCCGGTATCCATTTGTTTGGCCCCAAGATGTGGGATCCAACCTCTGGCTGATTCGCATGAGCTGTCGCGCAATGTTGGCGCACCGGACTTTGTTCTCGGCTCCGCCTACCCTCTTCATCTCCTCGAGTAGGCCTAGGTGCCCAGTCTCGGAGACCTCATTCCAGCATTGAATAAGGAAGTTTGCATCCAGCGCCCGCCTCCGCTTCCGATCCAGCTCCTCCAGCCTCTCACCGATCTGCACAGCGACATTTCCTCCAATGTCACCTCGAGCTGTCCTATCGTGGCCGTTCGTGCCGTTGGAGCTGTTCAACGTGGAGTCGAGTGCTTCGAACTGGGCCATAGACTGATCCAGTTTTCGGCCAAGCGTTTCGAGGGTGCGATCGTGTTGCATTTCCGCCCGGCGCACGTCGTTCTGCAGCCCAGACTCCTCCTCTTCCAACTTCTCCGTGAGCGCCCCCAATTGCGATAGAGCATCTGTGTCACAAGCGCAGAGTTAGTCAGAGGCCCTGGACGGTGAAACCGATGAGCAGCGACGTACTTTCAAATGTCCTGATTAGTGGTTTTGGATCGAAAGCTGGTTGTGCCGCTGGGGCGGATCGTCGATTCACGGGAATTGCGCTCTCAGCCAGCTCGTCAACAAAGTCTCTCACGATGAACTCCTTAGTCGAGAAATCCTTCTCTTGCAAGCTGGGTCCCTGGGGAAACAAGGCTTTCGGGCCAGACCCGGACTCGGCCCTGTTCACAGCCATCGATGCTGCCGGCCCCCGGGGCGCATCGGTCCTCGAATGGGCGATTCGATCAGATCATCAATTGCTCCTCCCAGTCGCAAGACTGAAGATGCCTCGATGTGAGTTCACGTAGTAGCCGGAGCCGTGGCGTGGCGTGGTCTCAGTGCCGGTCGTATTCGTCTGCGTACGTTGAAGCCAAATGTTGTCTTCTGCAAGGCGTTTGGCCCAATGTCTGCCGCGGAAAGGGAGCCCCGTAGATCCCTGCTGGCACAGTACCTGCCTGGGTGAGTACAGGGGTCCCCGCCCTAGCCCCATTCAGCACCGAGAAGGTGGCTGAAGGACACCACTACAGTGCGTGGCAGTCAGCCTGTCAGCCTAGAGCACGGCCGGGAGCTGCATGACTGACGACACACACGGTCCAGCCAAGCTCACACATGCCTGCAGTGGGCAGGATGGAATTTCCCAATCCTGGATAGGACCTCGGCGCCATCTTCACTGCCACTCACCATGCCACCCGTTCCACTGCCCCTTTGAAACATATCTTCGCCTCCAATGCATACGCGTGGTGGCATGCTTTTCTATTGCCAGGACTCCTTCCTTTCCCTCTCCCTTGCGTGTGTCCGGTGTGCATAATCGTCGAGACAGCATTCTCACCTTGGGACATATCCGCCTCACCAAAATGCCTTTCGATACCAAAGACACCGATGTCTACCGTCGCAACGAGAAGTCTGGCGGGAAACTCCTCACTCCGGAAGAGAGGTTGAAGCTTCTGGAGGTGCGCCTCTCCTTCCGTGATCATGTGCAGTAACGGCAGCTAACATGCGCAAAGCCATACCTACCACCTACGAAACAGGACCAGGACCGCGAGGACCGGGCTCAGGCCTGGCGCATCACGTTTGGTGTTAGGAACTTCCTCAAAACGCAACTTCACATCCTGACCTTCACAATCATCCACGCAATTTTCTCCATCTACATCCACACCCGCAAGGCCTATCATGCCGTCCGCGACCGCACTTGCTCCATATTCTTCTACCACCACCGCGACCCTGCGATGATCCAGAGGGATGTGAGGCGACTTAGCAAAGTCCCAACAGTCTTGAGTGTTATCCTGAGGGTGGATGAAGACGAAAAAGGCGGCGCAGAGCTGGAGCGCCTTGTGAACGAGGTTGCCGAGGTTTCCGCGTGGTGCGCGAGCGCCGGCATACCTGCGTTGAACGTCTACGAGAAGACAGGTACGCGACTCCATGTGCCCCGTGCGGGCTTCCAGCTGACAGGAGCTCTTAGGCCTTCTCAAGCAGTACCTCCCCGAAACGCATCGAGCAATCTCTCAGAACCTGCGATCCTACTTTGGCAAGCAACATCCCACGCTGACGGTGTGCGCGCCCCATGCCCAGTCGATAGAGTCCCCGTCCAGCTCACAGAACGCGGACTTTGGGGGGGCAGCTAGTCACCTCACCATGCGGTTAATATGCGCCGAAGATGGCCGCGACTCCATGGTCGATCTGACGAAGACGCTGGCGGAAATGGCCCAGAAGCATAAGATATCTCCTGCCGACATCGAACAGCGACTTCTTGACGTGGAGCTCCGAGAGAGCGTCATGGAGGAATCCGACCTGCTGATCATCTTCGGGCCACAGATCGAGTTCCAGGGATATCCACCGTGGCACCTGCATCTCACAGAGGTCTACCACGTACCTGACAATGAGAGCGTCGGGTACCAGGTCTTCTACAGTGGCCTCTGCAAATATGCGAACGCTCAATTCAGGCTAGGACGGTAGTTGTCTGACAGAGCTGTGAATTACACACAGTGCATGGGCAGAGGAGTTAAGGTGCAGCATAGACATGTTTCAAGTTTTATACCCTCCTTCAAGGAATCCACGTCCTCATTTCTTGAGCAACCTTGTCCCATTTATAGACCGGTCCAGTCCCCACATTATAATTGTAGTAGTTGCTGGTCCCGCCTTTCACCAGTGCCTTTCTAAACGTGATGTTTATGCGGCCGCCATCCTTCTCATTCTTGCCTGTTCGTTTTGGAATCGAGTGCAGCCAGCAGGACTGGGTTTTCCCTCGCATCAGAATCATGTCACCGCTCTCGAGGGGCAGCTTCAAGGGCTTTGGGTCCGGTCCGCTTGTTTTCTGGTCGCTAGGAGCAAGGGGCTTGTGCTTCAGTAGGAAGTCCCTCCTCGCGCCAAAAGAAAATGATGCGATGGCAGGATCTGGCCCAAGAAAGCGCTCATCGTCAGAATGATAGCTGATGCTATCAGACCCAGAGGAGTAATAGTTCACCAGGCAGAAATTGAACTGATAGCCCGTGGCCGCTTCGGCCGACCGACGGAGGTCATCGAGGCAGTTGGGGATTGGCCGAGGTGAGCAGTTCGGATACGGATTGCCAGGAACATTTACTCCTGTCTTTGAATCGACAACCATCCCTTCCTCTGTAAAACGTGAGGTGTCATCGATGCCAAAGACTGTGGTATATCTAGGCGTGTTAATATGAGTTTCGGTGGGTCCCCTTTTGATTGTGTACTTGACTCTATAAAATGGCAGTTCCGACCGTAGAAAGCTGAAAGCATCCTTGGCAAGGTATCCAGGAACGTACGGCTGGAAATACAGCAGGTCGAGATCCAACTGGTCATTGACGATACGGCCCTGAGTTGCTGGCAACGATGACAGCTCCTTCTCGATATGAGCTGGAAGGCCTGGTATGGGGAACGGGTATGTCGGATGATTGGAAATGACACTCTGCGATCATGTCAACACTGTGGTGCCATGTGACGGGGCTCGCCATTGGAGACGTACTGATACCTCATGGGCATTTGACCCATCCACTTTCCGCTGCTTGGCCGGTGGGGTGAAAAAGGAGTCTATTGTTCTCTTGTTTGACATCGTGCTCATTAAAGATGCACACTAGAGACTTGAATACTGGGCAGAGCCGTACGGTATACCTGCAACCGTCAGTCTCAAGATAGGTATGTGAGCTTTAGTCTGGTGTCTGGCCCGGGGCCACAGCAACCACGGTCCATTTTGGTAGTCCTCACCTCAATCTCCTATTGAGCGAGGCTCCTGTAGATTGACTCTTTTATAACAGCCTCCTATGTCCTACGGTACCGGTACCGTATGGGCTACCCTCCTACAAGGCAAGCCAGTGAATCAATTTCCTGTGGAAGGCTTTCCAGTGGCTTGGCAACAGGATGAAGAGCTATTGGGGACTCCGTGATGAAAGTTGTCGATTGTTAAAAAGATGGTGGTTCCGGTGTAATGAATTTATGTGACGGGCTTGCCTTGGTGACATCACTAACTTACGCAAAGACCGCGGGCTGTACTAGTACATAGCAGCTCACCTCAGCCTTGTCCCGCTTGTGCCAAGCCTGAAAGCTCCGCCAATAAATGCTAACCACTCTGCTAAGCTTGCAGCCTTGTGAAAACTTTCGGGCCCCATAAAATTACTCACCTCCCACTCTTGCCCACGCGCCCAAGGATGCACACACCCAGGGCTCTGCCAACAGCTGCTCATTGATCATGTCTACCGACGGTACTCACACAACAAGTTCAGCCACACAGGAAGAACATACCATGGCGATCCTCCGCCCACCCAAACTGTCGCCCAGCACTTCACTGAACAAGGCCCTGTTTGCCAAAACACTCAACCTGGCTGCAGCGTCCGTGAGGGACAACAAGAACCTGTCAAAGTTAAGGCAAGCTCTCTCCAGAAATGGAGACATTCTGCCCATGGAGAGGATATCTGTCATCGCGCCACATCCAGATACCGACCTCGCAGCACAGGGTCGCAAATGCCTTCTGCTTAAACCTTCCATCTCACCCAAGCAGCCAGAGACATGGGGTCCCCTTGTTTCGCAGTTGGTTAAGGAGGATCAAGTGGGGATTGTCTCATATGATTTGAATCTTGACTACGATTATTGGAGCTACCGCGATGTGTTGTCGACGTTGATGCCCGAGGAACTGCACGACGACATCCCTTCCGGATTTAACACGGCCGGTCACGTGGCGCACCTGAACCTACGAGATCAGCATCTTCCGTACAAGATGCTCATAGGCCAGGTGATCGTCGAGAAGAACCAGCACATCAGGACCGTCATCAACAAGACAGACAATGTGGGCAATGAGTCCGAGTTCCGCACGTTTGGCTACGAGCTGCTTGCGGGCGAGGACGATCTGAGCGTCGAGCTGAACGAGAACGGATGCGTTTTCAAGTTTGACTACTCCAAGGTGTATTGGAATAGCAAGCTGGAAAAGGAGCACACGAGACTAGTCCGGTCCTTCCAGCCGGGCGAGGTCGTATGCGATTTGATGGCTGGCATTGGACCTTTCGCCGTTCCGGCTGGGAAGAGGGGAGTCTTCGTTTGGGCTAATGACTATAATCCGGAAAGTTTCAAATATCTCCAGGACGCCATAGGGAGAAATAAGGTATGTCAGAGTCCCCCACACACCGAATTCTTCGCCCTCGGCTAACTGGGCCATAGGTGTCCTCTTTTGTCCGACCATTCAATGAAGACGGCCGCGTTTTCATCCATAAAGCGGCCGACTCGGTCCTCGCAGCATCACGGGCCGGTGAAGCCGCCATAGTGCCTTCCAAGCAAAAGTTCTCGCGCAGTAACCCTGACGCCAAACGGCCTCCGCCTACGGTCGTTGCCATCCCACCTACGATCAGCCACTTTGTAATGAACCTGCCCGCATCCGCAATCGAGTTTCTGTCCTACTACCGCGGTCTGTACGTCGGGCAAGAGGCGCTCTTCGCGCCGCACACGCAGACAAATCTGCCCATGGTCCATGCCCACTGTTTCGCCCTAAAGAGCGACGACGACGTGCCCAGGATTGATGTCTGCGAGCGTGTTTCCAAGGAACTGGGCGTCACCTTGCACTGGGACGGGCAGATTGGTGCATCGACAAATGAAGTAAAGGACGGGCGGGTTGCCGTGCATCATGTTCGAGACGTGGCGCCGGCGAAGAGCATGTACTGTGCGAGCTTCAGGCTGCCGGCCGAGGTTGCTTTCGCCCCTAGGCAATGAACACTTGATCGAGGGTAAATCGGTCGAAGAAACCGGTGACAGTCTTACGGGTTAACTTCGCCGCAGTCAATACAGGGCCTAGACTGCTGCCCGGTTCCTCAACCGCTGTTTTGCCAACCATTCATCACCGATGCTTCGCACCTGCCCTTGGCTCGTCTCTGGCTGGGCAGACAAATCAACACCTTGTCTGAATGCCCAAGGCTGCTGTGGAAGGAGGCATCGCATGGACCGTTGACGATATGCCGGTCACACGGCATTATCAATGTGCAAGGAAAACGCACGACATTTTGACAAAACCAAATTCATTACTGCCTGAGCGTGCTACGCAGGCTAGGGATGGAGCGAAGCTTCTCACGAGACCGACACGCGTCTTTGGGATTTATCCGACATCATGCGGACAAGCCTGCTGACCCTTTTATTTGTCAAATCGCAGAAGACGCCGTGCACACGATGCAAGAGGCTGGCTTGGTTTGTCCTCTTGCCACCAGCGTGTCCTCGAAGATAAGACTTGCGGCATTGCCGTCGTGGGAATGGCTTCAGCCCTGATGCTTGAGCGGCTAGGTACTTGGTCTAGGGCACAGGCCTTGATGGTAGTCCTACGGTATTTCCACTCGAGACCTTCGCAAGCATCTCTCCATGATCCAATCCAAGACAATGCCCTCTGGCAAAGATACTGCGCCCTTGCCCCGAGAGTCCCGGCCGACAGCATGTGCCCGGTCGTGAAAGCAGAATACCGATATTACGCAACACGGCTGTTCGGACCCCATTGCTACATCGCTATCAAGCATCTTCAATGGGTGACGGTCAAATTTATGGCTCATCTCGAAATCTCCAAGATTGCCTCGATCCTCCCTCCCCCTTCGAACGTGACATCAGAGCGCGTCCGTCTGCAGCCGGTGATCCTCTCACTGAGGAAAACGGGGTCGTTGAGATGCAGCAATTGACGAGCATTACGACGAGCAACAAAACCTCTTCATGTGATAATGGCATAGGCCAGTAGCATTGAGGTAGGCAAGATTGCGTACCCTGCAGGGCGACTTTTTGGTCTACACGGCAGCGGCGTCGAACCTCTTCATTACACTCACACCGGATAATGAAGATCGGTTTCCAATTAGGGAGGTCTTCCGGCATATGAAGCGTTCAGGCTACTGCGGCCTACTGAGTCGTATCTGCAGGCCGAAGGACTGCAAGAGTGTGTGATTGGCAATGCGGCTCTATGCCAATCAGCAGTTCGATTACCCAAGAAGCTGCTGGGTTCGGGAGGAGACTTCACTCATGAATGCGTTCACGAACCTGCAGCAAAACGCCCAAATCTAAAGGATCACATAGTCCGGCAAGACCAGCACCCGCCCGTGCCTGATGATGCAAGCCACGCCTGGCATGTCCTTTCGAGGTTTGAGGCTTGTGTGATGGATCACAACCTCGCCAAGGCGACTGCCAGCCGCAGCCCTGCAACAACAGCGAGCAGATGCCCTGCGGCGCAGTCGTGCCCTGGACCCTCCTGCTTGTGCACCGGAGCACAGCGGGCCCGGTGAGGTAGGAGGTGATCTATCTCCCGCCTATTAAAGAAAGGATACGCAGATCTGGGGTGCCTGCTGCAGATGTGACATACCCTTCGATGCCCCACAAATTGCCATGCCTTGCTACCGTGGGACATCTACCTGGCTGCCTGGTTACGCCAGCCGCTGGGGATACGCATAGACAGGACCTGGATGGTAGTACGACAGGAGGACAGGAGGCAGGAAGCCGCATGAAGAAGCAAGGAATCAGGAGATGGAAGAAACGGGCAGCCCTGGGCCAGACGGCCCGCTCTCAATCAAGCTCGGGACAGGCAGGGCGGAGAAATGGAAAGGGCGGGTAGGACTCGGACGGGGAATGACCGAGTGAGGCCATCCTGCCATCCCCTCTGGGCAACACCCGTGCCGATCGCAGCGGCGCTCTCGTCCATACACAATGCACCTGCGTCTGCGGGGGAGAAGGCCTGCTGCGATAAACTCGCGGCAACTCGGCTCCTGTCCTCCCTCCCTATCTGATTCGAGGCGCGCACTCTAGGCGGTTGGCTTGATCTAGCCACACAGACAGACAACCAACCCACAATGACGATTCTGTTACGGGACAGTGCTGACCCTCACGCGATTAGCAAGCAAGCCCCTTGGATGAAATTTGAAGCAACCGAGATCTTGGTAGTACCACAGCCACGGGCGTGAACGATGCATGAGGCTGCCTCGCCCAAGGGGGTGATGCGAGCGTTATCGCGAAGACATCTTCCAAGCGATGGTGTGTCCGGCCTGCATCGGGCGGATCACACCCGCACAGCGCCCGGGCTGCATGTTCTTCTTGAGACGAGCGCCAATGCACACAGTATGTAGCAATTATGCTGAGAGCATATGATAACAACGACAACAACATCATAATCATCATCATCATTATCATCATCATAAGCGCCAACAGCTTAAGCCGCCTCTGTCCGGAGCCGTGTATGGGGAATGGCGAAAGCGGGGAGGCGCCGGCCCCAAAACCCCTGCGTAGAATTTGCTCCGGAAAGCCGCGAGAAATAGAGCGGCCGAGAATGGGCGGTCCAATTCGGCCCTCCTTCGCATTCGGCCTGGCGCTCCTGGGCTGGGTCGAACGCAAGCTCCACCCCTACCTCGCCCTCTGGGGAGGGAGAATCCCGGCGCCGAGCAAGCGGAGGATGGAGAGTCTGAGAGTACGAGTCCTGTATCAGGCTTCGGCTAGCTAGAGCCATTTCGCGGGTGGGAACCAAATCGATCGAGAAACCTGATATGTGAGAAGACACATGTACTATGATGATGGTACGAATGTGACAAGAGCCTACACGGCAGTCGACATTAGCCACGTCCGCTCAGCCCTCTGTCGGATTGCCTCATCAGGTGGCCGGGCGACGATCCCCCAGAGTCTGTGAGCAGATGCTTGCTTGTTCTTGCGTCTGCCGGCGAACCAGTCCCCTAGAGTCGCATTGCTGCGATGCCGTCTATGTTTCATCTGAAGGGGCAAAGTCAAGGCTGGCAAGCTGGCAAGCTGGCAGGCTGGCCAGACCGTCGGTTGGGTCCATGGTCCTCGCAATCTATTCCCCAGGTTCAGGAGCAAACTGTCACTCGGCCGATAATATTGGCAACAAGGGACAGGATAGGACAGGGCAGGGAGTGACGGTTCGCGTGGCCCATCCCATCCCATCCCATCCCATTATACATACGTGCCATCTATTAAGCGTTGCGGCAGCAGTCAGCGGTGGCATGATCTGTGGGTGCTGGCAGGCTGGCAGGCTGGCAGGCTGGCTAATGCAACGAGGGCGCGCAGATGGGCGGAGAGCATCTTAGATTGCTCCCGTCCAGTGGCTTATGCTGCTAGCTGGGAGCCCAGGCCAGCGGGATCTCGCCAGGTCCTATTCGATGGTACGGCGGTAGTGAGTTTCACTTGACGGTGGGGATCGAGCAAGTGGCTTTTGCCTCCCCACAATGGCAAGCCTTTTGGATGGCACATCGTCCAGTCCAATGCAGCGGCTACCTTCCCCGAGGTGGTGGTGGTGGTGGTGGGGGGGGGGGGGGGTTAGGTAGGAAGGGCTGGAGGGGAACTACCTAGAAAGTCAAGAAAGATCTAGACCTACTACGTAGAAACACAGGCCCATAGGCTGGGGGTTCTTCTCAACCGTCGCTGCAAGATATGAACTGTAAAATGTCCAATTATCTAATGAAAATCCATACGGAGCTAGCCAAGCGCGGCCAGAATTTGCAGGCACGAGCGTGCCATGGGAAGTTGACCAGCTATACGACATATGGAAAACCCATTTGCGTGCCGGACGAGCTGTCAATGATCTGCTCTTCTAATTGTTTGCACATTTTACGGCATCGCGCCCAGGTGCTCGGCCACCAAGCCAGCAAGCCTGGCCACACACGCAGCACTCGTACACTGCCCTGACGCCGTCCTGCCTGGCACGACCAGACGATGCAGCATCCTTGGGACAAGGGCTTCCAGAACGTGGCAGCCCCACTCCACATGTTTGAGGCGCCGGGAGGCTACGACGTCGAGGAACGCCCCTCCCTCTCCCTAAAACAAAAAACAACGAGGAAACGAGGGAGAATTTCAACGGCGATTCCCGTGGCTTGGACTTGTTTAAGACATGCTGTTTGACGGCATCGACAATGATGTTTCTGGAATGTCGCGAGTCAAAGCCCTCTGGAAAACAACAAGGGAGAAGAAAGCACGTCGCCGGATCAGCCGACAAGCAATGACCGGCCAGGGTAAGTCGTCAGCCTCGGCCCTGACAAGGTAAACAAGCCCGACTTCGCTTGGGCGGCTCTAACACTACGGCCCGCCATGTACTCCGTAATGGGTTGCATCACGCCGGCTCACAGCGCTTCGGGAAAGTGACAAGTCGGAAATGACAGCCCGCCCAGGAGGGGGGAAGTAGGAGGGGAGGTGTGGTCTTTGTGGACTCGGCTGCCCAAGTGCATGTAGCCATTGTGTACCTGATTACTACATTGTAGGTCTGCGGTATCGTGTGGTGTGTACACTTGAGCAAGCCCCCTGAGGTTGTGCAATCATACCGAGCACCTTTACGAACCCCCCCCCCCCCCGGGATCTGGCCCAGGGACTCGAGCGGTGCCGACCACGCATGCTTGGCATCTTGGGTGATGGATGATGGACGACAGACACAGGTGACCGATCGAGGGCATCAAGGTGCCCTCCTTCTCTTCCAGCCCTCGATGTGGAACCAAGCCACATCTCAGAGCCTCAACACAGAGCCTCAAAGACACTACTCCCAGCCGTCGCCAAAGGCCGGAACTTTCTTCTCCTCCACGGTCTGGGGCCGGTGCCATGCTAGGACCAGGGCAAATCCGGCTGCTGTTGATGTGAATAGTAGTATCTTCCGTCAGGGCTATCCCTAGGGCCCCCGGAGGCCGTGCAGGATGCTAGGGTAGCTTATCTCTGGACATCAAGGCCCACCCATCACAAGTCGCAACGTCTCACCGAAGAAGACTGATCTGTACCGCAGGGCGCTTCCACTGGCCCCTCTGGCTTATCAAGTTCACACGCACGGTCAAAGCAGCCTGCCGCCCCCGCCGTATCTCGATTGCGTTGCCGTCGGCTTCGGGATGGGCTCGCCAGGAATGAGGCCGTCTCTCGACCTGCGCCGTCCGCAGGTTCGCAGGTTACGTGCGTGGCGCGGTTGACATGCAGGATGCCAGAGCTTGCGAGGGGATCCAGGCCTGTTAGTGCCTGCACTGTACTGTAATCTGTACTGTAAGCCGTAGCTGTCGGTCCCGAGGAGTAGATGCTGCGGTGATGCTTTGGACCGCAACGCATCTAGACCCTGGGCGGCCTAGGAAACATCGCGGTAGGCTGCTGTGGTCCGAAACGGCTCCCGCTACGGGCGACGATCAGGGTCTCCTCGCCTCCGTAGTAGCTGCAGGACAAGTCCCTGTTCCCTTCACGCCGGCGCCTGGCGTTAGTCGGGAAAAACCTCCGAGGCCATCGGGTTGCAGCGGTGCCCGCATCACGTCTGTCCCTATGCTGACCTATCGTACAGTTGGGAGATGGCACGAGCAACAATGGCTCATCCCTCGCGGGTCAGCTCTGTGAGAGGAGAACCATCTCAGCCATCAAACAGGATCTAGTCAGCCGGGGCGTGAACTACTCCTCACCGCCCAATTCGGACGAAGTCTAAACCCCACGAGATGTGGGTGCGAGTCACGGCTTTGACCTTGACATCCCGTGGTTTCAGGCACTGGCCGGATTAGCCAGCTTTGGGCTATCTGGTGTGCTTGATTTCGATGTTGGCTGTTTCTCCCCGTGGGCTGTGGCTCATTCAACTCACCCCGCGGCTCAAGTGCTTATCAGGCTCGTGGCATGTAGATTTACCAGATATCTGCTGAGTCGTCGTGGGTGTAAGCATGCAGGGATGGCCCGCTGTGACGGCTCTCGATATGTGGACGAGGTCTGCATGGGCCACGGGCACTTGAGCAGCTCAGATGGCTTTTGCCCAAGCGTCTGGGGAAGAGTTGAATTGAGCCTTGGACTGCATCCTGCCTTGATCCCGGCCGCCCGCTTGTGCGGCACCAGGGAGGACAGATTGGATTCGGCTTGGCCACAGAGTCAGGGAAGCAGGACATCTGGAGTGTAGGGAAACATCGAATCCCGCCCTCCCATACTGCGAGCTGTACACAGTACCCGGGTACGTAGCATGCCAGGTGTCCTTGACACAGTTCGTCGTGCACAGCCCTTGCCGCACCTTTCCGGGGCCGTCAAACATCTACGTAGAGTTGGTAGACCGGCGAGGGATCGACAGCCAGAGATCAATCAATTGATTGCCTAGGGGGGTTATAATCTCGTATCAATTGATCGTGGGCGCCGGAGGGGTTCGCTCGGTGATGGGCTACCCAGCCCGTCTTTGTCAGTCCATGCGTGTGGTTCGATCGCGGCCAAGACGGCGCCGTGTTTCTCTTCTGTCATATATGCAGGGCCTGGCGTGCGCGTATGTTTGTTGCCCTACAATGTTATCGACAGACGATGTGACGGGAGGGGGGAGGGCGCCAGGGCTTAAGGCCACTCCTCGGAGGTGAACATATCGCAGGGGTTGGTCCAACGCAGCCGGCCCCAGAGGAGGCCGCAGAGAACAGAAGGACATAGCCCGAGAGCTTGACGGGCGGCGCTTTAGCTCGGACCATCGCATGTAGCTAGAGGACTGGCCGGGAGTAGCTCTGAAGGTTGGCGCCACCTCGTCTGCGGTCCCAACTATGCCATGGACGGGCGGGTTACAGGCACGCATGCGGAACAATCCGGAAGCCAGGCCGTGACATTTGCCGACGGACAGGCGGGCTAGTGTTTCTGGTTTCTGGTCGAGCCGGACGACAATGGGAGCCGATAGCATAGTGATCACAAAAGTAAACGAGAGGCTCCCGAGATGCTCCCGGCCGGCCGACCTAGAGAGATAAAGCGAGAGGCGGGGGGGTTGAGCAAAGATAGGAGACGGGACTACTATGTACCAGCAGTCGGTGAGATGGATGCGACCATATTGTTGGCCATTGGCCATTGGCCATTGACCATTGACCATTGACCATTGCCCATTGACGACCAACGGCGGCTCGACCAGCACTGCGTCTCCAGTCCTCAGGGTTCACAGGACCGGTTGGACGGTTGGACGGTAGTCTTGATCGAATTTTGGCTCCAAATCTCCAAGAAGCCAGCCATCCAGCCATCCTCGTCTCTTCAAACAAGGAGAAGGGAAGGTCAGGATACAACTCCCTGGCGTGGACCTGTAACACGTCTCTCAAGGACTCGTATTGGCCCGATGGCCCTCAGGACGAGCCCGGCCTAAGGGCAGCCGTCAAGCAAGCGATGGCCGAGCCGACAGCATCTAGACTCTCCCTCGGCATGGGGTTGCCGTTGATCAGCCTCGACGAAAGCGAGACGTTAACGTCACAAGGCTGGGGCCCGTGTGTCCAGCCAGGGCAGCCGGGGCAGCAGGGGTGGACACCTGAATATACCTAGGTAGATTATTAGGGACACGGATGCAAAGACGTACGTCAGTCAGCAAGGCACAAATTACGGAGCACACAACAATCCCGTATGATTAGCAAAGAGAAAAGGCTCCAGAGATGGTGCGGCGTCTGGCATGCTGGCTGATGACATCAATAATCAAGCAAGTCTTAGCTGCTGGTTGCTGATCTGGGGACTTCAGTTTTCCCACGCAAGGTTGGCAGGTCCCGCTTATGGGAAATCTGGACATCGATCACCCCCAGATTGGTCAGAGCCCCCAAGACATTCCCCAGTGTGACCCCCGCAGCGCCTGAGACAAGCAAGCAAGCCAGGCTGAGAACGTCAGCTCCAGTCGTCCTGCCTGCCAGCCTGCCAGCCTGCCTGCCTGCCCAGCCCACGGCCCAGCCCAAGGTTTGCCCAGCAGGAGGGAGATAGATGTAACATCCGGGGAGAGCACGCCGCATGGTGCTAACGAGCTTCATGCCAGGCAAAGCTTCGTGCCCTCAGAACACGCAGTCCTCTGCCACTGTACGCAGGTGAAGTCAGTTCGTGGAGCCACGCCAGCCTTGGTCAAGTGACCCTCTCCTGTCCGTCCTTGGGCCGGCCTGGCAGCCTGGGAGTGGACTGCACCACGAGTGACTGCACCACGAGTGACAATGCGAGTGACACCACGCACAAGGTCACGACATCCTCGTCCTCGTCCTCGTCCTCGGCCCCGGCCCCGTCCCCGTCAGCGTCAGCATCACACTGATTTTAACATTCCGGACCCCCATCCCCAGCGGGCCGCGCGGGCGGGTGACACGGGGAAGCGCAGGAACGAAGCCCAAGCCAGTCATTCACCATCCCGTGACCATCTCTGAGGCAGACGCGAAGGCAAAAAGACAAGAAGGGATTTTGCTGCTTAACCCCTCCTCCCCGCCACTCCGGACCTGCCAGCTGGCCGTGTCTGCGTGTCTGACCCGCCTGCCCGCTAGGTTTGCAGAGAATTCCTCAGCGGGCACATCTTATTAGCACCATTTGCCCCCGGCCGCCCATGCCAAGGCCCCATACCCATACTCCAGACTCCAGACTCCAGACTCCAGACTCCAGACTCCAGACTCCAGACTCGAGGTGCACCGTTGTGCCCCCGAGGTATCAAGATATCTACCTAGGTACTCGAGTAGGTAATCATCTGGCGTGACCGGTCGACCCAGAACTGCCAGACCGACGAGAGAGGACTGGCCAGGTATGTACAGATAGATGGTCAGGTGAGAAGAACAAGAACAAGACCAAAAATATGAACAAGAACATGTACATGAACAGGAACGCGATTGATTTGTGTGCGAGCGTACTGTATGTACCTCGGTACCGCGGCGCACGTCTGTGGCGAATCACGTCGCTGGCTGGTCCCTGCTCGGGTCTGCATCTCATCCTGCACTCCGCAATTCGCAATTCGCACGTTCATTCCCCCATCTCGCGCTTCCGGTTTTGCCTTTTGCTCAGAGGCAATTCCCCAGTGCCCAGATGCTTGCCCAGCGGCCCCGGCTCACCGCCCAGCCATTTCCTGTGTCCAGCCTACGCAGTACCTAGGTAGTCTGCAGACGTTTCTGTCTGGGTACGGTTGGACTGCAGCACGTCAGTCACGCCTTCGGTCTGATGGCCTACCGGTTTTTGGAAGCCCAAACCGACGACAACCTTGCAACTCAGCTCGAGGCTGCGTTCGCAATGGGACGACCAGGTTGGATCTCAAATGGCGTCCCCCCTTCCCCACTCGAGCCATCCACCCGCCATCCATCCGCCATCTTTCCGTGTCTCCCATCTGACCGTTTCGCCGTCTGTCGACAGCTGCAGGCGTCTTCACACATGTACGCACACATACATGCACTCGTCTACCCGTCCACTCGTCCGCCCGGCTGCCCACCCGCCCAACCTTGGCATAGTGCTCGTCCGTGCCGGGTGTTTATCGTGCATGAGAGGTGAGTGAAGCTTGACGGTGCACCCTCGGCCCTGCGCTCAGGTTAGTCAGTCCTCCTTGTCGAGGTTGTCCTGGCTCTATCTATCGAAGGAGTCGGCATCTTGGACGGCCAACCAGAGCCCACCTCCCTGTCATGTTGTTCACACCGGTTGCAAGACACACCCTCCCCTAACACCCCCCAACATCCCCCCATCATGCCCCATCGTGGCCCTACCCCCACCCCCTTCATCCCACGTCTTTGCGCTGCGGCGCTGCAACGTCAAGGGCTCGCAGCCCGGTGCACATTGACACACTTGTTGCGCTGGCGGCCCCGACCCCGACGCTCGAGCCACACAATGTCTCGGTAGGCCGGACGACATGGCATGTCCAGCAAATTGAGATTTGCCCTCGGGTGGCCAGCTGCGCAGACAGAGTTCCCTGTCTCCTCCTCCCCCACGCATCCTAGGCCAGACAAGCCACTGCCCAAGCGGCTCTAGCGGCCCCAGGCCGAGATACCCGCTCGGGTTAGCATCCCTCTCTCGCCCTTTGGCCCTCTATCTTCCCCACCCGGGGCGCCCAGCACCCTGCAAGACCCAGGCACCCTGTAGGCAGGTAGGCAGGTAGGCCGTACCGTGCAGTCGGCCGTGTACCGTGTACCTCCGTACCCATGTGTCCCCAGTCCTACTGCGCGGCGCCCTGCAATCGCAGAGCCCAGACCCAGACCTTCTGGGATCGGCAAGGACCCCAGACCTTTCACGTCCAACCCATTGAATCCTCCATTCACTTTTCCACATCCCACACTTTTAAGTCTTGGACCCGCCGCCTCCCCCCCCCCCATTGTCCCAGTCCTTGAGTGCTTTGCCGCAGCCTGTTTGGTGCTTTTGCCCTTTGGGTCTTCCCCGACCACCGCCTTCCGCCTTCCGCCATCCAGCGCGAAGCCCCAGAAATCCAATCCCCCCTCTCCGAGTCATCTGCGATATCTCTCTCCACGCCCTCAGTCATGCAGCTTTTGTCCTGACCACCCAGAGACCCGCAGACTCGAGACACCCGCGCACCAACCTCTTTCCAGATCGGCGCTGGTGTTCTGCTACAACTCACCTCACCCACCTTTCTCTCACGCAACCCGCTGCCCGTCATAAACCAGACTGGCCGCCTCGAGGCCCACCTGCCAGCCAGGCACCCTCACTCAATTTCTCCACACCCTTGGCCGTCGCTGGTCGCCCTGCAAGTCAACAACCCGACGCTGCACAGGATCGGCCTCCAACATCACCACCACCACCACCAGTCCCCGCTGCTTCGAGCTGCAACTCCTTGGTTCAACCTGCGCGCGCAATTGCAAAGGCCACAGCAGCAGCTCCCTCTGACCAGCACCGGTGGCATACAGATGACGGAATTTCCCCTCTCAAAACACGGGCAAATATTGACGGTGACGTTGGGCGCCACGTCCAATTGATCGCCGGTGGTTGTCCGTCAAGATGGCGGTGGTAATTACTTCGGAAGAGGGTGCTTACTTTGCCTCCTCTACACTCCGTCGATCTCATTCCCAGACTAGGTTCGGCCCCAGGCAACCAGGCGGTCTTCACGGCTCGTCTTCTGCCTCGAGGATACAAGACCTCTACCAGCCGCAACCCGTCAAAATCTTCGCCGACTCGACGCTCTCCACTGCACCGTCCTCGCCGCAGACAATACATGCGTCGACCGCCGACCACTCCTGCTCCTCCACACCTGCGAGCAATCTGTCCCTCTCGACAGACAGCGAGGTTTGTGACAATGGGCTACTTCACGACTTGGCCGACGAGAGCGACATCGTCTTTCCCACGTACAACGCGTACCTGGGCCCGCCAACACCTGAGGAGCTGGAGCCTCCTCCCAGCCCCCGTACTTCGAGTTCCCCTGGGTACGAAACATCCAACACAACCTCGAATCCCGAGACTCCCGAGTCTTCCTGTGACCTGACCGGTGGTGCCGTGGATGACACAGCAGTCGGGGCACAGCCTACCCGTCACGTCGACTACTTGTCACATGACTGGAAGGAGGAGGACATCTGGTCGTCCTGGAAACACATCATCTCAAACAGGGATGGCTTTGGCGGCAATTCCGCACGGCTGGAGAATGCCTCTTGGAGGACCTGGATCAAGGCAAAAAACAACCTCAAGACCGTGTCTCCTGAGACGCTCAACTGGTTTGTCTTGTATCTCGCTCCTATCGCCATATCCCGCCACTAACTCTCAGCCCAGGCTCAAGGACTGTGACGTAACCTGGCTCTACGGTCCTCTGTTGACCGGGAAGACAAGTGATCTCTCACGTCCTAGAGACGATGAAGGAGCCGCTAGCTTGTCGAAATCCAACTCTTTCATACACTCACAATCAAAGAAGAAGCCGATCCTGAAGAAGCGGAGCATGTCAGAGATTATACTGCAGAAATCATTGTCATCATCCTCCCTGATCAAGCAGGCGGCGGCGGCGGTTCAGGCTCAACAAAAGGAGATGCCTCGTGGCATTAGGGTGTCACCACGACCCAGATTTGAGCGGGCTGCCACTGACTACGTGACGTTCCCCTTCTCATCACGGCGGTTGAGTCGAGACCAGTTGAGTACCGGCCCATCGACGTCAACCTCGGGCGTGATCTCGCCCAACAGCGAGCGCAAGCACATACACTTCAACGAAAAGGTTGAGCAGTGCATTGCTGTTGACATCAAAGGTGACGATGATGACGAGGATGATGTTGACACAGACCGATATAACTATGGTAGCGACTCGGACGACGGTATCATGATGAAGAAGACGAGCACCAAGAAACGGAGGCCAGTACTGAGGAGGAAGACGAGCAGTCACGCCAAGGCTGAGAAGAAGAGCATCAACATGTTACCACCGACGACACTCAAGTATAGAGAGGACACACCTGAACCACCCGAGACGGCAATGAAGCACTCGTATAGGAGCCCAGTCATGTCGCCATCATCGTCACAAGAGACTCTACGGCCGTCGAAGCCATCTTCAAAGATGTTTTTCGTCGATGACGAAGACGAGGATGACGAGGAGGATGACGGTGACTGCTCAGAACTCAGCGACGGGTTGAGGTCGCCACCCGCCGGCGGACTCTCCTCGTCCTCGGGATTCCGCCGCACCACTTCATCGAGCAGCTTAAATGCGGCCCCTTCCGGTATGAGACGGACGGAATCAGGTATGTTCATGCCCTATGAGGAAGGTGAAACGGCATCGGAAGGCATCGTTGGCTTCGTCCTTGATACGGTGAATACGGCCCGAGACATCGCCCAGTATGTACCTTCCGCGCCCAGAACCCTACTTGGATCTACAACTATGGAACCGAGGAGACTTGAGCGACTCGGTGTTGCCCACATGTGCTAATTGTTATGTCTCTAGTGTTGTCTGGAATGTAGGATGGAGGAGATGATGTTGACTTGCTTATTCAGAAAAAGGCTTCGCAGAGGTCAACCTCCGATTCCGTCGTTAAGGCTGAGAGCTTCCCTCACAGGGCTGTCTCCCCGTCTTGATGCGGCCTTTCAGCACGTCTCTCCTGCCTACCCACAACCCAGTCCAGGCCTTGTATCTAGCGAGCGAGTGTACGATAGCGTCTTGGAAGCATTTGAGCATAGGGCATTGGTTGAACGTTGCCATTTTCTTCCCCGCCGCCACTACGACATCTGCCCATTCTCAGACGGACAATGGCTCAGTTGACTTTTGGATCAGACCTAGCATTCGAGTCGCGAGAGGTCTGATCCCCACATCACGACTCGATATCAGCATCGCGGACGGCGTTTACGAACATTACTTTCCATCTTTGCCTACCTACCGTGCAGCAGCCGCTGCTCATTCGGTGAAGGCCATTCCTATCCGGCTGTCGATTGCCTCGTGGAGGCAGGCTGGGTGAATTAGCCGATTGCAACTCATATTGCGGCGTTGTGCATGGTCACGGCTCATCGCACATGTTTTTTTCGGCGGGTGCATGAGGAAATGGGGTTTTCTCTTCCTCCATTCCTTTTTTTCCCCCTGTCGCGCTTTGCCACGTTTGGCAGACGCGCGCAGGTCCAATTTCAACGCGGGCGGTATAAAAGAAATAATCTGGATGGAAAAAGTCATTTGAAGGTTTCAAGGGGGCGTTCATCAGAGGATATATCATGGATCAACGGACGGACGGACGGACTTGGGGCCAACGGGGTTCACGGGGTCTCAAAGTCAAGGGGGGGAACACACAGCCTCCTGATAGATAGGAGAAACCAGCCGGAACGGCCACATGCACTCAGCGTGCGATGGCCGGCACCAAGAAAGAAAAAAAAAATTGGACCTCAGCACTTGTGCAAAAGTGTATCTGGAATGGGCCGTGGCATCGTCGGTACGCCTACCTGGCAAGGATGAATCGATAAGCCACCGGGCTGTGAAATGAACGATATTCCATGAAGGGAAGGCGGGAAGCAAACGAGGAACTCTCTCAATCGTCTTGACAGAACCTTTGATGGATGTCAAGAATCTGGCTCGCCCCTACTCATGCGTTGGTGAACCACCGGGCCGTCCTACAGATATATCTATCTGTGCACATGAGGTTGATCTGGGTTCAGGGCGGCCGGGATGGGCACGTGTGAAGAAAATAATTGTTCGCCTCGAGTCGTGCTGCGAGCATTTGAGAACCACATCCATACTAATAGTTCTTCTCGTAGATATTATTGCCATGCATATATGATTTACATTGTTGTTACACCAGAGAAGCTTCTATGAAACTTTTTACAGACCGTGTTAGATGTTTGAAGCTGCGGGGTATAATGTCTACCGGCCGTCTATGAATGCGAAGCATAGAGCAAACCGTCGTCCAGCCCTCCTTCGCCCGGCGTCCGCTCGGCCCTTCCACCCCGACCCCCCCCCCCAAAAAAAAAAACAAAAAAAAAAGTGCCGGGGTCGGTCGGTATCATGCCTCATCGTGCTTCCTTGGTGCTGGCCCTCGCCACAGCCTCGACAAGCACCTCGCCCAGGTGGACATTAACGTCCTGCAGCTTGACCTCGAACGCATCGCCCCTCTTCAGGTCAGCCGTCTTTACCCCCATACTTTCCAGGCCGTCCGGGACCATGCGCGCGCGCAGCCCGAACCAGTCCAACTCGCCTGTGATCCATCCCTGGGCGGACTTCCACACAGTGAACCGGAAGGTGCCGGGCAGCTTAGAGTCGTGCTCCGAGGGGTACTTCCACGCGCGGAAGAGCGCCTGGTGCAGGTACGCGTCGTTGCCGTCGACATTGCCCAGGCGCCGGATGATGCGCTGCCGGAGCATCATCCAGGGGAGCACCTCCGAGGTGAGCTTCTTGTCGTCAAAGGGGAGTTTCTGCTGCTGCTGCGCCGCCGCCGCCGCCGCCTTGTCGTTGCTAGTCTCCTCCTCCCCCTCCCTGCCCTCTTGCAGGAGCGCTGCCTCGATCTGCCAGTGTGCAACCAGGTCCGAGTACCGCCGCAAGGGGGACGTCACCTTGGCGTAGGCCTCCACGCCCAGGATGAAGTGCGGGCCCGGCTTCGTGGACATCTCGTCCGGCCCTATGAGGTCAAAGTACTGCCTGGACTGCTCCACGCTGGGATCCTCGCCGCGGAGCAGCAGAGGGTAGTACACCCGCTCGGTGTAGGCCCTGAGGAGCTCCAGGTTCTTCTCGGCCCCGGGCTGCTTGACGAAGGGGATGGGGATCTTGCGGTCCGCACACCATCGCGCGGCTATCTCTCCTGCTAAAATCATGGTGTTGGTCACCAAGGGCGCCTCGGCACCATTGCCCCAACTGATGCTGATGGATGGATCGCCGTTGCAGGTCAGGAGACCTGACGGTGTTTCTTCAGTGGAGGTTCCATCGAATGAGGCCTTGGCCTCGGGGCGGGCTGCAAAGACCGGCGCAGCGCCCCTAGCCAGACGCCTTTTATGAATGGCCATTGCGAGCCGATGAAGCGTCTTGAGTGATTCGAGCTCATCCTTTTGAAGCTCGGAGGCGGTCACCATCTTCCTGTTCTCGGGTTTCTCGGGGGGCTTCTGGCCCACTCGGAAGTTTTTCGTTGTTGCCCATGCAGGTGGCTGTCGGGGGTTTTCACATCCTACAGCCCGGTTGACCTCTTCGGGGGTGATGCAAATGATATCTTTGAGCCGACCGGGGGTAATCACACACTCCAGGAGGTCTCCATTATTATTCACCTTGCCGCTGAAGGTCAGACAAGGCTTGTCAGGGCCGAGAGAAAACAGCTCCTGGACCTCATTACCCACACCCCAGATGTTGGACTGGTGCCCCGAGACGTACAAATTTAGCGGCAACAGCTGAGCGCGCCTTGCGAGTGGACAATCGGGCTGAATGCGAGAAGCAGGATCTGCTACATGGATGTGTATCCAATTCTCGTCTGGATTGTCGGTCTTCTCAAAGGACACGGCATCGTCAACGTCGACTGTGTCTTTGGAGTCAATTGCAAACACTTGGTGGTCATTCCACTCCTTGCGCTTGCCCATGAAAGGGTCCACGGTCAATTGATCGGAGATGCCGTCTGGCCCCAGCTGCAGACGTTCGAAACCTGTCACCCGGGATACCGCAACTCCTGGGACGCAACTGGTGTAGCGTGAGTGAATCTCCCAGGGGCTCAGGTACCCTACCTCCTGCAAAAATGTCCACCCAGTGCTGGCAGACAAGTACTCGCTGTCTCGGTACTTACCGATAGCCCTCAGGATTGTGGATCCTATCGATTGGAAGCTCGAGGACAGCGAAAACTGACCATAGCCAGCCCATAAGTTCATGAAGTGCAATATGCTCAAATCGACCTCTGTCCATTCCACTCTGGCCGGGGGCCTGGGCTCCTTCGCAGGGCTAAGTGTCCCATGGGGCGTCCAATCACGGTACCGCCGGCTTTGGCCAATAGCTTTCCTTGCTTTCAGAATGAAGCGACCTAGCTGGCTCTGGCTCAAGATCGAGTGATCCAAAGACGAAAGCGGCTTTTTAACCTCTTTGGGTATATCGGTGAAGAGTCTGACCAATGTCTGCATGTTGTGTACCAACGCAAAATCCTCAGGCGGTGTGATGGCGTACACCGTCGTCTTGGTAGAGCCTAGAGAACCGACCAGTCGAAATCCAACGCTGTCGGCCATGAGAGTGCGGTGGACAGCATACAAGATGTGCTGCTGAAAGTCCTTGCCCTCCCTCCAACCTTTCCGCTTGGTCAACCGGCTGGCGATCTGCTCCAGAGTAAGATAGCTGTCCTTTTCACTGGCCAAGATCTCGTGGGCGTTCTGAAATTGGGTGGCGTGTTGTTGCAGAGCGACTTGCATTTTCTGTTGAAAGATGTTCATGGTGCGCAGGAGCGCGGCACCAGATGCACGGTCCGGGCCCATCTTGAGATCTTTCATTGCCCGTAGCGTCTCTAAGGGCAAAGCCTCTTTAGGCAGCTTATCAATGACGGGCTGGAGCGCTTCATCATCGACGAAATTCCTGACAACGAAGTGGGATGTCACTGTGGGTGTGGGAAACCACTTTCCAGACGTCGTGTAGAAGTGGTAAATCCCGTGGAAATTCCCAAGACAGACGCCCAACAAGGGAACAACATCGCCATCGTCCTGCAGCTCGATCAAGTCGCCGGCTCTGAATCTGGACGGTGGAGGGAGAAGATCAAAGAGGCCATCACTGTCGGGGAGCGCCTCGTCCAGGGCTGTTGGTTCCCCTTCTTCCGGCTCTATCTCGCCCAGAGGGCGCGCCCTAACGGACAGATTGCGCGCTTTCCCTGGGACAAGGCTGTCTTTAGATAGGGGCGTGGCCTCTGGTACCTGGTTCTCGGCTTCCCATTGCCGCAAGCGCTGTCGGATATTTGGAACAAAGTCATCTTTAGAGCTCGTATTGGGAGATTCTTGCACGGTCGCAAAGGTCTTGATATGACGAATAAAGTTAGTTACAGGACTATGCAGAGAAAACAAAGGTCACAGCTGGCACAAATGAATCGAGGTGCTCACCCTTCGGTCGATTAGAGAGAGGTTGTGGCCGCGGATAGAATTGCCTCGAAGGCTACTTCTGGCCAGCCCAGCCGCCCTATTGGAGGGCACTACCGACTGGGCACCTCTCGAGATGCATCTCCAGCAGATGTATGATCCAGAGGGAGGCAGTCGCATACTGGAAAGGGAGGGGCACTCAGAAGAGCGCGAGTGTGATGCTGTGGACGATGGTGCGCGAGCCGGGTCCCCGTTGAAAAGTTTATGGAGCAGCCCGCTTATCGCTCCCGATAAGAAACAGCCCAGGCCATGACGTGCATTGCATTCCACTAAAACCCCCTAGCTTGTCCGTGCGGGTACCCAGGTACTTGGGTTCCTCCCTGAGAAACAGACTCGCTCGGTCAAAACGTCTAGCAACATCAGACGGCACTTGTACATGCCAATGGACTTTATATGTGTGTACCCACACATTGATACACTCTACCCGTTCATATAGATACGTATCTCAATAGCGGCCAAAGACATTTCTTGGATACATTTTGCCCCTCGTAGCTTATCATTTTGAGGTCTGCTGGGGCGCCCGAATCAACGCCTCGAGCAGCACAGAAGCAACAGGCGAGAACCCCATTGGTCCGTGATTCCCTCCGGCCGTTGAGAAAAGCTAGATGGGATGGCCTTGGGAGAAATGTCTCATCCTGCTTTGCATGCTTGCCACATAAGCTGTGCTACCCCTTCATCTCTTGCTCGCCTCTCCCTCGCCTCACCTCGTGGCGGCCCGGGTGCACAAGACGTGCTGTGGATAGATTCAAAATGTCTCAGTTGCAATCGTCGGGCCGATCACAGCACAATCTCCCCTCGAGGAGCCGTCAATAAGAACGGTGTCGAGAACGGATGAGGACGAAGGATTCCTGTGTAATTTGATATGTTGCTTTCAGCGGCTCACCTACCTCCCCTCCCGTCTTTCGTCTCGTGCGACTCGACTTTGGCGCCCTCAAATCGGGAGACCTTTCCCTCGTTTTGTGGTGGCCTCTTCCGTCCGTTCGTCGATACTCTGGCCGCCACTCGTTCCCGGCCGACGGCTTGGTGCTTATTCTTTGTCCGTATCTCCATGTTTGCGGGCCATCTACCCGCAGCCTTGTATCGTTTGCGGCTTCTACAAGAGCCGGGCATTGACGCCGTGGAGAGGCGAGGACGCCCAAAGGGTACGGGCATGCCGGTACACATTCCCTGTTTTCAGAGGCAATCATCACAGCCGTGACTGGCTCCTCCTCCCGTTGCTTCTTTTGTTCCCCGGGTCCCCTCTTATACCACGGGCAGCCAGGCGCCCTCGACCGTCGGGGAAGGACGTTGGGCCCACAGCCGGACCTGACATATCTTGAAACGTGCGACCGCTCCCGACTGGCTTATTAGCAACGCGACGAAAGTTGTACCAGGCGTGCGTGCCCTTGCCACTCGCTTCGAGAACAATTACCAACCGGTCTTTACCCACGATGGCTTCACGACTTGTCGTGCTGGCGCTGGCGGGCTCCATGGCCGTCGCCCAGGACATGGACGCGAAGCCGGCCGGCCATGAAATGACGACGTCGGGCGACAGCAGCCCCGTGATCACCACTACTGCGCACCTGGCGGCTGCCGATGCGACGACAGCCAGCCAGGCGGTAGCGGCAACGACGGCCCTGCCCACGGCAATCATGCCATCTGACGTGTCAGACGTGTCGGGCACACCAACGACCTTGGTCATAGACACGCAGACGCCGCCTTCGCCTTCTTCTAGCGTGAGCTGGTCGATCACGACCACTTCTGAGACGGGGCACATGACCATGAGCCACGGCAACATGAGCGGCGTGGCGGGGCCGACTGGCGCTGGCTCGGCGTCAAGCACTGGGGGGGTTGACAATGTCAACGGCGCCGCGCGCAGCGTGTTCAATAAGGTGTCGGTAGGTTGAGAGCAGTAGCCTGCCAATGGGCGAACACGCATGGACTAACGGACCGCACAGATTGGGATGCTAGCCCTGTGCTTGGCTGCTAGCGCAGCGCTGCAAATGTAAGGGGCGGACAGACGAGGCTCGTGCCAGGCTCGTGCGAGGCTCTCCATCGGGACCTGGGGGTAATGTGTTATGGCTTTGGGTGTGTCTTGCAGTGTGGACATTGCTAGATGGGGCTTCTTAGGGTCTTTGAGCTTCGATTACCAAGTAATGAAAAGAGACTATGTTTCGAGATATCACGTGTTGCCGCATTGGCAAGCGGGTGGTGAAATCAAACAGCCTAACAGGCAGCGAGATTAGCTGCACGGCCAAGCTTTCTCATCACGAGATGGATCTCCTGGACTGGGCCACTGATCAACAGAAGGGTGTGAGCTGGCTGGCTGGCTGGCTGGCTGGCTGGCTTGATCGGAAGATTAAGGGCGGGTCAACGTCCAGGAGGGGGTTGATAGATATCCAGATGTTGTACATGTACTTGTCTGAGGATGGAAAGACAGCGATCGCCGCCAGCCCAAGGGAGGAGGACTGTGGTCGCTGGGTCGCTGGACCCCGGCCCAAGGATCTACAGCACAGACAGGCACAAATGCAGGTACGGGCCCTCTAAAAGGTTAGACTACTCCAGTTGCAGCTAAGGCGATGGAGACGGTGGAAAGAGCGATCGCCAATACCGACTGCTTGTTCAGGCAACCAATCTTCACAGCTGCTATCTTAGCCTTGCCAGCACGGGAACAGCCCATTTACGATACGAGCCAGAAGATGGAAGGTGATTGTATTGTATCCCACCGCACCGCATCGCACCGCACCGCATCGCATCGCTTTGCGCACCTAGCACCACATCAGCAGGAACCGACAGTGATAAGGGGCCAGGGACCACCACGGCGGCGACGGCGACGGCGACGGCACAGAGAGCTCGAGTCATCCGACAACAGCGAACACCCCCAGTTTTACCTGCCCCCAAGTGCCGGATATGCGGTCAAGCCTCGGAAACCTTCCACGCCAGCACCGCCCTCGTGGCACCCATCTTGCAGACGTCGCCTCGAGCCAACCAGGTCAAGGGCTGCAGGGCTGTCCTAGCTCGTGCTGATCTCAAAACCGTCCGACCGTCCATCTCTGCTTCGTCCAGACAAACAGACTGACAGACTGACAGACTGTCAGGCCTGTCGGGCTCGAGTGCTGCCCTGCCAGCCTGCCAGCCTGCCAGCCTGCCAGCCTGCACCCGCGGTGCTGGGGTAGTCATATATCCAATTTCCCTTTTGTGGTCCGTCCTTTCAAGCCGCGCCGTGACTGGCCCGCGCCGTCGAGCATCCCTGTCGTCGTTCGTCTGTTCTCGGTTTAATGCCGCCGACCAGCCTGGCATGTCCCGGCCGTTGCCATCTCCAGGTTTCCCCCTATTCCGGCCGCCCTCGCAACTACGGAGTACCCTACCATGAGTCCAAATGACAGCAGCCTCGCCGTGTCCCAACCTCATGCTAGCTCGGCCCCGTGACTGTCGAACCGACCTCACGACCGCTCGCCTGCGGCCTGCCCTGCCCACGATGAGGAGTGAGGTCCAAGTCTTGGCGGCACCCTGCGCTCTCAGATGGGTCACTTGAGCCCACCGAGCGCTGATGAGCAGGTGGATATCATCTCTCCGTCGACACTGGAGAGATTAGCACTCTCGCCCAACCACACAGCCAGACACCCAGACACCCAGACCATGCGGTGGGCCTCCCCGTCGGACTCGACTGTGGGGCTCCACCCGCCCATCTCGCCGTCAGTGCAGATGTGTGATCAGGGGTACCGACGCTCTGCCCGGCTCCGCTCCACTTCACTACCCCGGCGTCGCCAGAGGTAATAAAACAATACACTCCTCGACCCGGCGCCCTCTCATCCCACCTGTTCCCCCTTCTTTTACCTCCCCCACGGACCCCTTTGATGCGGTGATATTGTCAAGTGGAAAGCATCGCCAGCTTTCGCCTCTCCGTACCATAATCCCGACCTACCGCTTCACTCTTTCAGCGGGCACTCGTTATTCTGCAAAAGAAGAAAAAGAAGAAAAAAAAAACTAACCCTCCGAAATAATTACCCGACTGTAATACGGTGTCTTTGTGGTTTCACCCCGGAAACATGAAGACCTCATCCCTTGTGGCCGCCGCCCTCCTCGGAGGTGCTAATGCCCATGCCCACCGCCGCGCGCACGACCTCTTCAACAAGAGGGCCAACGACACCGAAGTCTGCGTCCCCGGCTGCACTACCTACTACACCACCGTCACTGGCACCGACTTCATATGTATGTCATCAGTCTCACAAACCAGCTGATATCGGCCTGTGTTGCGGGGGACTAACTCTCTGAACAGGGCAGCCAACCCCCAATGCTCCGGCCATGACCCCCAGCAGCGCTGTCATCACGCCTCCCTCTGAGGCCGTGACCCCGACCGCATCTGCTGCCACTTCCCCCGTGGCCGAGACTCCTGCCGTGGTTCCCACCCCTATCGGCCACACGGTCCCCACGCCCGGTAAGTACTCACCCGTGGTGGTGACGAGGATCCATCAAGGGCACCGGCTGACCGCGCTGCAGGAACCTACACTTTCCCGGCCACGACCATGACCGTGACTGAGACCACCTCTACCGTGGTCCCATCCACGACTGAGGTGCCCGTCGGGACCCACACGCTGGGCGGTGTCACCACGTAAGTTCACCCGACACGCCCCATCTCCCGGCCCGGATGGCCGGGGCTGGGTAGCCGGGGCTGGGTACTCAGTGCGGGTCTGCCACTGGCGATCATGGCTAACCCATCTGTGTAGCATCGTGGAGACCGCTACGACGGTTGTCTGCCCTTACGCCACTGTCTCGACCCAGAGCGGAGGAGTTGTCACCAGCCTGATCCAGACCACTACCTACGTAAGACCCACCAAACCTCCGCAAGTGCTATGCGAGTTGCAGCGCAAGACGCTGTGGGAGATGAGGCTGACTTTTTGAACCAGGTCTGCCCATCCGCTGGCACTTACACTATTGCTCCTACGACCACCACTGTCACCGTCCCCGAGACCGTGACCGTCCCCGTTGTGGCGACCTTCACGCCTGGTACCTACACCGCACCGGCCGTTACCACCGAGGTCACCACCCAGACCGTTATCTACTGCCCCTTCGAGGGCGTTGAGGCCACCTCCACTAGCGCTGTCGTTGTCCCCGGCCCCTCAAGCGCCGCCGTCCCCCCCGCCGTCCCCAGCGCCGCCGTCCCCAGCGATGTCGTCCCCAGCGCCGCCGTCCCCAGCGACGTCGTCCCCGCCGCCGTCTCCAGCGTCGTCGTTCCTCCCGTCTCCAGCGCTGTGCCACCGCCTGCCAGCTCTCCGGTCGCCGTCCCGACCACCTCTTCGGAGATTGCCCCCGTGATCTCGTCGGCTTCTTCCTCTTCTTCCTCGACCGCCGCTTCCTCCACGCCTACTGGAACCCTGGGTGGCGGTGGAGGCCTGTGGGCCATGACCTACACGCCCTACGACTCCTCGAACGGCGAGTGCAAGACTGCTGACTCCGTCGACGCCGATATCAAGTCCATCTCCGAGGCTGGCTTCACCACTCTCCGTGTGTACTCTACCGACTGCGACACCCTGCCTCTGGTTGGTGACGCCTGCAAGAAGTACGGCCTCAAGATGATTGTCGGTATTTTCATTAGCGAGTACGGCTGCGCCAACGGTTCCCCCGATGTCGACACCCAGATCTCCGCCCTCAAGGAGTGGGGCCAGTGGGACCTCGTCGAGCTCATGGCTGTCGGAAACGAGGCCCTCTACAACGGCTACTGTACCGCCCAGGAGCTCGTCAACCTCATCCAGCACGTCAAGAGCGAGCTGACCGACTACACCGGTCCCTACACGACCACCGATATCGTCAGCGCCTGGGAGCAGGAGGACGTCCAGTCCATCGTGTGCGACGCCGTCGATGTCGTTGCCGCCAACATCCACTCCTACTTCAGCGCCGATGTCCTGCCCATCGACGCCGGCAAGTTTGTCAAGAGCCAGATCGAGAACGTCGAGAAGGCCTGCGGTGGCAAGCCCGGCTACGTCCTCGAGTGTGGCTACCCGACTGCCGGCAACGTCAACGGTGTCAACATTCCCTCCCCGCTGAACCAGGAGATCGCCATCACCAGCATCAAGGAGACCATGGGTGACAAGGTCGTCTTCTTCTCCGTCAAGAATGACGAGTGGAAGGCTGACGGCGCCTGCAACTGCGAGAAGCACTGGGGCGTGGGTAACCTCTTCGGTATTGTCAGCATCTAAGTCAAGTCGGTAATATAGTAAGCGCTTGGATATAAGAAAATTTGTGTGTGTTTGACCTTCTTGTACATCGGATTCATATGCCAACTTCACCCAATTCGATATGCCAATTACTGCCGCCATTCAACAACTTCACCTTCATATAACTAACATGGTGTACGAGTGCCTTGTGGCTGTGCAAGGGTGTCAGTCAGAGAAAGAGCCGGCCGGCCGAATGTTAGCGAAACAGTTACATTTTGAGATTGGAGATTTCGTTGCTCTACGCACAAGATAGGATCCGCATGTAGACAGACATGTATCAACAATATGGCAAGGCAAGGCTTGCAAGTCCTCACACATCATGTCTTTGTCTTTTCCTCGTCACCGACCCAAGATGGCTGTGCTGTCTCTATCATCCGGGCCCAGGCGCCGTGCTCATGATTAGACGTGGTTGCCCCTGCAGCTTCAAGGGAGAAGAGTGGCCACGTGCGAGCCCAAGTACCCGGACGAACCAACCACGGTGCGCCTCCTGATGTGCTTCTTTTGTCTCGCCAAGAGGAACAACAGCAGCACATCCAAATGTTGCGCCTCACCGTAACACATGCTTTGCAATTGCTGTGGAGCCGTCTGTCTCTTCGTATGCGCACAAGCGCCTCCCGCTGTAATTTGCTGTGATGTAAGATCGCAATGTTGGTGTAGTGGCTATGCAGCATACAACATGACGCAAGAAGCCCCTGCCTGAGACTTGTTTGTCTTTCTCGCAAGTCACAAAGGTTGTTGACAGAATATGCAAATGGGTGCGAATGCCCCTCTTGTTAGTGCTTGGTCCTATTCAATACTGAATGTATAATGCCCCTGTCCTTTGATGACAACCACGGCCTTCCAGGACTTGAATTGCTTATAATTTGTATCAAAACGTTTGTTCCTATAGTAATTTGTGACGTCACAGCGGCATTTGATTCCCGCCAGCCTGTCATAATATAGAGGAAACGAAGAAGTGAATGTCTTTCCGAACATGCAGTAGAAGAAATAACTTGTCGGAACCGTCTAGGTCGTTAGATGAAACACGGATGGGTGCGCCTTCTTTCCATGGACACAAAAAGCTAGGAAAGCACAACAGAGAATCTGCAGAAATGTTTCCACGTTGGATCGTGCCTGAGATCGAACGCTCCCAATGCCCGAAACTCCCGTCGAATCGTTCATGCAATGCTGAAGGTCGTGTAATAATGCTGGGTGAGACGCGGCTTCTGCCGCTTCGGGAGGGTTTCGAAAATTTTCGAAGGGTATCATGAGTGTTGGCAATTATATAGAAAAAGAGTCTTGCCGGATGTGCTCGGCCTGGACTCAGAATGGCGTCAGGGGCTCCAGAGCCAGGGCACGGCGTCTCCTTCGATTGTCAGAGTGCCTTTTTATCTGCCTGGGTGAGGTCCCCGATTCGTGCCAGTCGTAAGTGGTGTTCTTCCACCACCGGTCATACGGCCTATGCCTTGGATCATCGAGGTCGTAATTCCTCTCGGCGCCGACTCCGCATCGCTCGAGCTGGAAAAGTCCACCCCTGACACGATCGCAGCACAGGACGTGGAGGTCTTGCCCCTCATTGACGAAGGAAACACCGCCGATCTCTCCGAAGAAGTCGAAAGTCTGTTTCGCCTGGAAGGTCTGCGCGTCGATGATATTGACAAAGTCTGCTTCTTCTGCAGCAACCAGCACGCGCTTCCCGGACCCCACGGGCGAGAACTTCAGCGCTCGGACGCCTGCCATTTCAGATCGCAGTGTACAGACGGGCGTAGCAATTCCGCGGCTATTGGTCCAGCGGCGGGCGTCCCAGATCTTGATAGATTTGTCCTGGAAGCCAGTTGCGACGGTCCAGCCGTCGTCCGCCCAATCGCATGCAAACCCGAAATCCTCGTGGCCTTCGAGACACTGCAGTATTTCAGGTTGGCCATCGGCTTCTGCTTTCGTGATGAAGACCTGCTGCTGATCACCGACCATAACTCGTAGCCGACAGTCCGGGGAAATAGCAGAGCAGTTGATGGGTTGCGGAAAAGTCATGTCCGAGACAAACTTGTCCGTCGCGACATCTAGAACACGGAAGCCTTTGTCGTTGGAAGCGAATGCAGCCCTTGGACTGGACGAATTTCGGGACAAGTGAAGCTGCACATGATTGGTGATGCCGCTATTGTCATTTGTGATAGTTCCCTCATGGACCTGTGCGTCGCCGTCGTCGTCATCCGAGTCCAGCCGACGGAAGCAGTACTCGCCAAGAAACCCACCCGCCACCAGTGTACCGTATTCTGCGGCGAGAGTCGAGACCTGTAAATGTGGTGTATCCTGGGCTTTCATCGCAATTTTGCCCTTGCCGGAGACGGGGTTAAACTGGTGAACCGCCATTTGACTAGGATAGAAAACTTGGCTCCTGGAGGTCGATGCCAACACATTGCGCAGCTGGAAATGAGTAAGGTTGACGTTTTTCCGTACGTTCAGGCGTCGGAACCTGAAATAGTTTTCGGTGCATGGTAGAGCATCATGGTGTTCCTGCGACAGTCAGCCCACTTTTCATTTTTCATCGTCACTTGTAGTTTTTTCTGGTGACGTTTCAAAAGCAAAACACGCAGACAGGCGAATAATAAGCACTTCTTACCTGCCATCGGTCAGAACGCGGTATGTTGACATAGTTCTTGTATGTGAGTAATCGCCGCTCCCGAGCCTCGCTTCTTGTGACCCCCAAGTCGTCCCAGTTCATCCCCTGGACGTCGCAGCTGTCTCCCTCAAGATCGTTGTATTCTACCCGTGAGAGATCCTTGGAAATCTGGGGACTGATCCTGTCCAACCATGGATATCGGCCACGTTCCCGCGAGACCCCCTGCCATACTCCATTCTGCCATGCCCAAACGCGGATGAAATCGGCAAGGTTATAGTTTTCAGGCCCGAGTGCGACAGTGTTCGGGTTATTCATCAGGTTTGTGTGCGCTGTCTGGGTGTGGTGCAGGGGGACGTGATGCGCGATGTCGTTGTTCGCTTCATGGCCGTCTTCTGGTGGGCCATGAGGAGGTTGTGGTGGTTGTTGCATGGTGACAGCAGGATGGGTATGTGGTATGGAGCCCGGATATTGTAGAGCGTATTGGGCTTGGAAGGCGGCATAGTGCGGAACTGGATTCATCAGAGGGGGAGGGGAGGGGAGGCCGGCCAGGACAGCGTGTGAGACACTGATGTCGTCGTCATGGTCGGAGTCATAATCGACGTCCATGCCTTGGGTCAAGATGTTGGCGATGTCTCCGTAATGAACGGGCGCGCCGCCGTCGTCCATGTCATGGTCGTCGGACATGTCGTCGGCCTGGGACTGGGTGTCGGCTGAGTGGAGGAAGGACAGATGACGCTCCGAGTCGTGGTCATAGTCGGACGGCTCGCGGTCGTAGGAGGAGGCGTGCAGATAGTGCTCAAAGTCGGAGGCGGATGCGGAGGCGGAGGCAGTCGCCTTGAGGCCGTGATCGACAGCGGCCGTCGACTGTGAAGGAGGAACGGGCGAGGACGAGGACGAGGACGAGGACGAGGACGACGGCTCGCCGATGCTCCCGTAATACAAGGAGTTGTGAGGCCGGTCTGACTCGTCAGACCACATGTCGGTCGACTAGCCAGGAGATTGCTGGGCTGGTCGCATTCGCAGCCGACAAGGAAATGCTCGACGGTGGAAGCCCCTCCTCGACGACTCCGGCTGGGAGAGCACTGCCCACTTCCCGGGCAAATGTAGTCGCAGAAGGCTCCCGGCGGGGGATTGTTGGACTCGTCTTGGGAGTGCGAAGCCAGGCGGGAGAGGGTGACTGATTTAAGGGGGGCAGTAGAAACAAACCAGAGCAAGATGAGGTGAGACTGCCGGTGGTTGGAGGTCAGGATTGTGTCGGGATCGCAAGTGAATGGGCGGCGCCGTATTGCGGAAGGTCTGTCTGGTGGGAATAGGATTATGACGGCGGGCACAGGGCGAGGGTGGTATGGGCTAGACCAGACGAGACTAGACCAGGTAGGTAATCGAGTCAAGCTCTGGCGATCGTGGACGGGATTGTGATCTTGTGCCGAGTGATTTGTCGATGGATGCGACGGTGGTGTGATGGTAAGAAAGTTAGTCTGCCGTCAGACTTCAGGCCTGGGAAGTTCAGACGGGAGGCAGTCACTGCAGTGGCCGGTCACCTGGGCAAGGACTCGCAAGGTTTTGGGCTGGCGGTGCGATGGTGAGGAGTGGCAGTCGGCCGCGGCCGTGTGTGGCCTTGGAACTCGACGGTTGTGGCAGCGGAAGCCAGCCAGCAGCAGCAGAACAACGTTATCGGTACCGCGTCTAGTTGGCTGGAGGGCTGGCAGGGCAGGGGTGGAGGGGGTGGGAGGGGGGGTCGGTCAGGTCAGCTGTGCTGAAGGGGAGGAAGGTCCAAGGATCCAAGGGTGAGCGAGGTGAAGCAGTTGACGCGGGGAAAAGGCGAATTGGACGTCGAGTGCAGGCTTATGACAGGGACTGAGGGACTTTGTGCTGGCGCTGGCGCTGGCGCTGCTGGCTGGCTGGCTGGCTGGCTGGCTGCTCTGGTTGATATCTACCTATTCTGTCAGTTTTGTCTGGTAAAATGGACTGATCCGGCCAGGCGGCTCCAGACTTTGCGACATGCATTTCGGATTCCCGTTGCCTCGTCACCTATCGCTAAACGGGAATAATACTCCGTACCTAGGTAACGGTATCCTGTTCCTTCCTCTGATGGGGGAATGTGACGCTCGGCAGCGGGGCCACCCGCCTGACATTGACATGGGGCTTCGGAGACTGTGGCCCTTGATGTGGCCCTGCACTCAGCCATCAGAGACGTCAACAATCTATCTGTCAGTCTGTCAGTCAGTCTGTCAGTCTGTCCAATCCGTCCAACGGTCCGTCAGACTACGCCAGACCGGCCTCGGGATGGCGGAAGTCGACAAGCAGCCATGGCTGGGGCTGCTGGGGTTACGATGCATCCATCATCAATCATGGATCAGCACCAAATATGGTCTATTTGCTGCTGTCAGTCTACTAGCACCGACTCTTATCATGTGTCAACCCTCACCCTCACATCTCACACACGCTTTGGACCTACCTGACTACCTAGGTAACTACTTGATAAGTACGCTTACACTTACACGTAACACGTCCTCCACGTCCTCACACCCTCACACCCTCACGCCCTCGCCCTCACGCCCTCACGCCCTCAGCCAGGTCAAGCCAGCCAGCCCCAGCACCAACCTGCCAGGCCCCGAGCCCCTGCATCAGTCATCTTCTCATCATCGCGTAGCCCAGCTTGCCCAGCTCACCACACAGCTGAATCATGTCTGGCAGCCCTCCCATGTGTGCAAGCGCGCTGGCGCGATGGAGGCACCCGGGCATGTCTTCCACAAACCTCGTGCGTCGTGTGCCTCCGTCCCTCCCATTGGTCCTCTCGCAGGACTGGCAGATAATCCCCCGACCCCCCTCGACCTCTTCAGCTTGCACCTGCAGCCATGATGGTGTGCACTCCCTGCTCTGGGTTCCATTGTCTCTTCCAGCAAATCTTCTGCCACACCCCTCCCCTCCCCCGCCCGCCCCCCTCGCCAGCTTTTGCCCTCTGCCGCCTCTTCCAATTTGCCTCATGCCGCCCCGAGGCCACCTCCGCCTGTCCGCCTGTCCGCCTGTCCACTGTTCTGGTATCGTACCCGAGAAAGTCGATGTGTATTGTGCAGACTCGCCCTCCCTTGCCTGTATCCACCCAAGGCCCTACCCTCCTAGCAGTACGTACCTTGTGATGGATCCTCAATGCCTAATACCGCGTCCAACGCGGCCTGCTGGAAAACAAATTCCGAGCCAGAACATCAACTGACCTCCCCGTCATTCTGGAAACAAGGCCACTGCACTCTCCCTCACCGCCACCGAGGGATATATCTCGTGTGTGTCGGGTGCTCGCAGCTGTTTCCGCCTCGCCAGCCATACACACAAAAGACAGGCGATCAGTTGCCAGTCGGGAACCACTCAATGGGGGGTGTCCGCGGCGCTCCAGTGCTCTCGCCCTCCCCAGATGGCTCACGAAAGGCGGCAGGAATATTTATTGCCTTCTGTAACGGGGAGGGTCCGAGTTCGTACGTAGGATAGCTGGGGTTCGCATCAGTGATCCCCAGGTAATGTGCAGTACACGAACGTGGGAGGAAAAAGTGATCCTATCAGGCATCACGCCTTGATTGCCTGCGTGCCACGAACGTCTTAGCCCGTCAGGAGGGTGCGCAGCTGGCCCTTGAGGCCCAGATCCTTCTCACACTCTCTCTCTCCTCTCTTCTCTCTCCTCTCTTCCTTTTCTCTTTCTGTCTGTCCGCCTGTCTTGTCTGTCTCTTGATTCCCTCTTCGGGCTGCTTCTGCTTCTTCCCCCACCTCTATTGGATTGGCATCCTCCCTTAACCATGGACGGGGCGTATGCCACCTGGGGCCCACCCCAGCCCAACCAACCCCCCAGATCTGCGCAATATAGCCGACCCCGGCCTTCCAAAAGCGGCAGTGTGCAGCAGAAGTAATTGCTTGTTCGAGAACCTGTGGTGCTGCCCCCTCCTCCTGGCCCCCCTTCCCCTCATGACTTGTCTGTCTTCTCCGTCCCAGAGGGAAGAATCGTTGATCAAGAATTGCCTGCGTTCCATGCCTTTCGGCGGTGACTGCTCGAGCGGCCCGCCCGCCGGACGTGGCTAGGAGGATGCATATTGCATTGCTGTGGTTGGGTTATGGCTCTATCGGCCATCCTGGATGGGCGTGGGCCAATCATTGGACTGCAGGCAGGCGGAGCTTCACGGCCATTCTCTTCACACGGGGGACGAAATGCTGGTTGTCAAAGTCCTCACCTCACACAAAAGGTCCCAGAGCCCAAATGCAGGGGTACTTCCGCAGGACGGCCGGAGACCACCGTGCTGCATGTTTCATACTGCAAGGTCCTAACTGGACTGTCGGGTGCGAGAGGGGGACACGCCCAGTCGGGTCCTTCTCCCCGTTTCTTCTCGGTGGACATACTGCTGCTAGAGACAATCTTGCATCATATCGTTCATGAAATTAAAAGCTAGTCCTGGTTGCAGAGACACCCCAAGTCTGCGCGTGCTCGTTATCTTATATACATACAAGTAGCTCCGCCCGTCTGTTCAAGACAGCACAGACTGAGCCACCCACTCCGCCATGCTCCTTCGAACCCCTTATTATTAAGTCTTTAATCAATACGAGTAACGCTTCCCCCCAGAATGACGAATGAACCTCTATTCCTCTCTTGGATCGTTGCATTTTCATGCATCCGAGTAATACTCGTCGTGGTAGCCGGGCGAAGGCGTTCCGGCCCAGTAGCCGCTGCTGGTGTTTCCCGGGATGTTATCCTTGGAGCCCCAGTACTGGTCTCGTGTCCTGCGCTCGCGCTCGAATTCGGCCCACCGCTTCATGGTGATCTTGCTGCTGTCGAACTCGCCCTCCTGCTCACCGTGGCCACCCTTCTTGACCTCACCCGCTGTCTTGCGAGTGTCACCCCATGAGAAGTCATCAAACTTCCAGAAGGCATAGGTTGGCAAGACGAAGTTCCAGATCGGTAGGGAGACAAGGTAGATTATCATCCAGACGATGTACGTCCATGAATGAGCCGTCACGACCACCAGAACGCCCGGCAAGCCCAGAATCAGCGCGAGCAGAACCAAGGGAATAACTTGGACTGGTCCGATGATAGAAGAGATCACTGCGACATGTCAGCTGCGTGCGAGGGTCTCGGGCTGGCTGACTCGGCCGAGAAGGTACTTACCGACGTAGAGCGTGAAGGCAATAGCAGCAGGCAGAACCAGCGTTCCCATCAACTCGATAAACACCACAAACTGCATACTAAAACAGAAGGTGCCACAGAGATCTCTGACTAGGACAAGCTCCATGAGGTTGTGGATAGTCGAGTTGATCCATCGACGTCTTTGAGACAGCAGGACCATGAATTTATCAGGCACCGTGGTCTTGCAGACTGCTTGAGGCACAAATACCTGCTTCCGCTTGGGGAACGTCCGGAGCATGAGGGTTGTTAGGTAACGATCCTCGCCCAGAAGAAGCAAGTTCTTCTTGTGCAGTGTGTCCACCACGTTCTCCGAGTAATGCTCAACCACGTCAGGGTTGGCCAAGACGGGGACCCAATAGTTTGCACCCCCCTTCGGAGCCTTGATCCGGTACATGCAGAAACAACCGGGCAGACAGGTGACACCGCCAAAAACCGATTCGAAGGACTTGGCCTGGTGGTGCGATATGAAGTATTCAAATACCTGGATCGCCGTGACCCAGCTGTCCCGCTTGTTGGCAATCTTTGTCTCGCCGCACAAGCCCATGATCTCGGGATCCTTGACCATGGCAGAGACCATGTGGGTGAGACTATCAGGAAACACCTTCGTATCGGCGTCTACCATCAATACTATTTCGTAGAAGTCGGGGGATATGCCAGTAATCTTCCACAGGCCGTTGAACATCTCGTACTCGAGCTCGGTCATCCGCTCGTCAAACATGACCTTTTGCAGGAAAGACATGAGGATGATCTGACTGTCACGCTTGCCTCGATTTCCAGGTTTCGATTTGGTGGCCTCGTCAGGCGTACCGCACTTGGACACCAACATCATCGGGACCCGTTGTTGCTTTTCCAGAGGAATTCGAGACTTCGCACCGTAGTCATAGAACCCAGAGTAGATCTTGGCCATGTTGTGTCGCTTGGAACCCGTAGCAACAGCGACGTATGAGAATGGCTGTACTTCCTCGGGCAGAATAGTGAAGTCCTTCATCATGCTCAGAACGTAGTCCGGTGTCGACATGCTCTCTCCCTTGCCCTTGATGATACCGTCACAAATAACGAGGATACACTTGTGGCTGTTGGGGTAGTCTGTCATGGCGATAGAGTCGAGAGTTGTCCGGATCCCTTCCTCGCCTTCAGAGTAGCCAGTAACGAGGCAGAGCGTGTGCGCCAGAGGGTACCCAAAGGGCATCCAGTCGGATGGGGGCTGCGGCACAACTGCCTCGTGTATGAAGCCGGCAGGGCCGGGCCCATCGGTTGGGCTGGGCTGGGGACCATACGGGTCAGAGGCCAAGAAGCTGTTACGGCTGGGATTCCCCTGACCGTACATGGACGTAGGATGGAGCAGGGCAGCCCCAGAACTCTGGCTGGCCATCGTGGTGGGCATAGTAGGTCTCCGCGAGTTCCGGTCGACACCGTAAACAGTTGAGAACCGCGAAGTTGTGGGCATGAACGTGCTGGCACGCTTGCTCGTGCGGTCAGACGAGGCTCCTGCCACACTGCTTCCGACATCACCTGGCAAGCGTGCTGGCGCACGGTAGATATCCTCTGACCACTCTTCGATTTGCTGGTTCCGCTTCCTCCTGTCCGATGACTGAGACGTCTTGGCCGCTGCGTATCGCCGGCTGACGAACCACTGGAAGATCAGAGCCAGGACAAAGCGGACGACGACAACTCCCAGAATCAGAACAAGGGAAAGATACAGGACAACCTGTGAGGCAATGCAGCCCACCGAGTCGGAGTCCACGGACCCAACTTTGATGATCTGCTGAAGGCACTCAGCTGTCGCCTTGTCACCCGACTTCATGAAAGCGTGAGTGACGTCGCGGCCCCTCACAGCCGCGTTCGCAGGAGACTTGCTGTCGGCGAGTTCCTTGAAGCGATCGGGGACCGAGACTTGCGATGAGTTAAACCAGTTGAGAAGATCCAGATCGAGGACGTCCCCGGAGTAAACCACAAGATTCCGCGAGCTATTCTTCACGTCTTCCCAGTCGAAATAAACGTCAGCAGTCGGCTTCAGGGCGTAGAAGGTGTTTCGTGAGGATGCTGTGGTGTGACAAGCGTAGCCAAGATAGTAGGGGTTTGTTTGGTTGGGCTGCGTAGATCCGTCCTGGTTGAAGGTATTGCAGGGAAAGTACCAAGCCAGCTCGCCCTTGCTGTTTGTGGGCACATCTGAACCGTCAGCCAAGGTAATCAGGTCCTTGCACTTCCCATTCACGTTCTGGAACAAGAAGCTCCCGTCTTTTCCGCCCTGCTTCTCCGGAAGGTCGTACAGGACATTCGCCCCTGAGTTACCCGACCTAGGGATGCCCTCAGCTGGCGGATGATGAGACGTGGAGAGGTCGTATGCTTGGCCGTGGAAAATCATGTAGCCGCCGCCAACGTGGTTCACCTGTAGGCGCTGGGATGGCGTGCCACAGACTGTGCGGGTGAACCCGAAGGTCAAGAAGCCGACCACGGCCATGATGAATGCGATGATGCTCAGAAGTCCCATCTTCTCCCGCCAGGCCCGTGCCTGGTCTTTTGACCTCTTCCCAAAGCATTTGAGCACGAAATTCGGGCACCAAAAGGTGATTATGGCGCAGTAAATGTCCCAGAGACTCGGCGGCCGTATCTGTTCCACTTCCTTTCTATGTTTTGAGCCCCTCTTCGTGATTTTCCCGGGATGTTTCCGGCTGTCTGCCCGTTTCCTAGAGCGTTTCGGCTTCTCAGCCTCGCCACTATCTCTGGTGCTACCTTTCTTGCCCTTTGATGCGATTGATTCGGAGAGGGCGTCCTCCCGGTTGGACGTGGCCATGTAGGTGGTCCCTTCGAAATCCTCGTAGACTGGGTCGTTGCCGGTCCGCGACGGCTTCGTCTGCATGTTCGCCGCATGCTGCCGGTAGTGATAATTTGGGTGATCTTTTCCGATCCTGTTCCGCTCCGGCTTGACTAAGCTTCGTTTCCGCGAGATGGCTGTCTCGCCAGGCAAGCCAGCACTTTCAAGGTCGGGCGACAAGGGCACTTCGTCTGTAGCGGTGTTAGAAGGAGGCGGCACAGTTGTCGCAACGGAGTGAGATGAATCCCCACGGGAGTGCATTGTGCCCTCATTCCCATAACGACTGCCAGCCTCGATGTCATGTGGGCGCCCGCTGCGCCGAGTGGATTGCCGGTAGGCGGTGCGCTGCTCGTACGAGGCCCTGGCACCGGGCCGTTCGGGGAGAGACATGGCCCTGGTGAATGAGAGTGTTAGTTGGGCCGGACTCTAGCGGGCATGCTTTTGTGGGATCGTTGGTAGCTGGGGGGCGGGGATGGCTTCTCACTCGGAGAGAAAGGGGGTCAAAGGGTTTCTTTGTGTCGCTCGACGCGGGGGCGACTCGGATCGTGGAGCGCAAGCACAAACGACCGGTGAATGGTGGGGTACACAGCCAAAGGGAGGAACAGGAACGGGTCAATTCAGACCAGCAGAACAAGCCAAGTCTCGAGATCTCGAAGTCATTGTGTGTTGTTGCAGATGCTGACCAGAAGGATCGGAGACTCACAGTTGTTATGGGATACGGCACCCAAAGGACTGTATGGGTATAGCGCAAGCCGCTATTGCGCTATTGGCGAGGGGTTCCTTGGGCGACGGGCTGGTGAGTTTGAGCGCCGAGTCCAGACGACGGCCAGCCTGTTCGAGTCCCCAGGATGATGCAGGATCGAGGCCAAGCCTGACAGGACAACGACCACTGAGATGCAGACAATGCGGTCCCACACAGCCCAACCGATGCTTGATCACAGAGGGTCTTCCTTGTCGTGCCGGCAGACAGCACACAGAGCTCTCGGCTGTCAGCCTGCTATGGCACGGCTGGCGATTTGGCTGTGGCTGGACGTCCACTCGCGGGCGGTTAACCCACGGGTAGAGGGGCACAACAATACTGATGATGTTGTAGGGTGGTATTTGTCGTTGGGCTGAATCGTCGCTTCAATGCGCAAGTGTTTGATGAGGCAGCGCGTCAGAAAACTGGAATAGGAAGCTGCGACTCTGGTCTGATCTTGTGTCGAGGGCGGGCAAATGGCCACCACGTCCCGCGAACCGTTGATAGAGGACCTGGATGACGACGGAGGGGCCCTAAAAAAAATCAAAACAAAAAAAGGGTTTACACGCTTCCTCTCCACTCGTGTTCCTGGCGGTTCGAGGTCTATAGACTGGACGAGCTAGCGAATGCACGGTCGAGATCGGCTGGAGAAACGAGAGGAGCCGCGTCCACCAGGTCAGGGGACTAGGCGCTGCAGGGTGTCGAGGAAGAACGGCGACCCACGGCGGATGCGAGGCAAGACGACAGCGACAGCGATGCCGGTGGAAAGGGAGAGAAGTCGACGCAATGGCGTTGAAGTCTGCGAGTGCCTTCTCCCTCCCTACGAATGCCTCTGGGGGCGGCACAGTGGGCGGCAGACGGCACAGAATGGCAGAGGCTCACTCAGTCCGTAAGCCCCCTTTGGACTGGGCTACCCCTTGTCGGCGGATGGGCAGTCTCCAGCAAATCGAGCAGGGTAGTGCCATGATGTGTTGGAGTGCTCGGGTAGCTTCTGCTAGGCATCCAGTGTGGAGGGCGCTGACCTACTATTGCCAGTACCTCTCCGTGTTCAGCAGGGAATATCCATGCCCCGCCGAATACGATCCGCAACCGTTTCCCCGTCGACGAGCGCCGAGAAGCTGGAGAGAAATGCGAGGGCTGGAAGCTTCCAAGTTTGGGAGCGCCTTGCAGCATTCCTCTGCTGCTTGTCAACAACCAAAAACTTGGAACAGCACGATGATGCAACCAGGCAACCGACGAATGCAAAGTTTGGTTCAAGATGCCGTCCAAATTTCAAGAAATATTCAAACAACTTATCATGGCAGTCTGCAAGCAACCGCCCACTGCCAGACTGGCTACCCTGGAACTCTACTCTAATATTAAGCATTCATTATCTCCACAACAGGCCGGGCCTGGCGCGGGTCCCGGCGTGATCTGGGTGGAGAGATCTTTTGACGTCCCCATCACGAAAGCAGACGAGTCGCGTCACGGTATGCCGTAGATCCTGCAGGTCTGATCAAGCCTCTTCGCGGGATGACGCAGAGGTGCAAATCATACATACCGCACCGCATGTGCAACTCTCGGGCCGGTGCTCGAATGGCGACCGCACTCACCAACTATCAAGCCCGGGGTCCGTCACAAAGCCGAGGACACGCAGGCTGGCAGGGAATCGACCCCAGAAGCACGTCGGAACTGCTGGGAGGTTACTTTTGCATCCGGTTTGCCGCATGTTCTGACGCCTCGCCCGTGGCTCCGAGTCGCCCGCCCAGCCCACGGGAGCCGGCATACTTGGCTGTCTTTTGGCTTCAGCCGCCAAGTCAGAATAGCCCAGACATCGTTTTTGTATGTATACGGCACTTGTTGCCAAGCGTGGCCTCAAGTATTCACGTATCCATTCAGGCGAGTAGTGTTTCCAAAAGGAAAGAGGCCGACATGTCGTGTAGCAAAGATCATGTGTGCGACGAAACTCGGAAGACCTGGAGAAGTTCGGTAAGTTCCGGATCCTGTACGATCGACCACTTGGATTTCCCACACAGACCAGGTCAGAAAGCTGCACGTACGCATCCCTTTTCGGCAACCTCGCAGGTAACAGCCTGCCCCGTCAGCTTGGTCCCTGACCGGGGGGGTTCATGAGCGGCCATGTCAGCGCTGTCCGTCTGACCCTGTCAAACTCCCAACGCTGTGGCACATTCATGAAAGAGACCGACCTCGGAATTTCCATCATTCGGATTGGTCGCCGTCGGCGGCAACAAAGGCGCGAGGAGGGGGGAAGGGGGAGGAAAAAAAGAAGGATCCTCGTGTGTATCCCAATACGAGGACGCTAGGGTGAAAAGGGGTCTGCCCTTTTCGAGACAGGCTGACTGCTGCTCTTCCTTCAGCCTACAGTACCTGCTCTATCCGCCCAGCCCGCCCAGAGAAAACGGGTGGCCCTCGCTGCTGCCTCGCAAACCACAGCAGTACCTAGGTACCTAGGTAGATAGATATATGACGCGATTGAGTTAATCTCATGCACAAAATTCGATGGGCTTTCCCCAGACCGTGGGCGTCGATTCGACGACTTCGGGCGACTCGGCTCCCGTGTCAATGAAACCTTGCGGTCGGTCTGGTTAATTGCATCTCCAATTGCGGAATAGTACTGTGGTAGCCACGGAAAGAGGGAGGAGAGCCTGGCTAATTCCCCAGATTCCTCAGCTCCGCATCAAATTTCCTCGAACGCAAAAGAGCGTCCGCACCCCTGAAGTACAATGGAGGATCTGCGCGGGATAATTCTCCGGTGCCTGTGAGGCTCGACTTCGGTGTCCCGTGTCTCCATAGCCGCCGCCGCCGCCTTTTTGTTGGCTCAAGGTTTCGAGAACAGAACTGTATTGCGGTTTATTATCCTTTGTGAAGCCGAACATCAGCTGGGGTCGATCCATAGGGCTGGGCTGAGTTGCACAGTGTCTGAAAGTGGCCGAGCTGTCTCCAATTCTGGTGTGCTAACCAGATCGGACACCAATTTGAGATGAGGCAGAGCAAGGCGCGTTTGGAGTAAATTAAATGATGAGGGCAGGACCCAATGCTTCGGCAGGGAGCGAAGGAATATCTTCATCTCGCCCGCATGCAATGCCATTGACGAGATGGGCTGCCGAGTATCGTGGGGAACACAATCATGTATGTACTCGGCACACTGCAAAGGGCCGATGCAGATGCCCACCGGAATGTGACCCTCAGATCCGAGAAGCTGGTCTGGTACCCGCGTTGGGGAACTGGCAGCTACACAACAAGTGGGCAGACTACTGTAAGAAAGTTTATTTGTAGAGCAGGCCGTTGATACTATGTAGTAGTTAGTAGTTGACTGCCTGTGATCAAAGCGTCTTGGGGCAGCGTCTGTTCGCAGGACCGAGGCAGCGATCATGGCGTCAGAGCCTGGTGTCGGTGCTTAAGGATGTCGAAGCTGGGGAGTTTGATGTGCGTGATGCTAATGAATATCACGGATTGCAATGGAGACCCGGGCCCCATGTCGATGATGGGTATACTTCCAACGCGGTAAGAGCGCCAGCCGCACAGGGCGGTGGAGCATACGGGTATGCGTCGAGTGCTGTATGCTGTAGCAAGTGCTTTCTCATCCGATACTGACGCGGCGCAGTCGTATTTACCCTTGTAAGCGCAGAGCACGTGGGCTTGCGAGCACAGCAGGGTTTGGATTCGGACGGTGAGCGCCCATCATCTCGTGTGTGAAAATGTTGCAAGTGCCACCCAGCCACGCCGGCCTGGCAGGCCTTTTGCTGCTGCCTCCTCGTATGCTCCCTGGCTCCTCGCCCGGACAGGCTTTGGAATGCTGGGGTTTCTTGGTGGGTCGGTACCAAGCTTTGTCTCCAGTGACGGCAGGATCTCCGTCAGTCTGTGTACGGAGTGTGTAGGTACTTAAGTATGTACTCTGCAGTACGTATTCGTGTTGTTAGTCATGACCCGCCTGCCCGCCCAGTCTGGCAGTGGCACTGTTACATTGCAGCACGGTGGCATCGTGGTTGGCACCCTCCAACCACATGACTCCGCGACAGGGCCTGCGAAGACTCGAACAGAGCGAGAGCGGTACGGGGGACTGCTGGTACTGTGTAGATGCGGCCGTGTCGGCCGGCGAGGTCGGCGTGATGGTCTGGCAGGAACTTGTCCGAGCCTGCAGGGCCTGGACGGCCTGGAGGAACCGCTGGGCTCTTCTGAGCCGCATATTCTATTTGCGTCTCCATCCATCGCATGATCGGACTGTTGGTGGCAGGTTGTTCGTTGCCTGTCCTGCCTGTGTAGGTAGGTAGGTACCTAGGTCCCTAGGAGCGAGGACTGAAATGGCCAAGGGCCCAGAAGCAGGGGGTCTGGGGCTACACTCAGCAGGCACAGCACCCCGTGCCTAATTTTGGCGCCCCAAGCTGCGGGCTGCTCTTGATGGGGCCACCGTGCATTGGGGGCGGCTGGGGCACGGTGCTGGGCCCAGTAATGAGGAACCCGCTAGAGCAACGATCTACGGCCAAAACGGCTAGGGCGCTCCCCCGTACTTAGTACCTTAGGCAGGTAGGGTCCTTGGGACCTGTGGACGGAGACCAAGTGCAGACGTACCACCCACCCGGGCGCCCGCTTTCCTCGGGGTCGCAATCCATAGCACCAACGGCGTCACTTCCTCGACGTCCAGAGACATGAGTACCACACGCTGCGCATTCTACTCCTTCTGGCCTCTTCTGGCACCCTGCGCCGCCCTTCCATCCCATCCAGTGTCGCCGGCCTGCGGTGGCCTTGACTGACTTCCAAAGTGGCCTGGCTCCTTCGACTCCCGCCTCCGCCTCTAACGCATCTTCAACGTTGTGCTCAAGTGTGACGTGACCGGACCTGACAAGACAAGACAAGACGGGACACACGCCTCTTCTGTTGTTCCTCGTCCCGCTCGCTGCCCTGGCTTGCCTTGCCTCGTCCTCTCCCGACCTCCCACCAGCCCGCCCAGCAGCATTACGACTCCATCCAGCCGTGTCGTCGTCCCGCCAGAGCCGACTTTTTCTTTGTCATTGCATATAGGAGCATCTTTCCGCGCCATTCTTTCCAGGGGCTCGCTCAGGGACCCTTTCTCGAGGAGCACAACCTCCCTCCCTCGCGGTGCCTGAATCGCCTGTCCGACGCCTGCCTGCCCTCCTCTCCTAACAACCTCCCTACCACCCCGCAACCTCAACCCCTGTATAGACCGGGCCCCGTCCACTCGGCGGGCAGTCCTACAACCACTTTGCCACCCGCAAGGCACCTCTAGACACTTCAATGCGGTCAGGGCAGAGTCTCCAGCAGTTGTCGCAATAGAATTGTGCCAAAACTACCCCTTCGCTGGCCCGCCTCACCTGCTGCGACGCCAGCTGGGATAGTTGCAGCTCGGGAACTTTCGTCCGAAGTGGACGCACTTGGGCCAAGGCATTTCGGGCCCTTCACAATGGCTGCGGTCGACACCTCGCCAAGGGCAGGCTCCGGCCCTTCGAGCCCAATCCAGAGGAAGCCAGTTGCTACCACCCACGCATCGCAACAACGCAGTGTGCGGGAAACGGGGAAGGCGCTGCCTCCCATTCCCATGACCGAGGGCTCGAGGCTGGGGCAGTCGCCTATATCACCAGTCAAGATGAACGTCAAAGAGGACAACTGGGCCCAGCCTTCCACCGCGACCATAGAAACGGGCGAGCCAAACCACCACCGAGAATCACCTGCACCGACATCACATAGACCACAACTAGAGTTCTCGCAGCCCGAGGGGACCGTACGGCGTGCAAGAGAAGCCTCCCTAGACCCGTACCCTCCAGCTCACACTTCTGACTTTGATTTCACCCCGGACTCGAGCCTCGGAGGCAGCGGTGCTTCAACGGAAGCCGGTCAAAGCACTGCCCAGACGCCCACGAAGCAGGAGGACAACAGGCACAGTCGCGAAACGGACACTTCTGGGTCCACGCCCAGTATCTCAAACCCACAGACATCGACTGGTGCATCAGTGGTCACCAGCGCGAGCTCGGTCTCCAACTCATTGGACAATGGACAAGGCAGGAAATCCGAGGATGCTTCTACTGTCGGCTCCATTCCTGAGGAGCCTGAACAGGTCCAGCTCGTTCCGCAGCTACAGTACCACCACCAACCCTTCGTGCCGAGGACAGCAAGCTCCGCAAACGACCAGAATCCGCGGGCCGTGTCGACGCCGGACTTGCTGGAGAATGGCACAGCTGTCAACCGCCATTTGACACCCGTCTCCAATATGAGGAGAAGTTCGATGCCTCGGCCGCAGTCGACATACTCTGCCCATTCTGACCGTGGCCGATCGTCCGCTTATTATGGGAACACGAGCCCGCGCGCCCCATCGTTACATTCAAGGAAATCACCAGACAACCGCCAGTCCACCTACGCTGAGCTTCTCAACGTGCCCTACCCGCAGCCAGCTCCGGCGCCGCTCACCATTGACAACTCTCAGCTGCGAAATGTAGTAGGATCTAATGCCTCTCTGCTGAGCTCGCAGAAGACGCTTGACATGTATCGACAGAACGTAAAGAAGACAAACGACGTCTCGCTGCAGTACTCATTTGCGGTCTTCCTGATATCAACAGCTCAGGATCAGGGATTTGACGTCACGAAACCCCAGCCTAAACCGTCGTCCAAGTCAGGTCACAGCCGCGATGGCTCGTTCGTTGACGAGACGGGCTCTGGCCCGCATGAACTGGTGAGAGAAGCTCGAGCCATCCTGCAAAAGCTTGCCAACGCCGGTTATCCTTTCGCCCAATACTACCTTGCGGATGGCTATGCGTCAGGACTATTCAGTAAGGGAAAGGAAGACTACAACTCAGCCTTTCCTCTGTTTGTCTTGGCGGCCAAGCATGGTCATGCAGAGTCTGCATATAGAACCGGATTGTGTTACGAGTTCGGGTGGGGGTGTCGAAAAGACCCGGCAAAGGCCGTCCAGTTCCTGCGAACAGCCGCCTCCAAACGGCACCCAGGAGCGATGACGAGACTCGGCAAGGCCTGTTTGTCTGGCGATCTGGGTGAAAAACGCTATCGTGAGGGTCTGAAATGGCTAAAGCTAGCGACTGAGTCGGCGGATGCAATGTACAATGCAGCACCCTACCACCTGGGTTGCCTTTACGAAACGGGATATGGCGAGGACATCTTCAAAGACGAAGGGTATGCCGCCGAGTTACTGACACAAGCTGCCGACCTTGGGCATCCGGAAGCCAACTACCGCATGGGCGATGCTTACGAACACGGCAAACTCCAGTGTCCGCGGGACCCAGCCTTGAGCGTACACTTCTACACCGGTGCTGCCGAGCGAGGCCACGCCGCAGCCATGATGGGTCTCTGTGCTTGGTACATGGTTGGAGCAGAGCCTGTCTTAGAAAAGGACGAGGAGGAGGCATACGAATGGGCACGCAGGTCTGCCGAACTAGGTAAGTGCTGAGTTAGCCCGGTGCTGACCCCTTGGGTTGGCGTCGAAATCCCCGGATCATGATCAAGGTGCTGACAATACGCTCATAGGCTACGTCAAAGCACAATACGCGGTCGGCTACTTCACGGAGATGGGCATCGGCTGCAGGAGAGACATTCTTGAGGCTAACGTCTGGTATGTCAAGGCCGCAGATGCTGGAGACGACCGAGCAAGGCAAAGACTCAATGCCATCCGGGCGGCAGCAAGCGGCGGTATGCCGATGGAGGTCGGGCCCGCAAAAGCGCACAACCTTAGGAAGTCAAAGAGCGGCACGAAGGACGACAACTGCCTGGTGATGTGAGCACATTATACAACACGTTGGCCTGGGTCACGATTGGGCCTGTGCATATCTGACGCCAGGTGGTGGATGAGCATGGTGGAACCGAGCGATTAATGTTGATGCATCGCGGCTCGGTTCCCACTAGGTGTGTGGTTCTGGAAAATGCCCTTCACTAGGGCCGGTTGCATAACTTTTGGGGATGCAGGAACGGGGCGGGAGGGCAGTCTGCAATGTTTACTGCATAGTTTCTATCAAGAAGTGGCGAACATAGCATGGGCTTTCCGGGCTGACCAGTGGAAGGATGCTCAGACCGGGGCATTGGACGCGGCATTTGATGTTATTTATTTTTCGGCACGCTCTGTACGTGTGCATCTTTATTGACTTCCAAATGATACACACCTCTCGCGCGCGCGCCTATCCTCGAGCAGACGTGACTTCACACACTCTGTAACTCATCTCATCACCGTGGACCTTGCGGTCCCCGTTGGTCATCCGAACACACTGCCAAGAAATCCTGGGTGGGTCTAGATTCACATATATTGTTAAAGCGTTTTAATTCTCCAGAATACACACTGTCGGTGTGAAGCCCCATGTGACTTGACAATACGAGGTTGTCCCAGAGGAGGTTATACCTATGTACTGTAGGAAACTATCATGTGGGTGGGTGGGTCTTATGAGTTTGCTCACGGAAGTTGACTTTGTATAACAATGTTCCACAGTAGTTTAGTCTGTCCGTAGGCAGGGTAGAAAGTGGGCGTTATCCAGTTGGTCCATAGAATCTCAACGCCGTGGCGGCGTGTAGGGCAGCGAGGTAAAGCTCGTTCTCGTGTAACACAACTCCAAGACAATACTCTTGCTTTACTTGTACTTCCCTGATGCGTCCGGTCCTATACAGTCGTGCAGAGCAAAGCCCCATTCATGAAATGATACGTTGTGTGTGGAAGTAACTGTACGTCGTGGCGCCGTCGCAGCGTCGGCTTCTTCTCGTTGGCATATGTCAAGGCTGGGCTTACCTGCCGTATCAAACTGCCTCAGATCGTCCTTATTGTCCATTATATTCAAAAGACTGTCGTTTGTGGATTGTGGATGACTGCCACATATTCTTTGGTTTTGTTCCACGTGCCGTTTGAGGGATGTTTGGAGGGCTCAGTTGCACGTTTTGATGCCACCTGGGCATACTTGGCTTCTCCTAGACAGCTCTACTGTAGCAATATTCCGTTCGGAAACAGCAGACCAGGGCATAAATGAGTGTATTTCTACCTATTTGAAAAGTCAGATGCCTTGAATTGGGTTGTGGGAGTGTTTCGCAATACTGCTACGTCCCCAAGTACTCTTGCCCGGATAGGCTGACTGGCTGTGCTGTGTCAAGGAAGGCTCTGAATCATATTGCCTAATGCAGCCTTGTACTCGTACTGTATCTCAGGTTCTCTCGCAGCCGCAACCGCATGTGTCCACAATTCTGAGACTGCCACATCTTTGGCTTGACCCAATATTCTTTGGCTTTGACCCAACTTTCTTTGGCTTTGACCCAATGTCAGTTTCCAAAAGAATGCCAACAGTCTGGCTGTTGTTCCAAAAAGACACTGGTGCTGGGGAGAAATAAATCTGACGGCATGCAAGGTCCCCAAGATCAGCTCCCAGTGGGTTGCAGCGACCTGCATTTGGAGTGAATCACTCTGATACCTCTGGCAATATGTTAGGCAGTATTGAGTGTGCCCAAATCCATTCTAAATGCCTCTCAGCCAGTCTAGAACTTGCAGGACATGGAGGCCTAAGAGGCAATTGGGCAGCACAGCAGCCCAACATCCACGTCAATTGACGCGTCTCAATATCAGTGACCAAATGGAACAGCTGGCAACATGAAACTTGCAGGGTGGGCCGTTGAGACTGGATGTTGGAATCAGCCTTTCAACTACAGCACAGAAGCCACGACAAGGTGACACACTTCAAATGTTGGTTCAGTAGGAGAGCTTGGCAAGGCCCCAGGAATGCCTGGGGAATACAAAAGAATCAATGAAAAATATACGTCAGGTGTGCATTGTTGTTTTTGGAAGTGACTGTCACAAGCCTAAACCTGCATTCACTCTGTCACTCACACACCTTTGGCAAGCCACTGAAGCGTTGTGGATGAAAGCATCTCAAGTATGTTCGGGGAGGGAGGGGGGAGGCATGGCTGGTTCTGGCAACGTCACGTGCTGGCAAAAAGTGGGTCCATACAAGGTCGATTTTTCGCCGGGATCCAGGCGTCCTGGCAGAGCAACTGGCCCGGCCGGGTTCAAAACATTCATCTGCCCAACACCATCACCGCCGCCACTACAGGTGCATCTCTTCCCTCTTCATACCCACACACCCCTCCTTTCTTTGCACCCAGATACCCGCCACGAAGGTCTGTCCATCAGCCACCCAACCTCCAACCCCTTCCACGCCCGATCGGATCCTTTCTGCCTAGCCTCTGCATTAAAAAGCCCTGTTGTCCAGCTCTTGCAAAGTACTGACGCCTGATCCACCAGCCCCCACTTCTAGGCATTTACATCACTCGACCGCTTCCCAGTCACAACTCTTCTCTTCGTGTCCACAGAACAGATCACAACCACACAATGGCTGCCCCAGCTCAGCAGGTGCCTACCTTCAAGCTTGTGCTTGTCGGTGATGGCGGTACCGGAAAGGTGAGTCCCATCCTTATCGTCATTCCCCGGAGCAGGACCAGGCGGTGGGCAGTTTGCGCCTAGCGCTCGCCATCGCGGGGCAAGCCTGCACGCCATCAACAATGAATCCCGCACTGCTCAACCAACCCAAATACTGTTGAAGAGGTGCTGACAAATGCTCAAATGCCATAGACAACCTTCGTCAAGCGCCACTTGACTGGTGAATTCGAGAAGAAGTACATGGCCACCCTTGGTGTTGAGGTCCACCCCCTCGGCTTCACGACCGTTAGTACCTACCTCCTCAACCTCAATACCGCTGCCGAAGCTAACCCGGAAACCACAGAACTACGGTCAGATCCAGTTCGACGTGTGGGACACCGCTGGACAGGAGAAGTTCGGTGGTCTCCGTGATGGCTACTACATCAACGGCCAGTGCGGTATCATCATGTTCGATGTCACCTCCCGTATCACCTACAAGAACGTCCCCAACTGGCACCGTCAGTACCGCCATCTGATCCCATCGAGGAGCTGTTCCCCAGGCTAATGCAATAAATAGGTGACCTCGTCCGTGTCTGTGAGAACATCCCCATCGTCCTCTGCGGAAACAAGGTCGATGTCAAGGAGCGTAAGGTGAAGGCCAAGACCATCACCTTCCACCGCAAGAAGAACCTGCAGTACTACGACATCTCTGCCAAGTCCAACTACAACTTCGAGAAGCCCTTCCTGTGGCTGGCTCGCAAGCTCGTTGGCAACCCCGGTCTTGTATGTGACACCAAAAAACCCCTTCCTGGCACAGAGACAGCCTTGCTGACTAACCAAACCAGGAGTTCGTTGCTGCTCCTGCTCTTGCCCCCCCCACTGCCCAGGTCGACGAGTCGCTCCTTGCCCAGTACGCCAAGGAGATGGAGGAGGCTTCCGCTATGCCCCTGCCCGGCGAGGACGAGGACGACGACCTGTAAAAGGGTTGCTCTCAACCTTGCAACACACCTTCAGGAGACACTGTGCGGTGGATAGATTTCACGGGCTCTTTCATTCGACGTGAACAGCATCTTGCTTAGGGACAGCGACATATACAGGCAGGGCGGGCCAAGGCAGGATTAGGCCACGTTGATGAGCCCACGATGGGATACAGGATGCGAAAATGTGAGGCGCGATGCATTAATGGCTGAGGAGGCACGTCGTCCGGTCTTGGGTTTGATGCAGCATCGGCCCTTCGCGTTCCGAGAGTAGAATTCCGCGCCACGCTCTGCACTCAGGCGCAACTTAGGTAGAATATCACCGAAAAAGTCTCAATAGCGACCCCCTAGGCCAACTGGTCATCTTACACACCGCAAAAGGTCTTGACTGGTTCCGTTTTGACGCAGCTTGCATGCACAGTGGGGGAGGGTCAACGCAAACAGCGACGCACCGAAAAGGAGTAGACGCGATCGTGGCCAGCGTAGTATTTGATCCATTGAACAATGCAAGGTTTTGCAATGATGTCAACCTACGGAGCACTCTGGAGTCTGCATACGCCCCTCATGCTTGATCCAGTCACGGCATGCCCAGGGGCCCTGGCACACACGTGGCGGGGATACAAGAAGAACGTCAACACGGTAGCCGTTCAGGCCAGTCACATTTAAGCAAATATTGTGAGCTGCAATAGAAACCCTTTGCAACCAGCGCTGAATTTATCAAACAGTGCGATATTTCGCCCTGTATGGAAAACAAGCTTCCTTTGCGCCAAGATGCTGCCGCAACCAGGAGACAGTGATCGATACCGGGCCGAAGACCCCGGTCTCGCTCGTATGATACATAACATACCTTTCGTGGGATAGTGTGAAGACACCTGCGACTGCCCACTGCTCCAGACTGCAGGCTTTTGCAGTTCTGCTAACATAATGACAGTCCGGTCTTTCCCCGCACAGGTGCACCAGTAGCGTTCCGAAAGACATTCTCTTTTCTGGTATAGAAGGCTGACTGGCTCGTCTGGATCGCCTCCCTCTGTCTACTATGTTGCTGTTGCAGAATGTCGTCAGATGAAGAATGGGATGTCATGCAGTCACTTTTAGTGACGGCCACGCACTCGGGACTGCATTATTCCTGGTGCCCAGATCCATATCCAGCCGGAGCCGCCCCGAAGGTAGTAAGAAGTAGTGGTCCATGAAAGACGGCAGTGGTCTCTCAAAGAGGCAAAATATGACATCCCAGCAAGCCCCGTCCACCCCAGCCCAGCCTCGGCACCAAGGTCAACTGTAGTTCCCGCTGGGACGGCGCGGCGACGGGCCTCGATACCTTGACGATAACGCTCTGACCGACGTTTCCCTGGACACATTCGGCTACCTTCTTTAATTGGTCGTGGTTGGCGGCGTCGACGTAGCCAAAATTCCGAATTAGGTCGCCAGGCTGCAGCCCGGCCGAGGCAGCGGGGCTCCCCGGCGCCACGGTATTGATCTTCGCGAAGGGGTCGGCCAAACGCTCTGGCACGTAGTCCCGCAGGGCGGGCTCCGGGGCAGTAGCATCGCCCGTGGCGGACGAGTCGGCGGCGGGGACATGGGCGTCGGTGGCGTTCTCGGCGAGGCTGGCAAAGTGCTCGTGGATGTGCTTCTCGATTCTGGCCATGAGATCCTTGTAGTCGTTGCGCAGGTGGATGATGCGGGCACGGGCGGTGCGGATCTGAGCGACGTCGATGTCGGCCCTGGGAAAGCCGTCCGGGGTCAGCAGGCTCGTGTGCATGTCGACGCCGTGCGAGTCGAGCACGCTGCTCAGGGCCTTGAGCTCGGCCTCGACGTTATCCTTGCTGCGCTGGAGCTCGGCGAAGGAGAGGTGGGCCGAGTTTCCGTTGGCGGCCCTCGCGGTGGTCGGCCCCGAGGGGACAGTCGGTGCGTGGAGGTTGTTCATTCTCAGCGGGAGGCCCATCGATGTGCCAGTCGGTGATGAGCTATTACCATTCCTCCTCTCTGTGGGGGGAAGGGAGGACAGAGAGATGGTGTGTGTGGGCGAAATAGCAGGTTGCGCTGTGGGGCGGGCAGGCAGACAATCAGTCAACCGCCATGACGCGTTGCTTGTCAGAGGTGCTTGTGTGCTGGTGTGCGGTGGAAGGTGGACGAAGACAGCTAGGGAGCTAAGGCTATGAGGCTGAATGGAGGGGCAGCCCCCCCGCCCCGTCCCCGGGTTGCCAGGTAACCTGGTAACCCAGGTTTGTTTCGACAGGGGACTGACAGGATGGGGCGCGGGAGCTGGGGCGACCTGGCTCTAGGTAGGGCAGCAGGGGTGTAGATTTGGATCTTCAGGTACATACTCTCAGATGGAAATTTCCCATGGTAATCTGGTTTCCTCCAACGTCATGTCCTCTCTGATGTTCTGCACGCCGCCGCCCAACGCCGCTACTGGCAGTAAGGGAAATGCTGGAACCAGACGTCATACTGGTAACCGGCCTGTCGCCAATCTCACATTGACCATGTCTAATATGTCCAATATGGACCAGCTGAGCCAACGGGGCAGATGGCCGTGCTGCTCTCGCGCCTCCCAATCTCCAGGTCTGACTGACAGGCTGACTGATGGACAGACATACAGACGCATGACGCACACACACGAGCAAGCGCGAACAAGATGTTAGCCGTGCCCTACCTACCTACCGTTTCGGCACCCCAGTGGGTACTGCATGTGCTGTATGTACTGTATCACTCTGTCAAGGGCGGGCGGGAGCGTCTCTCGTTTCATTGCCCGTCTCCAGCAATAGGAAGGCACAGCCAGCATCATTTCCCCGTGCGCATGGCAACCGGACGCCCTTGTCTTGCGGTCTTTTGTGAGAAAAAGAGAGTCTCCGCCTTCCACTCCCAGGCCAGAACAGGCCACGCTCGTGCGTCGAAAGCGCCCTTGCACGACAACAACCAGCTGTTTGCGTTACTCTGCCTGCGCTCCTTCCTTGGCCTCTTTCTCTTTTCCACTCCGTTTTCTCTTTCCAATTCTCTCCTCTGTTGTGGCGTTGCAGGTCTGAGGAAGTTGAACTTCTCTTGCGGCTGATATCTCGACGTCTTCTCCTGTTTTGCCTGCCATTCCACTTTATTCCACTCTTGCCATCATGTTTTGATACCCCCATTTTGGACGCCCTGCCGCGACTTTTTCTCGGAGCTCCTCTCTGTTCGGCTGATCGTGAGGAGCAGCAATTTTGGTTTCGAAGTTTCTTGGTCTCAAATGAGAATATTATGGCTTCCTTGTCCGAGTCCCCCGACGAGGGCTCCCCTCCTGGCTCCGTCCGCATTGCCCGAGATCCTCAAGATGGCGCCGTCCCCTTTGAGCGTCCTGCCTACATGGATTCTGCCTCAAGTGCCACGCAAGATTCCACACCAAGCATCAAAAATGACCCCATGCTGCCAAACACCCAATCCATCCATTCCAAAGACCCCGGCCACTGGGCCGATCGGGACACGGTAGATCCGGCGTTGATTAGGTTCACGGTGGATGAGCCTCATACCCTCACGCCTCCCACCCCTTCCACGCCTCCCACGCCCGATGAGCCCAACTTGCCAGGCTTTTATGAACGGCTTGGCCAGGACCAGTCGCCCGCGCCGTTCCACAGGTGGATGAGGACCCTGCGCCGGCGTGGTCTCAGTCGGCGGCCCCCGCCCACCAACGACGACGACCCCGTGCCCAGGCCATTCTCTGCGAGTGGCCTCTCGGAGAAGCTCCGTGGCGTGAGCCATCACCGCCATTCGTCTTCCGGGTCTTCTTTTGGCTTTGTCGAGACGGTCAAGACGGCCAGCGCCAGCCTCGCGAGCGGCAGCATTTTTGCTCGGTCGAGATGTAATAGTATGCGGTCGTCCCGATCTAAAACGCACACCGATCTCAGTAGCAGGGCATCGATGTCTGGTAACAGATGTTCGGAGGACACAACCGGGCTGGACAAGCCACAGGTCGTGGACAAGGCAACTGTGGAGCGGTCACTGCAGAGGCGTCGGATACTGGAGGAGCTCATCAGCACAGAAGAGAGTTATATTGGCGACGTGCGATTCCTCATGAACGCATACGTCACAATACTCGTCTCGCTTCCAACTATGCCTTTGGGCTTGCGGTCTTCAATTAATCGAAATCTGACTGACATCATTGAACTTCATGAAGAGATTCTGGGAGAGCTACACCGGGCCGTCCCCTATTCAGAGTACACGCAGCTAAGCCTACGTCCTGATCCAAAGTCTCACGTACATGGCCACAGCCGCATTCGGAGCCTCGATGTTGTACCAGAAGACAACAGAAGCATGTCGTGGCTAGAGACTGTTCCGGGAATGGTAGCCGAGCCCAGCGTTGTGGCAGATGTTGCACAAATCTTCACAAAGAAGGTTTGAATCGCCTGCACTTTCTCGACGGCATATTTTCCACTAATTATACTTAGATGAACCGACTCTTCGTGTATGAAGAATACGGCGCAAAGTACGAGATGATGATGAAAGATATTTCGTCCGCTCATCGCACGATGCCGCAGTGGGAGCTGTATCAGAAGGGCTTGGAGACACTGGCGTCCTCACTCGGCCCAGCCAGTAAACATGGCGTCAAGTCGAAAAAGTCTTTGACTATCGGGGACCTTCTAGTCAAGGTAAATCCCTCGGCACAAGCACCCAGTGTCCACCAAGACCCCCTCCTAACATATCTCAGCCAATGCAACGACTTTGCAAGTATCCTCTCCTGTTCTCGGAACTTCTGAAGTACACCCCTGTCGCAGATTCTCCGTACGCGCATATGGAGATCGAGAATTCCCTCGTCCGGCTGCGAGAGGCCACTTCACAGGTCAATCGAGCTACCGACAATGCACGAGTAAAAGATGTACTTGAGAAGACATGGCTTTTGCAGGATCGTCTCGTTTTTCCAGATTCCGTACGGGGTCCTTTTCACCGTCCTGACCTTGAATGTATCTCTAACACTACACAGGAACTGGATGCTGCTTCCAAGACCCGAATTCGCTCCTTCGGTCACATAGAACTTTGTGGTACGCTGCACGCTTGTTGGCAGACGAAGGATGGGATTCATGGGCAATACATGGTTGCTTTGCTTTACAAGAACTGGTTCTGTCTCGCTTCGGCAAGCCGAGTCGACCAGATCTACACGCTGCAGGCTTGTGTACCGACAAACACCATCAAGATCGAGCCAGTGGACAACGGACGAGGTGAGAAAGCTCTCAAGAATTCTCAGTTCTCCCGGTATTGTGAATTGCTAACACAGATGCTCAGGTCTGCAGTGTCATACTGCTCCTTTCTCGTGGAAGATTGTCTTCGAATGCGACTGCCAATTGTACGAGATGATGTTAACTGCCTGTACTCCGAAAGAGGAACATGAATGGCGATCCCACCTTGAGATTGGCTCCGCGGTAGAGTCACAGGATTTAGCTGGACCCGAGCTCTATGGTTCCTTGTTCTTGAATATGAAGAGCCTTAGTACCGTTTTTGGAAAACAAGGTAAGACATGCACGATCTGAATTCTCCATCGGAAGAGTTGCTGAAGTCATTATAGGTACTGTTGCACGCCGGCTATCCATCCATAGAGCGACCACGGTCGGTCCCAAAACGCCACTCTGTCACGTCGTCGTGCGAAATACGAGCGTTGAAAAAGAAGCTGCTACTTCGTCCAACGCAACCATCAGCCGGACACAGTCTCTCCTTGCTTCTAAGGGTCGAATACCGGTGCTGGCGCCGACTCGAGGAGACAGGGCAAGGCTGGAGGCTTTGCTCTCGGATGTGTGGACTCGAGATGCCCTGCCCTTTCCAGGGATGACCACCCGAGCTCGCAACGAACATATTATCCGCACTTCGGCACAATCCATGATCCGCAAACTGAGTGTTACGAGCATCACCAGTACTTTTACCAAGCGCTCGGCAAGTTTCGCGAGCATCACTAGAAACAGCGACGACGGTTCTGGCGGAGAGGAGACAGTTGCTCCAGTCAGAAGTGGGAGAAACGAAACGCCAATTATTAGGATCCCAATTGATGAGCAAAATAATAACGCGCGATTATCCGTCATCGACGACGAGTCAGACAAGACGACTCCCTCAACGTTGCGAGCTTTTGGTGAGCCTCCCAGCACGACCACTGGCACCGGGAGCCCCCGGCGCCGAACGCGCATCGCTAAGAGCCCAAGCGCGTGGCAGCTCGGTGAGCTTGCGCTGGCTGAGATTCCATCAGCTTCTGCTGCTTTACGAGCCAAATCCACCAACAGCCCCCGATTGAAACGACAGGGGTCAATGCTGTCGAGAAGATCGGTCTGTTCAGCATTTGACAAGAACGATAGCTTCGGCAAAGATACCAAGAAGAGAAGAGCGTACGAGCACTCGGAGCCTCCGTCGTCCTCGCGAGGGTCGACGCCGTCTCCACGGAAACACCTCGCGTCGGCCAGGTGGTCCAAGGTTGACGTGCTGCGGGGCCGGGGCGCCGTATCTCAGGGGCTCCGAGGCTTCTTCCGTTAGTCTGGGGGGAGTCCAATGTGCCGGCCGGTCGGAACTTGATGCCTGTTGGATTATTGAGAATTTTGCATTTTGCTTTGATGATGGTGGTGTCTGGTCACGGGTCTTTTTTGGAACATCACACCCACCGTACTGCATATACCCATGCTTTTTGTGGTGAGGCTTAGGCTGGTCTGGAAAAGGTATTACTACTACGGCTTGACATGTCGCTCTTTTTTGTATATACGTATCTGTGTCATTGACGCACACCTCTCCCAACAGGCTATGATTGGGAAGATATTGGAGTTCTGACTCTGCTGTGATTGCCAGAAGTAAGAATTTGAGGATTGCCGGAATCACCATGCACGTATTTTTTGTGAAGAATGAATAGCTCGGTTGGATTTGGCCGGAGATCCATCGTGGACGATTGGGAAGGCAGACTGCTATGAAGCCCTATTGGTCTGGGCAGCTTCAGAAATCGATTTCGTAGTTTTCCCGCGACCTAGGCTCTTCACAATCAAGTCCATGTGCGAGTTGAAAGTACGACTTCGAGTGTGAACAACTACAGGTCTCATAATACACCCAGCAGGCAGAGTGCAAATAAGCTACATACCTAGGTATGTAACTGGACCGACCGAAATTTGAAATATCATTGAACTGTTCCACTTTTCAAGTCTCGCGGAGAAATATCTTGGCTACGAATAAACTTTAACATGCAGTCTTTGACTGCACCGTGGTGATGTTCTACAGATACCGAAAACAAGTCTTCCGGCTCATGGGATAAGTACTCTATCCATGGATGGAATGCACCTAGGCACATGCATGGTGGACCAGCTGCTCCTCCTGAAAGGATCTTGGGAATTGGGCCGCTAGAGAATAGAACAAAACTACTCTAGGGTATATTGTCTCTCTCGTCTATATGTGCGCAGGCTTGAACGTGGGTACAAACTTGAAGTATATGGGCATGCAGGTAGACAGCAGCTGACGTACAAGATTGCCCAGGTGGTGCAATAGTCGTCGCCCAGGAGCCTAATTGACGTGATACTTCTCGGTATCACTAGTCCCAAGGCCTCTATATGACAGCCAAGGAACCGGTCATTCATACACTTCTTGTCCGATTCTAGAAAATAGGCTTGGCTTTGCTTCCTTGCCTGATATCAATCTGGCTTGATGATTCTGCCATCCGCTGCCGTGGTACCTGGTCAAATGAGACCTCAGGAAGTGGACTTTCACAGCCTCCTGTGCCCTGCTGGACTTTCTTCTCCACGTCATCACCCCCCAGAGAAGATGTGCAGCCTTGCTCAAGACGATTCTGGCACAGTACAGGAGATAAGAAGCCACAGCGAGCGCCATGGTGCCGACTGGGACAGTCAGGTCGGCGGCAATGGCTGTTGTGAGGGAAGAGTCGGATGAGCTGAGCCGGACTCCTTCGCCGCTCCTGTCTGCGAAGCAGCCCTGTAGAATGCCCCGTACGATTGTGCTCAGAGAGTTTTCCGCGCAAGGCACGAAACGAATATACCCGGGAACCATATTGATGTAAGTCTTCGTCTCGCTGTCTGCGAGGCAACCAGTTGACGGGTGGTGAAGAGGGTGGCCAGTGCCGCCCGCGTGGCCAGCTGCTTGTTGGACGGAGTCCGGGACGATCTGATTGGATCATATGGTTCAAGTCAATTTGTCCCTTGAAGGTCAAAAGGCATATTACAATGGGTTGAGGTTGAGGATTTCTGAATGCCATCAACACAGCGATAGTTCTGAAGGCTTCGTGTGACTGACTGACTGTATGGAAATTTGCGAGCCGCTGCAAGTCTCGGGGGATGACCACCTGGGCAGGCAGATCTGTATATACATATTATGTAGGTCTGTACTGTCAGTGTTGAATTTACAAACCCCAGACTGGTATGTGGCCTGCGTGGACCAAACTTCAAATACTCCGACCGGTGCTGACGATATATTAGTTTACGAGAGCATACGTATCTACATGCGATCACCAGATAACGAATCGTTGCTTTTAGCCCCCCCCCCCCCCCACCCATCTTTCCTGGGTGCGTGGAAATTGTTTCCGTATTATTAGCCAAGACTATCAGAGTAGGGACTGCCAAATACCTGTCGTTCAGCTCTTCCCATGCACACATTAGAAGAGTCAACCGTCGGGCACCAATTGGGTCTGTGTTCTGGAGTTAGGTAGTTGCCGATAGTTTCCATGCCTTACTGATTCAGGAATCTGAAGAACATATATCTAGCTCTTGCAAAAAGTCGGTGATCACATAGTCCCCGCATCCAGCGAGCAGAATTCTTCAGCTATCATCAGTCGAGTTTGGAAATGTTTTAGGAGTCCATGTATCGGCTTCCTACAAAATGCCCGATGTTCCTCAAACTGTAGTCAGAACTTTAGAAGAAAACGGTGCCAATACTGTACATACAACACTGCATATGAGACCCTTCAACCAGGCTTCTCACTCAATTGCAGTCATGCTTTCGGAACGCATCAACGTAATTCTGCTGGGAGCGTTTGCCATTGGATTGTCGGTCCCTGGTCCGCAGGTCACATCTGCTGGAAAACGCTTATTATCCTGGGTTGGAAGCAATTTGTACTTCCTACATACATTGGATGCCGACAACCAGGCGTTATACGTGAAGACACTCGCTAGCTGGGGTCAAAGTTCTCTGTCTCTGGAGTGAGCCTCATCCCAACTTGCCCGTGTGTTCCATCCGAAGTCGTGTTCCCACACTCCTGATAACACGGCATGACCGTCCGCACAATCCTTACTGTCTGGCAGCCAATCATTTTACCCCTTACACCCCATTTTTGGTAGTGACCGGGCTCCAAGGTGGCTGCATGCCTGCATCAAGGTAAGCGCCGACGTTGATGCTGTACCTGGCCTTGCCAGCCTGGAGGAAGCAGTGGGAGTCCACCACGCGACGGTCCCTGCCAAGCTGGATGCCTCACTCAGCATACTGCACGCCAATGGTAGCAAGGCCATACTATCCCCGCGACCCTTACTGCCGCAAGCACGGGAACCAGACCAGCTTCTACAAGTCCGCCGCCGAGGTCGCCGATGCCATCAACAGTTATGAGAGCCCCGCCTTTGGCGAGAACTGGAGCAAGCTGGACGAAGCCATCCTAGCTCACGACGTGGAATTCGAGCCCCTGATCGATGCAGTCCAGGGACCAAGGCTGTTGGTATGGGCCACAGAGCCATGATCCACAGTTGGGTGTTGCGGATAGCTCCAACGACGGCTTTTGAGGAGCAGATGCCGTCTGTAATAAAGCCGGCGTGCCTTGGGCGAGTGTTCCATCTTCCTCTTTACATATAATATAATATACCAAGACATGCTTCCCCATTACTTGAAGGACGAAAGCCAAGACGAAGCACCGGCAAGCTGTGGTGGCCATGATGGATTTGAGATTGGGCTCGACAGCCCCAAAGGTCATGTTGCTGCTCCAGTCCTTGCGACAGGCCCCACCAGTGCGTGGCAGGACCGGAGTGATGTGATAACCTGGCAACCTGGGATATCTACATAGTTGGAATGAGGTCTGTTATGCTCAAGCTGGTACGGTGTGAGGTGTCCCTAGACATGCAGTCATTTTGAAGGCAGCACTCCGTAATGCTGTAATAATCCATGGCTACTTAGCTACCCCTGTCTCCCGCATCAGCGACGAGTGACGTAGAGACGGGTGCGGGAATGCAAGGTACCTTCCGTATCCCATGCCTCTCTATGGCGGGTTGCCCCACCAAGCTTGGAAGTGGAAGCTCTGGAGCTGACGCCGCCCCGCCATCCCAAGCTCGCTGAATGACGTAGTTGTCACGAGCTCCCCTCCATATAATGAGCCAAGCAACACCTTGCCCTTCTGTTTTTTCTCGCCAACACTCTCAAGCAGCACACTACGACTCCGGAAACAACGAATTGACGACCAAAAACACCACAAACCAACCCATTCTCATCTTCTCAAAACCAACACAAAAACCACAACAACAGTCAAGATGAAGGGCGCCGCTACTCAGGTCAAGATCCACTACAAGGGTTCCGACGACGACTACCTCGTCTTCGTCGATGACCTCGAGACCTACAAGAAGTGGCAGGGAGACAAGTCTGTCCCTCTGGCTCACTTTGTTTCTGCTTTCAAGATCTTCGTGACACACAAGTGAGCACCCCCCTTCCAAACCCCAAAGCCGATTCACCTCGATGGCCCTCGACGGCCCTGGGATCTCCCTTTACTACGGTCAGAACCCTTAGCTAACGGACACATCTCTCCTCCAACAGCCAAGGTGCACAAGGAGCGTACGACAGTGCGCCCAAGGGCCAGCTGGAGAACGAGTTCGGCACCAGCAACGAGGATGATGTCATCAAGGCCATCCTGGAGAAGGGTGATGTGCAGGAGTCATCGGTAAGCCACTTTTCCTCCCTCCCTTTGACCGGCCCGCGAGTCGCCCGCAGGCTGTCGGTCTCCCTCTATCGAAAACAGCAAGGCTGACCATATTCCTACCCAAAAGATGCCCGAGCGACAGGGTCCCAAGAACGACTCCAAGGGCCCCATGGTTGCTCACTAAGCCTCTCGCAAGGCTGGAAAGATACCCATTGACGTCACAAACATTATCGGTTTAGCATTTTGGAGGTTTAAGATGGACCATGATATCGGCGTTTGGTAGTCTATCAATAATTAACAAAAGTGTCCTGCCTCGTCAGGCAGTCTCCAGACAATTGGTCTTTTTCCCGCCCCTACCTTTCGAGAATTGACTTGAGCTGTCACTGTGATGTATTGAGAGGGTCGTGGGCTCCGTGTCGCGTGACCCCACCTGTAATTGCCCTGTCGATCTTCCCATTAGGATGCCCTTGTTTCCGTATTTGACTGCATGACTTCCTAGTCACCTAACTTGTGCCGTACGGCTGAGGAATATCAGCAAAATCCCGTCTAATTTCCCTCTGAGACCCCGCCTTCAGTAGGCCGCAACCACGTCATGTTGCACCATCGCACCCGCCTCACTTCCGGCCGCGGACTGACAGGCCCCGACTCACTGAGGCCGAAGCTGCCAGACAGTCCGATAAATCTCATTGATCCTAGGCCCATGCATGCACAGAATTTTACGTGAACGATACTTGGCGCGCTTGTGTGAGAGTATGGCAGGTATTAAGGGCAACTTGTTACCATCTGTTTCGTAAAGGAGAGTGTCGGTGTTTGCTAATGCCAAGCGTTCTGCCAATGGCCCAAGGCTCTGGACTGTGTTCTGAGCAAAAGTCAGAGACCAACGGTGGCTGTGCCCGCCTGCTTGAATGAGCTTTCGGGCTCTCCACAGTTCTAATGACTAGGTCTCGCCTGGTGATTTGCATCTCGGTGTTTAAAGTGAGCTCGGCAGACAAGACATGTGCCAAAGTCCAAGCGAGCAGTGGGCACACACGCACACACGCACACACGCACACACAAGGCGAAACCCGCAAGAAGTCTGGGCGGGACTGGGCACTCGCCCATATCGATAAGACGAGAGGTGGGCACAGACCAGCACGCTGTCGATCATGGGCGGACGGGCCCACATAATACCCGTCACCTATCCCAATAGCCTGATGGCATGAATAAGTCCTCCGACTGCACAGACCTTTTCATCCTCTTGTATGGGGCATGAGGCTCAAAAACAGACTTCAACAACATACGAACTCGTGACCCGTGCACACATAGACTCTGGTGTACAGACACATGTCACATTCAAATTTTTGGGGGCCACGGTAGTTGGCCGAGCAGGCGAGCCAGGCACAAAGGTAAGGTAAGGGGACAGGGGTGGCGGGCATGGAAGGTCGGGCAAGAGTTATGTCAGCCTCATTAGCGCCAGGGCACCCGTTTCGCCCCAGTTTCGAATGCGGGAGCCTGGTACAAGCCCTCGCCTTGGGGGGGGGGGGGCTCAGCCCTTCTGCCCACTGGCTGACTGCGCGGCGGCGGCGGCGACTCCTGACTGTGTGATGTTCTCGCTGGTCCCTGGACCTTGTGCTGCCAGGCCGCCTAGCCTGCCCGTGTCAAAGGACGCATGTTCTGAAACGGGAGGAATCGTGGTGTCGTTCAAAGTGTGGTAAAGGGGAAGGGGGAGACCGCTCGCCACGCTGTCGCCCCTCTGCAGCGTCTGGTCTGGCTCACCTCGTCGACCCTCAGCTCGCCAGGCCACCTCTCGAACCCTTGGCTTCGATAGCTCGTCTCGACCCGCTTCCGTCCCATCTCTTGAGATGGCAAAACTCTGGTACGAGTTGCTAGCCGCCTTTTGTTCCCTGGCCCACCCATTTCGTCTAATTCCACAGCAAGCTCACTAGAGTTAATTCTGTGGACGGGAGTGAGATGAACGCTAAAATTCCATGATGAATTTGATGTGAGCTTCACACCTGCTGGACCAGTCAGGGCGGACCCAAATCATGCTAATAATAAAAATAATAAACCTCCTCTGCTTGGTCGTGAACATCCCCGTGTGGTGGTGAGTGACGTCGTGATAAAATTGGGTATTTCCTGCGTGACTCCAGCCCATCCCAATCCCCCCTTGCGCCCGTGAGGTCGTCCACCCTTGTCCAAAGCTCCTGTGCCGCCATCGAGATGAGATTCGACACCTGTGATTCCGTTGTTGGTAACCGCTCCAACAGGTTCCATCTTCGAAGTAAATCGATGCTGTATCTGTGTATTTGCGATGACGAGCTCGCTGTTGAACGAGCCGATGGCGGTCTTGTTTAGGACGAACTCGGAATATTGTATTGTGTGTCTATGCCGGTTGTCCACCGCCGCCTCGCTTCGGTAATGTCCAGGGTTTAGCACAGATAACCTGTGTGGAAGGTGTTAGTCTCTCTGTGTCACTCTGAGTCTATGACTGGTGTCCAACATACCTCGCCTTCAGAAAATGCCCAGAATTCAACAATCATAGCGACTAGGTAGTACAGGGCGGCGTTTGTCCCTTGATATGTCAAGACGGCGGCAAGCGCTGCCAGAGGCAGGAAGGCCAGGCGAGCCTCGAGGCTTCGGTGGATGGCCGTGCCGGCGATGAAGTTGAGAGGCCACTCCCATGCCACCACCCATATTCCCATCACCAGATTGATGATCTGTAGTACCGGGAAGGGCTTCACGGCCGCATCAAGTGTCTTGGTGGCGAAGTCCCAGAAAATTTTGGGCCAGAAAAATCCTTCAATTGCCGCTGCGATTTGGTCTGAGATGAGCAGGTCAGTTAAAAACTCCCGTGTACCAGACAAGATCCACCGCCCGCGGCGTGATTGCACTTACAAGCTCCGGCAGTGAGGATGATGAGCCTCGCCCAGTGGTTCTTGATAAGTCTTCCCATCGTGGATTCGTAAACGCTGCAACTTCCCCAGGAATATTGCCTCCGCTCCCAAGCTCTTTCTACCCGACTCGCCCGAGATTGCTCTCCCTCGTGGTGCTGACCGGTGGTGGATGATTGTTGTGCCTTCCCAGGTGAGATCGGATATGGTCCAGTTCGGATTGTTCAAGAACGAAAGAAGTTGGACCCGCTCAACAGAAGTCTTCCACACACGTTACCAGCGTCGGGTTGTCGATATTATTAAAAGTGAATAGTAAGGAGAGACGAGTGACCGGACTCGCTCTGTTGGGATGATGTGCAGGTTGTCGATATGAAAGAAGGCTATCGACAAACTGTTTGCCACACTATCGAAAGGGAAGGAAGGAACAGGTGCAGAGGATGTGACACGATGAACGGCCGACGGGGCCAAGTAGGACTATATTGCCTGGTCTTGGTATGCAGAGTGGTGTATGCCCTGTGGGCACAAGCCCGGGCCGATGGGTGTGTATCAAATGTCTGTGGGAACCGACTGGGGAGGGTATCGAATGTCTCTGGCTTGATGCTGGTACGTCTTCGTCGGAGGCCCAGGTTCTTGAGATCCGGTCTATAATGGCGGCTGGCATCCGAGCAACATTAAGCTTGATCGACACAGACTTGGGAGGTGGAGACGATGGCTTGTGGGCGGTATCATCAAGGGGTTGGCCCGCGCCCTGGTCCCAAGGGGTGGAGTGAACCGCTCTCTGGTGATGGGATGGCGTTGTTTGATGCTCGCGGCGAGGCCAAGGCAGCTCAGTCGAGATGAGGTCAATAGTGCGTTTTCGCTGGTACGGGCAAGGGCTTGAGGCTCCTCTGCATTGATATGGGGTTGGAGATCAGACAAGACGGAGGTCTGAGGCAGGGGAGGCTAGATGTTTGAGGCAGGGTCGACCTTTTTGGCATGTAAGAGAGCTCGCTTGATCTACTCGGGTGCGGGACATGCAAGTTTAAGAGTGACATGAGGAAGAGCGGGTCGAGACGTGTGAGGAGACCACTGCATGCATGTACCCCGGGTACGTGCTCAGGGCCAAGGAGGAGTGCAGGGAGTGACACGGGAAAGAGTCCACTGGCAGGGATTTGCTGCACTACGCATGTACATACAACATCTTCCACTAGGCAGATGGTACAGGGTTGCAGAGGCATTATTTCTCAGTGTGAGGAGAGCCCGCGCCAAACGAGACGTAGTTTGACTCGTCCGAGTCTCATATGAACAGTCAAGCCACGGCCACGGCCATGGCCGCCTCGAAGAGCTTGTACTCTCTTGTCTGACTGTGTATCGGAGGCCAACCCCAGAGACCGCCACCCCGAGGGACCCAGTCTGGAGGGTCCTGACGGGCACGCAGCGGCTACAATTTTGCTGAGCACCGGCGATCTCTGGGCACCTGACTCCTCCAGCGGCAAGTGCCTCATGATTCTGCCGAGCAACGGTGAGGCGATGCTGGAGAGCGAAGAGGGGCTGGAGGCCATGATCGTCTTGCCTGCCCAGGCGAAAACCATGCGGTTTGTATGCAAGATGCCCAATCAGCAAGGCACCTGGGCCTCCAAAAGGACGGCCTCGGCCTGGGCGGCAACGCACACCTCGGAACCATTGGGGCCTGGGAGCGGAGAAGAAGGTATTGCGGTGGGAAATCTGATGTGCAAGAGCAGCGGCACAGCTCTCGTCTGAGGTGATTGGCAGAACATCAGATAGCGTGCGGTGTAGCACGGCGCGTAGAGATGGGGAACGGTCCAATCAGATCCCTGTGCGACCAGGGGCAGGGGCCAGCCCCTGCTGCGAGGCTGCAGGCTGGGTCCAGGGGTCTTGCCCTTGCAGAGGGGTTGTTCCAAGTCACTCTCTTGCCTCACGTGGGCGGTTGTTCGCCGGGAGGCAATTGTCGAGGGACAATGCGTACCATGGAGCATGGCCTCGGAAGGGAAGGGACGCCGCATGCATGCAGCCACACCGTGATGCTTTGCCAGCTCATGGGGGGCTGGACAGCACCAGGGCTGCTGCCAGGCCGGTCGGCAGCTCAATTCTGGTCACCTCCAGCGTCACTGTCACGGTTGTGGCCGCTGCGGCCTGCCAGTCCACCAATGCCTAATTGCACGTCGCGAGTAGCACCCGTGCTTGCCGTGCTCGGTACACAGCGGTATTTCCTGCCGCCTTCACACTTTGATTCCATCACACGGGTGTCCCTGGTGTCGCCGTGGTGCCGCACCCGACTGTCAGGACAGACGCCTCACGACGCCGCCGGAACCAGAGCCGTCAACATGTACCAACGCTCAAGGCGTTGCACCCAGACGTGGAGTCTCGTCCGGTTTGGCTGTCTCACCAAAGCGTGCCGCTACAATGGTGGCCGTCGAGCGCTGTGCGGGGTGATGGAGAGAGGGCTTGAGGCTCGTCTCGTCCCAGGCTGCGGTAGAGGCTCGACGCCACTGAGGAGCTCATCAGACGCAGATCTCTTGTTGAAAAACATCGGCCGTCCAGCCCGTCCAGCCCGTCCCAAGATTGATGGGATAATTGCTAAGCCCATTTGAGTTGCCAGGCTTCATGCGACAGACGATCAGACAGATAGCGGTTTCGCCGAGACCAGCAGTGGGAGGCTGAGGCAGAGGCCGTTTTAGGAGACTGAATGAGTGCGCCTCCAACGCTTTGGGCCCATTTGGAGGATAAAGTTGGGTCTGACAGGTCGGCCGGGCCAATTGGTAGCGGGGGGCCGCCGCCGAAACAGGGGACGCTAGTTCGGATCAGCACAGAGCCGCACTGCCTGAGACTGTCCCCTACTCAGTAAAGTCACGTTCCATACTTGGCCAAGTGGTAAGGTACATCCTCTCTGGCCTCTGAGAGAACATGACAGTGCCAGACCCGTCGATGACGAGTTGTGCAAGCATGCCTGGCATGCAAGTCGGGGGCACAGCGAACTGTGGGTCAGGTCAGGTCAGGAAGCACGCATGCTGGCATGCTGGCGTGCTTTCGTCTAGAATATCGTCCGTTGTTCTCTGGACTTGTCAGCTCGGGTCAGATCAGCCCAAGACTCCCGAGATGACCCCAGAAGCCTCTAAAGTAAATCTGCACCGCTCGAACTTTGGATGCCACCACCAAGAGCAGGTCGGACGGAAACATTTCATTGAATCGTCCTGACCTTGTTTGGTCCAGTGTGCTTAGTTGTACGGCCGACGGAAGGATCGCACATGAGATCGAACGAACAGTCACCCCGAGTTGGATGGATGTGGGTGACCGAGAGCTTGCCAGCCAGCCCTTGTGGACTCGTGACATGAACTTGAACGAAATGCCCATCGCTGTGCGGTCAACGAAAAGTCCAGTGGTCCAGCACCGGACCCTCTGCCGTTTTTGGCAGCAGTATCCAGGCCAAGCAGTCTGCCGGCGGTGATCGGATGCCGATCACAAAAGGCCCCCAAAAGTTCTGTGCGGTCGTAGCGATGGGCAGGAGATAAAGTTAAGGTTCACAAGGTCTCGGCTGATTGTTTACACAGCAACAGCACAACAGCGGAGCGAGCGGCAGAGGCAGAATGCTGAACGTGGCAGCTTGGCAGTGCACGGCTGCCGTGCAGAATGAGATCTGGAAAAGGCCTGCTCAGTCAATCACATGTTCTCCACCTCACCCGAGACCCACTCTGTGCAGGCCCAGCCAATGCCAACCCAGCCTCAGCGCTTGCAGTACGATGCCAATTGGTACTCCGGACGGATGTGGGCCGGGACGGCGACCCGCTTCATGGGTGGGCACACCAGCCTCCATGTGAGAGGCCAATCAACTCGACATGCTCGACCTTGGCTTTTACCTCCCTGTCGAGCCCGTCCGACCTCGATCTGCGAGACGCGTCGTGACATGCATGGTCACCGCACTGCATGTCCCCAAGCAGCCAATTGATAGCGGCGAATCTTGCAGACTATTTGATTCCAAGGAATCTATAAATGGGAGCATTCTTGGACCCCAATACCCTCGAAGGCCCGTGGGATAGGCTCATAGGGGCTATTCACTGAATATGCGGTCGCAAACCACTTTCTCTCAGTTGTTGACAGGCGCTTCCACTCATCGGTCCGCTAATCCAGCGAGTTTCACGTCCTCATAAGCTCTGGTACAAAGACATCTGGCTGAACAGTCGCATGATCCCGCTGGTGAGCTGATGTCTACCACGGCACGAGCCGGGCTATCTCAGATCGTATCGATTGAACCGGATTCTGACGACCCTTGTGAGAGTCCCAACGCTGTGGCTTGATGCAGTGGGCTATCACCGTATGCTTAAGTGCACTGCAAATCATCATTTGACAGCCTCTCTTCCTGCAAGGCCCCGCAGCCGCCACTCTGCTGGCCAGTGCTCGGAGCAGAGCCAAGCCAGACAATCGCCAAATGCGTGTCTGCACTCGACTGTCTGTTGGCCCGCCCTGGAGACCCGATGCTCTATTTGAAGGGGTTTGCATCAGGCGTTTCGGTTTCGAGCAATATCTAGCCGCCGCCCGATTGTTGTCAGATCCCAACGGCCTGGGACGGCTCGTGGGCACGATTCCGCCGGTCAGCCCAGAAAATGGCTCCAAGGCGGCTCACTGTAAACATGCTGGCCTGAACTGATGCGATTCAAGCTGTGGGTGCAGTTACACCCGTCTCCCTGCCCCCCCTCCCAGAGAGTTCAAGAAGGAAAGGCTGAAGAGTTCAGCCGTGACTCTGCCCACACATAAGCTCTCGCTGGCGTTACCGATCCAGCCCACGGCCAGTCGACAGATCTCAGCCCATGTTCTGTTCAACTACGGGCAGAGGGGGCTTCTTCGTAAATGCATCCACTGCCAGACACATGAAATTCGTGTCCCGTCCGATTTGGACACCACACGATGACAACCAATCGCATAGGACGGGTGTGTAGCGTGCCGCCCTCTCAGGTAAGTGATTTGTCGATGTATTCCATGTGCCAGGCAGCAGATGCATTGCGCGCAGGCCGCCGCTGCCAACAAATTTTATGCTTAAGTCCGGTATGATGCCGTTGTCAACTCACGTCGGCCGTATGCAGCCCTTCGCAATCTGGTGCCTTCACTCTAGACCATGTAGGGACCGAAGACCGTGTGACTGTGATTCCCTGTGTCCATCACCCATCCCTGCCTGGCTTGGTCTCTGTACACTCAAGACTGAACGTTTCCTGTATTGTTAGGTTGCCTTTTCTGAGGGCCTTTATGAGGCTGACTTTGAGCCAAACAGACGCAAAGCAACTAATAACGCCAGATAACTCGAAGCCAAAAAAGCAGCATGGCACAGCCTCTCGTTGAGTCCGGCAAACGGTCTGAGCGAGTCGACCTGTTGTAACTCCGGTCTATCATGCCAGGTACTCCTGTGTCCAGAAAGATACGACTCGTCGTGCTTCCTCTTGGCCGAGGTATCCGACCAGCTCCGATTGCCCAGTCTCTGTCACTGCCATGTTGGCCAGGTTTGCAAAGCCCATCGTCAAATCGGTAAGCTAACATGGGTTAGTCACCTGCTACAACGCCTGAGATAAATACACCGTATAGTTTTCCGAAACATGACGTATTAGAACGGACCGAGGAAAACGCTGGTACTAACGAGATTGGCAGTGTGCTGGCGCAATGGGGGCGAGAGGCCGGTATAAGGCAGGAGCGTCTGCACGGCTTTCATGGGCTGGGTCGAGGTGTGCTGATTAGAGTTGCTTTTGAGGAATGACTGATGGAATTTGTGAAGGGTTTCTGGCAGGTCCTCGACGCTTCGCAGCCGTAGGAGCGGGACTTCAAAAATATCGACGATCCTGAGCCCAACTCATGTAAGTGGGTGCGCGCAAGACCGACAGTCGTCAAGACTGAGGCTCAGGTGATCTTTACTCATTCAGGAGCTGCAAGTAAGGGGACTCATCACTGCCCTCCCCCACCAACCAGATAATGGCAGCATCGCCGCCACCGGACTGGTTCTCGAGTCGCTCGATGCGCAGATGCCGGGCACGGGGGTCTTGATCGGCCGGGGACAAAAGAAGGAAGCGCAGATAGCGTGTCCCTGGTGCATCAGGACTGGGCAGTGGCAGGTTGACATCGTGAGTGTCAAGCTTGCTCTCTGACGGGTCCCACGTCTGGTCAGAACTCGGCCTCAGGTAAGGGAACTCTTGTGTCTCCTGGATTTTATCCTCACCCCTGAACTTGGGATCTCTAGTCTGGAGAAGACGGGGGATGGCAGGGGCCCATTCCTTGCGCCTGCGTAGTGAGGTGCAGAACATTGTAATGCCAACCCTGATTTAGCCGGGCAGGCGCACAAGATGTCAAAGTAGGCAAGGGCCTCGATTCGGGTGAGGATTGTTTCGTATTGGAGAGAGATGATAAGAGGGGCGAGGGTTCTGTCTAATAATTGAGCCCTTCCGCCCCAGAGGTCTTCCTCAGTGAGAGGGGTGCCAGGACTCTGATATCGGTAGGTTGTTCTTGGGAAGGCGCACTTGGAACAGCACACGCACTGACGGGCCTTCCCAGGGCTGAGCACGCGTTGACCATGCCTGCTCAAAAAATTAACCCCAACGCCTTGCTTGCCCTTTCCTAGCAGACTCGCTGCTGGTGGTCCTGGTGCGAGTCTAATCTATCGTCAAGGTTTAGTTCATCTACAATCTTGTGCAACCGTCAGGCCAACTCGGCGAGCCGATTGTGACAATGCCACCAGCAACGGCTGCATTTCTCGCCTATCCGTCCGGCTGCACGTGTGTCACGCTGCTGGTGTCGGTGATGGAAGCAAAGGCTGCTTGGTCTTGGGGTCTTTGTAGTTTCGCAGTGCCTCCTCCAGCTGCAATATCCTGCTCTGTTGTCGCTTTTCCTCTTGCTCGTGGTCTTTCTCCCTGTTCTGCAGTTCTTCAAAGCGCTTGTTCAGCTCATCGATCATCTCCTTGTTCCTGTCCGGTTTGACTGACGAGCGCCAAGTCTCGTAGATGATCAGGGTCGCAGCAACGAGGAGGATGAACCCGTCTCCTATGACGTCCGCAAATAGGTCGACAGCCTTCGCTTCTGGCAAGGGTTTGAATTGTCGTCTCCATACGCTGGGGCTCAGAAGGCTCCTCGATTTGCTTGCGCTTTTCGCTGTTATTCCATACTTGGCTTTCATTTGGTCTTCCTTCTCCACCTGCTCCCTCGTCTTGACGGTTGGCGCCTCGGCTTTCTCTCTTGCCTTACGTTCTGCGTCCACGTCTCGTAATGATGCGACGGACAGCCTCATGTTCAGCTGGTGAATCTTCTGGCCGTATCTGGCAGCGAACGCGCGGAACTGAGGGTGGTCGTGGGCTTGTGACTTGATTCGATTCTGCGTTGCCGATCAGTCAGACCAGCTCGGGTCGGGGGTCGGGGGATCATGGGCAACGGGCAGACTGACGGCTCCATATTTGGAAACATGGCGGACAAAAAGAGAAGCAAGTTTGAAGAGCGGAAGAGGGACCATTGTGACCGGGAGGGTTCGGAGGAGCACCGTTCACGGCCGGGAGTGTGCAACGGAGTTGGTGGACCGGACCGGCCGTTTAGGAAACCAAGCAGACAACGACACCACAGCACAGTAAGCTGTTACAATAAGCCTATGGTTCACAAGGTAGACAGCAGTCAGTAGAGCGAAACCTCAAAACCCCTGACAGGTTGGAAATGGCAGATACATTTGTTCATGTAGACAAATTTGAAGTCCCACCCATGCGTCAAATTGCCGGACGAGGCCAATCGACGTTGTTCGGCTGACGTCTTGCCTAACCGGGTACCCAGGTAGATACTGCAGTCCTTGGAGCAGAACCTGAAGTTAGAGTTGGGTAGCTCACCAACTGCTCTGCGATTGGCTGCCTGGGTGCTAAGCACCTAGGCACAGCACCTAGGTACCTAGGTAGTTTTGGCTGCAGGGGACCAAAGTGACAAAAGACCCCACAGTGGGCTCTGCCGCCCCTGCCAGGCGGAAGCTCGTTGCCGAGCAACCTGCGCAACGAGTAAGCAAATTCAGAAGGCCGAGCAGCACTCAGAGACAACAAGCTACTTAGCAATTCAAGGATCCATCATCCTGTCACCAACTCTGCCTTGCACCAACTCGTGCTTTTCTTTGAACTTCACCCCAGAAAATGGTCTTAAGTTTCAAAACCTCTTTCTAATAGTGGCACCCGGTCCCTGGCTACCATCTCACGCCATCTTGCTGAACAGTCAGTCCTCGTGAGTCTCCAGTTTACTTCCATCCTCGGACGCGAAGTCATTTGCCAGGCACTGTTTGCTGGTCAGGGCTGCTCCCGAAGCATGAACCTCTTGCCTTGCAACACTCCAGGCATTCCTCCGTCATGCCAATGCCCTCCAGCTTCTTCCAGGCGCTCAGGAACACCCAGCATCTTGTCGTCCCGGCCTTGCTACACCAGATCATTATCAATCTATTCCTGTCTTTAAATTTCGCCCAACCCATTTTCAGGAACATCAAGGACCATGGAGCGCTAACTCGGATTCAGCTAAACTTGTCATCATCTACAGGCAGCCGCTGGCAGCGTTATCGGAATACCATTCAGGTCACAAGTCTCAGGTTGCTAAACCAGCAGCTCAACCTCAGATACGGTGAATCTAGCTGCAGGCGCCACGAACACGAACAGCAAATCCGTTGAGAGATTCTGAGCTGGCGCCCTAGAATGGCTGGGCGAGGAGGTGTCGATATGGAGGCCTTATCACCTAGAGATGTGAACGCCCTTCCCAAGCGCACCACCGATCTCAAAGCAAAGGCTGCCGCCCAATTGAGGACCGCTAAAGACAAGGACCACCCTCCTCCCCCACCACCACAGGTCGTCGAGCCGCCCAGTTCTGATCGCAAGAATGGAGCTGTATACCAGGTCGGGAAACTGCTGGGCAAAGGCGGTTTCGCCATTTGCTATGACGGCAAGCATGTCGACTCGGGGAAGAAATACGCTCTCAAAATTGTCAAGAGTACAATGCCCGTCAAGATGCAACAGAAGGTCGGTGGAAATCTCACAAGACTCGCCCGTGATCATGGAGCAGAGGGACCAGGCTCGATACTAATGAGGCTCCTTGCAGTTCCAAACTGAGCTGCAGATCCACTCCAAGATGAGACATGCAAACATTGTTCAATTTCACCGGGCTTTCACTTTCGAGAACTGCACCTATCTCATCCTCGAGCTCTGCCCCAACGGATCGCTGATGGAAATGGTCAAGAGGAGGAAAGGATTGACCGAGGCCGAAGTCCGTTTCTACACCATACAGATCGCCGGCGCAATCAAATACATGCACGGAAAGGGCATCATACATCGTGACTTGAAGATGGGTAACATTTTCCTCGATAAGAATATGAATGCTAAGGTCGGCGACTTTGGCCTGGCTGCCCTATTGGTCACTGGTAACGACATGCACACAATCAGGAGGACCACCCTTTGCGGCACCCCCAATTACATTGCTCCCGAGATCTTGCAAAAGGGAAAAGCTGGACACGATCACAACGTCGACATCTGGAGTCTGGGCATCATAATGTGCGTAAAACTTTGCTTGATGAATTGTGAAGCTGGCAGCAAGGGTTCGGATTTTACTGATTGAGTTACTCTAGGTTCGCCATGCTCACTACGAAACCACCATTCCAATCCTCAACCACGGACGAGATTTATCGTCGCGCGCGGGACAGAGACTATGATTGGCCACAGAACGAGCAGAAATTCATCAGTCTGGAAGTAAAGGATATCGTGGCTTCTATGTTGGTGGATGCGGACCGCAGACCAGATCCAGATGCGATTGTTCAGCATCCTTTCTTCACCGCTGGCTACGTTCCCTCCCAAGCGGACATAACGCCGAGGCTACGGGATACAGCTCCAGAGCACGAGATATTTCACGACTCCTGTGCGAGCCCTCGGTTGCAAGAGAGGGCCCAGAGCAACCTCAGGGATCTTTGTCAACAGTGCGAAGTCGGTCCTTGGCACGGCAAGGTCCAACAAGTGAAACCTGCCATATGGCGCGAGATCGCCTCGGAGGAGAAGCATGGCCTGACACCTAGCATCCCATTAGCTGTCGACATCGTCTACCGACCTTACGATGAACTGAAGAGGGAAAAGCAACAGCTCCAAACATCACAGTCAGTATCGATATTGTGCGAGAAAACCGAGGCACTTACACTCGACCCACCTGCGAAATTTGCACCCTCTGGCTGGCTCAAGGCACCACCACAGAGCTTCGCCGCTCAGCAAAGAGCAGCGAACAAGCCAGCGAATGCCATCCCCAGCTCACGAACACAGCCTTCGATGGCTGCGGCACCCGCGAGACCCATGGCAGCCCGACCTCGTGGGACCAAAAAAGACGTTCCGCTGACCACAACCGGAGCACTGTCCGTGGAGGAGCATGAGCAAGCCAAGAGGGTATCCTCGAGAGCGACGCGGACACAGTTGCCTTCCAGCAGGACACAGCCGACCGCGCGACCGGCACTTGCAACGAGATCATCCTCGACAGCAAAGATCGAACCGTCACCACAACCAAAGGAAGACTCTAATGACGGGAGGAACATTGTGTCTCTGTTCGGGCCAGGGGAGCAGCAAGAATACCTCGAGGATACGAGGCCCGATCTTGTGCTGAGCAGGATGCGGAAGCTACAGGCTGAGCTTGAGCGGGCCCTCAACTCTCGATCCATGGCCTACATATCGACCAAACAGAAAGAGCCAGAGATCCCGAAGGTTGTCGTCAAGTGGGTGGACTACACGAACAAATTCGGACTTGGCTACATCTTGAATGATGGCAGTGCAGGGTGCATCCTCAACAGCGTCACTGCACCGGGAGGAGATGAACAAGCGATGCTGCCCCCATCATTTCTGCTCGTCCATGATGCCGAGAAGCACATCTCACGGAGGAACGACCCAACATATCGCGAGAGGCAACAAATCGTGCCAATGACGAAGCCCATCTACTTCTACGAAACCAAGGGTGAGGAAGGGATCAGCCGAGTGGGCATCAGCCCTGAAGAGTTCAGAGTACCTGTGAGCCAGAACGGGACAGCCTCTAAGCTTGAGCCGGGTAAGACCGACCATGAGCATCGGAAGCGGGAGCGCATTGTTTTGTGGAAGAAATTTGCCAATTACATGCTTCAGCATGCGCGGGAGCATCCTGATGCGGAAACACCTGGGCCTTATGCCGTCGACGTGCCCGGGGACCTCGTCACATTCTATCAGAGGTTTGGAGACGTCCAGATATTCCACTTCTGCGATGGCCACCTTCAGGTATATGACATTTCCCCCAGTCTATCGTCTTGGTCCCCTGACTAATTCTTGCCTAGTTCAATTTCCCCGACCACACCAAGATCGTACTTGATCGGACAGGCACGTGGTGCCACTTCTGGCATCTCTCCCAGGAGGCTGCAGAACAGCTTGCCAGCACGGGCGGCATGGACGAGGCATCTCTGGATGACCGTGCTGTGCTGTCATATCCCCTCCAGACCCTCCTCAACTTCTCGACGGTGCCCAAGGCGTCACAGCGCAGTGTTCCCAACTCGACACGGCACCGACCAGAGATCCCGCTGGAGCTTCAAGGCATACCAGCAGCCAACGACTTCCGGCGCAAGGTCGAATTCATCAGGGCAGTTGTGAAGGAGTGGGCCAGGAACGGGGGCCTTGGCAAGAGTGACATGTCGCGAGATGGCCGGCTGAAGTGGCCGGGACTGCGGCAGACCATGGACTGCGAGACCATGATGAAACAGGCCTGGGTCACCATTGGGGCGCGAGGAGAAGACAGCCGGCACGCTGCGTGGGTTGACAGTCGCAACCCGACCACGCTGCTGGATGAGATCGACGAGACCAGGAAGACCTAGGGCAGTGTTTTCTGAGACGGTGGCGACGCTGTACGCCGACATGATTGCTACGACGTTTCTTCTCTTCCATTTCTACATTCGGCCGTGCTCAATGTTCTCGTCAAGGCGAGAGGGGGTATTGAGCTCTGCGAGACATAATGATTGCTGCGTTCTTGCCTGTTCCTTGAAGTTCTTCAAGACCCCGAGGGACGGGCGACGGGGTCTTCTCAAAGCATGCAGGTGGTAATGAGTTAGCGAGCGAAGTGAGGAGCACAACTTGATTAATGAATTCTGCATCCTAAAGCCTCTGCATGACATCAATCTGGGTCCGAACATGACGACGGGGCAAGGCCTTGCCGGCTCGCCTGGCGTGGTTGGCTTGGTGCGCTTGAGCCAAGCCTCCACAACACAAACATTGAAAGTAAACAGATGAACCCACTGCGGGGCAACACCTCGGCTCCCAGACAATGTCTCTGAGGAGCGTGATTGCTGGGGTTTAAATGGCATCCATTACAATGGCTCATTTCACTTTGGCATGACAGTGGTTCCCCTCCACTTTCCCGGTCCAGATCTACTACGGAGTAATTGCCATATGCCCATTTTGCCACGAACGATGTCATGGTGCCCAACATTGAATGCTGCAATGTTTTGTCTTTGCATTCTCGCGCAATTGTAATTGCACTTGCTGCCGCGCACAGATGTGAGGCTGGTAGAATTTAGATGGCGTTGCGTTGTCGTATGTGCTCGGTACTGTGGTAGCAAAATTCACCGCTCATCCAACGGCCAGGACAGACTATACCCATTCGATTCGTCTGTGTGTGTGTATCGCGTATGCACGCAGATGCAAGACGGCCTATTATTTTTTCTCCCGTCAAGAGGAAGGAGCGACAAGCAGACCAATCACGGGGCAGTGGTCTCGTGGCCGGGGTTAGAGCTTGGAGAGAGCTCCCCACCCGCGTGCCACGACAATCCTTGTCGGTGTCAACGACCCTGGTCTCCACCAAACTCGCTCAACGCGTCTCGTCTGGTTTGGCCTGGGGGGGGGGGGCGTCTGCGTTACTCGACGCGGCTGAAATTTGATATCTGCTGCACGACCTCCTCTCTCCTCTACTTGTGTTTCTGTCTCGCTTGCATTTCCGCTTTGGTTCCAGCATTCCATCCTCTCTTTGACCTTGGGCAAGGCAATTGGTGTTTTCATGAGCTCGTCCCGCCAGATCATGTCTTGCTGAGCCTCACCACCGTCTTCAATAACACCGTCAATATCCTATACCGGCATCAAATATGTCAAGCCAACCCGCCTCCCCAGGTCCACTTCCGGCGAGCTCTCAGCAGCAGCACCAGCACCAGCACCAGCACCAGAATGAGAACAACGGTCCTCCGTCGAGCTCACCTCACAGCACCGCCGATTCTGCAGTGCACGTCGACGAGTCCAGAGAGAAGGTGGACCCCGACTCGTCGTTCCAGAGCAATTCGTCCGAGCGCCATCCCAAGGGCAAGAGGAAGAGAACCGCGTATGTTGCACATCGGCCTCGCGACCTGGTAGACGCGGTGGGATACAGGCCATTACTGACATATCCTCGTGCTTCAGTGCAAAGGACAAGGCAATCCTCGAGGCAGCGTACAACGCCAACCCCAAGCCGGACAAGGCAGCGCGTCTGGACATCGTGAGGCGCGTGTCCCTTAATGAGAAAGAAGTCCAGGTACGAGCTCGACGGGCCCAATTGACCCCCCACGCGGTGAGCATCACTGACCGGACCCGCGCCCCAGATATGGTTCCAGAACAGGCGCCAGAATGACAGGCGCAAGTCACGACCCCTGTCGCCCCAGGAGATTGCCGCCCTGCAATATGGTGGCATGCAGGTGCTCTCCTCCGACCCGGCTCCGTACAGCAGCAGCCAGCCCCAAATGTCCGGCCTTTCTAACTCCAACACGTCCCCGTACCAACAGCCTACGATTCCCGAGGGTCCGGACGCGTCTCCACAAGCTGTAGTGGCAGACCAACCCACATCCGAGACAACTACCGAGGCCGCGGCCGAGTTGCCCATGGCCCATCACAGCCGGAGGGAATCTGCCGCCTCAATGGGGGCCACCGCCATGTCGTCATCCCAGCCGGTTGAGTTCACGGCGGGCCAGTCACACCACCTGCACCGGTCGGCCTCGGTGGGATATTTCGCCCACAGCCTGAATGCTGCCACCTCTTACCAGACTAACCGCCCGAGTCCGGACTCGCTGAGGTATGTGCCTGGTGCCTGGGGCCTGGTGCCTGGGACCTGGGCTGCCCGAACGCGGTCATCGAGCCATGCTGACGTGTATAGGCACGAGTTCCTCTCTGCTGCTGCGCGGTCGACGTCCGCGGCGCCTGTGCTCCCACCGCCTCTGTCATCCGGCTTCCGGCTAGCAATGTCGGTCGAGGGCAAGGCAGAGCTTGTCCCACAGCCATCACCGCCACGCATTTCCCCCTCGGCCCTGTCTGATAGCCCTCCTCAACCCTTCGATCGCCCAAGCCTTCACCGTAGCCGTAGTGCGGCAGCCTGCGTCACGCTGCCCCCTATCTCCACCTTGACCGCTTCGCTTGACGCGAACCCCTCGCGCTCGATAATAGAAGCAGCTCCAGCCCACCAGCCACAACCACGCCTCCCTCACAGCCTACACCGCAGTCGTTCCAGGGATGTCCACGCGTGGGAGATGGCCTGCGAGGCGAACATTGAGCCTAGGGACGAGCTGACAGCCTACGCTGCACGTGAATCATCTGGCTCTGCCATTGCGGCCATCAGTCTCCTGCGCACCCTTAGCTCCAGCTCACACTCCGGTATGAGCCACGGAAGCGGCGTCCTCCAGCCCAACAGCGCCAAACGCAACGCGCGCCCTAACGCCCAACCAAACCACCATGCCAAGAAGCCCAAGCTTAGCCGTGCCTCGAGCAGTGTTGGCCGCCTGCAGACGAATTTTGTCAACACCACAACGGACAAGCCTCCCGTGAGGCGAGAGCAGACGCCCGTGGAGGTTGACGACCTGAAGAAGGGCAAGGTGTCAATCTTGTTCTCACCCGGCGGCAACGACTCCGACAAGGAGAACTGGAGCCCCGTCAAGGAGGGGCGCCAGATGTTCCATGGCGCGTCGCGGCCCGCAAACGGAAGACGACCGTTGCCATCGGAGCCCACGTCAAAGCCCGCTGGCCTTCTCAAGCCGCGCAGGAGCGTGGGCCGCGTGCTGGGAGACGCGAGCAACAGGTCCCTGCTCGGACGTGCCAGGACGGCGCCGACGTCAAGGCGGAAGAGAGGCTGCACGCCAGTCAATATTTTTGAGGACGGGGCCAGCGGCGAGGCCGGGGCCGACCCCTCTGAGGGCGAGAGCGAGGGAGAGGATCACGGCCGGAATACCATTGAGGACGACGAGGTGGAAAGGTTTATGCGCGGCGAGGTCAGCCCGAGCAAGAAGGGGGCGGCTAGCGCGATCGCGGGGTTGTTGGCTCTGAGCCAGGGGAATTGGCGTTAGAGAAGCCTCCTCTTGTCCCCAACTGGTCTTTCCCCCTTGCTACGACTGTTGTTACTGCTACTAGCAACTTGTTACTGTCAGCTGCAATTGTCCAAATTTGGACTGATACCTCGCCTCGAGCTCCCTTGTCAAGCAGATGTATTATATCGTCTACCTACCGCCAATATCGGTGGTGGGATTCCTACCCCCCAAGAAGCCCAAAAAGCCAGTCTCGAAGGGATAGTGAAATCTGAATAATAACCCAGATATTTGAGATCGGAGACTGGTGCAGAATGCCCCGCGCGCTGTCTCGCCGCAAGATGTATCCTGGCAGCAAACTCCGGACAAACCTTCAAGTTTCTGCTCACATGGCGTAATGCAGAAAGTTTAGGAGTGGCGGAGGGGTGTGGGGAAGCGAGACAGGCGAAGGAAGGGGGCGGGCCCGCACCCGTTGGATCTCATTGCCATCTCATCTCACATTCCATTTCATCTGAACCGCCTTGCGGTGAGTGAATGCGGGTGTGTGGGTATATGGGCGTCTGAGTTCTTCCACTTGCCGAGGTTCTTTCATGCGCAATGGGCGCTCAGGGAGCGCGGCGCTGTGGATCAACGCTGTGAGGCTGTTTGAGGGAATGGACATTGAACGAATGTGTTTGTGTGTATGTGTTTGCATGAGTGTCAGGCCTGAACGAGTGTCACCTATGAATAAATCAAACGAAACTAAGGTCTATTTTGTTCGTCCCCGCTTTTTTTATCTTTTGTTTTGTGCATGCCAGTCAGTCGTGTTTAATGTACGGTGACTGCATGAAACGGGTGAGGCTGGGGGGGCCAAGTCATGAAGAGTGTATGAGTGACAGTGGAAACTCAATTTTGCTTTTGGGCGAATGTGTGTGTACATGCGGAGTGCAAGTGTGTGCATTCATGGTTCTCTGAGACCAGTCTGGAATATAGTTTTAGGACACACAGTCTACCAAAATAGGGACAATGATATCAAGAGGCTAGTGGAATAGTTTGGGGGTGGTCAAGAGATTCGACTCCCTTTCTATTTGTATTGACATGCCAAAAGAGCATGGCTATATTTTTGTCAGATTCTTCCGAGAATGTGACACTGTGCTTTGAGAGATCACTGTACTCAACGCCTAAAGAAATCCCCGCACACCTAGGACGAGGTTGAGAAATGCCCGCTCGCTGCGGCATTGCAAACATGCTATGTCCAAACGAAATGCCACGCTCTTAGCTCTATCTATAAATTTCTAAAATGTATATGTCACTTCCTCGACGAGGTGGGCGAGTGTTCCCAGTGACTCCGGTCCATGTGCTGTGTGACCGGTCCTGCATGTCGCCCGAGCAGTCGAAACAGTCTTCGGTTTTGGCGGGTGGTTCCTACAATCCGAGAAGGCTCATTTGTCTCCTCAATGGGCTCGCTGCTGCACTCCCCTCCTCGGAGGCATAGCAAGCAGAGTCGGTGTCGATGTCCCAATCGCCTTCACCCTCGTCACAAGCTTCGCTGCCGTTGGCGCTGCCTGTGTCGAAGCCCTTCTGCGTCGCCGCTCGGGTGTTCCAGCGCAGCGTCCGGGAGACGGAGTCGAACCATTCGGTGTCGGTGCGGTTGACGGTGGGGAAAGGGTACTGCGAGGCCGTGATGGTGACACAGTCGCCTTGCCTGAGTTCCACGCGTCCCTTGCCGTCGAAGGCACAGTAGGCCGTTGCTCGCGAGTTGCGAGGGACAGTCACTCGCAAGAGCATCGTATCGGATAGGACCATGGGCCGGAAAGAAAGTGTGTGCGGACAGATAGGTGTCAGGAGGATGGCAGGTAGGTCTGGGTGGACGAGGGAGCCACCTGCGGAGAGAGAATACGCGGTCGATCCTGTGGAGCAGATTAGCAATGCAGCTCATAAGGAGGGGGGGGATCTGCCAGATAATGGAACCTACCAGTCGGCGTGGAAAAGATGCAACCATCCGCCTGGACAACGGTCAAAAGCTCATTGTCCCCGTAGAGTTCCAAGTTGGACACATAGGGCGACGGGCCGCGGTCAATCACGAGCTCGTTGAGGACCTCAAACTGCTCTCCTTCCTCAAGGTCACGACCTTGCTGGCCGTCCCGGTACACCGTGCACGTAAATCGCATCCGCAGGTTGATTTTCATGCCGTCATCTCCCATAACGCGACTCAGGTGTTCCTTGAAATGATCATAGCCAAACGGTGTCAGGAAGCCCAAGCTCCCCAGGCTGAAGGAGAGCACGGGAGGCACTATTCTCTGGAAGAGCCATGAGGTGAAGAGCACCGTGCCATCGCCTCCCAGCGTCAGAACCAGGTCGAATTTCTCAGGTTGGCTCCAGCAGAGGTCCGGTGTCCAGTACTTGAGCATGTGATGGAAACGTGGGTTCTCGTTGACCAGCCCCTGCGCATTGAATCGCTTCGAGTTGCGGAGCTTTGCATCCACATAGACGTTAACGCCGAGATCCGACCCATAGCGCGGCGTGCTGAGTAGCCACTGCGCCAACTCGCGAGTCAAGACGACCAGCTGGTTGTCCCTCGCCTTGGTCACAATCATGACGTTGCGTACCGCCCGCTTGATGGGCCTCCTCTGCAGCTGCTTGGACACCTCACGGACTCCGGTGGCGGTCTGAACCAGGCGTGAGTGCGACATCCACTCATCGTTCTTGATCTCCTCCAGAACCCTGTCTATGTCGACAATGCCGTCGAAGCGTTGGTGATAGAAGCATGGCGACTGCAATGCAGGGAACGCCGTGGTGGGCGTATGGGTGCGCTGAGCAAGGTCGTTGAGTGCATCGCACAGTTGGGAGGAAGAAGTGCCGCGCCGGGCATCAGGCCCGCTAGGCTGCGAGGCCGACAGCATACCGGGCAAGGATAGGGCCTCAGGCTTGTTGCTGCGAGAGACCGACGAGGCAAGAGCCTTGAAAAGGGTCTGTCGGGGGATAGACTCGATGGAGCGCGAGCCCTTCCGGTGGCCTCTGGCGTAGGGACCGGGGTCGGAGTCTTCGGAGTCTCCACCTGCGAGAGCGGCTGCTAACGAGATGGGTTGGTTGTGGTCGACATATCGAAGGTTATGTTTTGCTTCGTCAAGGGAGAGTTGTTGCAGGTTGGGAGGATATGGTATGGAAGTGGTCAGGGTAGGACCGGAGGGATTTGATGATGAGGTCCGGGGGCGGTCGTGTAGGGTATTATGGCCATTATTGGGCTTGGACTCGTCGGACTTTTGCAATGGCGGAAGAGCGGCGGGATTACTGAGGGCTGGGTGGATCGAGGTCGGGGATAGGAGTTGGTCCGACATGGTGACGAAAGGAGGACCCCAGAGATCTGCCGGCAGCCGGGAATCGTCGAGCCTGCTCTGGAGGTGGGAGGTGGTGGTTGGACGTCTGCAGGCGCGGGCGTGTGTGCAAGATCCGGGGCTGCAGGATACTTCTCTGCAGCACGACACAGGCGAACTTGGAGGATGCACGCAAGCCAGACTCAGATGTCCCCGAGCTTGCGACTCAGCGATAAAGCCAAATCCTGCCAGTTATGACCGTTAGAACCGGACTGTCCGCGGCACGAAACGCTAGGCGGGGTGGGGTTGATTGTAGGGACACAGGCAAGACAGGGGACCGAACAGCGGCGCCCCTTTCCTCTTCTGGTGCAGCTGTGCGGCCCAGTCGAGTGGGTCCGCTCTGGTACTGGAACAGGGGATGTTTTGGCGGGTGGGAGCGGCAGGCGAGATTCTGGGTGAGACAGGCGGGATGTGGACGGGGTAAGGACCGCCAGGTGGGGGCAAAACCAGGCTTGGGTGGGACTCACTTGGCGGCCTTTGTCAACGGAGGAAGAGAGAAAGAAGTCCAGCTGGCCCGGTTGATCGGCCTCGTTCTGTGTGAGTGCTGGGTTGGTGGGCCTGGATACTGACCATGCAACGTCACAGGTTTGTTGCTGTCAGTGTCTGGTGCCACGGCCGAGACGGTCTTCGTAGATCTTGTGGACTCTGACAAAGAAGGCGAACTTGATACCGCCTGCAAGGAGCCTGTGGCCACCGTAACACGAGTTGTCAGTCTCAACGCCTCTTCAACTGCTTCTGTCTGTCAAACAGGGGCAACGTGGCCCCCGGCCGAGGTGCACCACCCGGGGCTTGGAGGATTCTGCTGCTTACCGTGATCGAGGGGGGTCTTGCTCGCTCTGATTGATCGGTATGGTGGCAGTGTGATGTGATCCGAGGTGCAGAGACACTGGCCCGTGGCTGGAGGACTCGTGACAAAGACGCCTGGTGCTGGACAGATGGAAGATGTGACGGGTATCTCTTGCAAAAAGCAACTTCGTCTTGCGAATATTAGATGCTGTAAGATGTCGACTCCAGGTCTTTAAAACAATGCCGATGCACGCGATGCTCTCAAAATGACGGTCGAAGGATCGCTTGGTGGCTTGGACAGGATGCAGGGGAGATATTGAACGGTTGAAGCATGGAGCAAAAGAGTTGCTTCCCAAGTAAAGTAAAGAAGGGCAGGGTTAAAAAGAAGGCAAGAAACGACGCCGGCGCGATTCAAGAAGGTGGTGAGAGAACGAGATGGGACGGACAAGCGCAAGGGGCAAGGTAATTACTAGAGAACTACCAGAGCTCTGCTTCCAGCTTGCCGTCTGGGGAGAAAGGGAGAAGAAAGGGAAAGGAAGTTATAGACAAAGTTGCCCTGCTGTGTGTCGTGCCCAAAGAAGGCCGCGTCGAAACAGCCTACTTGTAGTATGCCGCCCGCCCCTCTGGATAATGACCGGCAAGGGGTGAAGTGACAGGCCAGGATCGGTGAGAACCCAGAAACGTCCACTTACACAGGCAGCGTGGCATCTGAGTAGAAGCTGGGACAGGAGATGCCGGCGCAGACAGGCAGATAGGCCGCTCCGAGGGGGGCAGCTTGTGGCAGAGCGCGGCGCGGCTCCCGCATAGTCCCCGCTGTTCCAGAACAAAGGGCCGTCAAAGGGCCTGACGGCCTGGCCCGCCAAATCACCTTTGCAGAGCCAGCATTGCATTGATCCCCGTTGTGTACCGCAGGGCCAAATGCTCTGCTCGGCAATAGGGAGCACTCCATATGGTGAACCAACGGAAGTTCCATGATCCTGGCCCCTGCCCTGTCGGTTTCTGACGACCGTTCGCATTGATACGTCAGATCTTGGGGTTGCGGTACACGGTTGCTTCCCGCTGGAGCTGCAGGAGGCTTGGTTTGGACGTTGCTATGCACAATGTGCCGCCTGATCCGTATCCTTCTTGTTGACACCCCCGTGATGGGTGAAAATCGGGATGCCGAGAGGCTGTCGTGGAGAAGTGGCCCAGTAAGCAAGGCCGTATTTGGTGCGTGCACACTGCGGCTTGACAGGAGAGGCACCAGGGGCTTGGGACCGCTAGGTCCAGTCGAGTCTCAGGTCCGGGTCGCCAGGGTCTGCGGGAAAACTAGTGCAGCAGCTCGTCTCATCTCACGAGGCAGGGCGCCCCGGGCGGGACCCGAATATACAGTGCCCTGCTCTTAAGTTATTTCAGTGGGCCTGACTCGAGCCGCGGCGTGAACAGCTCTGCGTGCAGCGCCGTGCACAGTATCTCGACGCCTTTGCCGCCGGTCTTGAGAGATGTTTGGAAGGATCTGCCTTTGGTGTCCGATCAATGCAGGCGGCGCCGGGTTGTCTCGTTTGACCCGTGCGGATCATACAAGTGTCGTGCAACATGCCCACGTACGTACGCGGAAGAAAACAATAACCACAACAAATAACACGACCACCCAAAGGCTGGGCTTTCCCATCCAGGGGTAAGACTTAGGCATCCCAAGCTGTGATCACCGTCCAGGTAAACAGTTGAGGGCTTCTTTTAATACATGTGGTTTAAACCTTGGTTCCCGACTGGGCATATGTTCTGCATGTTGGACATCGGATTGTGCTGACTTCATCTGGTTTACTTGCCGGTATGTCGATGAAGATCCGTTTGCCGAAGACCCATTTGGCAGCGATCTGATATGTTGAAACAGCCTCTCAAGCCTCTTCGTGGCTCCAGACGCGGCCGTCGCTAGATAATCCACGAGCGACGTTTGAGGATGCCAGCGCGACCCTTCCAAAATGCCATCGCCACGAACGCCCAAGTGACGAGTCAGGTTTCAAGGGCAGCGGTGCATACTTGAGACTCATATCCCGATGTCAGGCTGTCGGCGCCAACAGCTTCGCGTACCCTGCTGGGACTACTCAAGCGCCCAATCCCGCGGTTGGCATTCCATTGCACAGGGGCAGGCATTCACCTCCTCATCGAATCCTTTGCTTTCACACCTCCAAGTGGTAAACAAACCCCGCCTTTCTCAAACTGGCATCCATCACGGCTTCTGAACCTGCTCTTATCGTGGCGGGGAATGTTATTCTCATTCCGTTGGCGGGCCAGCAGCCCCGGCCAACGTTGTTCATGCGGCGAGACAAAGTGATAGAGGTGTCAAACAATCTTTGTCTGGAGAGCAAGAGATGCCCCGGTGATGATTGAGCCTCAATCACTTCCAGTACAGATCTGCCGCGACCTTGCTCTCTGCTGCTGACCTGATGAACTGGCGCATATCTGGCCCGTTTTGGTGTGCTTCATCCAAAACAGCGTGGATCCCGTTGCTGGCGGCGGCGCCACAGCACGCACCCCGCGACTTTTCGTAGACTTGATCCCATTCGGTCATGGTGAAGTCACCCTCGCTCTCAGCTAGCAGAAGCTCGCTGGATGATGTGAATGCCAAGACGTGGACCGATCGGGATTTGTCCGCCTGTCGTGGAGAAGGATCCATCATGATCTGGGTCTCGCCGTCGCTGAGCGAGACGGCCGCAACAGCAGAGGTAGCTGTGGCCCTCATTGGCACTGCAGCGGATAGGAGTGCCAGAACAGCGGTTTGAAGCAGAGCCGGGATGATGAGCAAGTTCTATCAGGAAGGGTCAGCAACGTCTAAGGTAGCCCTGACCAAGAAGACCAGGGGAGGCGGCGCAGGGGAGGTCTTCAGCTTCATACCGAGCTCGCCTGGACGAGTTTCGTGTTGACGTATTCATTGGTAGGCGTTGCTGTTACTTGCAGCACGATCTGTACGACACATCGAGGGAAGTCCTTTACCAGGATAAGCTGTCGCAGTGACTGTTGCAACAGCGACTCCAGGTGCCTTTCCCTAGTACCTATGCAAAGGAAATGAGCATTTGTTTTCCGGTAGGATTTGCTGCGTGCCAAGAGAACTAACCACCGACCCCCGAGGCCGGTCGGACGACGACGTCGACCAGCGCCTCGTAGGGATGCTCATCACGTTTCTGGGCCTCGACAGGACCATTCGCAGAAGCTGTGATGGTGTAGCCAGCATACGAATACGTAGCGGAGCCGTCAGCTTTTGGCAGCGGAGATAAGACCGCCTCGGGCTGGGAAGACTCTGTCATTGTAAAGCGTGACCAGTGGTTGAATTTTCAAAGATAAAGTGAAGCGCTGCGATGTTCACCATCACAGCGAACAATAAAAAGTCGACCGGAATGAGCTCGTAGGTTTGGAGAGCTTTGAGCCCCGCCACCAACGGAGTTGCGCTAGTGGGTCCCAGGGCAGAAAGTGCCCTGGATCTGCCTTGGATCCCGCCCGCATCTGCAGACGGAGTACACTGGTGTGCATGAGGTGCAGCGATGTACCCAGGTACCTGACCAAGGTGCTTTGTAACTGGCAACAACGATTGCCAGTCAGGAACAACCCGCCTCCATCAAACCATCGACAAGCTCGCTACTGTCCACGCATACCACGCTGAGATCATGGCTCCTACTGCAATGGCTGAGGCCAGACAACCTGCGGCAGACAACGAGTCCAAGCCGATATCAACGCCCGCACCAGCTCCAACGTCAGCGTCTCAGGGAGTTCCGAATCTGGGCCACAAGCTTCCCAAGCTCGAACCCAGGCGGCGTCGGCAACAGCCTGAGAATCCCATCCCTTTCCCCGAGACTCCTGCTCTTCCACCACCCCTAGAATGCCCAGGCACGTTCCGCGTACCGAGCCGTCGCATCTTGTCAAAAGCGGACCATGACTTGTTTGTCTCGTCTCCATCATTTAACTTGATACTGTCCTGGATCTTCAGCCTGTCCGAATCTGTCATCGACACGCCCATCTCGGCAGTCAAGGACAGCGAGCTGAACGCCCCAATACGAACTCTCCTGGAAATCCTGGATGAGGTGGAGCAGCTCGTCTACCAAAACCCCCCAGACGATCAGGGGGGCTCCAGGTTCGGCAACAAGAGGTTCAGAGACTTCCTTGACAAGGCCAGGGGGCAGGAGACAAAGTGGCATCAAAAGCTCGGCGTTGATAACCCAGACGCCCTTGCCGAGCTCTCAACCTACCTCAGCCAGTCATTCGGGAACCGGAAGCGCATCGATTACGGCTCTGGCCATGAGCTCAACTTCATGATCTGGCTGCTGTGCCTCTACCAGCTCCGCATCGTCACCCGCGCAGACTTTAAGCCCCTGGTTCTCAAGGTCTTCACCCGGTACCTTGAGGTCATGCGCGTCATCCAGTGTCTTTACTATCTGGAGCCCGCGGGCTCGCACGGCGTGTGGGGCCTGGATGACTACCAGTTCCTCCCCTTCCTGTTCGGCGCGTCGCAGCTGGCGCACCACCAGTACATCACCCCGCGGGCCATCCACCAGGAGCTGATGCTCGAGCAGTTCGGAAAGGACTACCTTTACCTGAACCAGATCGTCTTCGTGAACAGCACCAAGACCGTCAAGGGCCTGCGGTGGCATAGCCCCATGCTGGACGACATCTCATCTTCGAAGTCGTGGGAGAAGGTTGAGGGAGGCATGCGCCGCATGTTCGTGGCGGAAGTGCTCAAGAAGCTTCCGGTTATGCAACACTTCCTGTTCGGGTCTCTGGTCCCGGCTGTGGACGGCATGAGCGAGCAGAGCCTGGCTGGCGTCCCGGACGAGGATGACGACGATGAGGGCGGCGAGGTCCAGGTGTTTGATGAGGGCAACGTGAGGCATGTCCACCAGCAGAACGGATGGGGCGAGTGTTGCGGCATTAAAGTCCCTAGTGGTGTTGCTGCCGGCATGGAGGCGATGAAGAAGGGCGAGACGCTGCGTAGAATTCCTTTTGATTGAGGTATCCTGGGTGAACTATACCTTGTGAGGCCCGCAGTGGCTGCATGCGCTTGTATGTAATGCACACCCGATATAACACAAGGATAGAACATCTCAATACACCTCAATTTAGGTGGCAACTGTGCGGGTTAAACATGTCTGGCTGTAAAACTAGCACAAGGAGAAATATATAGTTCTCAACCTCAGCCTATGGGAATTTAACCGTGACCGATGTGAGTGTCCCTTAGTAAGAGACTAGTAGGGAGGTTCCTATCAACATAAGACACCTATAGGAGATCATAGAAGTCATTCCAGTTCTGATAGGGCTCAAACCGCCCTATTTGCGGGCATACTTGGCCACCATGCCACGTAACTCTTGCGAGTGAAAATGGTGAGGGCTAGAGAATTAGGGCTGGATGAGGATAAATTATAGGATCTAGCCGTCTACCATCTAATCACAAGACTAGGAGCTGTAAGTAGTAGTAACAACATATAAGAATAAAATTTAAAACTTTAATTATTATATAGTAAATGGGTGAATTCACCGTGACTACACCACACGCTCCTATCTATCACCACTCACCACCCTTCTACCAAACCACCAACACAACATTCATCACCATTCCTCTCCGCTGCCCCCTCCCATTGTGCAACGTCACGAGACATTATCTCACCCTACCTAAATCCCCATTCTCCTACTTTGCGTAATAGATATTAGGTGAGTGCACTAATCATACCTGACTTCTTTGCTGTCCTGTACCCCACGGGTTAGGACCGCAGCTATAAATTACTGCAAGGACGTGATGGATTTTTATGGTCACTTCCTCTGTGAGGAGTCTGACAACTATGTCGGCTCTAATGCCATCCAATGCGCCACCGACTACTATGAGGCTATTATTGTCCTGGACACTGTCATTGTCATCCAGAACATCCATTTCTCTGCAATTCATGCTCGACATCCCAGGCAACCTGACCATATATGTGCCGGAACACCTATCGTATTATAACTATTGTTATCGGCATCGTGTTCTTTCCAAGCGCTGGGTCTTGAGTGCTTACCACCGTATGAAGGCGCCATGTATGTCCTCGGATGTATACGGAATAGAAGCGAAACCACATATAATTAAATTTTTTAAAATATTAAGTTTTAAATACTTATTATTATATAAAGGTGCTATATATATCTTTAAATATATATAAGATAGAAGTAAAACTACATTATACTAGATAGTATAGTATAATATACACTTATATAGTTCTATAACCTCAGCCTATAGGAAACACGACTGATGTAAGTGTCGCTTATAGCGACCTAGTAATACTAGATCACCTGCCTTGAAATTTTACGCCCCTGGCCATACTCCTTCTTACTTTTGAAACTTTGTACTATAAAGGCTTTACAGAACTCCAAAGAAATTTTAGAGTTCATAGGGTTGTGGGACGATGCTACCGCAAGACAGAGCTGATTGTTCGCGCTGTATACTTGAGATTTCCGACTAAAGCATTCTAGGAATGAACACGATATCAGGTCTATTATTGTGGAATGATACAACGTCAAAAGGAGACCGCACGCTGATTACCTCGGCTGGCGCTTGTGAGAATGAGTGTGAACGAGAGGCGGAAGGAAAGCAAGAAATGAGAGATGAACACTTGGGAAAAGCAACGATTTCCGAGGCTCGACCATCCCCCCCCTTTCGGGCGCCGACGTACCGCCATCCTCTCCTTTACTTGGCACCGATGTACTTGGACGGGTCGCCGCACGCCACGTCGAACCACAGATCTGGCGAGTAGGGGTCGATGGACGCCAACTCGTACGCAACGATGCCCCCGTATAGCTTGCACCTCGGAGCCCCCAGTCCGGGCTCCAGGTAGAACTCGTAGCTGTAGCATTGTTCGATGGCGAACTGTTGGACACAAGACAAGAAAATGTTAGCACTCGAGTCGATATCGGAGGAGGCGGTAGGGGGACACATTATTATGGTGGATGGCATGCACGTACGCTGCAGAATTGGTAGCAACCTTCGAGCGTCACGGGGACACCGGCCTTGTTATAGGCATATGTGGCGAGGTAGTACACGCCGAGGGCACTGCCCCTGACGCCGCAGTGAATCTCGTCCGGCGAAGGTGTTCCCGTCGGCGCGTTGTCCGAGACGGTGTTGGTGGCTGTGACGACCGTGGTTGGTAGCTCGGATGGTGTGGCACTGGCCGTGTCGATCGGGGGAACTGATGTCACGATAACCAGCCCCGTCGTTGTGGTCGACGTCGAGGGTGCCACCTCGATCGGGCTCTGAGATGGGTTGATTACGAGTGATGCCGAGGACGACGTCGAAAACGGAGGTATGATGATGGTCGTGGTAGTCTCCTCCGTGACCGTGGGGAGCGGGACAGCTGTGACGTTGGCGAAACTCGTCGTGTTTACTAGTACTGACGTCGAGAAGGTGGGAAGTACCGCAGTGGGCAGTACCGTGATGCTGACATCTGGCGTGCTAATGTTGGGGAAGGATGTGAAGTTGGAGGGTACCACTACCGGGGTCGGATAAGGATTGGGTGCAAGGGTGTAGTCCACCGTGGTTGTGAGGTTGACGGCAGTGGGGAGAATTGAGGTCGTGTTGACGAATGTAGGGAGGATGAGAGTGGTATTGATAAAAGTTGGAAGTATGGAAGTAGTATTAATAAAGGTTGGAAGTATAGAAGTGGTGTTGAGGAAGGTTGGAAGTATGGAAGTGGTGTTTGCGAAGGTCGGAAGGACAGAGACTTCCCCCGTGCCTGTGCCAAAGGATGTCGCCGTGGTGGAGTTCGATATGGGATAGAATGGTTCGCTCGTTGTAGTGACCGCTGAGGTTGAAGAGTTCCACCCAGACGGTGCTGACGTGGCGTTCACAGGAGATGCCGCGGACGAGGCTCCAGTACCGTATACTGTGACATATTCTGTGATTCTGATCACCGAGCATGCGCTTGTGCTGTCGGGAGGTGATGTGGTGGAATCGGTAACTGTAGCGATACTCACATTGGGAGGCGGCGGCCCGTAGAATGGAGGTTTGTACGGACCAACAGAAGCCGGCGCTCCCACGGACACGATGGACGTTTGAAGCTGTCGCTGACGGTGGCCTTTACGGAGGTTGACACGCTGATCGTTGTGAGTGAGTGGTTCTAGATATAAGGCAGACACTCGTATCTTTCTCTCAGAGTTCTCATATGGTTCTCATTCCACATACATTGTTGGCATTGGGCACTGCGAATACGGGGCAGATGAGCCCGGCGGCCACCAGAAGTACACTTTGATGCATGCTTCTCGTCCTGGGGAAAAAGATGCTATTACAAGAACGAGCGATGCCGAATATTTGAGGTTTCAGTAGGGCGGTGCCCTGAGAGAGTGTATGCAAAGCGAATGGCTGTTGCTGATGATGTGCCGATCTATCTCTGCCATCTCAAGCTTCACCTCGAGTCTTATAGATGTCCTCATCACTAGAGACTCAACAAGATCTATCGAGATCTAGATTCCCGTTTGCCAAGGGATAGTATTCTCAGACCTAACCAGGCAATTATTGGCATGCGAGGGCGGACGGCCCTGCGAGGCTGGGAAGGGGAGCACACTTTATCAGCAAGGGAGGAACCACCACACCACGGCATCGCCCCATCGTGAGGCCAGCAAGCCGTCCTGACAACTCCGCTTTGACTTCACACTTCCAATCAAGGTCTCCAGGCCATTGATATCAGGGATACCGCCTTGGTTCAGAGTCATGATGAATTTGGTTGCCCTTGATTGACCTAGCGCTTGTTCGTACAAGGCTCCCTAAAAGAAAAAGAACGGTTGCCATACAGTACAGCCCGAGATGTGAGACCCACCCTCGGTCGATCGATCAAAGAATAGATGCGATAGGGTATCAAACAGGCTCACTCAAAACGCCCCTGAAGTCCCCTTGCGTGATCCCAAATGCAGAAATGCCTTGCTTCCTAAAGACGCCCTAGAATGCTTCCCGGCTGAAATTTTATACAGTGTTCCTTCCGCCGCAGCCGGGGAAAGGGCGGAAGGAATAGCCACCCGGCTCGCAAGTGAAAGCCCCCTCGCCGAACAAGTGGCGATACCAAAAGGGATGGTCACAGACCGGAGTCATCCCCACCATCAGTCTTCCCAGATGGTCTCCAGGTCCAGATCTCCTCTCCTCTCGGCGCCACAGACGCTCCACCGCTTCCGCTTGTCTCTTGTCCCAAACCCGCTCAGGGTGCGGCCGCGCACCGGAGCATCCAGACTGCTGCGACCCTTGGGTTCACCACCGTCCTCAGCATCAGCAGCGGCTTTGAGTTGGGCAATCCTGTCCGCCTCGAGTGCGGCCTCCTCGGCATCAGGCGTGTCCGGGATGGTCTCCAGGCTCGAGATGCTGGGGCTTCGAGACCTCATGGAAATCGGCGTGGATGGCATAGATGAGGACGGAGCATAGCCACCAGAGGACGAGTAGCCGTCCTTGTCGCTCAGTAGGTCATAAGGTCGCTGGACCGGGGAGGAGGTAATAGATGATGAGGTGAAAGATCCAGGCAATGAGCTCGTGCTGGCGCTCGGGAGATGGCGGAGGGGCGAGGAGGGACGCTGGCGGATCATGGGCGTGCCGAATCCAAGGTTGGGGGAGCTGTTCCTCTCCGACAGCTGGCGATCAGGGAGGACCGATGTGCGTGTGGGCGAGACGGGAGGGTACATCTCGTCGACTGGCTTCCGCAAGGACCGCTGTCGCTGTGGCGAGCCCTTCGGACTCTGAGGGCGTGGTATGAGAATATGGCCAAGCCCGTTCACGCCGGGCAGGGATTGGGCACGGCCCATGGGAGGGGGTGCCAGAGTGGCGGCAGACTTGGACCTGACATGGTTGCCTGACAACGGCGAGGTCGTCCGCGGGCGGTATGGCAGCGCAGCAGCGTTCCACGTAGGGGAGATTGGCGAGGAAGGTGAAGGGTCGGTGGAGCGACGCATGGTGGGAGGCTTCCTCGGGGACTCGGGCTCAGAGGTCAGGGGTTGTGGGTTGTAGTTGGAATGTTGCAGTCGTAGAGAAGGGAGCGGGCCTGAACGGAACTCCTCGAGTTTCTCAGTCTCCGGGACAGGCTCCATGGTAATGATGCCTCTAGCAGCCCGGGAACAAGTCACCGGAATGCCGTATGCATGGAGCAAGAGGGCGATCTGGAGGGCGCGGCCTGGAGGTGGCCTGGAGGCGGGCCGTTGCTGTGGGATGGTGGAGTCGTCAGAGTAGGTGCAGAAGCCCGAGGTGCGATTGGTGGAGGGGCAACAGGCTCGAGTCTGGGTGTGTCTCTCTATCTCGGTGCAGACACGGCAGCACGTGTTTTGCGGGCGAGACCAGAAAAACAGAGGGGACTGTGAGTGCGATTGAAACGGGTTGCAATGTGACCCGTAGAGTTCCAAGTATTGTGCGGTTTACGAGACCCGATCTGAGGACTGTCTTAGTCCATCTCAGCTGGTCGCAGCCTAGGTCAGTCGGTGCGCTCTGGGCGAGGCGATGGAACGCTGCGACGTTGGTACGCTCGCAGGCAGCAAGCTCGGAAGGGGCGACAGGAAGAGAGTGGGATGCGGCCTCGTGGTGACAGGAGGGACGGCGGGCGAGGAGAAGGTAAGGTAGTCTAGGTATTCAGAGGTTGAAGGTCGGGGTGGTAGGTTCTTGTGGTTGGCGAGGAGAGGCAGAAGCGGGATGTTGGGGAGGCGAGGCTAAAAAAGAGAACTGGGATCCCAGGGCTCAGGGCTGTCACCGATGTTAGTGCCTGGCCGTTTGGATCTGGCTCCTTCTGCGCGTGTTCTACTCTACCCTTCTTGCCGCGTGCCTGTCTAGCAGGAACTTGTACGTTCTGGGTGGCTGCTGGGTGGTTGGTCTGATAGCCTAGTACGCCCAGTCCACATCCAGATAGATCTGCTTTCCGTCTGCCCAAGCCGCCGTTCCAAGCAACGATCCCCTGGCGGCACAGCCCAACGATCGTTTCCTCAGCTACCCTTATTTTGCATGGTCAATCTCTCCGAGTCAATGCACATCGTCACTTGCCAGCAGGAACCCCAGAGCCCGCTGCCATGACGACGTTTGGCAGGTTGGAAAACAAGCTGGCAAGTGGTGGGCGGAGGGGTGCAGCATGATTGTTTTGCTGTCTTGCTGGGCAGTTACATGCATTGATCGATAGCACGGGTGGAGCTCAGCTCAGCTCGGCTCGGCTCAGAGGAGGCAAACACGCAGTCACCCGCTCACTCTTCCTCGCGCATCCATATCCAGCACACCCGTTTCCTTCCGGATATGGCTCCCAAAGAACTCGATCACGGGCCGAAGTCACGATGCTACGCTCCTTGACACCACATGTGACACTATGGCGCCGTGCACAGATTCAACTCCTGCAGCCTGTCTGGCCCGCACACAGTAGTGTATGTAGGCGTGCAGAGTGATCACAGTTCATGCCCATGATTCATACAATATGCCCAGATGGAGCCCCCACCGGCCTGCGGCCTTGGACTCTCTGTTCATGCGCATGGGGTCGTTCCCCAACCCATCCAGCGCATTCGGACGGTCAGGCAGCCAACTACATGGGCAATACCAGAAAACCCCAGCCCTATACTGTGTAATCTGCGGCAATGCTGACATACTAGTCAATCATTTGGCCGGTACGCAGAAAGGAGCACGATGGCGATCTGCGCCGTTTCACTCACCGCCTGCACCCTCTCTGTGCCTCTTTCATGGGGCACGCATGACAAGCGTGCCGTGGGACGGAGCTTCTCTGGCTCGCAGGGCTCTGCAGGCCTTGGAACCCCCCGAGCCCCGCCTTCGTTCCTGGTGCTTGTCGCCTGGGCGGGGCTGGCGGGCTGGCGGGCTGGCGGGCTGGCGGCTGAGGCGCCAAATGAAAGAGCAACCACTGGCGTCATGCGATCTGTGCGATCTGTGTGCTGCAACTGCACGAGATCCACTGTTGGAACACAATCTGCCATGCCCCAAATCGTCCATCCCGCTGCTCATTGCTCGGAACTCTTCCACCAACAGACACACCGTACCACTCGTGACCGATCAATAATGGTCATCCTGCGGCCAGCCGGTTGCCATGTCGACATGTCTACTACTTGAGTATGTAGCAATCCAAGGATCTTGTCTCCCGAAATCCAGGGTCCTCCTTCAAGGGTCCATGGGGCTGCTAGCTTGATTGGTGGACTTTCGACTGGAAGAGAGGCCCACAGCTTGGGTCGAGACGACCCTTGCGAAAGCTCCGGAGGAAATCCTCGAGTTTGTCGATGAGCGAGCCAGTGAGCATGCCTTCAAGCTGGCATGGCAGCATGGCTGGCAACATGGGCACGAGGCAGGGGCGCCCGAAACCTACTACTAGCTTCGTCCTGTCTGCCAGACCCCGAGCGTAAGATCGCTGCTGTTGCAGTGCTCGCGTGCAGGGGGATCGTCCCAAAATGGCAGGGTTCATGCGCAAAGACCGTCCTCTTCGGGGTGGATCCCCCCACAGAGGAAGCGGTCACTTGACCGCAGCCGCGGGACCGGGCTCGGCCGGTCAAACCGAGGACGGCTCCATTGCCACCGCTACAGCTTCGGGCAAGGGGTGGGTTGGACGGGACCCTGGAGCGGGTACCTCTCACCACCGGGCCACGGCGGAGGAAAGCACTTTGCTGTGTGCTACTAGCACACACCGTTGGACGGCACAGCAGGGCCGACTCGTGTCCTAGGCCATCGGTCCCATGGCAAATTCCATGACGAGTCCTGTTGCCGGCGAAGCTTGGACATCTTCTGGTCAATTGGCTCTGCCCCTGAGCCGCATTGGTTCAGCCCGAGTTTGCCGTTCCCGAAGGACAGCTAACGCCAGTGGGAAGCCGGAGGACGGCTCGCCTAGAACTAGAGGACAGAGACCGGTTTACCAATCCGTCGGGATACCTGAGAGCGAACCACACTTTGATTCTGGCTAGGACACCTTTACGCTCAGACAGCGCAAGGCCGCCAATGGAGGCACGACTTTGCCGAGAAGGTCGAGACATGTTGCAGCGTGCCGGAAATAGGATTCACCCGCAAGCAACACAGCCGAGTCCATGTCTCTCTGTTGTTCTCGTGTGTCGGCGGAGAGTTTCCGCCCACAGCCTAGATGGCCTCACTTCGCATCAGGCATCACTGAAACGAGCGCGGGGCCTTGCGATACCCACCACGGTATAGGCGGCTAGCCGCTTGGTCACGGATCCTAGCCAGAGAAGTGTTGATTTATCCACGTACAGATCATTTATTACCCGTTGGGTTTAGTTGTCGTATGGAACTAGCGACAAGACATAGGGGACTCCATGATGGTCCCGCCCGCGCGGGGCACATGAAGACGCAATCGTACCTGCAGCACATGAGGAGAGGATGCAAGAAATTGCCGGAGATTTTCCTCTCTGTGGAGTTCTTTATTTAGTACAAGAAGCATCACAGGGACTTTTCGCAGAAAATGGCTCATCATAGCACTTGAGGGCAGGTTGCCAGGACTATCTTCAACTGTTGCCTGCTCAATTTCTCCTTGGCCCTTCTCTCAGCGATGGCTATGTCGACAACGACCCACCTAAGAAAAAGTCCGCACAGCGCCGTCGTGGTACTCGTGCGAGCTTGTCACAACGAGCTGCAGAGGACCCGGAGTGCTTGTCAAGGGCGGCAATTACTCTGCAAGTGACGAGATCACCACGGGAGGATCCGGTGGATGCGTCCATGATTGACACAGGGACAAAGCCCGGCGACATGGTGGGCTTGCCCATACTGGGTCAAGTCTGTAATTGAGGCCCCACGATCCAGATCCGTATGTCTTATTGTAGCATCGCGGTCCAGCAAATGCCGAACACCGCTCACCTGCCGAGGAGACCACAGTACGCATAGGACTGCACGTCAGTCAGCTCCCCGGCTGCCCCAGTGCAGGTCCAGCAGCACAGTCTGTCGGTTACGTCTCGCAATTGGACAGCGCATTTCTCACGCTGAGACTCGATGAGACCAATGCGAAGTCCCGAGGCTTCTATGTGACGGTAGACGGCTGTGTGTCAAGCGTGACTTATCAACGGTGAGAGCGAGTGCTTATCAAATGTCACTTACGGGATGAGACATTGTACAGATCAGTTTCTTCCCTAGGTGAGACCTGGGGCGAAGAGTTCTGGACTCCCACCTTACACCTGTCTAAAAGAGTGTTACGTCAGAGATCAAGGAAAGTCTCACTGTTGAATGTCTTGCTCAGGGTTCATGTTTTCACAAGCGCGGGCACGAGTCTCGTCTGGCTCCCATGTCTGCCATGGTGCCTGCCTCGCCATTTGCACACACAACGCGCTGTATCTTCAAGCATCGAGCAACAGAGACGCCGCAAGGAGAACGTAATTGAAACACCGCCCAACATGCTTCCGGCATCCGGATGCTTGGCCTCGTCGACGTTTATTTCTAAAACATGTTTCTCCTTTCTATCAAAAGGAGGGATAGTCTGCGGTATCTTTTTTATATATATTTTTTTACAGGAATCTATGGTTGGGCGTCGATCAGACTCATGATCTGCGCGCGGTGGCGGCAATGCCCTCGAATCCGGCCTCACGTCCTATGTAGGTCATGGTGAATCACGACTGAGACCGGCGTGAAAACCCCATCCTGCTTCACACCAACTCACGCAACATGATGCGTTGAAGACGACACAAATCATGCCTCGTCGGCTCGAACTTCCCCTCAAGTTGGGCAGAATAAAGGCTGGCGGCAAGTGCGTGAATCGCCCAACAATTCTGTTGCAGTCTCTGTGCTGCCTGATAGATTTGTTCTCATGCTGCGGCGATGTCGGGTGAGACCCCTGAAAACACGTCAAGGCAAGGCACAAGCATGGTCAAGCCTTCACTGCTATCCATCTCTGATCGGTAGGGCAGCGCAGTCCGCCTGGCCATGCAGCCCACAGGTGCTTTCGCTTAGTTCGCAGGCTGTCTTGTGCCGTTGAGGTCTTCAGGGCCGAACGACATGGGCAGCAGCTGGGCGCAGACATGCTCAGTTAGTATGCATAGGTCCGGCAGGGGGTCATCAGTCAGGCCAGGAACGTACGTCTTCGAGGCGTAGGACACAGTAATTCCCATCCTTGTCAAACATCAAAATGGGCATGCTCAACTCGCAGAACTCCCGGATACTGAGATGCAGCAGACCCGGTTAGTTTACAGACGCCATCTTGCTCATCTCACCCAACAGTCCGTCCGGGCCGGGGCTCGTGGGACTCACAACTGCCGGCACATGCCGCAGGGGCTGGCGGGCGGCGAGATGTCGGTGGCCACGGCGACAGCCTTGAAGCCGCGGTGGCCCTCGGTCACAGCCTTGCCGAAGGCGACGCGCTCGGCGCAGGTTCCGACGGGGTAGGCGGCGTTCTCGACGTTTGCGCCGGGGATGTAGGCGCCGGCGTTGGTGAGCAGCACGGCGCCGACGCGGAACTTGCTGTATGGGCAGTAGGCGGTGGCCTTGGCCTCGATGGCGTGGCGCCGCAGGTTCTTGATCTCCTCGGGCGTGAGGTCAAACGTCTCGGCCGTCGACTCGATGTGCTGGTTGTTGATGCTGGACAGCATCGGGGGCGGTTGGGGAGCCATTCTCGCTCGGTCTTGTCGGGTTCTTGTTGCAGGGGTTCGGATAGATTGATTGGTGTTGGATTAAGGTGGTGATTGAGACCACGATCAGGTGGTTATTACTTGGTAGTAATGCACAGGTTGTTCACAATTAAACAAGAAATGAAGTCTATGGGACTGAGTGTTCAGGTTGAGCAGAGTTCTACTCTCGTTCAGGAATGAGACAAAATGAAGCAATACCGCAGCGAAGTCTTCAGAATTGACAGGTGAGAGGAGTTTGGCCTTAGTGTCCCAAAAGGCATCAAGAACTATGTGGAGTGCGGTAGTCGCCGGCAGCCGGCAAGCAACTGCACGGGACCGTTTTCGTCTCTTGACAAGACCGATAAGACCAATATATTATGAGTCTTGATAATCAGGGTATTGTTGGTAGATGCGGACATCGTTATTGCAGCTAGATTTCTACAAGTAGAGATCCTGCAGGATGCAGCTTTGACCTCCCCTCCCCCGAGGAATACACACGATGTTCGGAGACCAATCGATGAATTGTTAGAGACCCGGATCTCACCGGCCGTCGTGTTGGCGCGTGCTATCAACACAGCAGCGACGGGAATACTATTCTCGATAATTCCTATCGCGCCACCTCCAGCGAGCGTACGAGGCCAACATGCCTTCAGATCGGAATGATCATCGGGTTCATCACGCTTGCGCCTCCGTCCACCACCATGTTTGCACCGTTTACATAGGATGAGAAGCCACATGCGAGGAATCCTGTGACCCTCGCAACCTCCTTGGGCTGGCCAGCACGTTCGAGCGGGATTGTCTGCTTCTGGGCCTGAATCACAAGCAACAGGAATCGTTAGCGAGAGGAGTATAAGCGCTGGGCATGGCGGTGGGATCCTAACCTCGGGCGTCTGTAAGGATGCCGGTGGAAACTGCGCCACGAGTCCTCTCATGTCGGACTGCATAACATGTTAGTGGCCGGACCCAGGTGACATTTCTTTGGCAGTGGCCGCTCACCCCGTGTAGGTCAACGCCGACGTCGACCTGGCCGGGAGAAATGCAATTTATCCTAACGCCAGTGCCCTTGAGCACGGCGACTCCGGCCCTGACGACCCCAAGTGCGGCATGGGTGGCCATGGTGTAGCTAGGCCCCCAGCAGCCTCCATATGTGGATGCCACACTGCTGATGACGATGATGCTGCCATATCTCTGCGACTTGGGGGCAGCATTGGGGTAGGCCTGCTTTTTCGTGAGCTTGCCCATGGCAGGAGGCGCGTACTTGAGCGCGAAGAAGGGAGCCATGGAGTGGGCCTCAAAGCACCGCTGCAGGTCGGCTGGAGTGGTGTCATGGATTGAGGGAGGCCCCAGCAGGCCGGACGAGCAGACCCAGACGTCGAGGCGGCCAAAGGCGTGCAGGACCTCATCGATGAGCTTGATTGTCTCTTCCTCCTTCGCGATGTGGAAGGGGTAGGGAATGAGCTTTGTGTGGGGATGCTCCTTGGACATGGCATCGACAAAGTCCTTGTCGGCGTCGAGGGCCGTGGGCTGATCACAGGCGTAGATCGCAGCCGCACCGTGTGTGGCCAACTCGTGGACGATGGCCTTACCAACGGGCTGTGAGGTTCCGGTCACGACACAGACGAAGCCGTACTCGAGTCCTGTCAATTCTGCAATTTTGCCTTTTACCGATCCCACGGAGAGGCTCTGAGGCCCGGTCACTCACAAGTTTGCCATCGGGGCGGTATGGGCTGAAGTCCTCTGTAGTATCCATGTTGTCACGTCCGAGCGGCGCGAGCTTGCGGGCACGACTATGTGCAACGAGAAGATGGAACGAACGAGAATATGGAACACAATACGCAGTGATGCCTGACAAGAGACACGGTTGCGTTGCGGCGGGTGGCGTGGCGGCTCTATTCACATGGGAGACTCAAAAGGGACCCAAGGCCCTCGCAGCATTGGGCATGGTGGCCTTTATCTGCTGGTGGACAAACATCGTGTCGTTGGCAACCTTGGAAGTGTGTTACACATCAACAATTGGGCGATGCTGGTTCGTCAATGGCTGCTGCAGCTGGTTGGTTAGCAGCTAGTGTGAGGAGACTGAGAGGTGCTTCTCCGAGGCACCGCTGGATTGCAAGAACCGACTGATAAAACGGGCTGGTCTGAGCTGCAACGCAACGGCCCTCGGCTCTCGATTGTCGACTCCCGCCCGGTGCAGATCTGCAGGGCTCAGGTCCAACGCAGGAGTTGGTAAAGCTAAAACTAGGTTCGCCGTGGCGGCTGTCGAGGCAGCCCTGGCAGCCCTGGCAGCCCTGGCAGCCCTGGCAGCCCTCTGTACATATTTTACTCTGGGGCGAAGCAGGCTGGCAGGGAGGGCTGAGAGGGAGCGAGGGGTCCTGAGAGCCCAGGAAATCACACCCAAGATTCCAACGTTGCAGCGGAACCGCCCCCCACCCCTTAATGGCAGGACTCGCCCTATCCCGTGAATTAGACCAACCTCGCTGCGCTGCCTTTTCCGACTCGAGGGCACACGACCGCAGGACCGCCGCCCCGACCACCGCCCCGACCACCGCCTCGAGACATGCAGCACTTATGACACCAATCCCGACCTCTGTACCACCCTCTACCTGCTTTCTGCGTCATCGGGAGAGAGCCTCTGCAGCTGGGCAGCCCGCCCCGTTACACGAGCTCGTGCTCTGCCCTGCCCTCACCCGCGCCCTGCCTGACCTCGCTCGCGAAACCCCCCTCCTCGACCCGATCTCGCCATGGACCAGGCAGACGTGCCGGCGCTCCTGGCCCGCCTGGCCAGCGACGAGGATGCCGCCCGCAAGATGGCCGTCTTCAAGCTGCAGTCCTCCATCAACGACCCTGCCTTCGCCGACGTCTTCATCTCCGCCGGCGGTCTCGTCATCCTGCGACGTCTCATCATGAGCACCGGCGGGAATACCCTGGCCTATTCGCTCCAATCCCTGAGCAGGCTGTTGGAGGTCGACATGGGCTGGGACATTTTCGAGGGCCACATGGCCACCGACCTCGTCGAGCGCATCGTCGAGCTCATCGTCACCAACCCCCTGGTCAACATCTTGAGAGGCGCAATGTCCATACTGGTTGCCCTCGTCTCCCACTCGCAGTCGGCCCCTAGGACCAACCATATCGCAGCATCTGTCAAGGGCCCCAGCACTTTCGGCTTCCGCGCTCTCAAGCCTGCCGTCGCCGTCTACCCCCAGCTTTTCGAGCAGGTCATCTCCCAGCTCCAGTCGGCCGACCATGCCCTGTGCGCAAACTCCTTGATGCTGATCAACGCACTCATACGCGACGCCGTCTCCAAGGAAGAGCCGCGGGCCGGTACAAATGGCGCCAGGTCCGGCGCGAACGAAGACTGGTCAAAGTTCATAAAGAAACTGCAGGATCTCGGCCTGATCAAGGCCGTATACAACCTGATGCAGAGCTCGGCAATGCAGGACCTTGCCCAGCCTCTGCTCGAGTTCCAATCGCTTACCAAGGTGCTCCTCAGGCGCTGGAAGGAGGTCAAGGTCGACCTCGAGCGGCCTGAGCACCGCAGGGCCCTGAAGGGTCTGCATCTTGCCAGCGCGCCCGACAAGTCCTTTGGTAATGGTTCCGGCTCCACCACGCCGGTGGCCATGGATAATGAGAAAGGCACCAGGAAGCACAATCCAGAAAAGTGGCGCAGGCTCGGTTTTGAGACGGAAAGCCCAGCGCAAGAGTTCAACACCGCCGGCTTCCTGGGTATGATGGACCTGACCGACTACGTGCGCAAGAATGAGGACGGGTTTCAGAAGATGCTCTTGGAGCAGTCGACAAGGCCGCTACACGAGAGGTGTCCAGTGGCACGCTCGAGCTTGGCAGTTACGACGATGCTTTTCGAGCACTTCGAGGTCAACAAGGCAGATCTCGAGGATACAAAGGCCTACCAAGCACTTGAGAATGTCAAGAACAACGACAAGATCTTCAGGCCCCTGTTGCTTCAGTGGTCGCGACTGCATGCCGCAGGTCTTCATGCTTTCTTCCGGCTGTGGAAGGCGACGGGAGCCGAGAGAGACGACTTCGACAAGGTGGCTGAGCTGGTCCGGATTCTCATCGAACAGGTGGTTGGCCAGGCGAGCAGGATGAAAGACGTTGTGGAGGTTGAGGAAGAGCTTCAGGAGCATGATTGTGCGCGACTTCGGGAGCTGCAGATGGAGCTTCTGGACCTGTCTTTCGACGACCAGTGGGGCCAGCATCTCTATCAAGTGCGCGAAGAATTGAAACACGAAGCACTGTCATTCGTCAAGGAACAGCGCATCCGCTGCCTACTGCAGGGGGCTTGGTCCTCCAGACCACTGCCGCGTCGTGACCAGCCCGAAAACCAGCAGGAGGAGGGCTCGGGCAAGAAGAAGCTTTACCAGCCAAAACCGTGGAGATTTGCGAAGCTATCCCACAACCGACGGTACCTTCACTACGCCGACTTTGCAGAGAAGATAGAGCCAGACCCCAGCCTTGACTCGCTCGCAGAGAAGATCGATCTGAGCACCATTAGCTCGGTGGTGTCAAACGTGTCTGCCCCTAACGACGACGCTCGGAGCGTATCTAGCGCATCCACGCTCAAGAACCAGGCGGCAAACGCTGGCGCCGTGGGCATCAATGCGACACCCAAGACGACGACGAAGATCACAATCTACAGCTATGTCAGGCCTGAAGAGGCGGCCAAGGGCGGCGACACCAAGGAGCAGGCTATCCTGACACTGTTCCCCTTGAACCACTCCCTGGCGTCCGAGTGGCTGGACGGCCTGCTCATGCTGCTCAACCAGGCGCCAATCACGGCGGAGACCAACAAGCTGGTGACGCTGGTCAGCGAATACGGACTGAAGATCAGGCTTCTGAATGTAAGGGTAGACGCCGTGTACCAGGGCCCGCCTCCTGGAGCCGGCGTGGTACCGAGCAGGGAGGGGCTAGACGACAACTACTTCTATGAGGTCTAGTCTTGCTTCAGGCCACGGTGATGGGATGCTGAGGTCGCGTGTGGGTGAATATTTTCTTTCCTTCTTGAAGTCATGTTTTAGTCAATGCGTATACCCCGATTTAGCAGAGGAGATGGAGAGTTTCGATGGCTCTGAGAGCATGCGTTGAGGTTTTGCATATTTCCATAGCAGCCACCATGGTCATCAGCATAGCGATAATAAGTCCGTTTGTTTTGGCTTTGTCTTCTTGAACATGTATATTATATTTATAAAACCGGAAAGTTTGAGCCTGACCGTGACCGACTTCTGAGACATGTGGATGGCCTGACGGCACGGGAGACTCCAGGCTCCCCCAGAAGCCGGAAGACCCCAGGTGGAGACAAAGTGCACACAGTACAAGTGTGTGAGAGGTCAGTCCAAGGAAAAATAATACTGTGATGCAAACACAGGGTCCTGGGGAGTGTCAAAACGTGGCTGGTGTGGGGACTCGACCCAGCGCCTCGGGCCGCCCTGCAGCAGCTATACCCTAGTTGCCTAGCATGCCCAGATCCGGCCTAGTCTCCTGCTGCAGGCTGGGCAGGTGGCTGGGGCAGGGGTCCGGCCTCAATACTGAGTAGAAGTACAAACGGGCGTCCCTGATGTCTTCACACAAAGCCAGAAGTCTAGCCACCCCAACCCCAACCCCTCCTCTCTACACTGCAGGCGATCGCAACCACCGCCCTCTCCCAAAGCCGCATTGAAGCCACACAAGATGCCCTACAACACTCCCTCAAGGAGGGGAGGATCCGCAAAGAAGGCGTTCACGCCTCGCAAGCGAGGTTTATTTGAAGACGGCCAATGGCTCTGTAAGACCCGGCCACAAACGCCCCGTGAGAACTGACTGACTGGCGGCTCGTTTCGCTGACCATGAGCCATCTGCACTCGCAGGCGAGTGCACGCCGCGGAAACCTGCCCTCTGCCTGACGGTGAAGAAGGATAGCCCGAACAAGGGCAAGCGCTTCTACACATGCCAGGACAACCCAAAGAAATGCGACTTCTTCCTCTGGTCCGTTTCCCCCGTGATTGGCATGTTCCAGTTGCTCATGAGCGCACTCACTTACAGCATACACAGGGAGGAAGAGGCAATGAAGCGCGAGCGCGATGCCCTCATGCTCCACAACTGCCGCTCCGAAAATGGTGTCACCACGAGCGTGCGGGCCAAGACACCAGAGCCTGCGCCTCCTCTGAACCTGACCGGGCCCGGGTCAAAACCAGCTGCGCCGACTATCTCCCAGTACTTCGACAGGCCGGGAGGGTCCAAGCAACGTATCTTCAGGGGAATTGACGGCCCCCACGATGAGTTTCCCTCACAATCCAGCGACACCGAGGACGACGTACCGGAACCGAGCCAAACGCTGCGCGGCTCGAATTCATCCAAGTCCCTCAGCTCCGACGCCAGATCTGGCAGGCCCGGTGGCGGTATCCAGGCGCGACCAGGAGGCAGGGCAACGGAGCCCGTGACGCCGACGGCAAAGCGCAAGCGCAGCGTCTTCCCGGACGACAGCGACGACGAGTTCGGGGGCGACGACCTCGAGGACTCGGATACGGAGCGGCAGCTCGCGGCGATCACGGATGAGAGCGCGCGGAAGCAGCAGCGCACGAAGGATGCTTACGCGACCCCTGCTGGTGGCGGCGGCGGCCAGAACGGGCTCCTCCCGACGCCTGTGAGCAGGCGGCCTGGCTTGCTCGTCGGGTCGGAGGAGCGCGAGCGCTCGGCGAAGCGGCAGCGGCAGGGTGGTGGTCGTGAAGAAGAAGGAGATGATGATGACGAGACGCGACCATATCCTGGGCAGGTATCGCGGGACCCGGAGACGCCCACGCCGTACCGCAAGACCGACGCACTCACCAACACCACCACCACCCCCGAGACGGCCAGGAAAGCCGCCGCATCAACGACGGCGGCCGCGGAAGACTTCCCCAAGATCGCGGACGAGGTCATGTCTATGCTGTCCGCGCAGCCCGTGTCCGAGTCGACGAAGCGAACGCTTAGGGCGGCCATGGAGCGGCACGAGGCGCGGGTCAGGGGCATTGTGAGGGGCCGGGACGCCGCGAGGGCGGGCATCGCCGAGCGGGATATCAGGATTGCCGAGCTGCAGGCCCGGATCGTGGCCCTTGAGAACGGGCGGAAGATGGACAAGATGAGGCTAAAGGAGCTCAGCTCGGGGCTGTTGAAGCTGAGCCAGGAGGAGTGAGGTGGGGCTGGTCATTTTCTGTCTGCTTGGTCGGATAGAAGACGGCATGGCTGGCTGGCTGGCTGGCTGGATGTATGGCTAATTTGCGTGTTTGGTAACGCACATAGTGAGCTAGGCTGGGGCTATATTTGCGACAGCCTCATAGGATACCCCTTTTGACTTTCTTCAGATGCAAGTACCTAAACATCATGATGAGAACAAAAAGTTCCATATGTGTGGTGATGTCCTATTATATTGATTGGACAGGTGGTTCAACTTTACTATTCCTCTATGTGTCCAAAATCTGTCCGACATGTGTCCAACCGAGGAGCTCGGCCTCCCATGATCCGCGCTCTCGCGCTTCCTAGAACCCGCTCTGCCTCGCTCCTCCTTCGAAGCTAGGGTTCATCTACTCCAACTTTCAAGCAGGGGGTATCTCATGCGGCAAATGCAAGAGTATATGTAGCTATCAGCCGCTCAAATCTTGCACGGTATGTCCTATATTTCCATCAAGATGCTTGTACGTCATCATGCCCGTCCGTTCTATTTTCCAGTCATCCTCGCCAGTTTGGATCCCTTGACTGGTGCTGGCAAGCACTGGATGAGCTCATCGCGTGCTGTTGCAGTCAATTAGCCATTTTGTCAAGATGCCTGTCACGTCCAGGAAATGAGACTCACTCTCTTCGCTCTCAAATAATATCGTGATATCGTCATGCTCTCCTGGTATCTCCGGCAGGTCCAAGCACACAAACGAAACGTCGTCCGCTGAACCCTCATGATCTTCCGGCCTGCGTGGCAGCGGGAACTTTGCGTCGTCAATCTTGATGCCCGACAGCTTACTGCGGCTAACGGTCTCGAAGACGTCGGTCGGCTTCAGGGGAAAGCTCATGCTTTCACCATGGTGGAAGTCCTCGAAGAAGGCAAGCACCTGAATGATGTTCTCGGACTGAACAACCTGGATTCTTGTCGTTCCTGCCTCCCACTTCTTGTAGATTGGCACCACCATGCGTCGCCGGGAAATGGCCAGTGTTGCTGCGATTCCATCAAACAGCACCTTGAACCCTGTCAAAGCCTCCTCGAACTCGTGCAAGTTTCTTTGACTGGTGAACGTCAGCGTACGCACCGAAGATGCGCGACTAGTTGTCTGAAGCGCCTGGTACATCTCCTCGGGCGTCTGCTTTGGAACCTGAGACTCTGACAAGGCAATCGTCAAGTCCTTTTGTGGCTGCCGCAGAATCGAGAGACTCAATTGGTCCTTCACAGGTAGCCTAATCTTCAGCTCCCCAGGTTCAACATTGACTCTGTCGGTGATGGTACCGCATTTGAAGTCGACCACGATCTTGAGCTTCTCCGATAGTACTGTTTCTGGAATTTCGTCCTCAGCGTCCTCATTGATAATCCTGACTCTTGACCAAGGCAGCTGCGAGAAGCCCTTCATAGGCCCGGATTTTACAGTATGCGACACTGCATAACCAGTAATGGGTACTTCGGAGTGAACCTTCTCGTCATGTTGGACAACCGTGCCGGCCAAAATACTATGGAATCGAAGACGCTCGGGCTCGTCATTGAAGGCCATGACCATCCTACCGGATGAGTTCCCATCATCAAATCTGAGCAGAAGAGCTGGCTCGTTGTGCTCGCCGCGTAGAAATCCGAACTGAACTGGTGTCTGTGGACTGTACACATGGTTGACTGCACTGAGTACCTTCGTGCTCGGACCGGTTACGACAGCCAGGCGGAAGCCTCTGTGATAATTTCTCTGTCCTGTCGGCGATGCTTCCGTGAGGATCTTCTCGAAAAGACCGACATCGCAAGCTCGAACCGCCTCTTTGGGGAATGTCGCAGACTGGGCGTTGGAATCGAAATACTGAAAGCTGCGCAGGGTTGACTTGAAGACAATTTCCTCTTCTTTTCGCGGCTGAAGTGTCGCGAGTGACTTGGCATTGAAGTCTTGCATGCTCCAAAGGAGCTTGAAATCTTGGGGTCTACACTGGGTAGCAAGCGCAAAGCCACGAGGCAGCCTGACCTCGAGGGAACATTTTTCCACCCTCCACTTCACGTCCTCCCACGTTGGGCCCGCCGCCTTGTTGCTTTGTATGCGGAACTGGACTGCGCCGTTCTGGCTTGCAAGACAGAACTCGAGGCTGGATTGTTTTGTTGCTCTTGTTACGGAGAGCAGGCAGGGGAAGCGTAGCGGGTGGCTTTCCATCCCTTGCTCCATGAGGAAAACATCCACGAAATAGCGGCCGTAGCAGAACATGTCGACTGTGTCGCCCAGTGGCAAAGTTGCGAGCAATGGCATCCTGGTGACGGGTTGTTGTAGTGCAAGGGACCCGCCTCGGGAGCCCCACAACAAGGACACAACATCTTGACTGATGGCAGGATACTCTACCCAAATTGATCGATCGAGCGACTGTGGCAAGAGCGCATCGTCTGGGGGTAAGAAGCCGTTCCGCTTCATGGAAGAGGAAAGTTTTCTTAATTGCGACGTTATCGCCTGGCCGACTTCCTGGACTTCTGCTTCGACGGAACTGCTTTTCTGACTCATTACCTCGGGAACGACTTCCTCAAACATGAAGTATGCCTTTGCCAGGTCTGCATATGCTTGTTGGCGGGCTGCTGAGACTTGACCTTGGGTCTGCGGTGTCTGTGGCGCCTCTCTGATGGACATTTCCAGCGCCATTCTACCCTTTAAAAACCACCAAAGCGCCGCCCGAGCAAGCTCGTCTAGGGAACATGAAAGGAAGGGCTTAACCTGCTCTGCGTGCAGACGGAACAGCTCGAACAGGTGGCGGGTTCGTGAAGCGAATACATCCAGAGCGTCGTCAACGGGTGTGGCAACGTCAGGCACAGCGGCATTTCGCTTCGTCGGAGATTCGGTCGGCCTGGGCGGCGGCTCTCTGGTCGACGGCCATCGTTGTGACATGTTCGGGCTCGAGGTAGATGTGTGGGAATAGTTTGACGACGCGGGACTTTGTTCTACCGGCGGCCTCCTGAACTGGCTCTCCGGAGACTCGGCGCCGACTGACGACGTCGCCGAAGCGCGAGAGTCGGTAGGTGTACCGGGTCCGACGCCGCCTTGCCTGATTTCCTCCCACTGGTGTTCTAGGGAGTGGGCGGAAGACTGGCGAACGGCTTGTGCGAACGCCATGCCCTCAGCCTGGCGCTGTTTGGCCTGGTTTATCTCGATGAAAGACTTCCTCTTTTCGTCGTTAGACACCACTGAATTGTCCAGGAACCGAGAGGCGTTGGGAGTGCCTGCAGGCACAGCAGGCACAGCAGGCGCAGCAGGCGCAGGCGCCTCCGCGTCTTTCGGCGGCTCAGGTGGGAGATCACGGCCGGGTTCCGGGGCGGGGGGTACAGGGGGTGCTGGCGGCGGAGGAGCATCCGCGATGGTGGAGAAGCCTGTCTGTGTACGTCTCATGGGTTGTGGGACGAAGTCCTCCTGTTGGGTCTCCGAATATGCCCTCTCCCTCTCTCCCTCGCGAAGACGGGCTATCTTTTGCAACTGCGCCGGCGGCGGGGCAGACTGCGCCCTCTTCCTCTTCCCAATCTCAGCGGTCGGGACATTACACTCGTCCCCACCGTCGCCAATTACCTCGGGGCGCGTATCGGCGAATCTCACGACAAGACCCTTCTTGTTTCGTACCCTGGGGCTGTGGGAGCGCGTACGAATGGGGACGCTTGGCTGGAGTGTCTGCTGCTGCTGCTGCTGCTGCTGCTGCTGTTGTTGCTGGGCACCATACTCGGCGGCGTTGGGATAGCGCCTCGCGGTGGACGTGTCAAGCTTGGCCAACAATTGCGGCCCGGGGTGATTGACCGTGACGGGGAGGTTGTCGTGAGAGCTGTGGAAGAAGTTGTTCAGATCCTCATTGTTGTTGTTATTGTTGTTGGCTGGGTTCGATGTCTTGCGATCCCTCCCAAACAACTTGCCCATCAACCGGCCCCTTTTGGAATATGGATCCTGCTCCATGGCTGTCGTGCGCGCTGCCGTTGGCTTCGTGATGAGGGTGTCTCGATGTTCGGCGGGCGATGAGGACAGGGTTTTGGAATTCAGACGGAAAGATGAGTCGTGCTTCTCAGGCTCGGTCCGGGGGCATTGTGTCACGAAGGAGGAGGGAAGGTGAGGCCGAGGCCAGCAACGTTCACAGGGCTGGCTGGCGGGCTGGCTTGCTTGCTGGGGCGACACGGCCGTGATCAATGGCAAGTCAGGGAGACGGTCTAGGGTGGGAGGCTTTGGGAAGGGACGATACTGGGGCCAAAGTTGCAGGTGCAATGCAGGACAATTATCTCTGGTCTAAATTTATGCGGTGGTGTAGGTTGGCAGCAAAGATGCCAAGTTAGTAAGGAGGCTCGAGGTTGGCGAAGAGCCCACGGGCAACCGTTTCAGCAACGTCGTTCTTCACAGGGCGGGCAGGTGAGTGAACTGTATGTACTCCATACTTGGCTCTGCTGCTGTAACAACAGCGTTGGGATACCCCGGCCCATTTCTCGCGGCCCTCAGGTCCCTCATGTCCAGTCAGCCAGTCCGTCCGCGGCGCCGTTACGCATTCCTAGCGAGGCCGGTACCACCCCATGAGTACCTACCTGGCCGCCTGGGTGGGCTGCCCGAGCGGGGGGGTACATGGTACCGTGGTATCTGGGTGCTGACCCGCGCAGGTGGGACCCCACCAGAGTTCACATCAGACGTCCGCAGCATGATGCTTGGCCTCCACCCTATTGAGTTCCTGAGCTGGAGCTCTGGACCCCTTTTCCCGGCCTGCTTGAGGCGCTTCTGAAATTAGGGGCACTGTCTGAATCAGTGCACTCCTCGCCCGCCTCGCAGCAGCAGCAGCAGCACAGCAAAGCTGTCTCTCTTTTACGAGGAGACCTGGTTCAAGTTCGTATCTGCTGGTCTGTTGACGGGGCTGCAGCCTGCAGGATGCCCTGGAGACTTGGTTTTTTGGTGATTTTTTTTTCTTTCGAGAGCGGTCGCGCGGCCTCACTCAGGCACCGATCTCGTCTCCACGATAGAGAGCCCATGTTTCCACGGTGCATCGGTGAATGCGCTGACTCCACTCCTGCCTCGAAATTTAAGGTAAGTACCTACTTAAATAGCTACCCTTGAACGTGGAGATGCTTCCTGCCTTATTGCCGGCATGGCGCGCCGCCTTGACGGCAGTCAGAAGAGAGAGAGCGCGAGAGAGCGCGAGAGAATGGGGGAGGATATGACTACACAGTAGGTAAGTACCTAACTAACATAAGCCTGCAGGGCGAACCCACCCTGGGTGGCTCCTGGGGTTTGTTGTACGATGTCTTTTTCGGCTTACTATTCCAGACCGTTCCGCAAGACACGAGAGAAAGATGTTATATCCCAGGGGCAGGTACCCACATGCCATGTCAGGTACGTACTGTGTGTGTCACCCACGGGAGCTTCCCGCAAGGACGCTAGGCAGAGGGAGGGAGAGGGAGCACTCAATTTCACAGCCGAGTCCCTCGCAACCGTCTGACGGTACATAGTACCAGCCCATCGACCGTGACCTGAGGGCGGCGGCCCACTGCCCTCTCCTCTTGCCCTGTTTTACCGACTACCGAGCAGATCAGTTAGCAGATCAGTACAGCACTGCGCTCCGTACCGAGTACGTCCAGAAGAACCACATTGCCGCGGCCCGTGGGAACGTGGGAACGTAAAAACGTGGGAATCATAGCTGGCCAGACCCAAAGGCTAGCCCAAGTACAATTAAATCCTTATCTAACAGTATCTCTCTCTCATCTCTCCCTCCCCGGCTCTGCATGCCCGGCCCTGCTCCCCGAGCCGTAATGCACAAGGCTTGTCTGCAGCGCCAGGACCAACGGGGAATCCTTTTGTTTGTTTCAACTTGGAATCTCGACGCCGCAATCTCGACAATCCCCGGCGGCTCTGTGCCAAGGAGGCGTCGCCGAGGCATAGATAACAGCAGCCAGCAGCCAGCAGCCAGCAGCCAGTAGATCTGGCCCTGAGTTGTTACTTCTTGCTGATCCCAAAATGTCTTGTCCTGTCCTGCCCTGTTGCTCTTTCTTGTCCGAGACAATAGCTTTTATTTCGGTAGGCCGATCAACCAAACTAGCGGAACTCTATCATCACATGGGGTGGCTGTGGATGACAGTAGACAATAGATAATAGAGATCTGGTGTCAGTACACACCTGGGAAAGCAACAGCTTTGACACCCCTGCCAGCCGCAGGTAATCAAGCCCACCTTAGATATTTCTCTCTACTGTGTACGGAGTAGTACGGAGTACCAATAACCTGCCACATATGAGCCGTCAGTACTCCGTACACATACACGCACATAGGACCAAAACCCTTTTATTTCGTCATCACATATAGCTTTCCCTACGACAATGCACGCATCCTACGAATCTCGGTTCTACCAGTGTCACCCTTCCGAATCTTGATGCGCGGCAATCTCCTTGCTGGACTCGGGTTCGTTGACAGACGCACGGTCTCTTGTCCCAGACTGGCAACGAGTCACGCGACACAGAGCGCGGCAAAGGAGACACGCCTCAGGCTGTTCGGTTGCGCCGTTTCTGCCCTCCATAATGTGCATGGAACATCATCTTCATGTGCTTAAACCTGGCCCCCCCTCCTGTTTTCAGCTTCCTTCCTTTTGACCAAATACAATGAGGACGTGGTCGATTGGGACTGAACAATGCCCGTTGCAGTCACGTGTGCCTTGCCTCCAGGACTGGCTATTCGCTATGGCCTTGCAGCATAACAACCGAACCCCCGCCGGAAGAAGAAAACTGGTCTATAGTTATCAAAGCTCGGCAAAGCTTGTTTCTAGATGGGCCTGGTACAGTCTTGCAACGGTTTTGGTGTTGTTCAGAGCTTCAAACTGCGGCCAATTCGGAATGTAGCCACCTGGGAATGCTAGCTCACGTAGCCCGTGCCGCCACAGGCAGGTCTACTCGGGTCATCAGACCTCAGATTCCAAAATCCAGATGGACGAAGGAGCTGTCAGAAATGGAACTGATCACAAATTGCGCAGAGGTGGGCCTCTGCCGTATGTAAATAAATCACTGCGGCATCTCGTCCTAGAAAGCAGCGTGGCAGTTGAGGTGCATGTCTCAGGAAAAAGATGAATGACGCCAGTCAAAATGACCACAGACCCAAGTCTCAGAGACTTTCTGAGTGCCTTTTCAACAATATTATGTAGCCATAGACAGTGAAGTACATGCCGGGGCTTCTGTTGGTGAACCCGAGACAACGTCGTCATCACCAAATCCAAGGAAGGAAGGGACACAGTTTGGCAAGTTGACTGTGGGGATTGGCTGCCGGCATGTCTTGCAAGTGGTACCTGCGGGAAATCTGGTGACATCTTCACTTTCATCAGAATAATTCGTTGCCTATCGCCCTTAAAACCCCTTCGACTTAGACACAGTTTGTGTTTCAGGCTGATCTCGTGAAAGCCATATCTGCTGCTCGAGACGCGGTTCTGTGAAGACTTTCCAAGGGCCTGCTAGGTCCTGTCATTGCGACTTCTGCACAGTCACTGCCGACTCTGGGGTTGATATGCACGGAGAGCAACTCCTGAATACCCACAGTATTGGTTCATCAGGGGAAAGATTCCAGACAATAGTCACACTCCACATTGCACGAAATATTCGGCACAAGAATGGTTCCATGGAAGCATGAGTACATATAGCATCATAAGATATGTTTCAATGTTTGTTAAAGTTCATCGTGTCGTCTCTCATCGATGTTTGTCTTGGTGTCTTGGAACTCAGCATCGGCTCATGACAACAGGCGTCTAGTTTATAGGGTCGTCAACGAGACCAGTGACTTGAAAGCCCTTGGAAAGCCGTGAAGAGACCGGGGCATGGACAGGATTGCAATCACATGTGAGGGCACATTCGCAAGGAGAGCTGTCCAAGTACTCTTCAGCTTCGGGAGTAAAAGATTTCCTATTTTTATAGAAGCTTTTACCTATTTTAATAGTTTATTTAACTTTTTATATAAATAAATATTATTAAAAAGAAATTAAGTTATATAATAATAATTATTTTATTATATTAATTATATAATTTAAAACTATTTATAATAAAAGTTTAATAAAAAATATATTTTATATTATTATATATTATTATAATTAATATATATTTTTAATTAATATATATTTTTAAATATATATAAAATAGAAATTATATTATATTATAATTATTTAATTATAATATTTTAATTATAATTATATAAATATAAAATTATAAATATAATATTTAAAATATAATTTATAAATTTATTTTAATTAATTAATATCTTTATTAATTTTAATAAAATTAATATAAAACTTAAATATTTATTTAATATTTATTTAATATTTATTTAATATTTATTTAATATTTATTTAATATTTATTTAATATTTATTTCAGTTTTATTAATTATTTATATTAAAAGTTTTTATTTAATTTAATATATTTTTAAGATATATTTTTAATAAATAAATAAATAAATAAATAAATAAATAAATAAATAAATAAATAAATAAATAAATAAATAAATAAATAAAAAAAATAAATAAATAAAGAAATAAATAAATAAAGAAATAAATAAAGAAATAAATAAAGAAATAAATAAAGAAATAAATAAAGAAAGAAATAAAGAAATAAATAAAAAAATAAAAAAATAAAATAAATAAAAGAGTAGATAAAAGGGTAGATAAAAGGGTAGATAAGAGGGTAGATAAGAGGGTAGATAAAAGGGTAGATATAAAGGGCTAGGCGAGAGGGGCTAGGCGAGAGGGGTTAGGTAGGTTAAAAGGTAAAATGGCTAGGTGAAGTAACCTAAAAGGTATATAAGCAGGTACTTAAGAAAATTAGCTATAAATATTAACTTCATTCTTTATAACTTATCTTAAATATTAATAGTAATTTTTCTCTATAATAAGTATAATAGTCTTTACTAATAAATTAATAAATATAAAGGTTTAACTTTATTCTTTATACTTTAATTTTAGTTAATAGTCTAAATTCTTAAATACCTATTATCCTATTCTTATATATCTTAGAGGTACCCTACCCTATAGCAGTTATAGACTTTATTAAAGGTCTCTAGCGGATTAACCTATACCCTATAGCTAGCCTATAGCTAGCCTATAGCTAGCCCATAGCTGGCTAGCCGACTTACCTACCTACCCACCCACCTAGTTATTTACCCAGTTATTTACCCAGTTATTTACCTAGTTATTTACTTAGTTATTTACCTAGTTATTTACCTAGTTATTTACTTAATTATTTATTATTTTATTTATTATTTTATTTATTATTTTATTATTTTTTTTATTATTTTATTTTATTATTTTATTTTATTATTTTATTTTATTATTTTATTTATTATTTTATTTATTATTTTATTATTTTATTTATTATTTTATTTATTATTTTATTTATTATTTTATTTATTATTTTATTATTTTTTTTATTATTTTATTTTATTATTTTATTTTATTATTTTATTTTATTATTTTATTTATTATTTTATTTATTATTTTATTATTTTATTTATTATTTTATTTATTATTTTATTTATTATTTTATTTATTATTTTATTTATTATTTTATTATATTATTTATTATATTATTTATTATTTTATTTATTATTTTATTTATTATTTTATTTATTATTTTATTTATTATTCTTTTATTATATTATTTATTATTTTATTTATTATTTTATTTATTATTTTATTTATTATTTTATTTATTATTTTATTTATTATTTTATTTATTATTTTATTTTATTATTTTATTTATTATTTTATTTATTATTTTTATTATTTTATTATTTTATTTATTTATTTATTATTTTATTTATTTATTTTATTTATTTATTTATTATTTTATTTATTTATTTTATTTATTTATTTATTATTTTATTAATAATAATAATATAAATATAAATATAAATATAAATATAAATATAAATATAAATATAAATATAAATATAAAACTATTTAAATATATATAAATAAAATTATTTATCTACTTATATATTAAAATATTATAATATAATTAATATAAGGGACTATTTAAAGGAAAAGCTTTTACTAAAATAGGAAAATTTTGACTCCCGAAGCTGGACTGGTCACCGGAGCGTGTGTCTTGTAAAAAGTTGAGGTTGTGGAGGTGCCCACTACGTAGATGTCTTTAATGACACACATGGCACTAACCCGCAAGCACGGAGTAAAGCAGGGTTACTCCAAGCAGACATTCGGGAGGCATTAGAAACGGAGATGACTACTGAGTAGGTATCTGTGGGCACCTTGTTTTCTGAGAAGACCGACTCAGTTCTTGATAACCTTAACGAGGAATTAATCTTAAGAAACATGAGGCAAAATACCTCGCCACGCAAGACGCGAAGGTCAAAAACAGTTCTCATTGCAGCCTTGCCGAACGGGAGGGGAGTCCGAGGCTACAAGCACACAGCACACAGTCTCTGCATGCAGGGCGCAATGCGACGTGAAGTCACGTTGCTAGTATGCAAATGCTGACTGGCTGGCTCAGGGATGGTCAAGGGAGGAGCCCAAGACTCTATGTATAGACGCAGATGAATCCGATGAATCGGTACCTAATCCAGGATCGGGCAACTGGGAACAGTACCTAGGAACCCAAGGTATTGGGCGGCTGTTTCTCATGCGGGGGAGCACGGGCCACGGGAGCGCACAGTCGCTGCCAGCTCTCAGTCATCCTGGAGGATGACATCGGCAAACAACGTCATGGCTTGGTGACTGACCGGCCTGCCTGCCTTAGGGTCTGAGGGTCTTAACCTTGGAGGAGTGCTCCTTACAGAGCTGCTGTACTGTACGGCTGCCGCGCCGGGCTGGGCTGGGCTGGGCCCAGGGGGGATGGGCATTGGTGCTGGGTGGGGGGGCGTGGCGACCCCGCCAAAATACCCAGCTCCTAGCCTACTTTAGGTGCTGTAGGCTTCTTCTGACCTCCCACCGGCGACGTCGGGCTCACCTTCTGCCTGCTCCTCCTCAGCTTTCCCCTGCCTTGTATCGTCATCTCGACAGACACAAATCCTCGCGGCCGAGACTAGTCCCGTGGACAGCCGCGCTTCAAGTCTTCCTCTTCCCCCACGACCGAAACCTCCGACACCACCCTCCAGCCTTCTTTTCCGAGCTATCTGCCCTCCACAGGTGCGTCCGGACGCGGCGAGCTCTTGCAAAACCCTTGGTGATCTTGACTTCCTTGGGAGAGAGGCCTTCTCTCCTGGGCTATGCCGATGATGGGGCTTGTGTCTGGAGCACGCCGAAGAGCGACATCAAATGCTAGTGCGTGAAATCTACAGTTCCCCTCCATCTTGGGCCCTGTCATCCGTGCATCCCGCCGCCGTTGTGACTGCCGTTGCGCCACGCTCTACCTGTACGCTAACCTCTCCACGTTCCTCACACAGGCAGCCGAGGATCTGTCGATGAGGGCAGAGGACACCAAGATGAGGATGAGACCGTTATAGAGGCCGATCAGGGAAATGGTGCGTCCAAGCCCCGCCGAGACACCGAAACCCGTCGATGCTGATATATGCCACCTGCAGTGCTCGGCCACATCATTTCCCAACTCAGGCCGGGTGCAGACCTGAGCCGGGTCACGCTTCCCACATTCATCCTCGAACCTCGTAGCATGCTGGAGCGAATAACCAAGTAAATCTTTTCCCCACATCCTCCAGGAAACGAGGAGGCAACCTTGGCTGACCATCCTCCTCAAAGCTTCATGTGCCACCCCGAAATGCTCCTACCTATCCCGAAGATGGACGACCCTACCGACAGATTTGTGAACGTCGTGAAGTTCTATCTGAGCGGTTGGCATATCCGTCCTCCCGGAGTCAAAAAGCCTCTGAACCCTATTCTCGGCGAGATCTTCACTTGCTACTGGGACTTGCCAGACAACACAAAAGCGTACTACATCTCCGAGCAGACATCTCACCACCCGCCGAAATCAAGCTACTTCTACATGGCTCCTGAGCACCACATCAGGGTCGACGGCTGTCTAAAACCGAAGAGTAAATTCCTGGGGAACTCGGCAGCAAGTCTGATGGAGGGAACAGCCACACTCACGTTCCTGAACAGGGGGAAGGACCCTCAGAAGGGCGAGCGATAGTAGGTATGCTGAATCTTCATGGGCCAACGGATACTGACTACAACCCCTAGCTTCCTCACGCAGCCGAACATGTACGCGCGAGGAATCCTCTTCGGCAAGATGAAATATGAGCTTGGTGATCACAGCTTCGTTCGGTGTCCTGAGCTGGGCCTTGTCGCAGACCTGGAGTTCAAGACAAAGGGCTGGGTCGGTGGAACCTACAATGCCATCGGCGGCTTCATCAAGAACGAGAAGACGGGCGAGGCGCTGTACGAGTTCTCTGGGCTGTGGAGTGATGAGATGATCATCAAGAATTTGAAGGTAAGCACTCGAGCTCCTCCACGAGGTCGTCTTCATGTGATAGAAAATAACACGACAGAGCAGACTGGCCACAAGGATGCCTTTTTCAATGCACACCGCGCGAAGCCATCGCCTCCCCAGGTCAGGCCCATAGAGGAGCAAGATGAGAAGGAGTCCCAGCGACTGTGGCGCAAGACCGCACAAGCCGTGAAGGACAGGAACCACGAACTTGCTACTGACGAGAAGACCAAAATCGAGGACGCCCAAAGAGACGAAGCTGCCAAGAGAGCCCAGGACGGTGTCGAGTGGCATCCTCGTCTCTTCAGGAGGGTCAGAGGCGGTCCTGGTGGCTCTGAAGAAGGAGAGGAGGACCTTGAGTGGATAATCAACGCAAAACTGTGAGCGTCTCCCGAAATTCTATATGACGCAGAATTTTTGTTGACACTTTTAACAGCGACGCTACTGACCCAAAGAAACAAATTGAACAAATCCTGGACATCTATCCCATCACGCCGGGCCAGAAAGCAAATCCTGCCCACTCGATTCCTCCCAGGGCTAGCACAAGCCAGGCCCCACCACCACAATCGAAAGGGGACGATCTAATAGACTTTGGCCAGGATGATACACCAGCGGAGCCTACCAAGCCGCTAGAACGCCAACTCAAGGATGACCCAAAGGTAGAGAGCACCGGGGAGATTTCAGGGATGCTCAAGTCTACCGGCAAGGCATCTGAAGGACCGTTGATCGACTTCCACGAGGACTTGAAGAAGAACGTCCCCGATATTCGAAGATCAGACACGACCGGGTCTAATGACGTCTTTGTAGATGCAAAGGAATAGGCGAGCATGTCCATGGTGATTTGCCCATTCTGGGGAGACGGGACTATACATGAATTGATGCTTTTGTAGATCAAGGTTCAGGGCTCGACTGTCGAGCTGAGGTGCAAGGAAATATCACTGCGAACCCCCCCCCCCCCCTTCAGCTGCAGCCGGGGTTCAGTCCTGTCACATTCATAAAGCGGTCGTACTTGGGCGACGAATAGCATAGGATTGACTTCATTAATGACGTGGGCTGTTTTCTTCAGCACATCCTCGTGGAGAAATCATTGAATAGACTCCTGACGCCCTAACCGTTGTGATATCTCACAGCATGTATCCCATCAACCCTGTCATCTGCAATGCTGACAAACAAGCGCATGCCTTTACCACCCCCCAGCCACTCGCAACCGAGAACGCTTTTATGTCCTCTACCTGCCTGCATATAATTACACCCAAGCCCTAACTCATCCTGTTGAGAGAATCGGGCAAGGCTCTATGACCATCAGGAATGAGGGGCATGGGGGGGAGCCGTCCTCCCCGCCACTCCTCTCAATTCCCTGCTTGATGTTGTGACCTCAACCAGCCTCCATAAGCGGGGCTCTAATACCTCTTGCGGGTGGGCTCCGGGCTGGGAGACCTCGTGGGGCTGCGCTTGGCGCCGCCGCTCTCCTTGAGCCACTTCTTGGTGCTGAGCATGAGGTCGCGGTCCAGTTCGTCGGAGGGGTTCTTGCGGTGGATGAAATTGCAGAAGCCGCCGCGGACGCAGCCCTCGCCGCTGTTGAGCCGGCAGCAGGCCTCGCGGAAGTCGGTGACGGGAGACAGCTCGCAGTAGATGGGTCGCGCGGCATACCAGCGCGAGTTGAGGTCGTCGCAGGCCTTCTGGGCCGACTCCTCGTACTTGAAGCGGGCGTAGACGTTGCCGATCAGGTGGTCGTTGTTGTTGTCGCACACGACGAGCTCCTCGAGCTCGCCGTACTTGCACATCTCGCACCATATGTCCTCGTAGAAGGCGTCGAAGTGGTTCTGCAGCTGCGACGCGTTCATGCGGTTCTTGGGGTCGAAGGCGGGGTTCTGGTACAGGTTCGGCATCAGGATCGTCTGGCTGTACGACGGCTTGACGTGTTTCCGGGAGCAGCGGTCGCCGTGCCTGCAGGCGCCGATCTTGTAGTAGAACGAGCAGTTCACCTGTTGGTTGCGCGCGTTAGTTGCAGTAGACGACGAGGGGTTTGAAGGAGAGGGGCGGCGGTTGCCGGACAACGTACCTTGTCCTGCTCGGTTCCGAAGATGCTGGCCAGATACTGAGCCATGGTGATTAAGTGCTGACGGCGACTGGTGATGGCTGGACCTGGGCTGTTGTGCTGCTCAGAGTTGAATCTCGGTCGGGGGTCGCGTGCTAAGTATTCTGAGGGGGCGGTTTGAATGCGAGATGGTTGCGATACTGGGAGCAGCGCATGTGAATGAAGTCTGGAAATTTACCCAGCCACATACATGCTGGAGCTCTTTGCTGGTCGGTATCGATAATGGCAGAAGCAGAGAGTTGCGCCACAGTGCATTAGTAAGCCAAGACCCCTTGGCCGTGGTGCTGCGGAACTGCGTACGGAGTACTACGTACGTCCCGTCTGCTCCTGTCAGCAGGGATCAACAACGTGGGTGGTGAGGATCGTCAAGACGTCCCTACACAGTAGTCGGATGATCACTGGGATAATCTCCCGTGGGATAACTCACAAGCGAGACACATCTCTCATCCTGCAGAATGATCTAAAATCTAGAGCACAACTGCCCGCAACTATGAGGGCAATGCCTTTCTTGACCTACGGCTCAAGACGGACAGCATTGTCTATATGAGCTTTCAGGTCTGTAATTTGGACCTTGCACATCCGTGTAGGTACTTCTAACTTGGGAGGTCGACTGGTCTACGCAAGTGCCTCTTCACCAGACTTGAGGGATGCCACTCCATTTCATCGCAGGGAGGGAGGCAAGGCAGGCAGTCCGTTGCCAACCTCGGGAGCGTGCAGCACTCGGTACCGACATGCTGCACCAGTTGTGTCTTTTTCCTCATATCTGTCCTGATCCGATATACACCCCACACCGAGCAGAATTTATTCAAGGCCCCGGAATACGGTGAGTCGCAGTTATGGATCCGCAGCGGCTGATGACTCGGCCGTACATTACGCTTTCGGACAGACGTGAAGACAAGCAGAGGCAAATGAATGGTTCACCCACGTTTTCGGACCCCACAGATATCCGCGTACAGTACTTGACAGGACGGCACCCTTATATGGCCCACAGCTTCAAGCCCTGGCATCCTGCCCGTGTCAGCGAAGATTAATCAACGCGCACGTGTGCCAGTGCTCGGGTGTGTTTCGTATGCCAACAAATGCAGCCGTGCCACCATATGAAAGGCTTATCGTTCCGAGGCATTGACTACATAGTAGTTCAACAAGCCTCCCGGGGCACTCCCTGGCGGACAAAGTCGTGGCCCTGGGACGGACTACCGCAAGCCCCGCCTCTGAAGGGAGCGAGTCGCACGACCCCAATTGTTGCTTCTACTCGGTCAAGCTTGGTCTTCCTGGCCGGTCCCCTGCCTCTGGTGTGGGGAAGCAAGGTGGCAGGTTCGGTGGGGAGTGCGAGATATGCGTCTTGCTGGATTGTCCGGCAGAAGTGAGGCCTCGTTGGACCACTTGGGGTCGTCGGGGAAGCGAGCCAGGCAGGTGAATATTCGCGCAGCACTGGCGATGAAACCCTGGTCGAAGCCAACAAGTCATCGATCGGGATCACCATGGCACAATCTGCATTAGAGACTAATAAGAGACTACTGCATTCAGAGTTTGGTGGCTCTTCGGCCCAGCATTGCGACAAACGGGTTGCATGCCGAGAAGCTGAGCAGCCGCTGGCTCTTGGCAGCATTCCACCTCCTCCCACCTGGAGCCCGGCTAACCGAGCCTGCGAGCCTGTCGTCCTCGGTGCTGGGCCAAATTTGCTGTGGCATCACCCACCGTGGCCAATCTTCTGAATCTCGTGTGGGGTAGCCTCCTCTGGGATAACCTCCTGTTCGACAATCTCCCGTGGGATAAACCCCCTATGAGTTAGTGACCTTGCCGTGTCACCCGACATCCTCCTGCAGTACTCGGTACACCCATCTGTAAAACAGTAAGTACTCCCTGGGATAAAATCACCGAAAGGTCAGCCTCGTGAGGTCCTGCCTTCCCTGTGTATGCGTGCCGTAGGAATTGTCCCGAATATTTTGCACTAGATACTTGAGTATAATGGAGCGGTTGGCCGTGCAGCAGACAGATAGCATCCAGCCCCCCCAGCTTCCAGAAGCTCTGCGCTCTGGATCCCTGCACGAGCTTGATTGGCCCCACCACCTAAGCCACATTGCAGACCCATCTCCCAGTTCCAGGTCCCTAGTCCCAGGTCGGGCGCCTACGTCACAGTGCCAGCTCGCCCTCATGGAACCACAGGGGGGAGGGCAGAGCTGTCCAATGCGCTCTGCTTTGCCTGGCCTGCCACACAAAGCAGGCTTCCAGGCGCGCGTGTGGTTCCAGCTTGTGAGCTGAGCCTCTTGTGATCCCGAGCCGAAACAAGTCCATTGTAAAAGGGACGGTACGGAGTAGTCCAAGCAAGGCATTGGCAGCAGGCCCGGGGAGCTTACCACACCAACCTCCAACATTGCCTAGGCTGGCCCGGACCATCCAAGCTGCCTCAGCACTTTTCTTATTTGTCCCTCCTTTTTGCTTCTCGCCGGCTATCCTGCCCTCGCTCCTCCTGCCTCCCGTGTCATCTCATTACCTCATCTGCCCTCCTCTCGTCACAATCTCCCCAGGGCAGGGACACTGCTTGCTCAGGACAGACAAGCCTCGTCTTTTCCGGCAGACACCTCCGTCCACAACAGAACACCCCACCCCCAAGCTTCACCTGCATCAGCCTTGCCCGCATCAATTGAGACCCCCTTTGCGCTGCGGCCTTCCGTAGCCGTGTTGTCTGCTCAACATGGCGACCGAGAAAGCAGAGGCCGAGCTCAAACAGCAGGGCGCCATCGAGGCGGCCCGCAACCCTGAGAGCTCGGTGTCAGCCGACGATGCACAGAAGAAGATGCTCGAGGAGAGCAAGGCTGCCGGTGTGGCTGCCTTCACCTTTGACCCGGATGCCACTCCCGAGCAGAAGAGGGCCCAGGCTAGAGAAGTGAGCATACGAGTCCAGTCTCCTCTTCCAACCGTCGTCCCACTAACCCTGAATTCTCCAAGGCTATCCCAGAGGGCTTCCATTCCAAGCGGCAGAAAGGCGCAGCGCTCGTGACCGACAAGGACGATGGTACCGCGCCGCAATATGATCTCCCAGAAGCCTCCAAGGCCGGCGTTGTTGAAAAGACGAAAGACGCCGACGGAAAATCGATACCGGAGGAGGACGGCGACGATGGAGGCGCAAAGATGGGCCCAATGACCGGCTGGGCACCCCAGTTCGGCTGGCCTGTCGAGTCTATCCAGGAGGGTGAGAGTCTGCTAGACCACCAGACCTGGATGGAGGGTAAGGTCCCAGACAAGTTCTACGGTGACTGGTACTACAACGCCGCCGTCATTGCCTTTGCCTGCATCTCGTCGTGGTTTGTAGCTGTCCTTGGAGGCGGTCTCGGCTGGGTCTTCATCATCATGGCTGTCTGCGCAACCTACTACCGGACCTCCCTCCGTCGGGTCCGCCGTAACTTCCGGGACGACCTGAACCGCGAGCTCTCGCTCAAGCGACTCGAGACCGATACAGAATCCCTCGAATGGATCAACTCGTTCCTGGTCAAGTTCTGGCCCATTTACCAGCCGGTGCTGGCGCAGACAATCATCAATTCAGTAGATCAGGTATTGAGTGGTGCGACGCCCGGCTTCCTTGATAGTCTGAAGCTCAAGACCTTCACGCTCGGTTCCAAACCACCGCGCATGGAACATGTCAAGACCTACCCAAAGGCCGACGACGACGTGGTCATGATGGATTGGAAATTTAGCTTCACCCCCAACGATACTGCCGACATGACGGCCCGGCAGCTCAAGAACAAGATCAATCCCAAGGTGGTTCTAGAAATCCGGGTCGGCAAGGCCATGATCAGCAAGGGCCTCGATGTGATCGTTGAAGACATGGCCTTCTCAGGCATCATGCGCCTGAAAATGAAGCTGCAGCTTCCGTTCCCGCACATTGAGAAAATCGAGATGTGCTTCCTCGACCGTCCGACCATTGACTACGTCTGCAAGCCCCTCGGTGGCGAGACCCTCGGCTTCGACATCAACTTCATTCCCGGGCTGGAGAGTTTCATACTTGAACAGATCCACGGCACACTGGCACCAATGATGTACGCACCAAACGTTTTCCCTCTCGAGATTGCCAAGATGCTTGCTGGGTCCCCCGTGGACCAGGCTATTGGTGTCGTCGCAGTAACTCTACACGGGGCCCAGGGCTTGAAGAATCCCGACAACTTCTCCGGCAACCCCGACGGCTATGCTGTCGTCACCGTCAACAAGAGGCAGCCATTGGCGCAGACCAAGGTTGTCAAGGACACGCCCAACCCACGATGGAACGAGACCCACTACATCATTATCACCTCTTTCCACGACTCCCTAGACATCGAAATCTACGATTGGAACGAGTTCCGCAAAGACAAGGATCTCGGAACTGCGTCTTTCGCTCTTGAGAACCTCGAAGACGATTACGATCACGAGAACCAGCGCCTGGAGGTCAAGTCTGGTGGAAAAGACCGCGGTGTGCTCATGTGTGATATCCGCTTCTTCCCCGTCTTGGAGCCTGCCAAGGACGAAGACGGCACGGAAGAGCCGCCGCCAGAGATGAACACAGGTATCCTGCGTTTCAACGTCGAGCAAGCCAAGGAGCTGGATCACTCAAAGAGTATCGTCGGCCAGCTCAACCCATACGCTCACCTTCTCCTCAATGGCAAAGAGGTTCACACTACCAAGAAGCTGAAAAGGACCAACAACCCGATCTGGGACAATGGCTCCAAAGAGATTCTCATCACAGATCGCAAGAATGCCAAGCTCGGCGTGGCTATCAAGGACGACCGTGACTTGGCTGGAGACCAGGTTCTGGGAACGTACCAAATCAAGCTGGACGATATGCTCGAGCTGATGGCGAAGGGGCAAGACTGGTACAATCTCGCCAACACACACACCGGCCGAGTCAAGATGCAGGCTCAATGGAAGCCTGTGGCGTTGTCGGGAGTGGTGGCTGGGACCGGAGGTTACCAAACACCAATTGGCGTCATGCGCTTTCATTTCAAGAGCGCCAAAAATCTCCGCAATCTCGAGGCGATGGGCAAGTCTGATCCGTACGTGCGTGTTCTACTCTCTGGCATTGAGCGGGGACGCACGGTGCATCACCGCAACACTTTGAACCCGGACTGGGATGAAGTCCTCTACATCCCTGTGCATTCTGCGCGCGAGAAGCTGGTGGTCGAGGTAATGGATTTCGAGAAGATGGGCAAGCACAGAAGCCTTGGCATGGTCGAGGTCCCTGCAAGCGAGTACATATCACAGGACGAAACTGGCGAATACCTGGTCCATGACAAGAAGGCGCTTCGTGAAGACGGTCTTAAGATGCACGGCAAGGGTGTACCAAAGGGAATCATTGAGTACACCGTCGCCTTCTACCCTACGCTGAATGTTGCCGACCCTGAAGACGAAGAGGAGGAGGAGAAAGACGGCACACCTGCCGCATCTCAGAACGGGGATGCAAAGCAGTCACTCGATGTCCCACGTTCTGGAGATGCCGGCAAATTCTCCTCTTCGCTTGGAGCGCCTGTTGACGGAGACAAGGGCAAGGATGCAACACCCCCAAAGTCGCCTGCCACTCCTATCTCTCCTGGCTTTCCCCGAAAGTCGAGGGAGGACAGGCAGCCACCGAAGGTCCACCTCACCCCTCAAGAGCTTGTCAAGTACGACTCTGGTCTCATTATATTCAAACTCATGGAGGCAGAACTACCTGAAAGCCATGCGCATATCGAGGTATATGTGGATGACATGGCTTTTCCCTCCTACGTTTCGTCAACTGCCAAACACAAGTCGAACCAGTTTGACGAAATTGGCGATTGCTTCATTCGTGAATTGGAATTTTCCAAGTTGACCATCAAAGTCCGCGAGAAAGGTGGCAAGCGCGGCGACGACGACAAAGATAGCACGCTGGCCCGTCTGACGGGCAACACTCTGGACACATTGAAGCAGTGCTTGGTGAGTTCATCGTGACGTTACCGAGGCGTTACAAGGCTAACATGTTTTAGAACAACCCTACCACGCTGATCATGAAGGATGAGGACGGAAAGCCAAGCTCCGTGAAAGTCAGCCTCAAATATGTCCCAGTGAAGATGCAGCTTGACCCCAGTGAGAGCATCAACAACATGGGCAACCTTCGGGTCGACGTACTGGATGCTTTCGACCTGCCCTCGGCCGACTCCAACGGAAAGAGTGACCCTTACTGCAAGTTTGAGTTGAACGGCCGAGAGGTATTCAAGACGAAGGTGCAGAAGAAGACGCTGCACCCGGCATGGAACGAGTTCTTTGAGGTTCCGGTTCCCTCTCGTACTGCCGCAGACTTCAGCGTCAAGGTCATGGACTGGGACTTTGCAGACAAGCCTGACTTCCTCGGCGGCGCAGCTATCAACTTGGAGTCGCTGGACCCGTTCAAGGCCCAGGAGGTCAAACTCATTCTGGACGGCAAGTCCGGTACCCTAAGGCTGCGCCTGCTTTTCCGTCCGGACTACGTGACGAGAACTCGACAAGGCTCGTCCACATTCTCTGGAACGTTTGCCGCACCCGGCAGGATAGTTACTGGAGTTGCCGGCGCACCTATCAAGGGCGCCACAGGCATTGTCCACGGCATTGGCAAAGGTGCCTCTTTCATGAAGCGCGGTTTGACAAGCTGGAAAAAGGACGATGATTCTATCCCAGAGTCACCGGCCGGCCTTCAAGAATCGCCCGTTGTCATCAACGGTGCTGATTCGACACCGGGTGGTCTCAAGCGGTCAACTGGTCTTGGATTGTCCGATGCTGATGTTTCACCGGATGCCTCGCCAACACCAGCTCTTGGCGCCAGCAATGGAAACCACGCCCGCACTAAGAGCTTCGGCGCAGCTTCGGCACACAGCGGGATAGTACCCGGGTCAGGAGCTGGCACGGCGACGTTCACTGTTGTCTCTGCCTCCGGTTTCCCGCCGTCCACGGACTTGTTCATTGTGGTCCAACAGACAATGCCAAAGAGCAAGACCATCGGCAAAACCAAGCATCACAAGGCCTCAGACGGGATATTTACTTTCGGAGAGACTTTCAAGTGCGTCTGCGCCCCCGATGCAGCCTTCTCCATCCAGGCCAAGGAGAACCACACCCTTAGGAGCGACGAGGACCTTGGCGAACAGTTTTTCCCTCTTGACGAGTCACCCTCTGTCAGCGAGAAGACGATCAACGTTGGAGAAGGTAGTGTTGTTGTGAGGAGCACATTCGTGTCCTCCGAGGCCAACGGCGGCGGCAGCCTAACGACAGGCAGCCCTAGATCGGCCTTCTCCCGACGGAGCTTCCTGGGCAAGAGGGAGGGCTCCAGCGCCCGCAGCCGCGAGCCTACTCCGAACCCTTAGAGAGGGCGGGTAGGCATGTTCTCTCGCGAGTCGCTGAGGCCGTCACTCGATGCACGTAGCTTGGAGTAAGAGAAGAGCGAGTTTTGTTCCACTCTTTTTGAGACTGAGGGTAGTTGAGCGCGTCGCAACTCGTTCACCGCGGATACCTATTTCCCTACATTTTTCTTCTGCTGTTTTGGTTGGGTTGGACAGAGGGGGGATGTGGGCGGGTCAAAAAGGATTGGAATAATTATTTTTCTTTATTGGATTCCCTGCCTTGATGCTGTGTGTGAAGACTGTGGTCCGGGTTATGTACACCGGGCCTTGGAGGAGACATTTGGTCCTGTTTCCCAGACAACCCCTCTAAGTCTGTGGTAGCTAGCTCCCTGGTAAAAACACCATTAATATGACGATTATGAGTATCACGAGACCCTCCACTATAATAGTTCTTAGAGTTTACATTGGTGTTTCATTTTGGTTCTCCACGTACTACGTCACGCTACTTGTGAACCTCGGAGCAAAGCTTGCTTTGAGATCTGATCGAGATGTCTGAGTTCAGCGTATGCACCATGATGGCCACGGCAGATGCACGACGCTGCCTTCTGTCGGCTGATACGACTCCAGCTAAAGGCGAGAGTCTGGGAAAGGACCTCATGCGATCTCATCTACAGGCTGTGACTCGTCCACACGGCCGCCTGCAGTGATAGTAGCTTCTGGCATCATGTCCAGCAGATGTACTCCGTGCAAGACTTCCCATTAGATTTTATGTAGATTATGTATGTTTCTGCTATGATTGGCAAATCCGCCAACGTCCGGTCTCGTCGCTATGTGCCTGCCGCTGCCAAAGCAGGGTTATTCCCCAAACGCCATTACAAGCCAGTCTGCCCCCAGAGGTATTCAAAGCGCCTCTGACCCGGCCATGAAAGGCATTTATTTCCAAGATGCCACCGCTCGCCTCCAAGCCCCAGCAAAATCAAACCATCCAATTCGTACAGAGCGTTCAATGCATAGCGGGTCATGAGCTCATATCCAGTCGTGTGTGTTTATGTCTTGTCGACTGGGTTGCCTCAAACGACGACCACGCCAGCAAGGAACATCACCAGCGGCGCGGCGAGTAGCACCCACAGCCCACACGCGTTGCCGGCGGGGGGGAACGACCGGACGCCGTCCGAGGAAGACCCGGACCCGGACCCGGACCTGGACCCGCCGGCCTTGCTGTTGCTCTGCTGCTGGCCGGCGAGAGGCGGGGCCTCAGGCGGCGCGCTCGCGCTCGCGTCGCTAGTCGACACGGGGAAGCCCTGGTCGTTGTAGCTTCTTGTCGCCGTCGCCCAGCCCGAGGGCTGTGTTATTGTGGTCGCAAACCCTTGTCCGTCCCAGGTGGTGATGGTCTCCTCACCTCCAGGAGCCGCTTGCCCGGGCAGCGAGGACGGAGAGGGCGAGGACTGCAGCGAGGAAGAGGTTGTGAGGGGGCCCTGTGAGCTCTTGTCAGCTTGTTCTGTTCTCTTTGTGAGATGGCTCAGTGAATCAGAGTGGAGGGAGGGCCCCTCAAAGGGTCCTCCCCAGAGGTTGATCTTTTCAACGTACTAACCGCTGTCGAGCTGTTGGGCACAATCTTGCCGCTCGAAGTCATGCGCCAGCCGCTGGGGATGGCATCGACGCTCGAGGCGGCGGTAGACGAGCCGCCCGCGATTCCGCTGCCGGGGAAGTTGGCGGAGCCGGTCGAGGTGGTCGAGCCTGTCACGGTGGTGACAGTGGCGGCCTGGTCCGCGTTGGCGTTGATCTCGCCACCCTCGCTCCGGATGGACTCCCAGGTGCCGGACATGTCGCCGTACGAGTACTTGCTGCCGGTGGAGTAGTCGGTGACCTCGACCTTCTGCACGGTGGCGGAGAAGGGCCCCTGGGAGTAGTCGGTCGAGCCGCCGGCCCAGGCGACGGTGCCCTCGGGGTTGCTGGGGTCGCCGCCGGCCCAGATGCCGAACTTGAGCTGCATGGGGGTCTGCGGGTAGTACTCGGGGTACGAGGAGGACTCGAGGACGCGCACGTCGCTGCCGCCGACGGACCAGACGATGCGGTCCGAGGTCCAGTCGAAGGAGTAGGTGACAAACTGGTCCTGATTGTTCGGGGCGGAGGCATAAACGAGCGGGTCCGGGGCCCTCTGGCCTTTGCCAAAATACATGGTCTGGACTTGGGAGTTGTCGACGCCGAGGAACTCCATGTCTATCTCGTCGAGGTCGTCGGACTGGAGCACGACAGAGGTGACAATGCCGGTGCCGGGGGCGCACTTCATGGTGATGTCGACCCTGCCGAACATGAGGTAGAAGACGCTGTTGAGCTGCGGGGCGTCGCCCGACTTGCTGATGGTGAAAGTGACGCCGTCAGAGCCGTAGGTTGGCGTCCCACCACTTGCAGTGAACGAGTTGACCTCACCCTGGGTGAAGTCGACGTTGATTGCCATGCCCAAAGCGGGCTTTGCGTCGCATGCTGGGACGTGCTGTTAGTAGGCGACGAGGACAAAGCCGCAGAGCCGTGGTGAGGGACCTACTTGTCTGTGTGGGGTTGCAGTCGGTAGTTGTCTGGGCCGTCGCAAGGCCGGCCAGAAGCGCGGTCGCGGCGGCTGCCCGTAATGACCTGGTGAGGAACATGGTGTTGGCCGTGGTCGCGTGGGAGGACTGGCAGGAGACGTCGAGGACCAAGTTGGCGAGACGAGGCGTCGTGTCGTGTCGTGCCTTGTGGGTTGGGTTATAAGTGCCCAGGTGCGCTTTTCCTCCCCAGCCTCGTCAAATCAAACGAGGCGGTCCGGACCTTGGCCCAAACGGTCCGCAGGCAGCGTCATCCAGCTGCCAGGCGGCCACCACGTCGCTGAGAGGAGCCAGGGAAGCATGGGTGTGGGTGTGGGTGTGGGTGTGAATAACAAGCCGTTGTCGACGTGGGACCGTTGCAGCCCACCCATGTGTTTGTTTTGATTGGAGCCGCCGGCCGTTGCCTCCCATCTGAATTGAGGTGGTTGGGGAGGAGGCTGGAAGGGCTAAGCCCCCTAACGGCCCTAACGGGCCCCGCCCAACCCAGCTGTCAGATGCTGTTAGTGTGTCCGGTCCAATCCTCACCCGCCGCGGCAACAAAGGGGGACCATTTCCCTGGGACTGCGAAGCTCGAGTCCAGCTCCCGTGACGTCAGGCTCTGCCGAGCTACTTACTACTACTCCGTATCTACTCCGTTGAGAGCGAGCCCACCGCACTCATGGAGCTCAGCAAGGCACATACCGAGTACCTCGACAGATCCCAGCAGTGTCACATGTCCCAAGCAACCAGCCAGCCGGCATGCCTAGGTAGCTTCGGCGGAGCCAAACACTAATAAAAGACACTCTGATGCCTGCCCTGACTCGGCCCCGTTTGCTTGCAGTGCGAGGCGGAAACTCGACTGGGCTGCTGGGCCGAGACAAGTCCTGCTGGCCGCCGCCTCGGCACGCTGCACTGTAGAATCATTCACGTACTACACACAGAGAAGCACAATCCTGCACACAATTAATTCACTCGGCGCCGCTGGGCGATATAATGATGAAAACGATTTACTCTTTAACTATGTAAAATCATCGCTTCCTCTAGCAATTTTCCTGTTTGTTTGGGTTTGTTTTGCTGCCTCAGCATTGTTTCCACAAACCTTGTCTCTACTCTGCGGACCGAGCCGGAACGTCCGTGTGCTTCTAAGGCGCATCTAGCACCCTCTCTATGAGGCGGTGAGCATTCAAATGGTTTTATCACGATGGCAGATTGATGCCCCTTGCAGAATGCTTCCCGTCGCGTCGTCTAGTAACAAGGTTTGCATGCCTGGCAGTTGCTAGACCCATCGACGAACCAAGAAATGTACCGTCCAACTGCCGCCCGGGTCCGCGTCCACGTCCATTTCTGAGGGCTCGCTCGCCCTGGCATTGGGCCCAGTCGACTATTAATACGTACTGTATGATGATGATGATGTGGCTGCTGGACCTCCGCGCGGACAAAGGATTAGAACTCCCAGGCATCGTCGTCACCGATCGAGGCGATCGCCCAAGTGAACTTCTCACGGAGAGTCTTTGGGAACAGCCGCTCGATCGGCACGTCGAACTTGTTGGAGAAGACAACACTGAGCCGTGGGTCGATGTAGTTCTGCCACAGATCAGTAAATGGAAACCCGCACACGCACAAGTGACACTCACGATCTTCGAAGTCCCCAAGGCAACCTCCTTGTTGCCTTCACGGTCAGCAGACTGGGCCTCAAGGTTCTTGATCCTCTCCTCAATCTTCTCAATGTTCGTCTCGAGCTTGGCCACCGTGGGGCCCTTGCCCTCCGCCTCGACCTTCTTGGTCTTGTTCTCCTTCTTGAACTTCTTCTCGAGCTCAGTCGCTACCTTGAGCCGCTCCTTGAGCTCCTTCTCCGGAAGTGGCTTCTTCTTCTCCGCGACAAGCTTCTCGTTGTCCTTTTCGAATTTCTTGGTGATCTTGGTGCGCTGTTCCTCGACGAGGAAGGCCTGGTGGTTGAGGACCCACTCGTCAGTCAGCTCCGGCTCCCTCTCAAAGTACGCCGCTCCTTTCTTCTTCTTCATCTTGATGTCGACGTCCAGGATCATCATCTTCACCCTCCATCTCTGGTACTTCAGGCCTTTGATCTACGCGATCATCGTTAGCAAGTCTCTCACGCCCCGAGTCCCGTCAGGGGGTAGGGTGGGCCTACCCGGTCACCAAGCTTCTCCATTGCCTGCTCGTGGCTAGCCCCTACGGTCCGCTTGTGGTTGCAGAGGATGGCCACCTCACGATTGCAGTCATTGTAGAGCTTGACCTTCTCGTTGATGGTGGCGTTCTTGTGCGACTTGACGTCGAGCTTCTGCAGCAGATTCGACATGGTCCAAGAGGCGTTGTAGGTACGGAAGACCTTGGCCGTCAGCCCTTGCATGTAGTTGGACAGATGCTTATTCAGTTGCGACGTCTGTCACTGTCAGTATTTTCTGTGGCACAGACCGGACAAGGCGGGGAACTCACATTAACGCGGTCAAATATGTCGTCCCCGTCCTCCTTGGGAGGCTTCTTGAACATCTTCAAGTTCTTGAAGACCTGGCGGTCGACATTGACCTCATCGTAGAATCGGATGCTGTCCTTGCCTAGGAAATCGAAGATGACCGTGTCTGGCTCCCGAAGCGTCAAGTGCTCGAACTTGAGGGAACAGCAGCCCACAGTGTCGGCTTCGTTGTCCGTGTCCTTCTCGTTTCCAGCTCTGAGCGCGAACTTGTCGATCAGATACATCGCAGTGGCCATCTGGCGCTCCTGCATGACCTCACTCTTCAGCTTCTTGGTGTAGTCCTTGCGGATGAAATCGATGTGCTTCTTGAGCTGGCGAGCCTTCTCGAACTTGGCCATATCTGCCTTGCCCTTGACGGAGGCGCTGGCGGCAAGCATGACGTATTTGTAGTTGCCGTTGACGTTCTCCTGCCACATGGCTAGCCAGGTTGCTTTGTTGTCGTGCTGGACTGCCTTCCATTTGTGCCCTGGTGGCGGAGAAGGGACCTTGGCTTCTTTCCCGATGTTGATGGTGACCTGCTCAGGCATCACCCGTTTCTTGACCTTGCCAGTCTTGGGGTGCTCGCCCCGGCCTCGGAACAACGAAGGAGGTTCGACACGGAAGTTTCCAACCTTCTCCTTGCGCCCGTTCCACTTGCAGTACTGCAGCGGCTCCTCCAACTTCTGTTTCTCCTCCTTGGCTTTTTGCTTTTGCTCCTTGGTCCAGGCTTTCTTCGCCTCGGATATCGCCTTGTAATGCTCGTAAATTCTAGTGAAATCAAGCTTGGAGAATTCTTTGATGTCGACCTTGTTCCCGTTCTTGTCCTTGGCACCTCCGGTCTTTTGCAAGATTTCCTTGAAGTCGCCAAAGAAATTTTTCTGGAAAACAGGATTCTCGACGTTCTGGGTCGAGTTGAGCATGGAGCCGAAAAAGCCCGCAACCTCTTCTGCGTCGGGGTGCAGGTCCACGGGAGTGCCATCATACAAGAGCTTGACATTCTTCGGCAATGGCTCGTATGGTGGGGGAAACAACACACCATTGTGCTCGAGTGTGTTCCACTTGATGCTGTCGTCTTCAGGTTTCGGCTCGTTCCACCACTCGTGAACATCCTCATCCTCATCCTCATCGGGCGACTTATCCTTGGCCTTGGCCGCCGCTTTCTTTGGTGCCGCGACCTTGCCTTTGACAGGAGCCTTCTTCTCGGTCTTGACACCGTTGGCCTTCGAGACGGTCCCGTTCGACTGTTTCTTAACCGGCTTGGCCAGCGGCTCATCGGATGATGAGTCCTCCTTCTTAACAGCCTTCTTTGGAGCGGGCTTCTTGACCTTGGCATCGTGCGCTCGAATAGCCTTGGCCTCCTTCTCCGCCTTCTTCTCGATCTGAGCCTTCTTCTTGGCTAATTTTGCACCAAGAGGCTTGTCATCGTCGGAGGAGTCGTCGGGAAGGGCCGTCTCCTTGTACGAAGGTGGCAGCTTCTTGGCTGCTATCGGCTGCTCATCGCTGTCATCGCTCTGCTTGGGGGCCTTCTTGGGGCGTTTGGCCTGGATGTTTTGTCAGCCCGAGAGCGCACATGTCAAAAAGCGGCTTAGCCGCACTCAAGAGCTCCACCAAGGTCTCGACGATGCAAGAACGTACCAGAGGAATTTCGTCATCGCTATCGGATTGGTCCTTGTAGCTGACATTGTTGCTGATCGAGGCGCGTGACTTCCTCTTTGCAGTGCCATTTGGTTGATCTATGTCCATCGAATCATCGTCGATTGGGCCATTTCGAATTGAGATGCCTGCGGCAGACGGCTGTGATTTGGAAACGGACCCGTCCATAGCCTCGTCGTCGGCCTTCGAGATCTTGGAAGCCGAGACTTCACAAAACCATCGGCATCGGTCAGCAAGGTGAACGACAGACGCCCTTTGGGGGTAACGATGGAACTACAGGGGAGCAGATGATCGAGGTGACGAGTGGCAGGTTGGAAGTGGTTGAGGCGGGTCACTTACGGTGGTTGCCGTTGGACCTTGCCAGAGGCATGTCATCGTCAGAGTCGCTGTACGAAGACATGGCTGATGGTGTGGACGAGTCGAATGATTCGAGAGGGTGGTGCGTGTGCGTGTGTGTGCCGTGTCCTCAGGGTAGCCCAGACGGCCGTGGGTGAGGGAAGGAGGTCTGAGGACTCGGGTGTGCAAAAGGAAAGGGAAGCTAAAGTAAGCGCAAGAGGGTGAAGGAGCAGTTCACCAGAGCCCGAGCTGGCTAGGCGGGTGGCGTTGGGGGGGCAGCTCGAAAGTTTTTTTCTGTTTGGTGGGAACTTGCGGTGGACAGTGAGCGTTGCGAAGATATAGACGGACCAGAAAAAACCAAAGAGAGTTAAGCCAAAGTGAAGTGAGAAGAGAGGGACGAGGGAGAGGATCGATGGCCAGGGCGGGCGCGCAAAGACTGAAGACTGACTGGCGCAATGGCGAGGAGGGTACCTGGCTGTAGGTACCGACCCGAGTGCCTGCCTCCGGGGATCCAGACAGGCTTGGCGTCCACCCCTGCCGTATTCCTATCGCACGTGACGGGCCCAAGCCGGTTCGGGGACGGGGCGAAAAGAAGACGGCTCGCGACCTGCAGCAGCATCATTTGAGAGACTTACAGACCGGAGAGAGCTTCTTGCGCACCCTCCTGCCAACCACCCCCGCCCCGATCAATTGGCTCTCCGATCGTCACTGCTCAATCGAGCCACCGCCGGCAGAGCATTCCACACTCCAACCCTCGAAGCCATGATGCTGTCTAGAGCTGCGCGGCCGGCTCTGAGAGCTGGAGCTGCGTTTCCCTCTCGGTATGTGTTTGACGCTGGCGACCGGGCCGCGACTCTGCATCGCCGCCCACCTCAGCCTCCACGAGCACGGACGGGACGTGGCATTGGATACTCTTGACTGGGTCGATGCACAAGTCCCCAATTGTGATGGAGGGAGCGGCTTCGGAACCAGCAAGCTGACATGTCTTCTTGAACCAAAACAGCGCCGTCACGTCCGCCCCTCATGCTGCCGCCGGCTATGCGACGCTGCGAGAAATCGAGGGCCGTCTCAAGTCCATCCGCAACATCGAGAAGATCACCAACACCATGAAGATTGTGGCCTCGACCAAGCTCACCCGTGCCCAGCGGGCCATGAACGAGTCCAAGACCTACGGTGAGACTTCCAAGGAGGTCTTCGAACAGGCCGAGACCAAGCCCCTCGAGGGCGAGGACAAGAAGACCCTCTATGTTGTCTGTTCCTCCGACAAGGGCCTTTGTGGCGGTGTCCACTCCGGTCTTTCCCGCTACATCCGCCGTCAGTTTGCCGAGAAGCCCAACGCCTACGAGCTCGTCATCCTTGGTGAAAAGTGCAAGGCCCAGCTGTCGCGAACCCAGGCCAAGGACATCCAGCTCAGCTTCGCTGGCGTCGGCAAGGATGTCCCCACCTTTGCCGATGCCCAGGCCATCGCCGACCAGATCGTCAACCTGCCCCACGAGTACGCCTCGATCAAGGTGCTCTACAACAAGTTCATCAACGCCCAGAGCTACGAGGCCGCCGAGATTGACGCCTTCTCCGAGGATGCTATTAAGGCTTCCCGTACGTGCTCAGGGCCCCTTTGATGAAAAGACTCAATTAGCATCCGTGCTTGTTCTTTGCTGACGCCGCTTCCAGAAAACTTCTCTGCGTTCGAGATTGACGAGGAGCTCCTGCCCAACCTGCAGGAGTACGCTCTCGCCAACGCCATCTACTGGGGTCTCGCTGAGGGTCACGCTTGCGAGCAGTCTGCTCGCCGAAACGCCATGGACGTAAGTAATGCGATGTGTGCGTGTTTGCTTTCTGGGAGAAGACGCTGACTCGCTCTACAGAACGCCTCCAAGAACGCCGGCGAGATGATCAACAAGTACCAGATTCTTTTCAACCGCACCCGACAAGCCGTCATTACCGGTGAACTGGTTGAAATTATCACCGGTGCCACTGCCTCGGCAGACATGTAGATGCAGAGCGGCAGGTAGAAGAAATGCTGGGGCACGTTGCCAAGGTCCGGATGGACGGAATCTTAACAAATTTCCCTTTGTGACAACACATACCAACGGGCTTCGTCCGGCCCGTGTACCAAGATTAGTAGAGCAAAGAGAGAGAGAGAGATTCAAGAGGTTGAATTGTTTGCCTCCACATGCTCCGGGTAAATTCCTCGGACCGCTCTCCGTTCACGTGAATGACATGCGGCTGTGATCTGGCCACCACGCAGCCTAATTCACAGTAGATGACAATACCCCTGGGAGTGCGCCACAGCTTGTCTTCCCCAATACTGGGGAACCGCTCCTCAAAGCTGTAACGTAAAGCGAACCAGACCTCCACGGCCGGCTCCCCACCCGCCTGAGGCGGCGCTGACATAGCAACAGGACCGTCTGTGGCTTGGACCGCAAGTTGCAGGCGCAGTATGCCACCGTCATTTAAGGCGACCCGAACAAGGGATGATGCACTCTTTAAACTGTCCGAAGCTCCCGCTTGGGTCCTCACATCGTGCACTTGAATTCGGTTTCATTCCATTCTGAGATATCCCAGAATCCAACTGGCGTGAATATGGTAGCAGGCACGACAGCCCTCACCGTCACTGGGGCATCGGATGACTGTGGCGTGCATTCTAGAACATGTGCCTCTGAGTGAGTTAATCTGTTCTAGTTATGTGGCCTGTTGTATGTGTATATGAGTGTGAGGGAGATAATATCCCGGAGCCAAAGAGACAGACACAATGGAAGCAGAAAGCAAACGTGTCCAGCGGGGGCGCCCCGGCCTCCCCAAAACACCAACCATGCGTAATAATGATCCGTGTCTCGATGCCGCATCCACGTTCGCCTCCGTTACAACACTCCTTGTGCCACCTGGGAAGACACGTTACCACCGGCAGACATGAGCTGCCAATCCAAGCCCACAACAGAAAAGGAAAGAGTATGGTAAACAACCATTCGCCCGCCGATTACTCCATGTCAAGATCACTTTCCTCCTCCGCGTAGCTCTCGACCCTCTTCGCCCTCCTCCCACCGCCCCCAGATGCGGCTCCATCTGTGGCGAGCTGCTTCGGGTCGGCTACGTAGGGGTGCTCCCTGACATATACCTGCCTCAGCTCGACAGCATCTTTGTCCCATTTGGCTGCTGCTGCGGTCCAGTCCTTCAGCGCCTGGGAATAGTTCCGCTTCTGTTCTTCAGCCGCATCCTCAAAAGGCTGCCGCACCTCGGGTGTGGCCTCCTTCCACATCTTGGATGTCATAGTCCGCACCTCATTGGGGCTGGGTTTGCCCTTGCCCGTGCGCCTGCCCTCCTCGCAGCGCCTGCGTCCTTCCTCGTAGTGCGCCTTGTTGAACAAGAGATAGGGGTTTCCGGCCACTTTGGAGGGTTTGATGGGGTAGGGACCAAGCCTGGAATAGATGTGCTCTTGGATCTCCATTTCATAGGCCTCGAGGCGGGCTTGCATGGGATCCTTGTTCTCTTCCTCGGCCTTCCGCTTCAGCGAGGCAGAAGTCTCCCTCGGCAGAACTAGAGGAAGCGGTATCTCAATGGGGCCAAGCATCTCCTCTATAATGTCTGATGCGGCTCGCAGGCCGGAGAGATAGGCGCCGTGGACGGTAGCAGGATGCGTGACGATAGTATGCTCGCCGGCGAAGTGAAGGTTGCCGATGGGACGAGCCATGATTTGGTAATCTTCAGCCTGCATCTTGACTCCAGCATTCGAATAGCTGCCCCGCGCGAACCGATCCGACTCCCATCTGGTCACAACGGCTTCTAGCGGCTGTGATGGCACCCGAGCACCGTATCGCATACGCAGGACCTCGGTGGCTTCAGCAATCAGTTCGTCATTAGGTGTGATCTCGGTGTCGTAACCTGCATCGCCGGCCATCAACGCAAGAAGACAAGGCATGCCGGTCGTGTTGCTGACGTTGAACCACTGAAAGAAGCGACCGCGGCGCGAGACGTAATCTTTCTGATTCAAACTTAGACGATTGGTGGGAGTCTGTAGAGTCCCGAATATGTCCCGATCCTTGTCCCAGAATGCATCTTTGTATACAAGAATAACCTTGTTCAGGACACCAAAACCAAGGCGTTCGATGGCGTCAGTCTTCCATGAAGGTAGGGGCGGTTGGAACTCGATACTTGCTTGCTTCAGGACGCCTAAGGGGATAGTATTGACAACATAGTCGGCCTCAACAGATTGTCCATCCTCTAGGTCGATCCTGGATGGGCCTGTCGCTGCTTCCGTGACGTACGTGATACGCTTCACAGGCGCCTTGTGTCGTATGTTGAGAGGCGTCGGAAGCATTGAAAGGCCTCTGGCAACGCTTTGATATCCGCCAACTACCATGGTGTGCTTGCCCTCCCACTCATTGCCAGCATCGATATCCCAACCCTTGAGGCTGAGGCGGTTGAGGTTTGTGGCATTGCTATACTCCAAGTTTGCAATGTGCCAATTTAATAGTCTGAAATCCTGAGCGTTAAGATCGAGTATCTCTCTGTGCTGCATCAAGGCCTCGTCCACAACTGAGCCAAGCGTAGCGCTTCTGTCATTAGCCGCAGCATCTAGGTCTATGTCCCTCGTCTCCTGTACGCCAGGCTTCAAGGTCCAGCCGAGTGACACAGCCTTGAATGCAGCCCTAGTGGATCCAGGGGTGCCAGGCTCGACGTGGACTTTCCCGGTCATACGGTCCGTGGACACGGGGACTAGGTGAGTCTCAGGTGTGACATTTTGTTGTGAGACAGGCGGAGCATGAGGCTGGGAAGCAGCCTTTTCCTCCTCGAAAGCGATGGTTTTGTGGCCCTCAGCAGTGCTATCACGGCCTTCGTCGATGAGGTCATGGTTTCCTTCGATCAGCTTGGACTGTAGTGATTTGAACTTATACTCGCTCACCCGGTCGAGACATGCGTTGAACAGGTGCTCAACCATCTCGTCACGAGCAGGGTCAACGGCTGTCCCATTGGTGTCATAGAGAGACATGTCGCTCCGTAAACAATGATATGGCAAGCTCAGCTGCCCCCTCACGAGGATGTTCAACGGGTTGCCCCTGTCGAAGCCGGTGATTATCATGCCGCCCATCTCGGCAGTGAAGCGTTTACCTCGGAATATACCCGGGGCAGTATCTGGTAGAGTATGGAAAGCACGGGAGTAGACTCGCCCTCCAACTCGGTTTCTGCCCTCCAGCACAACCACCCGAGGCGGATCTTCGCCCATGCTGCGGAATCGCTTTGAATACTGCGTGAAGAGTCCTTCCAACTGCCTGGCACATCCAAGACCGGAGAACCCAGCCCCGATCACCACCACAGTCTTCCTTTTCCGTGGTTGTGGGTCCTCGGCGGAGGCGTTCTTCCTTGGTTGGCGAATTTCAACACAGCCGTAGTTTATGAAACCACGACGGACCAGCCAATCGAAACAAACGTTCGCAACATCGAACCAGCGGGTGTCCCTGGCACACCCGATTGCTTCTTCTCTCGTGACGGCGATCTGGGGGTTCCTCACCCAGAGTCTGAGTATGCCGTTTCGGATATTCAAATAGGTCGTGACCTGTGCGTGGCTGAGATGATAACGCAATATGTGATACTCCTCTTGGTGCAGTGCGTAGGGGTTCAGACGTGAATTCTCCGCGGCCTCGATGCACTCCATGGCGTATTCTTGCGGTGTCAAGTCTGCAGGAATGGACACTTTCGGGCGCACATTATACTGTACCCTCCGCAACCGCGGCTGAACCCTGGCGATGGGCGCGGGTATTGGAGTCGAGGCGGTTGGCTGGCTTAGCGCTTCTCTGGGGCTACCGGTGTCGAAGGGAGTTGTCGCTTTACTAGAGACGGATGGTGGTTTTGAAGATAATCCCGATTGCTCGGTCGGGGCCGAAGCCGATGAGGCGAAGGAATGTCGTGACTCTCCTATCAGGTGGCTTATAGCCGATTTCGCTGGGGTCGAGTCGAGATGCGCCGCGTCAGGGGATACTAGATCAGCAGAGACAACCTCGCTAAGCTCTGGGGAAGCCTCGTCACCGTGACCAGCTATTCCCTCCACTGCTAATGCTTCTTCACTAGTCTTCGAAGCTTTTGACGGAGAAATATCATCCAGGTCCGTGAGATCACTCAAATCAGAGCTTGATGGTGCTGGGTTTGAGCTTTGCCCAGGCACCTTCAGGAACTCGTTGTGCGACCCCAGTTCACTATCATTGTTTTCGATGGGTGAATGGTCGTTGGCGTTTTCACCTATCGGCTCAGTGGGAGTGGGTTCTGGATCGGCCGAATCTTTCTCTTCAGTACCTGTTTCTTCAGAGAGTGGAGAAGCGTGGTCTGCGCGGGTTGAATAGAGGGAGGCGGTGGGCACCAATGCGTCCACTACACCGTTCTCGAAACCATTCACTTCCAAGCCAGGGGTGTCCGGATTCACCATCGAACTGGATTCTGCTGGGGCTTCCACTTCTGCAGGCTGTGTTGCTGGCTGGTCCGACTCTGTTGTTGGATCTCCCACGCCCCCGGACTTCCTTTCCTGGTGCGCCATATCCCCCACCGCCTCGGTAATAGAAGGCTCGTTCGTCAAAGTGGTCATGTCGGGCACGTCCTCATGTCGGGTCGTTGGGAACAAAAGTTCTTCGAAAGCTTCGTCTTCTTTGGTCGGCTGTGATGCAGCACAGTCCATATCAACAGGATCCGGGTCTGCTAACGACGATTCCAAGGGCATCACCTCCGTTCTCATCAAATCTGGGCCTGGAGCTTTTTCAGAGCTTTCGTCTGCAGGTTTCCATTCTCGTGCAGTTTCCCCAGCCCCTGCTGGCTCAGATGCATTCGTGCTTGGAAGACCTGTGTTTGCCAACTCCGACCGCGTCTCAGCCGACTCCGAGGCCGCCTCAACAGCGGCATGATGGTCAGGCGAAGGCTGCTGATGAGCATGAGCGTCGTAAGAATCCGACCTGAAGGGTCTGTCGTCAGAAATAACAGCGGATATGCATGGCAACACGGGGCGTCTACGGTACAGAGGCCGGATCACGTGAGGGCCGAGAGAGCTGAGCAACATACATGGAGTTGTCCCCCGTCACTAACGACTCGGGGTCCTCATCACCCATATCGTCGAGGTGGTCTGGTGAGTCTGTGTTCACGACGATGATGTCGGCGATGAACTCGTCGGTTTCCTCCGCGGGTTCAGGTCGAGGAGCTGAAGGCCGCGCGGGCTTGCGGGATACCCGAGAATTGGTACTGCTACGGCGGGATGATGAGCCCGAGGCCAGGGTTTTCCTTTTTGGTGCGGAGGTGGCCCGGGGCGAGGATGTTGAAGCCGGTGAGAGTAATACGGGTGATGAGTGCTGGACCTGGGGTTCGGAGCCGGTATTGCTGCTCCGTGCAGGTCTCTTTCCAATGCCACTTTTCTGTCCAGATCGAGCACTGCGCGAATTCGTTCCCATTATGAGCTCGGGACTCGGCTTTGGCTAGAGCGGGGGTATCGATTGTCTTGGGTTTTGACGGCGTATGCAGTCGCTGGAGAATCGAGGGGAGGGCTCGAGAGGTTGGGATTGATGATATCGTCGCCGCCAATCTCACCGGTCATCTCCATCGAACCGAGTCTGGATATCTCATGCGTTGGAACCAGGCGACCCCATTGCGTAATTGGAACGTAGTCCGAACGCTGCAGAGACCGGTCAGTGAACAAATTTATGGCATCAAAAAGATGCTCAGTGCTTGATATTCAGAAGATGCCAGTCTCATGAGTAGTGCAGATCAGACCAGCCTGGGGGGAGGGGCAAAGCAGGGCCGGCCCTTGCTGGTTTGGAAGGTCAGGCCTACCCGCCCAACAGGCCCGGAACGCTCTGGCTTCGGTCATCAATAAGCAGAACCGTGCAGCTACTACACGAGCACCACTAAATGTTGGGCGGATGCCAGCCAATATGCCCTACTAGGCAATTAATTACACAGGCAACTGAGATCGGGGCAAGAACAGCACATTTCTAGGACTGCTCTTCCATCCCTTGCAGCTTGGTTGGGCGAATCACGTGATGTGTAAATCTGGATGTACCCGCCTCTCGGAGACTTGGGGTTTCTGTATTGCTCCTCTTTCTAGTCCTCTACGACTCAGTTGGTTTGGCAATGCCTGCCAGACAAGTAACAGCCCGGCGGCCAAATTGCCTCGGTACGAGGCGCAGGCAGTGCTGCCCTGCACCTTCGTGCCCTCTTCATTGCGTTGCCCCTGCCGCAGGACGAGCGGGCTGTCCGAATGAATTCTTCTCAATCGCCGTGGCCATCATCTTGTTCCCGCTTATAATCGAGGTCGTACAAATGACAATGTTTCTTCGGGCTGTCACATTCCAGCAGGGTCAGCGATTGGTAGGTTCGAGGTCGAGGGCATGAGAGGCGATTTTGGACTGTGCAGACACGGGAAAAGCGGTGGGACAAACCTTCTTCCTGCTTTGCAATGAAGCGCAGCGCTGCAATCTCTGTGAAGGTGATTCCACCCACGAACACAACAAACACTGTTTTCTTCTGCCCGTTTCCAGAAAGTAGCGCCCGGGCCTTGACTGCCTTGTCCTCTCCTTTTTGAAGCTCATCAAACGTCTGGCCCCGCGCGTGCTTGGCCGCCTCTTCAAAACCCCTCCAGCCATGACTGCCGGAGCTCGCAACTGCAGCACCTGATACGCCGTTGCCTTTGGTCATGGAGAGCAAATACTGCTTCTGGATTATGCATTGAACCAGCCGTATTGACAACGGGGCATACCCGCTGTACACGTATGCTATGTCGTTCGGGTTGTGCTCGTTGACCTCATCTACGATGAGCCGCAGGGATTTCCGCAAGGTCGAATAGTTGGTCTTTTCACCAGCTGTGCCCGTGGAACCACCCATTGGAATCATCGACGCCATGGGCGAGGATCTGGGGAGGAAGAGCTGTAGTCTCTCCAGGTTGTGCAGGGTCAGAAGGTGCTGGTATCCGTAACCTTGCAAGACCAGTTTGCGTAATTGATCGTGTTCTTTGGTTTTGATGCCGCCAGAGATGCAGGAGTAGATGCACAAAAGCCGAAGCACCTCGGGTAGCGGGGCGTCACGAGCAACCAATTCCTCGATCGAGTCGAACTGAGACGACGGATCTGCGCCTGCCGCAAGGTTTTGTTGAACTTCGAGAAGCTTGCTGAATTGGTCGGTGCGTGTGTATTTGATGATCTCTTCCACGAGGTTCGTGTGTATCTTGAGGTTAGCCTGCTCTGCTTGATAGCCTGGCAGTTTCCGCACAAAGTCTGTCAATTCTGCTGTTGTTTTGGTCGTATGCCGGCTGTCTAGATCCTTTTGAATGCGTAGGGCGACCTTGTTGAGAAGATTGCCGACGATGGCAAAATTCGTGTCTCGGAGCTGATCGTACATGGTGTCTGACGAGTCTAACTGGACTTTGCGTCTTCTCGACTGGTTACTGGATGCCGGTGCTGCTGATGCGCTCTGAGCGGCTTGTTGCGCACCGCCAACGATGGTCGAGTCGACTTCAGTCTGGTTGTTCTGAATGCCAAAGACCTCATCAATTAAGCCCTCGTATGTCAGTTGGGTTAGAAGGGGTGTGACCATGTCGACCTCGCGGTCGATGATGATGACGCCTTCGGTTGTCGTGCTCGGGCTGAGTCCGCTCTTGTCGGGTTCACTAGCCACCTCACCGGCCAGAAGCTCCTGTCTCATACGAGAGAGCAGCTCGGCCACCCTCTTGGCACCGTCGCCCTTGCCCGTGATGCGGGGGAACAAGCCGTGTTTAAGTTGGATGCCCATCAGGGCTTGGGCGAGCAGGAAGGTTGGGGTAGGGTCCTTCGACAGGTATAGATCCTTGAACCCATCTTCGAGTTCAAGAGAGAGGACGTCTCGCTCTAGCGGGAAGAAGTACAGGGGAAGCTCCGAGATGTTGACGTCGCCGAGCACACCTGACTCTTCAAGGATCTTGTCGGAGACTATGGTACGTCGCGGCACCCAGAAGATGTGGAACTCATGAGGTGTCTGGCTCTCACGCTGCAATCGTCTTATCTGGTCTGAGGGGGGGATGTCAGCGCGGTCTGATGGCTCTCACCGTGCATCCCAAGGTCGTGAGAGCCATCCCGGCGAGCACCAGCTCTGCACGGGGCGGAATGGGAGCGGCGGTTGCATGGTGTTCACGGTGAGATGGCAACATACTTGCGATTTCCTGAGCATGGGCATTGCGGGCGATGAAGACAACGTTCCTCTGGGAAGTCGAGACGTTGTTGCTTTCTAAAAAGAAGAACTTATCGACACCGTAGTCCTGCAAGGTTTGTACCTTGACGACCGTTCCGATGGGGCCAGCGAGGCTCTGCTCGATGACGAGGTTCTTCTTGCCCTGGACCTATGCAGCAGGCCGAACCCGCCAAGTCAGTGAAGCTGGTCATGAGCTTGCACTGCCGTGGGAGCCGTGTCGGGCGCCTTACTTACTACCGAGAGAAGGTAGAGCAGGTCCTTCCTGGACTTGTCTCTAATCTGCTCCGTGTCAAACCCAAGCGGAGGAGCCATGATGGGCTCTCCATGGACAGAGGTGAAATGGCAGGGCGGAGGACGAAAGCTACGGTCGCAACATCGGCTACCGTCTTCCTCGGGGCCCCAAGGCGATTAGGAGCGCGTTGAGGGGAGCTAGATGCCTGTCCCCGGCCCCACCCCCCAGCAATGGCCTGCCTGCCGGCGCTTGATTAATCAATCGATAAACAAAATCCCCCTGATAAGATTCCTGGTCCACTATGATAGAATAGTGCAGACCTTACGTCTGGACAGGCTCGCCCATATTGGACGCCGACGTTTTGAACGTGTATATGTTGACCGTCGGCAGAGTCATGTTGTCAAGCTACTGCCTCCTTACATGGCTCTCACGAATATTTTATACGTCAGACGTCAAGGTACGCAACTGTATGGACTGATGGCTTGACGCTCACCCTTACTAGGGCAATGGTTTTCTATTTATGGACCTTCCCAATCTGTGGGCATCTGATGATGCTCACACCAAACGATGATTTCCTCTAAAGGACCCAACCTAGCACCTGAGTTCAAAAAGGACATCGAAAAGGGCACGTGAAGTTATAGGCTTCCCAAAAGCGCTAGGAAAATGGCAACCAACCAAACTCCAATGAATCGTCGCTGAAGCCCTAGGGGCACACACAAACACACACACACACACAACAGTGTCTTCCCTTTGTGTGTCCATTTTCTCGTCAAAGCCGCGCCGTCAACTCTGAGGTTCCGTGGAAAATGAGCCGGAGGGAGCTCGTTCGCACTCAGACCTTATTATCGTGGTAGTAAAAATCGATGTCCCTCGGCCGCAGTCGGTTGCTCCGGACGAATTCCTCGTCTCCAGGCGGGCGCTCATTCTTGGTGTTGCCCGTCAGCATGCTCTGCAGTGACATACACACGCTCTCAACGTTCTGCACCGGGCTCCATCCTTGCTGGCCCAGGAGGTCGAGACAGATGATGCCGTTTGAATATATGTGGGGGTGTATCGGTATTGGGCGGTCGGGCTTCTGGACGAAGGTCACCTCAGGAGGCTCTGATCCGACTATTAGCCCGTGCTTTTTAACAAAGAGATCGAGGCCATCTGCGGGGTTCTTTACCGATTGGGTACTGGTGTCCGAATCTGAACATCAGCCTGTAGACATCTGGGTAGAGCGGGTTGTCGTCAAGGACTTTGATATCCAGGTACCAAGTCTCGAGGTCGTCGGCAGACACAAGAGAGATGCCAGCGGGGAGGTTGCCAGTGATCTGTCATGGCATTTCAGTCAGCTCGCGATCGCGAGAAGTGAAGCGAGGGGTTCGAGCGTGGTGGCAGGGGTGACAGTCCTGCCAGCAGATGGCCACTGGCGAGGTCTGTGGCGGTCTCTTGGGCGTGCGAGCGCAGACAGACACATGGAGGCAATGTACATACTTTTGTCAACTCTTTCCCGAGGCGCCTATGCGCAAAGTTGGCACCCATGGTGTGTGTAAAGAAAGGAGGAGGCAAAGGTAGTCGGTGTGGGTGGAGTTGTGATGGCTCGTCGAGGGGAAGGCGACCCTGGCTGCATACGTCAGGGCTGGGTGTTGGAGGTACCTAGTGTATGTGGATTGCCGACTCGGAGGGCAGACGGGGGCCTACAGCCACGCCGGGGTGCCGTCGTGGCTTTCAGAGGAGCCTTTGTAGAAATGTGCAATGATGCAGGCAGGCGTGCCGGCCAAACACGCCAGTCACGGATCTATCACAAGCCAGGCTGCAGCGACAAACAGAAATCACCTGGGCAGGTAGTGGTAGTTTGGCAAATAGGACCCCCGTCCTAGGTAAATACCTAGGGTATAAAGACACGAAGGATAGGTAGGGTAGTGTGTTTCGAGAGCTGCCTAGAAGGTGGAAAGGTAACGAGTAACTTTCAACTCTGGTGGCACGCACAGTCGCTACTGTTGGTAGGATGTACCTCCTAACTTGTCGACGGTCCGTTGGAAAGCTGGGGAAACCGCACTAGCCTGCTCGGGTGGCTAGTCACTGCAACGATGACTGCAACGACGACTGCTTCCGTGATCGACCTGACAGTCCGAGTATGTAGCCGGCTACCGCCGTAGCTTTGTCCCAAATGCTCAACAACCACCACGGCCTAAGCCTGCGCTGATAGTAATGGTGAGCCTGAGTCCCGCCGACAAAGCAGCAGGACAATTATCATCGGTCAGTCGGTGCCGGGTGCGTCGTTCGAACTGAAGTAGCAGCGTAATTAGTGGGTTCTCTCGGATATCATTTGCCGCAAGCACGGCTGCAATGGCTCAGAGATCCATCAGGGCCTCCCATATGGCCTCCACGGCCGGGCCCAAGGCCACCACCCAGGCCATCTATAAAAAGGGGGCGAGGATGGCTGTGCTAGACCGGTGGTGGGGCAGCCTTGCTCGCTGCCAAGGACCAGACCAGCACCAGCGGCATGGCTGGCCTCTGGCACCCTGGCAAGGCCTGGGTCGTTGGGCTGTTCTGGCTGTCTGTCTGGCAGTGAGGGGGGGAGGGGGAGGGGGGCAATCGCTAGCAGGAACCCCTCCCTCTTTGTCGCTGTGCGCCTCAGCAGCTGATTGCTGTGTCGGCCTGTCGACGGCGAAGCAACGGTCAGATCCAGTTGGATGTGCGGCTGAGCAACCGGGCTGTCTTCTTGCTCCTCTGTTGCCAATCTGAGTTGGTGACACCAGCCGGCCCTCTCTCACGCGCAAGGCATTCCCTCGCATCGCATCGTTATCGTTGCCCTCCCAGGCCCCCCAGGCCCTCCCAGTACTTTACCTTGATTGACTGCCGTTGGACGGACGAAGCCATCTCCTCACAACGCCTGCCCAAGCCCAGAAACTGTCTGAGCTCCTCCATCTTCTCCACTGAGCCGCCCGTTGTTCGAGCCCCTCCTTTTTTAGCCAGGGACCACTTGAGCTACTACTGCCCACTCTCCTCTTGCTGCTTGCTCTGTTCGCACCTGCAGACTCTTGAAGGTTCGACCTCTTTACCAGACAACACCGCCCCTTCATCTCTCTCTGTCTGTTCTGTTCTGTTCTGTTCTGTTCTGTTCTGGTCTCCTTTCTCTGGCGACCGCTACCAATCTGTTTGGGTTCAATCGCCCCTGCCCTGACTGCCAGCCCGTCGCCTCAAGAAGCTCGTTGAGCAGCCGCCGCCCCCCACCCCCTCCAAGACTAGGACACAGCGAGCGCGCTCTTTCACGTTGCCCGTGTTTCTGCAAACCCTCCTTGGACTCACAGATCGAGTCGGAGCAAGATGAGTTGTTAGTATTGCCGTGGCCCGCTCTGCTCTTTCCTCGTCCAAACCTCCTTCCCACCAATCGGTCTCACCCTCCTCCGCCCTGCCGTGAGCAGCTACTCCAAAGTTGCCCGCAGGCGATGCGCCGACCTGATAGCCCCTATCTCCAGCCTACTTCACCATGCACCATGCTGACCAGGACCCCTCGTGTATCAGTCTCCAACCTACTCAATCGGATGCATGGCCAACCTGAAAGCTACGACAAGAAGTATGTGTTCTGCCTCGGTAGGCGCGAGGCCAGCCTCTCTGACTATCTCTGCCAGATCAAAGTATCGTTTCGGCCGAACCCTTGGCGCAGGCACCTATGGCATCGTTCGAGAGGCCGACAGCCCATCTGGCAAGGTCGCTGTCAAGATCATCCTCAAGAAGAATGTGAAGGGCAACGAGAGGATGGTTTACGACGAGCTTGACATGCTGCAGCGCCTAAAGCACCCCAACATCGTCCGCTTCGTCGATTGGTTCGAGTCTAGAGTGAGCGCGATCAACCCACCCTGAACCGAGCCGGACAGGGCTTTCTGTGAATCCGGGCTGTAACTCACACATGCTGCAGGACAAATACTACATTGTCACGGAATTGGCGACCGGTGGTGAGCTCTTCGACCGCATTTGCGAGCAGGGCAAGTTTACGGAGAAGGATGCTGCTGCGACTATCAAGCAGGTTCTTGGCGCTGTCGATTACCTGCACAGCAAGAACGTCGTCCACAGGGGTGAGTCCGACGGGACCAGAATGCGTGCTTCGCTAAGGACGCTTACCTGACCGCATCACAGATCTCAAGCCCGAAAACCTGCTCTACCTGACCAAGGCGCTTGACTCCGATCTCGTACTCGCTGACTTCGGTATCGCCAAGATGCTCGACAGCAAGGACGAGGTCCTGACCACCATGGCAGGCTCGTTCGGATACGCAGCGCCCGAGGTCATGCTTAAGAAGGGACACGGCAAACCGGTCGACATGTGGTCCATGGGCGTCATCACCTACACGCTCCTGTGTGGTTACTCGCCGTTCCGCTCCGAGAACTTGCAGGACCTGATCGAAGAGTGCAGCAACGCGAAGGTGACGTTCCATGAGAGATACTGGAAGGACGTCAGTGAAGACGCCAAGCAGTTCATCATGGGCCTGCTGCAGCCCAAACCTGAAGACCGGTGGTCGTCCTCGCAGGCTCTCAACCACGTCTGGCTCACTGGTGATAATGCCACGGACCACAACTTGATTCCTGAAATCAAGGCCTACATGGCCAAGGCGCGCCTCCGGAGGGGTATCGAGATGGTCAAACTGGCCAATAGGATCGAGGCTTTGAAGATCCAGGAGGACGATACAGAAGACTCAGATATGCCCACCGAGGAGTTTGCAGCTGCCAAGATCTCGGACGCCAAGCCAGAGGCCGGTGCCTCTGCTACCAGCACAGCTGAAGGCAAGCGAAACCTCCAAAAGAAACTCAAGGGTGCCATCTTCCGCGAGGTGGTGCTCGCCAAGGTGCGCGAGATGAAGCAGCAGGAGCAGACATTGAAGGTGACGGAGGAGGTCGAGAAGGAGGCCAAGAGGCGCTCGTTCCACGAGTAGACGGGCGGCGAAGTTCAGGGTTTGGCGCACAGCAATTGGAAACAATACCATCAAGATCACTTGGGACATTACGAGGAGACTGTCAAGGCCGCTTTAGTTTTATACACTACTACTATGACACTACCACGCCTCCAAAAGATCGTGCAATGTGCCTCACCCACCCGTCTGATATACCAGTTGTTATGCTGCAGAGTATCCACCCGGAGGTCTCTTTTGGCAGGAGATTCCCCATGAGATTATTGTTACAAGATGTTATCCTATAGAAGGTTACAAGGCTAGCTTATGAGAGGTTATCCTATAGGGTGTCGTCTCATAAGTGGTTTTCCCACCATAGGTTGTTCCACAGGAGGTTAGAGTGAATAGACAAATGTCATGGCGGCGTCGCGGCCTAACCGAGCAGAGCCTATACTTGGATATTTGACTTTGTTGAAGAAGCAATGTTCTGCGGGGACGTAGACGCCCAGGGATATATTCATATAGATATATGTGTAGAGCTAAACGCAGCAGGCAGCGATGTGGCCTGTCTCCCGATCCCAATGTGCACCAAAAACACCTGTCCTATGCGTCCTTGTATGCAGATCCTCAAAATGATAAATGGTTGTCCTATATCCTTCCTCCGGTCCGCCCACCTATCCATCCCCAGTACCTCGGGGATTGTATCATATGCGCTCCATTTTTTTTACCCGTCGTCTGATGTCGTGATGATTATGGGAAGTGCGCAGAGGCGATTAACTTAAAATACCGAGCCTTGGGAGCTCACGGGAGCAGGTGAGATGTGTCGTCGAACTCCTCCTCTCCGCGCCGGGAGTTCGTATATAGTCCCCGGGTGCGCGCGGGCACGTAGGCAGGCAGGCAGGTGCGCCTTAGTTGGCGTTGAGCTCAGCCATGGCCGTTTCGCAGAGCAACTCGTAGCGGCTCGCGTCGAACCTCTTCCTCTTCCACCCGTTCATGCGCAGCTTGTCGATCCTCGCCATGCGGTCCAGCGAGCGCGCCTCCTCGTCGTCATCGACGGCCGTCGCGTCGTACAGCAGCGGCGACTGGAGGAGCTGGTTGTGCTGCAGCAACTGCTCGTCGGACTGAAGCAGCTGGTTGAGCGAGGCCATGTGGCTGTCTACCTGGGTCTTGAGAGAGGAGAGGGTCTCGCAGTAGCGGGACACGCTGCGGGCTGACTCGGTGTCAACGGCGCCGAATTGCCCGAAGGGGCAGGCGTCGGGCCCGAAGCCTTCCGAGGAGGGCGAGCTGGACGGGCTGGGCTCCTCGTCCTCACTGATGGACGGCATGGGCGGTGGGGATGACGCGGGGCTGACCTCGAGGGGTTCGAACTCGATGTCTTGCTCAGACCACCGCTTGCCCGCCGCCAAGGGTAGTTCGGGGAGGTCCTGTCGTGACGCCCCGGAGGCGAAGTATTCGTCGTCGAAGCCCAGTGTTGGTGAGTCCGGGCGGACAATGGGCTCGGGCAGCCGGAAAGACCACCGGTCCTTGTCCTTGGGCAGCTCGAATGAGACCTTCTTCTTGGGCCTCTCCCGGCCCCCCGAGCGTGGTTCTTGCTGCAGGCTCGACTTCCTGGAGTGGGTCCAGGTGGGCGCCATCAAGCAGGACTCTGGGGTCCACGCACGGGACGAGACTGAGCCTGATGGCGAGTGCAGGCTGGGTAATGACGAGGCGGCAGATGTCGACCGAGACTGGGCGACGGCGACTTCCTCTGCCTGCTTAATTAATGACTGCGCGGCACTGTAATGGCCGCGCGCCTGTTGGAGAAGGGTCGCCCTATAAGACGACCCGGGCTGCAATGGGCGGGCGCACATCTCGAGGGACGCAGCGGCATAAAAGTTGAGATAGATCAAGTAGGCCGGCTGCACCATTGACTGTTGGCGAGGTCAGCGTGGCTGTCGCAACAATATGGCAGTTTACTACATGGTGGAACTCACCAGGTCTTTGGTGTTTGTGAGGATCTCATTACACCTGGCCGAACATGCGCGATACCGGCGAGTAACGTAGCACTTCTTGATCTCTGCGATGGCCCTCTTCCACTCGGCCGAGGTGAAGGGCAGGACGGGCAGTGATGCGGGCACCTGCTGGGAGAGTCGCTTGGGTGTCCTGACGGGCGGGCGGGAGAGTTTGATCATGGGTGTGACGTCGCTGGCGTTGCGCTTGTGGGCCGGGGAGGTGGGCGAGATGGCGGCGCAAGGGATGGTATACTGGCCAGCGGGCTGGACGAGGCTCGCCCTCGAGGGACCGGGGCCGAAGCTCTCGGTCAGCTTGGGGCTGAGCATGAGCGGTATTAAACCCTTGGGCATGGTTATGTGATCGGGCGGGTGAGTGGCCTTGAGGTGGAGCACCACCGGGAGTATGTACGCGTGGATAAGGAAGGATATGTATGTGTGTGTGCCCGTATGTATAAGAAAAGAATAACAGGCGACAAGACGGCGGGGCTTATTCGTCGGGCGACGGCGTGGAGACGGAGCTGTTTTGCTGGTTGGATAAGGGCTGAAGAATGGGAACCCGAGAACTCGGGAACAAGCAGAGTTCCCCGGGCTGTCAATCTTGGAATTATGGTATTAGAGGGGGTGAGGCCGATCGGCTCAAGGATATATGCGTGTCTCAGAGTCCCAGACAAAACATTGACGCCGTGGGCATGAAGGTCGGGCCTCGGGATGCCGAAGAGTTGAGACACCCTCGCGTAGTCGGTGACGGGGCAGGCTTGTTAAGACCTGTGACGCAGGGCTCGCGAAGCTGTTGAAAAGAGCAGTTGTGCGCACATGTACACACTGCACTGCTGGACCGTCCGGGAGCCTCAGGATAAAAGTCGTGTAAGTGAGGTCAGTGAGAGGAGGGTGTTGCTGGGTTGGTCAAGTCAAGGTGGCAGGAGGTCGGAAATTGGAAATTGGAAATGAAGAAAAGGAAGGACTGGCAGGATGGCAGAGGATGGCAGGATGGGCTGGATGGCAGGATGGTGGGATTGATCAGTGAGTGAGTGACGCCGGGCTGACGGTACGAATAGGAGTGAGCACTGAGTGGTATAAGATGAGGACGCTGCAACATTGGCCTCGACTCAAATCTCCCTGGTCGTCGTCCCCTGCCGGTCATGAACGTTATTGCACGGATCTTATTTTGTTGCAACTGAAAGCGGAAACTGGTGTGGGCCACCGTTGCTCGAGCCCAGCCAGCCCAGCCAGCCCAGCCAAACGGAACACTCAATTGCTGTGGAGGCTTGCGGATCGTCGGTTGCTGCAGGGGTGGGGCGTGGTCGAGTCTGAACCTGCCTGCGCGTCTGCGTCTTGGGATGTGCGCCCCTTGCAGCCATCACCAGCCTCAAACGCCCACCACAGACAGACTAAGACGGAATGTGTGTTTAGGGTGACAAGGTGGCAACCCGGCCTCCCGTTTCCCCCGCCAGCTGGCAGATGGCAGCATGGCCCCAGCAAACCTGTGGGTGGCTCCCGCGATCGTGAAACCCTGACAGCCAGGCCACGCCAGGCTAACGGCTACGGCAAGCTGCACCAGCTTGACCAGCAGATGCAAGCAAGATAAGGTCTACTCCGTACTGTCTGCACCCAGCGCAGCACTGCTGCACCTGCGCTCAGATCCGTGACCCTCCCTCCCCTCCAACCCTCCCATCACCCAGTCACCGTACTGAACTGGTTTCTGGCCCGTAACAGCCCATGTCAGCTTGTCCCTGCTCGTCGCCATCGCCAGCCGTGGACCGATCGCCCTTGGTCTTGGATACACATCGCACGCAGATACCCGCAGATACACTTCTCACAGGGCTTATCGGGTCTGCGGGTTCATCTGGAATCGTCGCATTGAAAACTCTATCTGCCCTCCCGTCTTCTCATGATCTCATGTACCCATGTACCCATGTCCCACGGCCCTCGATCCACGCATCTTGAAACCACAAACCCGGGCCACCGAGCCATACAAGCATACCACGCCCCACACAGCACGCCCGCGCTTTGCGCACACGCTCTCTGGCCCTCAGGGCCCTCTGTACTAGTGTGCTCCTCCACCAACAGTGGAGGGGGGGGGAGTGGGAAGGCTCCAGAAGCACGCGAGACGCCAGGGCAACACCTGCCACGCCCATGCCCGTGGGGCGTCGTCCCTACTGTGCCAAATGAGCCCAGGCGAAAGCGACCAACTCCACCCCAAAAATGGAAGCACACACCAACAGACCAGGGCTGGCTGGCCTGAGCGCTGCTGCTGAGCTGGGTGGGCAGGTGGGCTCTGGTTTCTCCGCCCGCCGTTTTTTTTCTTCTCTTTTCTCCCTCGTTCACCTTGTCCCCCTCGCGTTAATCTCCGGACCTGCTTAGGCGAGCCTCTTCCGGTTCCTGCGTCAAATCGCTCAGAAATGACAGAAACGACAGAAAACGCCGGCGTGAAATAAGACAGCTGTCACAGTGGCACCCCGCCCACGCGCCTTGTCTCGCTGCTGGTCTGTGGGCGCGTCATGGGAACAGCTTTCCCAACCCTTCTATTGCCCGCATCATTGCCAATATGAAGGGAGATCTAAATATACTTTTCCCCCATGGAGTCTTCATTTCTCCACCGCCGACTCTCGTGGCATTCCCGGGATAGGGTCTGCCTCTGAGCAGCAGTGGCCTGTACACGTGTACTCCGTATATTGCAAATGTCGCATTCTACACGTGTATGTACATGCTCTGTTATATTATGTGACTTCGGACTACCACCTCGTATCTCGTCCCTCAAGGTCCCAAGGTCCAAGCCTCCCACACAGTAAACAAGCTCGATTGCGCAAGCCCGGTCGGCGCCGGGCACCCACAGGGCCACAGCCCAGCACGGGCGGGACGTGGAGCTGCTGTTGATTTTTTTTCCCACCACCCCTCGTCCTCGTCCCTCCTGCGGCGGAGTGCTGAACCACCACTCTGTTCTTCTAGGTTCCGGCCCCAGGCGGCTCCACATCCACACCGAGCCTGCGGGCGCAGGCTGTTTTTCGGATATTGCAGTACGTGTGGTGCCTTTCTTTTTTTGCGCTCTTCACCGACACTCGGCACATCTCACAAAAGAAAAAGCTGGCGACCGTAATCTATTCTATTCCGAGTCTGCACGGGTTACCAGAAATAACGCCTGCAGTCTCGGCTCATTGCCCCTTCGTCTAACTCGGCCGGTACCAGAAAGCCGGGTATGCCGATCATGGTTCGGTCTATGCAAGAGGGGGAGAGAAAGACACCTGCAGCCACAACTGCCTATCTGCACGTCAAAAATCAAGACGCTGACTCGGGCTTCGGGTCCACCGCCGCGGGCGGCTCAGCAGCGGCCGGATCCGGATTTGTAGTCGCAGGACCAGCATCCCCCGTGACGACTGATTCGCCCTTGATGCCGTCCACGACACGCAATCCTGACGCGGAGACCGTCATCTCCTCGAGCTTGCGGAGCTGCTCCAGCCGTCTGTGAACCTCGCTCACGAGGTTCGGGATGGCCACAAGGATGCCCTCTTTCTCCGGGTGGCCGTCGTCCAGTCCCATTTGCTTGAGCCTGTTGAGGTTGTGCGTGTTAGCTGTCATGATCCTGTAGGGTTTTATTGGATGGATGTGTGACGCACTTGACTTGGCCATTTGCCAGCTCTTCCTCGCCCAGGATTACTGCGAATGGGACGCCGTTGTTCTCGGCAGCCTTGAACTCTGTAACTTCGGTCAGTATGGGATCCTGGAAACGTCAGGCAAACCGCCGGGGGGGGGGGGGGGTCCACGCACGATTTTGCAGCTTCGGCTTGTTCTTGTACAGGAACTCTGCCTTGATACCGGCGGACCAGAGTTGGTTGCATATCCTCATGCGGTCCTTGACCATGCCGTCGAACCCTTTGCCGCCGAACGCCATTACGTAGACGTCCGTCTCATTGTTCCTGGGCTCCCTGCCCTGCTCTGCGGCCATGCGCGCTGCCTCGATGGAGAAGATGCGGTCCACGCCAAACGAGATGCCCACGCATGGGATCTGGCCCTTGCCCGAGAACATGCCGACCAGGTTGTCGTACCTGCCACCGGCAGCCACACTGCCGACGCCGAGTGTGGGGTCATCTGAGCGGTCGTCATCCTCCGACGCCTTGCCCTTCTTCTTGGGCTTGGACTTGGCGGTAGCTGCGCCGCTCCCTGCTGGGGCGGCCGGTGCTGAGCCCTCGGTGACAACTTCGTAGATGATGCCTGTGTAGTAGTCCAGCCCTCTTGCAAGGCTCAGATCAAAGGACACGGCCTTCGTGGCGTCAAAGCACTCCAGGTAGTCGAACAACAACTGCATGTCGGCCATGCCTTGCTTCATCGACTCGTTTGCCGACAGTGACTCGTCCTGCTGCAGCTTCTCCAGGAGGTCCTTGCCGCCCTTGAGCTGCACCCAGACTCCAATCTTGTCCGCGACCGCCTCGTCGAGTCCCTTCTCGTTGACCATCTCCTTCTTGACGTCCGCCCACGGCATCTTATCCAACTTGTCCACGGCAGACGAGATGGTCCGGATCTTGTCCTCGGGCACGCCGCACACCTGGAAGATGCCGTCGAGGATCTTGCGGTGGTTCGTCTTGATCGTGTACCTCCCGTCCCAGCCCAGGGCCTCGAAGACCTCGCTGACGATCTTGATGATCTCGGCGTCGGGCAGCATGGGGTCGTACGCGCCGGCAATGTCGAAGTCGCACTGGTAAAACTCCCTCATCCGACCCTTGGACACCGCCGGCTGGTCCCTCCTGTAGACCTTGGCGATGTGGTACCGCTTGATCTGCTGGATGTTCTTCTGCGCGACGAAGCGCGCGAACGGCACCGTCAGGTCGTAGCGCAGGGAGCACAGCTCTCCGCCCTGGTCCGCCAGGTCGTAGATCAGTTTCGAGTCCTCGCCATACTTGCCAGCCAGGATCTCCTTGAGCTCGAATACGGGTGTGTCGATCGTGACGCCGCCGTGGCGCTTGAAGACCTCGCGGACTAGACAGCGCACATGTCAGCCAGGACCCCTTTGAAAACAGCCATGTCTTCGCAAACAGCCCCCGGGGTTTCAATTGCCCATGTAAACTGGCAATTCCCGTCGACGGCGAGACCGGAGGCGGAGGCGCTTACTCGTGTCGAAGATCTGCTCCCGCAGAACCATGTGCTTGCCGTCCCAATCCCTCGTGCCCTTCGGCGTCTTGAGCTCGAAACCGCCCTTGGGAGCCATGACGTCCGAGTCAGTGTTGCGCCTCGTGATAGATGTGCTGAATTGCTTTGAAGCGCGGTAGACTGGGAGCGACGGCTTGAAGGATAACCTGACAGTCGCAGTTTGGAGTGGAGTCCGTGGTTGTGGTTGTGGTCTAACAGCCCTTGTCGCGTTCCTTAACGCGATGACACGCTTCATTCACGTGGTATGGATGACGATTTTCAGAGTACCTTGTCGGCCGTTTCCGTCGCTGGAACGAGGAAGTGGACACAGACTACAATGATAAGATGAGTGCTGCGAGAAAGAGGGAAAAAAATAGAGGGGTCGTCGGTCCGTGGTTGGAGGGGTTCACGGTGACTCAGGCGCAAAGTGGGCAACTGCATCTCGAGAGAAAATTCCCCGTTATTTTCACCACCTACGTCAGCCAATCTGCCAATCTGCACCGACAGGGGTATATGTGCGTGTGAGGTCTACTCGCCCGGGGACACATGTTGGAACCGACACTGGTCACGCATCACGATGGAAAACGGTTGGCAACTTGGAAGCAATTAAAATAATAGTAATGTGTTTCTTGTTGATCGGATGCCATGGCCGCATGAGAACTATCAGCGCGACTTACTCGCAGTCGCGAGTCTGAATTTTTTGGAAAAAAGAAGACAAAAAGAAAATCGCAGTCCGCATTCTGCCGATCCAACCTTGCCAGTGCACAGAGCCTTCCTCCCTTGCCATCAGAGCGGCGCGTAATTCGTCCTCTTTGCGGAAAGAATATTTGTGCCTGGGCTAGCATCCCTACTTTTGTGAAATGCGCCCCAATCCCCTAATCCATCCCTCCCAAGCTGGAATACACGCTATTGCACATGTTGAACGGCATTGTGGAGCCCGTCCAAATGAATTAGGGGCCGCGACGCATGCGTCCGCCTCGTCTCGTGGGTTTATGAGCGGAGCGTAGATCTAACGAATCGACCGAGGCCGAATCAAGTTGACAGACCAACACTTTCCTGGAGGAAACTGCTCACACATCCCACTCCTGCTCCTGCTCCTGCTCCTCAGCGAGATTGGCACCGTCGTCAGACAACGCAGCAAAAGACGACTGCGAAGGCAAGGCCTTGGCCTTAGGTCGGCCATTGACGTCGTTAGCCTTGGAGGCTGGCTTGGTTCCGGTAGTCGCTGTGTGGTTCTCTGCGGCAGACTCGTCGGTCTCGCTGACAGCATTCGTGCTCTTGGCCTTCTTCTTGCGGGACTTGGAGACAGGGACCCACTCCTCAGCTTCCTGCTCCAGCATCTTTAACTGCTCCTCCTCGGAATAAGGGATGTCTGCCCAACTCGTCTTAGCACCGTTCTGCTTGACACTCTCCTTCTTCTGAGCAGGTTCTGACGACGCGGCAACGCTGCCCTTCGGGGTGTTGTCGAACGTGTCCAGGGGCTGGGCAGGTGCAGGCTGAGCGGACTGGGCCGACTTGCCAGACTTCCCATTGACTTGGGTCCATGCGGAGGACTTGGGGCCAGCCATAAATGTCGATCCATCCTTGGCAGCCCTGCCCTCGGCTTCCCTGGCGCTGCGCCGCTGGGCCTCCAGCAAGGCTTTGCGCACCTTTTCATCCTCCTCGCGCTGTGCCTTGGCCCTCTCGGCCTTCTGCCGGTTCTGTCTCTGCTTCTTGGTCTCTGTCGGTTGTGGCGACTTGGCCTGCCTGGGCTTCTGCTGCTTCTCGGCAGTGTCGGTGAGACGCAGAACAGAGGGGCCGGAGCTGGGCTGCTCAAGCATGTCGGAGACGCCGGTGGGGTCGGCGGCAGAGACAACGGGAGATGCGGCAGAGGACTGGTCGTCGTCACCATCGATTCCAGCCGTGGAAGACGGGGCAGAAGGAGCCGATGCCTTGCCGTTGTCCGCAGGTGTGTCTTGGCCCAGGTCCTTAGCCTTTGACTGTTTGACCGACTTCTGCTTCTGCTCGTTGTTGGCCTTGGGCGCAAACTTGCTCTTCTTGTTCTGCACCATCTGCTTGGCAAACTCGCGGTTGCCAATGCCCTCGTCGGAGCTGTCATCCTTGGCAGTGGACGCTGTGGCTGCGGCATACGACCTGCTTTGTGGTTTGGGCTGAGGCTGTCTGGAAGACTCAGAAGCGAAGCTTTCCATCCGTTGTCTCTTGGCCTTGTTCTCCTTCTTGGGCTGGTCTCGAGAGTCTTGGGCGCGCTGCTTCTGGGAAGCTATCTTCTGCTGCTTTGCTCGGTTGGCATTTTTCGTGATGTATGTGACGGCTACAAGGGCAACAATAAGGGTGGCATAGCCACCAATTGTCTTGTTGTTGAGGATGGAAAGTATGTTGCCCATGATGACTGATTGAGCAGCGTTGGGATTCAGAGAAGCTGGAGGAGCTGGAGAGGGAGGTATTTGGCGATGAGAAGAGCACTCGAGGTCGCGGTCCGATAGGAGACGAGAGCTGTGGTGAATCTATCTGTGATGGGCCAGATCCAATCGAGGTGTACCTGGACAGGAGCGAAATGTAAGAAAGGTGAGATGTGTGGTCTGTGGGGAAATCCACCCAAGGTGTTTGTACTTGGGGCGATGGTGAGTGCTAGCTGAGCCATCGCCTGCAGTCAGGCCAGGTGGGAGTAACTTACCACTAGACTAAATGCTAATTGCCACTTGCTTGACCAGAAGGACACAGCATGCGACCGAGGTGCTTCTGAGAACTGGAGCCAGTGGGCCTCGGGGCGTGGAGGTGTGAGATCTGGATGTGATGAAGGGGCGAGCCGGTGAAATGGAGGATTCCAGTCTGGAGCCAGAAAGGAACTGTGGAGAGGTGCTCTGTGGTGGTGACAGCTCCTCTGCTTGTGTTGAACACTGGTACGATGCGACGAGTCCCTTTTGCAGCAGGGCTTAATTAACAGGTGGCATTTCAGAGTCGTGGCGGTAGTGGCAGTAGTCGCAGTAGTGGCAGCGGCACCCGGTACGGAGGTACCTACCCAGGAGTACCCCCAGGGAGTTCTCTGGGGGGAGGACCCACTACAGATGTACCCAGGTACCCAGGTGTATGAGGGGAGGGGAGGTGAGGCGCTGCCGTACTTTCCAGCCCGGCAGCCCGGGTTGCACGAGATTTGTCCTGCAGGGTGGCAAGTTGACATACAAAACCATGCAGGGTTTCAGTTTCCCTTCCTGAGCCCCTAATTGCTTGCTTATCAGGGTATACACTTGCTTCAACCTGAAGGAAACCATAGACTATCAGGTATGTGTAGCTGTGGCAGGGACAGTGTGCAGTCAGACACTACCTAAGTAGGTACCTACCTACCTAGGTACTTAGGGACCTCGGAACTTAGGAGCAGTGGGCATCCTTTCCCCTCCCATCCTTGAGAGACAAGTGTATTGTGCCGGACCAGCTGGAAGCCGAGACAACCAATCTATCACAAAGGCACTTGCTTCCGTCCACCTTGGCCCGGCCAAGCTGTCATCCATCAGCATGCTTCCAAGACCTCAGGACTCTGCTGTGAATCCCGGGCCACATGCCTTTTCTGGAAAGAATAAATTGACACAATCTGCTTGTGTCAGGCCAGACTAAAAGGCCATTTGATGAAGGTGGACAGCAGGATGAATGAAGCAGACACCTGCCCCATTCGTTAGGTGCAATGCAGACCAGCCGACTTGACCCACGCGCCTGGGCAGCCTACTCGACCACCAGGGGCATGACGTTAGTTGGACAGGCATTTGGACAGGCAAGGGCCGCCCCCTCGGCGACTTGTCCTTTATCGCTCACCTATCAGCTTGGTAACATTATCATTACCGCAAAGCCCCTCAGGACCGTCCTAAGCCTTTGGTGCAGAACTGCAGAACTAACCCCACCAGCTATCGTGGCTGGCTATATGGAGAAGTTGCATTGCTATACATGTAAACATCATACTGTCTTGTTATTGGGTTGCCCCTTTTATTGATCAGGAAGCCCTGAAGCTCCATATCCCCGGCTCTTGGTCCATATAGACAGACATCCGTACCACGGTGAGTACTCATCTCCAAGTTTCTCTCGACCTCTTCCACCGCATCGGGAATGCGGGCACGCGCAGGTGAGGCGCAGGTGAATGCACAGATACAAACACAGGCACAAGGCTAAGTCCACGTGAAATACCCGAGCCTCTGGCTGACCTGACCCAAAGGTCAATATTGCCTCTCGAGACAGCATGGCTCCCAAGAACCGCATCATCATCGACACCGACCCAGGCAAGCCATCAAATCCCCCGGCCCTCCTGTGCACCACACTCTGGCTGACGCTGTTTATAGGGGTGGACGATGTTCTTGCTCTATTGCTCGCTCTCACTGCCAGGCCTGAAGAGCTGGAGGTTGCCATGATCTCGGTGACTTACGGAAATGTGTCGTTGCAAAGGTCAGCCCATCCTTGTGTATCCTGGTGAGACAGGATAGATTGCGTGAACGAGGCCACGGAGCACTGACACGCCGTCAAACTGGCAGATGCCTGCGCAACGTTGTCGCACTGTTCCACGTGCTGGAGAAGGAGAACGCGTGGCGCAGATCGTCAGGCAAGCCCGAAGGATTTGCTGCATTGAAGACGGCCAAGCCGATTGTTGCGGTTGGCGCCGAGCACCCTCTGCAGGAGGATATCCTCAAGGCCGATGACTTTCACGGCGCTGATGGCTTGCACGGCGTTCATGAGGCTGTACGTCCCACCCCCTACCACGCAGCACGCTCCTCTGAGCTGAATCAAGATGTGGTTATAGCACCCGGATCTCAGCCCCGCAGATACTTGGAGGGCGGCTTTTGCTAGAGACGAAACCCCCGAGGCTGCAGGCGCTGCTGAACCCCTTGAATTTTCTCCCTATTTCACCCCCTCCAAGACACCAGCACACCAGGAGATGCTTCGCATCCTCAGGGAGAGTCCCGAAAACACCGTTACGATCGTTGCTGTCGGTCCCCTGACTAACGTGGCCCTGGCGGCAGCTGAGGATCCGCACACGTTCTTGCGCGTGAAGGAGCTGGTGGTCATGGGCGGTGCCGTAAACGTGGAAGGCAACATCACCCCCGTGGGCGAGTTCAACTGCTACGCTGACACATTCGCCGCCGCGAGGGTCTACGCCTTGACCTCCCCGAACCCGTCTTCTACCATGCCTCCCTTCATCGAGGGCAAGTCCACCCTAGGCCCATACCCGGAGAAGCTACCCAAGAGGCTCCTGCTCAGCCTCTTCCCGCTCGATATCACGACTCCACACCTACTCAACAAGAACTTCTTTGCGCAGACGATCAAGCCTTTCATCGACGCAGGCAGTCCCCTGGCTCGGTGGATCGCGACGTTCATGTTCGGCACGTTCAACAAGATCGATTCCATGGTCGGCGACGGCAGCGAGCCCGGGCTGTCCCTCCACGACCCGCTGACTATCTGGTATATGCTGACACGTGACGATCCTGCTTGGAAGGCGGTGCCAAAGCCCGAGGATATACGGATCGAGACAGTCGGGCAGTGGACCCTGGGGATGCACGTCATTGACCGCCGGACCAGGAGCAAGACCGATGAGCAGGACAGCATGGTCAAGAGCAACCCAGAAGACCCGTTGGATGCTGTGGAGTTTGACGATGTACCCAGCGACAATGGTGGCTGGCTGAGCCATAAGAAGGGAAACAGGATCAACCGTATTATTGAGTCACCTGGGGAAGATGCATTCGCTCCGTACCTGATGAAGCGTCTCTTTGGATAGATGCCACGAGACTGCGATGGAGCCTGGTAATCACATAGTTTAAGGCTCTGCATAACAAGCACACACTTCAGTATAGTTGCACCCTTGACGGCTGCAGAAGGGTAAGATGCGTACCAGGTATCGATAAAGATAAATTGAATACCGGAATGGAAAACCATCAACTCCTGAAACTCCACACGCCTGTAAATGCATCAGATTTTCTTAGGGGTGCCCTTTAGGCTCACCCGACGCCGGTGGAGGCTCTCAAATGGGCGATTCCTACCGCAGCACAGCCCGCGGTAAGAAATGCCCGCCTCACTGCAATCTAACCTTGGGTATCTCGTCCACGCAATAACCGGCGCCCCATCCATACAAATTCACCTTCATTCCAATCATGCCTTGCTGCGGACACGTCTAGTGACGCATGGTTCGGGCGGGACTGGGGGAATCTTCCCCTGCCGGCCGCTGTGACGGCCAGGGCGGAGAGCACCTATGAGTGCTTGATACCGCCAATCGCGTCACCCTTGACCGCCGTCCAGTCGATGGAGTTGTCAAGCTCCTCATCTACGACGCCAACCAGGCAGACGTTGTCGCCGCGGACTATGTAGAGCCCGAGGGGCACCTCCACCGACGGCTCGGGGTCCTCGGCCGGTCGGATCACGCGCTCAACGGCGTTCTGGAGGACCTGGGGGCGTCGCGTCAGATAACACCGTGGCAACGTCCCTCGCCTCAAGCTGGTTGAGGGAGCGGCAGTGTTCACAAACTTACGAGATTGGTCTGGTTGTCCGCGGAGACGAGGGTGCCGACCAGGGTGCGGCTATCAGCCGTGATAATTGTGACTTTCTCTGGAGGAGCAAGAACAAGTCAGCTCCTGCGCAAGGCTCAAGCCCAGCTGGGTTACCACCACGGGTGAGCTTACTGTCGAGGTACGCGGTGAGAGACATGATGTAGCTGTGGGGACTTTCTTTGCTTGGCTAGATGTGAACGAACGAACGAATGATTGGGTACACTCTATTACCGCTGGGGAAAAGGAGACTGGCAGCAAGCGGTGAGTCGGGATTGTCTGTGGACGGGTTTGAAGATGAGGTCGAGCCTTGAGGTCGAACCTGGGGAAAAAGCTCACTCCCCTGCAACAGCTTTATTAGGGAAGCTCGGACGCCTGGCGTTCGGGCCTGGCGGTCGGTCCCCACTTAAACGGGCACTCCAAATTGGCCCCCTGCACAGTTCGCTATTTCATGGATGAACAAGTTCAATTTCCTGTTTCCAATTCCTGCTTTACCAAGTCAACGTAACAAATCCTACAGACTAGGTTCAGATTTCCTCTTGAACCAACCCATAAGTAAGTCTACAAAGTAGCACGCCTCGAGCTCACAGAGATGGTCATTCTGTGCAAACCAGGCTGTAAATTCAGGACTGACGCATCTACCAGACAGCCCGTTGCTATGCGCGCAACCAGCAGACTTCTGCAACTGCCCTGCAGGATTACTCTTTTTACTAGGGAGAACTGTGGTTTATGTGTTTCAGCACGCTCCGTACTGGCTGATGTCTGGGACTCGAGGCCTTTTGTCTACAAGGAGGTCGACATTGTCAAGCCGGCAGCTCAGCAATGGAAAGACCTGTATGACTTTGACGTTCCCGTGGTACGTCACACGCTCGTTTCTATTCTTCACGGAACCAAAGAGCTCCTCACTCACGCCGGGGCAGATCCATATTAGCAAAGCTGGGTCCCCGGAGGAGGATCCCAGGCTTGCTCCAAAGGCTCTCAAGCTCATGCATCGCTTCACCCCCGAGCAGGTGAAGACCATGATGGACAAGGCTGAGGGCTCAACAAAATCATGATCAACAGTTGCACTCTTTCCAGAGTTGAACGGATGAGCGAGTTCGGCATGATGGAGACAGTATCGTTTGCGCCGGCTCTCCAGGGGTGGTTCTTGGTTCCCCATGCATGACAATATCGAAATGCCTTGAACATTATTCACGACCCGTACCCTTTCCCCCCCTCCGGGCCGGCAGCACCTTGGGCAGCAGCCATCGCTTGCTTCATTACAAACTCCAAGGTTGTCACATCGGTGCCAACATTGATCATATCGAATCCCATGGAACCGTACCTGGGGCCGGTCAGCTCTCAATCACCAACGGGGGAAAGAGTCGTAGGGATTTGCTTGCTTTCCCGCTTCCTCGCCGCTCGAGGCGTACATCCCGCACTTCTTGCCTGCGCTCTTGGCAGCCTTGAGGATCCTTGAGATGGCATCCTTGAGTTCGGGTTTCACGTCGCCGTTGATGATAGGGTGCCCTATGTTGTTGCCCAGATCGAAGGGGCCAATGAACAAAACATCAACCAGGGGCGCGATCTCCTCCACTGCGGCCAGGGCTTCCTTGGTCTCAATCTGTACCATTGTGAGGATGGAGTCATTGGCCTGCTGGAGGTACTCGGTGAATGACGGCATCGGGCTGAAGTTTTGCATGGCCAGAGGGGAGCCAAACCCGCGGCGGCCTTGGGGTGGGAACTTTGCAGCCGCCACGACTTGCTTGACCTCATCCACAGTCCGGAGGAGCGGCACCAGGATGCCGTGTGCGCCGCTGTCCAGTGCCCTTTTGATCATCCATGACTGAAAGTCCGGGATGCGCACGATGGGCGAAACGCCACAAGCGGCAATCGCTGGCACGGCTTCGTGCATTGCAGCGTCGTCTATGTTGCCGTGTTCACAGTCAACCATGATCCAGTCAGGATTTGCCCTTGCAAGTGCCCTGGACACATTGGAACCTGGGAACATTTGCTGTATACATTGTCAGTATAATCCCGGCATCCTTCAATGTTGATCTGGTGTACAGGTCGCCGGCTACATTGCAGGTGGCGATGGAGAGATTGGCGTGCTAGGGTACCATCCGGGACATGACCGTGCCAGGGAAAGCATTACCCATATTCCGTAACTGGGTCCTTTGTTCTCGTCGAAGGCTGTCCGCAGCCGATTGGACTTCTGCATCGACGTCGTAGCCGCCATGGTGGAGGTATTGCGGAGTTGTGGTGTTGGCCTGGTCGCCGATAGTGGTGACAACTTGTGGAGATATGTGTGACAAGCACGCACTTGAAGACGTAGAACACGCTGGGTGCTATAAAGGCGGATTGGGTTCATGATCATGGGGGAGGGACAAGCAGAGAGAGGGGGGGATAGTCGTCGGCCTGTCTATCCGATCTAAAGAGGGAGCATCTGCCAGGGCTGGTCGACTACGTAGTGTACTGGGGAGAAGCTATGGTCGAGCACCTCCGATTTGCGCGCCGCTTGGCTATGGGCATGGTCCCAACGGTGGTAGGTACTACGAAGTGGGATTTCCCAGAAACCACCTGCAGTCACAATGTACTGTGTATGGCACTTCCAAACAGCAGTGTCAATCAATGCCGCTGCGTCAAACCGGAGCCGCGGGGGTGCGGGGTCTCCCCACGTTCGGTGACAGTGGGTGCAGAGCGGGAGGAAACCCTCTCCCACTTTGCTCCACCAGTTCACAGGACTGGAGCAGCCAACATCTTGGCCCTGACAGCCTAATGATAAGACCACCCATCCCCTTCATCCGGAAGGGGCGGTCCTCGTTTGCCGGGCCAGAGATACATGCACCTGGGCCGCATGCCAACATGAGCCACCAAAAGCTTATCCACACGAAAGATGTCTCCAAGAAGCACCAAACTATCGGTACTGACCTGTGTCATTTTGGACCCGGACCGCCTCACCGATAAGCAAGGGTGACTCTCCTCCGTCAATGGCCACCGAGAGAAGCGCCGTGGGGTCCACCCAGTCCGGGACAGAATTTGCGGCGTTGGTACGATGGGAGCGTTGGCTGTCTGCCTCTTGGGCTGCCTACTTAGTACTTATATCGTCGAGGTAGAGAACTGACCAGATGGGGCTTGTTGTCGTGGTGAAAAGCGACGAGACTGTGTGAGAAACACTGACTTGTGCTCTAAGCGTCTCGACGAGCCATCAGGCCATTTGTTAGCAGTCTTTCATTTCCACTGGCAGGATGCAAATCTTCAAGCCATGGCCACTCTATGTGAGGGCCAGCTTCATCACCTCCTTCATCGCAATGCTCTTTGGGTAAGCCACGCCGACTAGAAACAGGAAATACATGAGTCGGCTGTGAGCTAACCGAGAACCAGCCTCGACACTGGTACTATTGGGTCAGTAACGACCATGCCGGCCTTTGAGGTCACCATGGGTCCTATCTCGTCCACGATCCGTGGCGTCATTGTCTCCTCTATACTGCTACCCGGCGCCCTGGCGGCCCTCGTCGCCGGCATCCTCGCGGACAGGTACGGCAGGAAGCCGCTCGTCATCCTTGGTGCTGTCACCTATGGCATTGGCGCTGCTATCGAGTGTGGCTCCGTTGCACTGGCCATGTTCATAGTCGGAAGGCTCGTCAAGGGCGTTGGCCAGGGCTTGTTCCTGAGCACAGTGTACGTCCAGGTCTCCGAAATCAGTCCGGCCAGGACACGCGGCACCATGACTGCTCTCCCACAATTCCTGATAGTCTGCGGGCTCGTGACCGGCTTCTTCATGTCTTACGGGACAGCCAGCATCAAGGACTCGTCCGCGTCATGGCGGCTGCCGCTCGGGGTCGCCAGCTTCCTGGCTTTTGCCTTCGCGACGCTAAATATCTTCACGCCCGCTTCGCCACGCTGGCTGCTGGCCAAGGGCCGTGTCACAGAGGCACAGGCCATCATTGCCACCCTAGGCCTGGACGAAGCTGAGCAGCAGGAGCTCTTGGCGGTGTCATCCTCCGCCCTCGAGCACTCCCCTGATGAGTCTTTCTGGCAGTCACTGGTCCACCTGTTCAAGGACTTCGGCGAGGCCTTCTCGGCGCCCTTCCGGGCCAGGACGGCGTTTGGGTGTTTTATCATGGCCTTCCAGCAATTCAGTGGGATCGACGGCATATTGTATTATGCGCCGATCCTATTCCACCAGGCGGGGCTCTCCGGCGAGAAGGCAAACTTCCTCGCCTCTGGCGTGTCCTCGCTCGTCATCCTGGCCACCACAGTCCCGGCCTCCATATGGGCCGACGGCTGGGGCCGGCGGACATCGAGTATCATCGGTGGGGTGTTGATCACCATCCTCATGGTGTTGATGGGCACCATGTATGCAACAAATCTGGTCCATGGGAGCTATGGCGCGGGGAGATGGGTCGTAATTGTGTCCATATACCTGTTCGCAATCGTGTACAACGGCACGTGGGCCCTTAGTTTCCGCACCTTTCTGGTAGAGATCATGCCCAGGAAAACGAGGAGTAGCGCGTCCTCACTAGGACAGTGCTCCAACTGGGTAAGTGTCGTCTCCAACCGCAAAGGACGTAACATCACTTGCTGACTTGGACTCAGGTTGCAAACTACATTGTCGCTCTGACTACTCCTGTTATGATTGACAAATCGTCGTTCGCTGCCTATTACTTCTTCGCAGGCTGTACATTGATCTGTACGGTTGTGTGCGCGCTGTACATGGTTGAGACTAAAGGCCACACTCTTGAGGTCATCGAGCAGAGGTATATGGATGAGAAGGCAAATTCTACTGGGCGGTGGACATTCGAAGGCTTCAAGCTGAAGCCTGCCCCAAAGGTTACAACTACGACGTGCCAAAGCGTAAGCAGGCCAGGATCTGTAGAAGGCCAGCCTTAATTTCAAGATGGCGTGAAACTGGTCATTTGTGCCTGTGTATGTGTTCTATTTATATGTTACACGGGCGTTGTCGACCCTGGGCATCATCTGTACTACTTGTACCTAGGTACCTAGGTAGTATTGTCATTACATAGCTATACTATACCCACCCAGCTACCAGCATTACCCTCATCTTGAAGAGGTCAGAACCGTTCGGATGGAAAGCAGGGCTTTTGTCGCTTGCTGTCATCCAATTGACTTGCACGATGCACATCCAATCATCCACGCCGGACATATCTCGGTGTTGTACACATGGCGCGAAACGAAACGAAAGGAGGCCTGTCTCGTTGGTCATCCTTTGGCTCAGCCAGCCCGTTCGAACCTTGCCGTTGTTTGACGCTTCTGCAAATTTGGTTTGGACTAATTTGGAAAGCTCCGCTGTCAAGGGCTGACCGATTATGCAGATTCACTGATCGTGCTGACCTCGTAGGTACAAACCTGAGGGCTCATCTGGTTCCAGTGCGCAATGAGCTGTTATTGACACCTGATTTATGAACTTCTGCAATCACCTTGGCCAGGTAGATGGCCTCGGGAGCACACAATATGTCCAGAGAATATAACCCGTGGGGGACTTCCGTATGTAAGTCTGAGACGGAGTGCCACGTGCGATCGGATATGCATAGCCCACCACGGCAGGAACTGCTTAGCAACTGTCGGCGAGACTCGGCCGAAATGGCGGACATTGCCCGTGCAAATGGGCACAAATGACCCAGGAATCTTGACCGCTCGCTTGGCCGGACGTCTAGGAAACCTAGGCGCGTCCATCATCGTACCATTCTTCGGACAACGATCCCTGCATACAGCCAGCCCTACCGGCTCGGCCCGCCGCAGACTCATTGGGACGTCACCGAGCTACACTAGAGCCACTATATTAAACTTGCACTTGCAGACCGTATCAAATACCAGACTGCTTGCTTCCATCATTATCTGCTCACTTGTTGAATACTGACGGTCTCATATACATAATGTTCATCCAAAGCGATGTGGCGTGACTGCGTCCCGCGGCAGCAATCATGCGACACAGCATATGCAACTTTTGTCCATTAAAATAAAACAATTGGGCTACACAGAATTCGACATTGCAGGAATTCTTGGTAGGCGGAACTGAGAGAATAAACATGATCATCACGATGCCCTCTTTTCACGGATATTGAGCCGTATTCGGTTCACCGACCGTTTCCCCACGTACATGCTACAGCAAAAAATCGCTATCAAAACCTTATTCATTCTCACATATCCAAGAGTCTTGAGCACTATATGATTGACAGTGGAGCCCAGCGGCCTTTGTAAAAATCATCCGATCAATATTGTTTATCGGCTGGTGGACATGATATCCGGCCCAGAGAGTGTGGAATTGTCCGTAGGAATGGGAGCAGAAGCCCACACATCTGGGGGGTTCTCATGGGTAGCCAGCCCAGCTACCTCGTCAACCTTGCCCAAGCTGTATTTAGCCACTCACGCATCAAGAAACAATGTTGGGATGGTGGCAAGCAGTACTTGGGGTACCAAGACTGACTGAACTAAAGAAAGAGGCACCAAGCCATTCTGAAGTCCCAATATCTAAAGCCTACTCTCATACAATACACAAGGCAAAGGCTGGTATGCGGTCCTTTGCGCAACTGGATTAGACGTAAATAGCCATGTGTTCATGAGTTTTAGAATCATAATTGAATTCAAGTCGGAACATGACGGCTAGCAGATAACAAACAACAAATCCGTCATGGCTGTGCAGCTCATCACCCTGGATAGTGAGGTAGACCCTAACCCTCCAATTCGGCGGTCGCAATTCGTCTCACCCCAGGCGGAGCTGCAGTGGGGTTGGGGACGTTGGACCGCCCCGCCATGGACACAACTGACCCCACGCTGGGGAGCTCCTAGAATCTTCTGGCTCCAGAGAAGGTGCTCTAGTCAGGGTCTTACTTTTTGAGCGCGACGTCACATCACAAAACACTTGGGCGACAACGGCGAAACGGCCAGCTCTTCTCTCTCTAACCTTGGGCCGCGGTTCAACTCCATACCCTCGAACTGAAAACGCTCGATCCAGAAGACGGCTTCAATCCACCGACATGGCTCAAAAATGCGTCCATCAGGGGTGTGGCAAGACATACACAGACGCTGAAGAGGTCTGCCGGTACCATCCAGGCCCACCCATATTTCATGAGGGCCAGAAAGGTTCGCACTTCCTGTTCCCTGTCCCTGTTTACTCCATGGGCTCACTCCAGGGGCGAGGAAAGGAGAGTGCAGCTGACTTTGTGTCATCTAGGTTGGAAATGCTGCAAGCCCCGCGTCCTGACCTTCGAGGAGTTCATGGAGATCGAGCCATGCACTCAAGGAAAGCACAGCACGACCGACATACCACCGCAGATCGAGAAGAAAGAAGCGGACCCGGAGCTTGTGAAGGAGGTCACCAACGAAACCACAGCCTCGCCGGGGCCCGCCCTCCCCCGTGCACCCATCAATGCCCCCACGCCCACCCAGACGCCGCCTCCCCCTCCCCCCGAATCAGATGACGACGACGCCTCCCTCGAGATCCCTGATGGCCGCACGTGTCGGCGGCGGGCTTGTGGAAGTGTCTACAAGAAAGGGGCGGAGCGGAACGACAAGGAGAACTGCGTGCACCACCCAGGCATTCCCATCTTCCACGAGGGAAGCAAGGGGTACAGCTGCTGCAAGAGGAGGGTGCTCGAGTTTGACGAGTTCATGAAGATCGAGGGCTGCCAGACCAAACCCCGGCACTTATTCATCGGCAGCGGAAACAAGGAGAAGGGCAAAGACACCGGCGCGGAAGAACTGCTCGAGACAGTAAGGTGAGTGCCAACGGTTACAGTCCTTACGCTTTGCTGGCAACCATATCCTGGAACACATGACAAGGCCGAGAGTTACCTGGTGGACGATCACATCACGAATGCTGCACCCTCCGTTGCGTCACGGACTTCCCAAGTCACGCGCTATTATGCCCACGCCCATGACCCATGCCCATGTTGACCTCTCGAAACACTCTCACACGGATGCCACGCGTGAGACACACATGCTGACCGCTATTTACAGGACGGACTTTTACCAGACGCCAAGCAGTGTAATCGCGTCCTTCTTCCTGAAGAAGATCGATAAGAACACCGCCAAGGTCGTCTTCACGCAGTCTTCCATCCAGCTCGACCTGCCCACCAGCGATTCTCCTCCGAAGAGGTACAGGACCGAGGTCCCTCTGTTTGGCAGCATCGATCCAGAAAAGACCACGTATAAGATCTTGGGCACTAAGCTCGAGGTGACACTAGCCAAGGCGGAAGTCAGCTCTTGGCCTGTCCTAAGAGCCGATGATCGCCTAACGGGAGAGATCCTCCAGGTGGGCCGAGCCGGAAAGGTGCAGTAGGTAGGTGCTGGCCTCTCTCGATAGGCAGTGAGCCTGTCCGTCGTTGTCCTGGCCGGACACACATCTCATCGCGATGAAACTGCGACATGGAGACGGGAGGATCGATGATGTCTCTGTCTGAAGGGACCGGGAAACTGGGGTCTTTACCGATGACACAAGGTTCAGATCTGACTACCGAGCCTTGGGATAGCCCAAGTCTTTTGTGTCCACCAAGGCACATGCTGGCCGTGCTTCTGTCCATTGGGCTGGCCGTACGCGCCGTGCAATATAGGAGATACAATCCAGTGGATCTGTCTGATATAGGTGCCACTCTCCAGCCTCACGGCTTGTGATTGGAGATGTCGCAGATAGGAGTCCTGCGGGCGACTGTCGATCAGGCGTTCTAGGGCCCTTGGCGAGATAGACCTGACGTCTGTTTCTGACCCGGCTCAATGTTTCTCAAGTGAGCTTGTGTACGGACGTATCTAACAGTCCGGAGCGAATCAGAAAAGAGCAGACGAAGAAACACCGGAATGAAGCCAAGCAAGGCTGCGTCCGGAAAGACCTGGGCTGTGCTGCCGTGAAATACCTGTATTGATCCGTGGGCCATGTTCGGTGTCCGATCCCCAGAGCCCAGAACCACCTGCCCTCCAAAAGGTCTCAGTTGCCACACCACATGAATGACTGACAGGCGGCCTGTCCATGCCACTACGCCCTGATGGCTGACGTCGTGAACCCAGCACGAGAGCGCCTGTCCCCATTGGCCAGCATTGAGAAACAAAAGATCCGGTCGAAACTACTGCGTCGCGACCGACTCAAGCCGTCCCGCTTGGCGGAAGGGTGGACCACAGGCAGGCGGCTGGGCGGAGAGGGACATTGCGGATATGCTAACAATTATGCTTCGGGCCAAGGCCGCTCTCCCTTTGTATTCCCGTGTGGCTTGCCTGGAGGGCCGCGTTGTGGGCCCGATTCAATGACAGAGTTGTGAAGCACCACGGGAGCTAAGCCCGGCACCCAGCAGATAAGATTTACTGTCCGCCGCGAGGAAGCGAGTCAGGAGCAACCCGGGCTATGTTCTCACGGCGATCGATTGCTTCCCCAAGACGGCAGACACCTCTGCCGAGAATAGGCAGTCGGAGCTTGTTTTTTTTTTGGGCGGGGGGTCTCGCTCACGACACGACTTGGGTAATTTGCAGGGGGGCAGGGGACAGCAGGGCCGTGGTGGAGTCCATGCAGACTCCGTACGCAGACTTCCACGACAAGAGTTGTTGAGTTGTCCTCTCCTACCATGTCAGGACAAAACATAAAACACAACGCACAACACACAACACACAACACAAGCACGCAAAACGTGGCCGTCCGTTCTCTCGCTCGCGGGATTGCATGTGAAAGGGCTAGCTCTATGGCCAAGGGCGGTTATATGGTTCCCGGATAATCAGAGGAGGAACCCTGGTGACGGAGCAGCGGCGCCAGCGTGACAAGCCGCTTGGGCGGTCCTTCGGACGACCAGGGTCGCAACGGCTTGCTGTAACAATCGCACACCAGATGACAAGAGTGGGTCACGTAGCAGGAATGTCTGCGAACGGATATACCCAAAAGGAAGACTGCGTCGAAGTTTCAGATGTTTCCTTACAAATCACCACATGGGCCAGGGTTCGCTGTACATCTGGTACCGTGTGAGACTCGCCGCAATGGTGAGAGCGGCCTCCTTGCTTTAAACTTTCTATCTGCTTGAGAGTGGCTACGCAATCCAAAGTCATTCTGATTCTGGCCCACAATCGAAACCCCGGTTTAGTATGAACCTTCTAAAGTGCCCCCGAAGAAAATCTTTGCGGTGGTAGGACGCCCGCTTTCCAAAAATGTCAAGGTGACAAGGTTAAGGTGTAGAAATTAGAAAGGGAGAAAAAAGGCCCGAAATGCCAATGGGAAATGCTGCAAATCTTCCTGCCCAACTGGCCCACTCAGTAAGCTCATCATCGTCATCATTGGCGAGTCATCATCGTAGCGGTCATTATTGCCTCCAGCCAGCGCTCCGCGAAAGGTGCTTGCGCGCCCGTACCTGGTAGCGATCTCGTGGTTTGGGCGCTCGATGACCCAGAGTGCAGGCCTCGGGGGCGCCCGGGGGGTTGGCTCCTGATGCCCCAAGAAGGTTTGACCGCGCCACAGCTTCAGCTGGCGTTTTGGTCAGGGGATAATGTCGCTCTTCAATTCCCCGGCTTCTCATCAGCGATATCCCCTTTCTCCAGGTCAACAAAGGCGGAAGAGCCCTCTCTGTCTTTACCCTTGTAGGGGCCACGGGTCATGGATCGACCCCGGGTCATGCTGTCTTTTCTGCGCATGTCGCCGTCTCTTGACGCTGAGTACCTAACTGGCTCATCCCAAGTGATGGAGCTGCTGCCTTGAGCTCGTGACATGAACTCTTGACGGACGCTTGATGACAGCCTGATGATCACGTCGCCATCCTTCGTGTAGCCGATGACTTTGGCGTTGAAGTCATCGCTACAATCTCCGCACACCGTTGGGCTGTCTCCGTCGGTCGACCCAGCCTTGGAATCGGTGCTGTCACCCCTGACAGTAGGACTGTCGTGGAAAATGGTCAGCAAGGCTACTTGAAATCCAGTGATAGCAGCGGTTAGGAAGTTCACTTACACTTCACTGAGAGCTTCGGTACGCCCTCGTTCTGTTGGGTTGCGACTACGGCTTCGGCCTCTGATACTCCGGGCCGCTCGTGATCGCTTGAGTTTGCCCTGAAAGTAATGGCCTAAGCCCGCAACTACCAGCACTGGCGTTCCAAGTGCGAGAGCCCAGGGCGGGTGCTTCTTTCCGGTGACCATGTGGCGGACATGAAGACAGATACCCCAGACGGCTATGATGCCTCCGACCTGGATCATTGTCCACAACGACCAGTAGAGACTGATGAGGGGCTCTCCGTCGCAAAATTGTAGTGTATTGATGACAAAAGCCTCAAGGACCACTATAATCATCCCGATGACACCAGTGAGAAAGCAGTACCAGAATAACCACCTCAGGCGCCGTTGTCGCTCGCGACTTTCCACACTCAGGTGTTCGATACGCTCCATCACCCGGCCGTACTTCCACGAGGCGGCGAAAAGGGCGGCCAGGACGAGGAAGAAGAATGTCCAATAGAGGCCTTCGGCCTCTTGCCGCTTCAGAGTGTGCATGAATCTTCCATAGTAGTGGCAGTTCTCCTCGGTGGGCGTGGTGACCGGCATCCTTGCGATGACTGCCGGGGTCAGACCCGGGTTTTACACGTGAGACCTGGATGCGGCCGTATTGCTGGGTCGAGGCTAGAAGCGCCTGTCCGGCCTCTAGGAATAATAGGTAACAGGGGAAAATTTATAGGCTCGTCAGTGAGGTGAGACAGTACGTAGGTGGCACAGGTGGAATGTGTGATGTGAGGATGGTGAAGGATTCGACTTAGATTTCTGCGTTGGGGGCGTAGGATAGATAGACAAAATGAGCAAATAATAAGGTGTAGATCAAGGACGGACTGTCCATACTTAATACATTCAAATGAGTAGGTATTTTTACCAAAGTGGTACAAGGTACAAGATGTGAGACCTGGGGGACAGGGGTGTGAGCGCAGGAAGGAGGAGAGGCTGGCTTCCCTGTCATACTGAAGTGACACTAGTTCAGAGAAACCGATGTCGAGACAAGTCTGGTCGAACCCACCCGATGGACTACATTCGGGCCAAGAACAACTCAGAGAAAGAAGCATGTGTATGCCCAGACCACACAGACATGTGAGATTACCGAGTGCCAGGGAGACATAAACACGCACAGTGTCCATTGTATGGGGTCCCCAATACCCCACGCCCCATGCCCCAGCATTTAATTCTGCCGGTTTCCGACGATGCATGAGAATCTCCTGTCGGGTTTTCAAAAATGGGTATTTTTGTAACCCGACGCCTGGTGGGACATGGCGGTGTTAACCCGGTTCGACGTAAAGTGCCATTGCGGAGAGATTTTCTTTGTCCCAATCTGGCCAGACCATCTCAAGAACGAGAGGCTGGCGCCAAGGGTCATCGGCTGCATCTGTGTCACTTCTCGAGGTAGGACGGCAGGACACGTCGCGCGCGATATGTGACTGGCGGGACACGTTGATTGGCATGGTGTCTCCTCAGCTCATACCTTCCATCAACTCGACCTTATCCAAGACCATGCCCTTACAAAGGATAAATTCGCGCAACGCTTGGAAGTCGGCACCTTCCTCTTCACCAAAGCGATGAGCCTGCGAGAAGCCGAAGGAGCATGCCACCTTGTCCAGGGCGGCCCTCTCCTCTTCATGAATCCACCGTTCCCTAAGGGGAATCCCTGGGGCCCATGTCACGCGTTTCATGTGATCGTTCTGCGTGATAACGGACACGGCGCCCATCCAGCCGGTAAACCCAACGTAGGCCAAGATACCAGCCGTAGCCACGGCGGTTGCGGTCTTCTGGTCGAAGGAACTCTGTAGATGAGACAGGTTGGACGCCAGCAGATAGACAGCGATGGGGGTCGCGACTACGGCCGAGGCAGGGAGCAGCGCTTTCTTGAGAAGCTTCGCCCGGATAAATGCCTTTGTTGCGTAGCTATTTTCGATGATACCGATGGCAGCATCAAGGTTCTTTGCCTCGATAGCAGCGTTCAGCGCCTTGTCAACGAGGTCGGGATCGACAGCATTGGCTGCCCTATCGGGGTTTTGGTTGAGATACTGCAACGGACCACGGCTTCGTCGAGGTTTCGGTTTCGAGGCGTACAGACCCAGCACGTGCGGGAGGGTTTCTACCTTGCCAAGTCGGGCTTGAGTATCCAGATAGACGTCCAAGACCTGGGATGTAATGACGACGTCCGGGTGAGAGACAATGACAAAGGCGGCTTCGGATATACGGTCCGGCAGGTCGCTAGGCCGAGGGTGCTCTAGGGCGACGGTGGTGTCCACGGACTGCGTCAGCTCTGGACTAGGTCCGTCCATAGATAGCAACGACGACGCTGCGGTGTCTGACTCGGCAGACTCCCCGAGGTGAAGAGGACTGGCTGGCCCGGCGTGGATCAGGCTGGCAGCTTTGGCGCACTTGCGTAATGCGGCGACAACCTCGTCCTCTGGCGGGATGGTGCCACGGGACAAGAGCTGGTCGACGGCGTGCTCGACGACGACAACGACGTCCTCGATGGCCACACTCCCTTGCCTGGAAGAAGCTTTCGCGGTGGAGGGTCCCGCCTGGGCCTCATCCGGGGGGGAATGCTTCGAAGGCTTGGGCGGGCCAAAGCGGTAAGACCTCGAGGTTGGCAAGATTGGCTTTGGCCACAACAAGGCAGCGTTGGGCATCCCTTGGAGAGGCCTGACTCTTTGTGGGCATGCGCCAAGTGTTGCAAACGGGGCCTTGGCAAGCTGTGAACCAAGCGACGAGGGCGCGGGAGCCGTGCTGGAGGTGCAGATCTGATAGATCCGACGAGGGTAGGGACAGCTTGGCCGCTGGGCAAACGGGCGGTGCATCGTGAATGTCCAGGGACGTTCCACGCTAGATCTGGAAATGTTTTAAGGTTGCGGTAGATATCGGTAGTTGGCTGGCGGAAGGCCAGGGACGGACCGGACGGACGCCCTGGGGTGGGGGGACGAGGGGGATGGGGGATGGGGGATGGGGGAAGGGGACGAAGCGCGGAAGGGGGCAGGCTGGCAGGGTGGTGAAGGAGGAATGGTGAAAAGATGAGATTAGCGACGTGCGACGGCGGCTGGGGGGTGCGCGGTAGGTGATGCGAAAATAGACGGCGGCGGGAAATGTTTTGGGCCCCGTTGTGAGGCGCGCGCAGAGTGTGTTCCAAGACTGACGGGCTGGCTGGGCGTCCAGGGCTGCTGGGTTGTCGCTTGTCGCTGGTGTTCGCGCCAACTGATGAGAATCGACGGCGGCATTGGATTGCAGCCCCCCTGTCTGCAGATCTTCGGCCGCGTCGGTAGTGGCCCACGAATCAGAACCAAGCGTTTCAGCAGGGTCTCTTGAGCCTCTTGTTCCCGGCGCCCTGGAGCACAGTCGTCCTTGACCGAGCAACAAGCTCAGTGGGCCCCAGTTGGCCCCCGCGGGGTCTTTCTGGGCGAAACAGGCCGTCGTAGCACCAGTACCACAGACAGTCGGAATTCGGAACCCAAGGGCATTAACCACTGACAAGGGACAAAAATAAAGATATATTGCAGATTGAGGAGAAGATGGCCCAGGCCTCTTCCGACATGTCAACTCACACGAGCAGCCTGGTGCGGTGGTGACGGTGACTGTGTGTAGGGAGGGGGGCAGGAAGAGGGGATTGGGGGAATACGCGCGACCATATAGTCTACCTAGGTACCTAGGTACTTGGCGCATCTTGTTCTCGCTCCTAACCCTGATCTGGGCAGAACAGACCCCCACCCCACTTGACCCCCCCACCTCATTCTAACCCTAACCCTTCTGAGGAGCGGGAGGGAGGCACAGCACATGCCCGCATACCTGCCCCCCTGCTTGCCCAGGCCGTTGTGTGACGACACCTGGACCACTTCCCAACATCCTACTCCGTACTTGACTCCAATCAGTTACTGGCAACCTCAGCCTGGTCCGCAAGTTTAGGCATCAAACTGCATCACCCTCAAGCCATCTTAGCCTCCACCTTTGACTTGTCGTCAGCATTTCCACAAACGCCTCTCTTGTATTGCCAACGCCGAGCCGAAGTCCGAGTCCAACCAACCGTCTAGCCATTAACGTGTCTCGCCGCTTATCCCGACCCGACGTCCAACTGTCCTTGGTGTTTCGCTGCTACTCGATCTGTCGCCCTCTGAGTCGACCTCGTTTCGTTTCGACTGCAGGGGCACCTAGCTACCATGCCTCCTCCCCCTCCTCCCCCTCCCCCGCCCCCTCCAGGTGGTGGAGGCCCTCCTCCGCCTCCGCCTCCTCCTGGAGCCCTCCCGGCACGGCCGCCAGCTGGCGGAGCGGGAAGAGTATGTTGATTCACAGCCTCGTGACCACCCGCACCGTGATGCTGACGCAAATTCAAGGGCGCCCTCCTTTCAGATATATCCAAGGGAAAGGCGCTGAAGAAGACCGTTACCAACGATCGATCCGCGCCACTTGTCGGCAAAGTGTCCGGCGGGCCCGGCCCATCGCCGCTGGGAGGTGCTCCGCCTGTGCCGGGGCTGCCGAAAGCCCCCGGGGGCCTCGCTCCACCCGTGCCCGGTAACAGGGCGAGGAGCAACAGCGATCAAGGCAGTCGAGATGCGCCGCCCGCGCCGGCCATGGACGCTGCCCCACAACTGGCTGGTCTCTTTGCCGGAGGCATGCCGAAGCTGAGAAAGACGGGCGGAGGGGTAGACACAGGAGGTACGTTCAAGTTCATGGGTATGCTGTCGGGCTGGCTTCTGACATATTGCAGCGGATCATGGCGCATCATACCTGTCCGACCCTGAGTCCACGAGGTCATCTGCGCCGAGACCACCTGCAGCCGCAGCCCCTCGTCCGCCTGTTGGTGCCGCCCCCGCAGTCCCGGGACGCCCAGCGATCCCAGGCCTGGCCAACCACGCATCTATAGCAAACCTCAGAAGGACGGCTGCCGGCGAGGGCCCGCGCCCAATATCGTCAGCTTCATTAAAGGGCCCTCCTCCACCCATAGGGAAGAAGCCGCCCCCGCCACCCAGCTCTCGCAAACCATCTTCCAACATATCATCGGCTCCAGCTCTACCAAGCGCCTCAGCACCGCCGCCGCCCTCGTCTGCCGCGCCGTCATTACCGCCAGCACCACCTCCTCCGCCTCCTTCGTCCGCTCCTCGACCACCCCCGGCCCCAGCAAGATCACAGCTTCCGCCTCCCCCGCCGCCAGGAGCCGGCGCCGTCTCTCCCAATATTGCTGTGCAGGCAGCGATTCGAGCAGCAGCGACCGGGGCGAGCTCCCCGACATCAGCCCCTCCCCCGCCACCTCCCCCCGGCGCTCCCTCGCCGCGGTCTCCAGCGTCTGGTCCGCCGCCGCCGCCGCCGCCACCTTCAAACACCACACCGGCGCGTGCTCACTCGGGCTCCGGCGGGCGCTCGATGCTCGACCCTAGTAACTTCGTGCTTGCGCCGAACGGAGGCGGGAAGAGCCCCAGCCCCACACGGAGTAACTCAATGGCCTCTCGGGCGAACGGCGGCGGGGCCGCAAGGGGCGAGCGGATCGTTGTCCAGGATCCAAGGTGGAAATTCGTAGAAGAGTCAATGTTTCCCAAGCCGAGAGAATTCCACGGGGGCGCGAGGAGATATCGTGCTGGTAGGGGGAGCAGTGTGCCACTGGACCTGAGTGCTCTGTCTTAGAGAGGCAGCACAGGGCAGAGGCGCTGATTTTAAGAGTATTGCTTTCAAGCGGGCATTTCGAGGCATTGACAGCGTACGCAGAGCTTAGCGTGGATGGATCGGATGCGGACCAAACTGTATGCGGGCGTGAGACCTATAAATCGACCACGAGCTCTATGGCACCATCGAAATGGTAAATTGAATTGGACTCGCAGATGTTCATGCTCCATGTTGCCTGGCCGAAGTACAGGGTCGTAGATCCTGACAACAATCAGGTCGCTTTCAAATCAGCAGTCAATATAGGGAAGGTCTCAAAGACAATACAACGGAAGTGCTCCTCACAAATTGGCATGGGACGGCGCGCGCTTAAGTACTAGGTAGGCTCAGCAATTGATGATTTCTTGTAGATAGATATATTAACCAAGACATGGACCTAAACGTCTGTGTGATATAGCGCAGCATGGAATATGCATCCTGAGGCATCGAGAAAAGAACGCCTTTTATAGCTCGATGCCGGTTCTATCAGTGGCGAACCCTGATCAAAAGCCTTCCGTTTGTGTATCAACCAGTGCTGCGTGTCCTGAAGGGCATCATTCAATCTGGCTCCACAGGAAACCGCGAGTTCTCATATGTGCGGCGGAAAAAAAACAAAAAAAAAACACCAAATATCAAGTAAACAGGCCCTTCGCCCGTCTGCAGGATATGTACAACGCCTTTAGACTGTAATGCCCACAAGCAAAGCTCAAATACCAGACTTAATGTCAACACGAGGCTGCAGGCCGCAGCCACAGCAGGAAGTATCAAGTACTCAGCAGGTCTCTTACACTCATCCCCCTCCCTGAGCTGGCAGTAGCACCGCCACCGGCGGCCCCAGCAGCGCTGCTTGATGACCCGGCCGTACTCGACACGGTGCCCCGCCGGTCGTTGTTCAGCATCAGCAGGGCGGCCATGGCCTCCTGGTCCAGGTCCCGCTCCCTCAGCGGTCCCAGTGCGGGGCTCGTCAACGCCGACCCGACGGCCGAATGGTTGCTTGGGGCGTATGCCGCCGCGCCGTACCCACCTGCCATGGGCCCAAACGCTGGCGACGTCGTGGCGCTGCTGTAGCTGTAATGCCTGTGGTGCTCTGCCGCGGCAGTCGAAATAGACACGTAGGAGTCGTGGCGGCCCGCCGAGGGGTCCTGGGCCCTCAGCGCCGGGGAGACGGAGGGCTGGTGGGACGCCGAGGTCGTGGCTGACGACGGGCGGTTGGTATAGGTCGGCGATGGGGCGTCCTCTGAGCCGGTCATCTCGACGTCTGGTGAGTGCTGCTCCTCGGAGTAGGCTTGGCGGTACTCGTGGTCTGGGCAGTACTGCTCTCGGCCTGATGGAGTTGATATCCCTTCCATCTCGGGCGTGGACTGGGGGGCTGGTAGATGCTGCTGCGCCTTGAGCTTCTCGACGCAGTCCTGCAAGTACCTGACGTATTCGATAGAAGCCTGGTGCGTTTAGTATTGAGCATGTGATCAAATGCGGCACAGGGGCACCGCTTCTCACCTGCAAGATAGCCAGCTTGTGCATCTCACCTGTACAAGCTGGTATCATGTCCTTCAAGACGGCGAACTCTTCGTTCATCTTGGACCTCCGCCGCCGCTCGATGAGGCTGTGTGCCGTCTTCCTTGCAATCTTCCGACCAGCAGCACTAGAGGCAGATGGCTGCTTCTTCTTTGCCGGTCCGTTCTCACTCGTGGCCGCCGCAGTGGCGTTCTTCTTTGGGCCTGATGTGCTGGCCGAGCTCTTGCTTGCCGTCGCTGGCTCCGCAAGTTTCTTGTCCTCGTGAGGCCGGGGCTTCATCTGAATGATCTTCCGGGATCTTGTAGGAGGCGGCGGCAGGGTGAAGTCGGGATCCTTGTTCGCAGCGGCAACAGTGGACGGCCGCCGCCTCGACTTGACAGCCTCACTAGGCTGTATCCTAAATGGGGCTTTGGGTGAGACTGGGGATTCTGGGGATGCAGGCGTGTTCATTTTGTCAGGTTGTGAACTCGCGGGGCGTGACTTGATGGCAGGCGGAGGCAGCTCGAAGGACATCTGCAGCTGTGACAGCTGCTTGGTACCATCCTGTCCTGCGATATCTGTGGAGGAGGCCGGCGTGGGAGGCAACGCCGTGCGAGGCATGTTTGTGATCTGCGTGGCTTTGCAGTAGCACCAACGGTGGAAATGGGGCGTCCTGGAGAGGCCCCAAATTTACCAGGTACGGTCGTAGAACAACGAGAACAGCGAACAGCAAGCCAACGCGGCCCTCAACAGCCGAGGACACAGTCAAGGGCGGGCAGCCACAAAAGCTTCGTTGCGTGCCGAGCAGGCTGTGTCACGGTCGTCACGAGCACAGCGGAAGACGAGCAGCCGCTAAGACGGGATGTCCAGATCAGGCAATCCAGACTGCGAGGCAGAAACTTGAAGACTGGACAAGGTCGGCAAGACAGGATAGGTGAGAGGAGAGGAGCGCCAGGCACGAGACCAAGGGAGAAGGTACGTGAATACGTGGCGGGGTTTGTGAAAGGAAAAAGGAAAAAGAAGATGGGAGAGAAAACGGCTGCCACTATACGAAACCTACCGGAGAGAACGAGGCGGCAAGAATTATGACGATAAGCAACGTGCCCTTCATAGCTCGGGCGAGGGCGTTGTTGATCAATTGGCCGGGGCGCCGCTGGGCTCCCTACATAGGTCCCTAGGTATCCCAGAAGGGTCGGTTTCGTGTGTCCATCCACGTTGACCAAGGCCGCACCCTCACGAGTGGGTGGTAGCCAGAGCGATAATAATAAGTGCTCCCGGCAAGAGCTCACGCGAGCAAGGGCGAATCAGAGTGGAGCCTACGACCTCGTGCTCTGGTCCCTACTCTGGTGGGCGGCAGACGGGGCTGGTGGCCCGTGCGTCGAGGACTCACATGGCTCAATCCACAGGCTGTGGCCGCGAACAGCTCTGCTGCCCACCCCTTCAGACCCGTGGTGCTCCTGACTCGGCACGTAAGACGGCTGGAGTGTTTTGGGTTGTTCCTATGTCGAGGCGGTAGTCACGGGACCGAATAAACGTCCTACTAGTCTGGACCCGTCTTCACAGTCACTCTATCAATGTGATCCCATCAACTATTGGCATGTGGACTTGATGCAGAAGCAAGCTTCCTGCCAATCCAAATAACCAGTGTGTCGCACACCTAATTTTTCCGAGTACTGACAGTAGTGACGGATGCAATTGGTTCGAGCTCATCAGAATCATCGTCTAAATTTCTAGCCCAAGAGGTGCCCACGTGCCCACCTTTATGCAGCAAGGTTTCGGTTGAGATGCCTGGTACCCGCAGCGGCGCAGATACTACCTAGGTAGTATAACGGGCAGTCAGCAGGGGTTCATGGGCCTAGACCTTGTGTCCCACTCTCTTGGCTTCTTGCCTGTCACATGCTGTTAAAAATGCATCCCAACGTTATGTCTCGTCAACCAGACGCCTACACTATTTCCATGCCTATCCGACTAATGTCCCATCGCCATCAACGTCACAGATCTCAGATCTCGTTGCTGGGGTATTCAACCTTGGTTGTGGCAACGAACTCCTCCTTCATGGTCCTCATGTTCACGAATCTGCCCATGATTGCTGCGCTTCCGGCCTTGTCGTTCGTGCCCGATGCCCTCGCACCGCCGAACGGCTGCTGTCCCACCACTGCTCCCGTGCTCTTGCAGTTGATGTAGAAGTTACCCGCCGAGTTCCGGAGCGCCTCTTCCGCAACACGCACCGCCGCCCGGTCAGATGCAAACACCGACCCCGTGAGCCCGTATTCCGTCGTCGAGTCAACCAGTTCGCAAGCCTTGACGAAGCCGTCGGGCTTGCTGTCGTCGTACACGTACGCCGTCAGGATGGGGCCAAAGAATTCTGCCTTGAGGTATGTGTGCGTAGGGTTCGTCGTGCGGTAGATGGTAGGCTTCACGAAGTAGCCCTTGGTGTTATCGTACGAGCCGCCGGTGACCAGCTCAAGCTCACTGTCGTTCTTGGCCTTGTCGATCGCTCCTGACAGCTTGTTGAACGAAGCAGTGTGAATGACCGGGCCGATGAAGTTCTGGGGCTCCCAGGGCACGCCAATCTTGAGCTGCTCCGTCTTCTCGACCAGCTTCTGCTTGAACTCGGGCCAGGCGCTCTCGGGCACGTAGACCCGTGAGGTCGCGCTGCACTTCTGGCCCTGGAACTCGAATGCTCCCCGCACCGTCTGCACGGCGGCGTTGTCAAGGTCCGCAGAGGGGTGGATTATGTGGAAGTTCTTGCCGCCAGTCTCGCCTACGATGCGAGGGTAGCCGACGTAGCGTCCCTCTGCGATGCCCTCACCAATTTGACCATACAGCTTGCGGAACACGGCAGTGCTGCCCGTGTAGTGGAGAGCGGCGAACTGCCTGTGGTCCAATGCAATCTTGGTGATCTCCTCGGGCTCACCTGGGATGAACTGGATGACATCCTTGGGCAGACCTGCCTCGATGAAGATCTTGTAGACGAGCCAGTTGGAAGCGATGGCGAAGTCGGACGGCTTCCACACAACAACGTTTCCAAGCAGGGCAGGGAGGCCGGGCAGGTTTCCGGCGATGGCAGTGAAGTTGAACGGTGTGATGGCGTACACAAAGCCCTCGAGCGGGCGGTACTCCAGCCGGTTCCACACGGTTGGCGAGTTGTGCTCGGGCTGCTGAGCATACAACTCCTCGGCGTACTGGACGTTGAATCGCAGGAAGTCGCACAGCTCTGCGGCGGCGTCAATCTCTGCCTGCCACGCGTTCTTACCCTGACCAAGCATCGTAGCAGCCATGATCTCGTATCTGTATTTTGTGGAGATCAGATCGGCAGCCTTGAGGAAGACGGCTGCCCTGTCCGCGAAGGGCAGCGAAGCCCAGGCGTCCTTGGCAGCGAGGGCAGAGTCAATTGCCTTTTTGACATCCTCCGGGCCTGCTTTTGAGTATGTAGCCACAACTTGGGAGTGGTCTGACGGGTTCAACTGCTTGCCAGAGGATGATGTTGTGATCTGTGGTGACAAACGTGTAAGCTGGCGACGACGAGTCATGGGCTGACGAGTGAGCCGAGTGAGCAGAGCTTGTACTGACCTCTTTGCCACCAACCACGATTGGGACATTTACCGCACCCTTGCTCTTGACCTTTTGGACGGTGGAGAGCAGAGCTTCTCGCTGAGCCGATCCCTTGGCATAGTGGTGCTACATTTGCTCGTTAGTATCGTGTCCCTTGTTGCCGGGCATCAACATTTGTTCGCCGTCGACGTACATTTGGCTCATTGGCGATTTTGGGCACCTTGAAGGCAGCAAGAACTGAGGCCCTGGGGGCCGATGTCGCAAAGGCACGACGAGGCAGTGCGGTACCTGCCAGCCTGTACGATAAGGCGGAGCCGGACCGTGAGGTCACCGACCGCAGGGCGGTGCTCCTGGAAGTCATAGCAATGGCGCCGAGTAGGAATATGAGGGGTTGAGCTGGATGAGACAAGGAAAACCAAATGAGCGGAGACGATGCGTTGACGGAACGAAGGGTATCACGAGGTTGTAAATTACTTTTGCAGAACCAATTGATCTCTACAAGCCAGAGACTCGGAGCGATGCATCTTTATTGACTTGGAGTACAGCAAGGGATACCATCATGGCCGTCGGAAAACCGCGGCCTTACTAGAGGACAAGGGTAGCTCCATCGGCAGCGTGGAGAAGCATCATTGCGGGGAGGGGCCTATGCTGGAAACCTTGGGGCGCCAATTGACCAATCACTGCAGGCCATGACTCTGATGGCACCCCGAAAGCGGGTCCCTAGAGCACGGCAGAGCACGGCAGAGCAGAGCCACTGAATTGGTCTCGGCTTTGGCTTCACGTTGGCCAGGCGGCTCTGACTGTCGTCTCGAGCCGCCAGTTCTGGGATTGCCTTGGATTCCACAATTGGTCTTGCTGTCAGAATGCTGCCAAGAGGCTTGGAGGCCTGTGTACTATGATCGGTCGGTCTACAGCATGCCCGGCCAATATCTTGTTTGGCCTTGTTTTCAACACCAAGTTATACCGCAGGACATGCATGATGCATCCTCAGATACGGAGTACTCACCTGGGCACCCAACTCAGGTGCCGTCAGGCGGCTGGTTGTCACCACATGTCAAAGTCTGTCTCAAAAGGTCACGGGTTGTGTTCACGATCTTTTTGGACATCGACCCGGGTTGGTTTCACCGGAGGCAGCCACCTCCTTCCGAGGGCCTGCCAGTCTCAGGAGCTCTGGTTTCAGACAAGAAGCTCTCGAGCTTGCTGCCACCTGTGACACCTGTGGTGCCCTGGTGCGGACCGCCGTGGGGGCAACTCCATCTTGAAGGACGTCGATGGACTACTGAGATACCGGTACCGGTAGCGCGTAGCCCACGTGTCAAGACACACAGACTGACACATGCAGCTCACCTGAGATCTTATCCATTGGGCCGGAGAAGATCTGGCCATGAGATCTGAAAAGGCCCGCGAGATGGGGGAGGATATTTGGGAGCAGTTGCCCCAGCGTGGTCATGAGAGTACTGTGTACAGTACAGACGTACTGTGTGCAGTAGCCCACATTGCAGGGATCCTGGGTGTCTTCGTGCTTTCGCCTCGGTACTGTGGTGACGTCCGTGGGATATCCCAATGAGAACAGTCCTATCCTTGAGACCTTGGGCGCCGCGGCCTAGCAGGAGAGCAGGAGGGGCGGAGATGGCAAAGAGAGGGGACCCATGGATCGAGTGTTTTGAAACTGGATGTAATTGACAGGCCAAGCTGCCAATAGAGCAGGGACAAGGGTGCGAGGCCTGAGATATGGACCCCTGAGCTCAAGCGTGGCAGCGTGGATGGTCCAGGGTTGCAGGGATACCCGAGATCCACTGCGGCGGGCAGGCAGAGGCTGGCAAGCTGGCAGATGGGAGAGAGCAGGATTCTGATTTAGATTTGGAGTTGCGGTCGAAAAATGGAACATCAGAAATTAAACAGTGCCCCTGCCTGCCAGGCCTGCGAATCTCACAATATCAGCGCCTGCATCACGGCACAACAAACTCATTACACAGGCCCCCGTGCTCGCATGGTGTAACTCGGACGAGCTCTCGCCGCTCATGATCGTCTCTGGTCGCACATTACATGCACCTTCCGATACGGCGGCCTCCAAAGGAATAAACAGCAGCTAGCTGTGCAGTGGGGGAGGACTGGGCGGCTTCTCGCACGGCAATGTCTTGTTGGGGGGGCGGATGAGCGCAGCCCTGAGGCACCACGATGTGTGTATTACTGCTATCACCGACCACTGCAGTCAATCCTCCATCAATCATTTGAAAATGGGGCTTGCCAGCAGATTGCCAGCAGCTTGCACTCCGTCCCCAAAAGCCAGCCAGCCATCCACACTATCTATCTCGTGCTAGGAGAGGGCCTTATTTTAGCCGCGTCCCCTTCTCAGCTCGTCTGGGAGTCGAGCCGTTCAACTTCCCTGATCAGCACGTCTTGGCGTTGTCATCATCCCCAAATTGCGCCCAACCTCCCTCGCACCAGAAACGGGATCGCGTCAAAACCGCACGGCTGTGCTTGCCGTCGTCTGCCAGTCTGCCCGCCTCTTTTTCCACGCGAGAGCAAATCAGAACACTTCAGAGTCCATTGGCTACTGCACCCAGTGGCGTGACTCTGCATGTCATCACCCGTACCCACCGCAGTCCCGAGTCCAAGATTGTCTTGTGTTGATCCTGTTCTGGGCGGTTATGTGTGCCTCGTGCTGAACCGTCTTTTCCGTTCCCTACGACCCATTACCCGGGCCTCATCTTGAATCCCTCCGTCTAAGAATAACATTGGGGGCCTTTCAACATCCAGCCAACACAATTGTAACTGTGGCACAAAAAACAACAACGACGACAACAACAACCTTTAGCGCCCGTGCCCAGTCCCTTATCAAGCTTCCACTCAACTGACCTTGCCTTACCCCGTCGTGTGGCTGGGACAAACAGGACAGCATCTGCGACTGCGACTGCGACTGCGACTGCGACAACTTTTGTGTAAGTCCCCACGCCTGCGAACCTTCCGTGTTTCTGCCAGTAGCGCACGCTCTGACCCGTTCGCGACTCAGCAGCCCCAATCCGTCCCAAGGAAGACACACAGTATGTCTTCTCACCCTGCGCACGATCATGGCGTCGACCAGGACGACCAACAACTCGACCCACGAAACCCCTACGCGTCCAGCACCAGATGGCGCCATGAGGAATCGAGCCAATTTCGCAAACATGCGGGTCAAGCGCTTCAGCCAAGGGCCCCCGATGGAAAGAGCGGGACCCATGATCTTGCACGCTTTCTGCACTCTACCAGGGTCCCCTCTGACGATGCCACAAAAGACGGCGACAGCCCACCCGCCGGCCCTGCCGTCCCGGGCAAGACACACACACCCATCATGATCGACGGAAACGAGGCTGCAGCTGCCGGCGAGCCCCAGAACGCCATCGACGCCGATGTCGCCAACGCCGTGCCTCAGGATGGGAAAACCATTGCATGCGGGCCCCTGCTGAACTACAGGCGCACCGAGGGGAATACTTGGGTTGGTAGCGTCCTGGTAGTCACCAAGGGCGGCGGCAAGACCCAGGGGTTCGTCCCAACCCTCGTGCTGCGGAGAGCCGGACCTGTTCAGAGGTCGCAAGGTGCCCTTCCTGGCTCTGCGACCAACGGGGAGACCAATGGACACGTGAACGGTGCAGGGTCGACCGAGACCCAGGGATTCTGTCTATACTCCGACATCCGCAACACCTTCTGGCGTTTCGACCTCCACGCCGAGATGGAGGCCACCGAGGTCAGGTGGGAATACACCGTCCCTGGCCTGCGCTTCGCCAGCAAGACGAAGCCTCAGACGAACTACTTCTTCGTACCTGCCATCACCGAGTCCATGCGCATCATGTTCCACTCTTGCAACGGCTTCTCCGTCGGAACCGACGAGGACGCCTGGAGCGGCCCTGCACTGTGGAATGATGTCAACAGGCGCCATGCTGAAGCGCCCTTCCACGTAATGATTGGTGGTGGCGATCAGATCTACAACGACGGAATCAGAGTCAACGGCCCTCTTCGACCTTGGACGGATATCGGTAATCCCAAGAAGCGTCGCGAGTTTCCATTCCCCGAGCAACTGCGAAGCGATTGCGACGATTATTATCTCAACAACTACATCCGTTGGTATAGCACGGAGCCATTTGCTACCGCAAATGGTCAAATTCCGGTCAGTATAAGCTCGTTCTCGAAGTTTCCCAGTGACATACACTGAAACCCCCCCCCCCCCCAAAAAAAAGACGTCATTTTCATCCCCATAGCCGTAGAAAAAAAAGAGAAGGAAAGAAAAACTGATGTATTGCAGCAAGTCAATATTTGGGATGACCATGATATAATTGACGGGTTTGGATCCTACGTCAACGAGTTCATGAAGTGTGATGTCTTCCGCGGCATCGGAGGTTGTGCCCACAAGTACTACATGCTATTCCAGCACCACCTGCCACCGCCGCCATCTACCTACACCTCGGACGCTCCGCAGACAGTGACCGTGCCCGGAGATGGCCAGGCCACCGGTATCGACAGGGACCAGCTTGTTAACACATACGTCGCCGAGCCTATCCGCGAGTCCAGCTATATCGTCGGGCCCAAGCCCGGGCCGTACGTGGCTGAGCACTCTCACAATATCTTTGCCAAGTTGGGCGCAAGAATTGCACTGGTGGGCATTGACGCGCGTACTGAGCGCACACGGCATCAGGTCAACTATCCGGAGACATACGACTTGATCTTTGGGCGGCTGAGCGAAGAGCTGCAGGCCGCGCGAGCCGCGGGCACGCCTTTCAAGCACCTAATCCTGCTGTTAGGAATTCCAATTGCGTACCCTGTGAGTGACTGATATCGGTGCAGAATTAGGATGAGCTTATCTGACTCTCGTCCCGCAGCGACTCACCTGGCTTGAGAACGTCTTCAGTAGCCCTATTATGGGCCCTATCAAATTCGCCAATCGGAGATTTGGGCTTGGTATGTTGCACATGGGTTTCTGCATCATTCAGCAAGCATTCTGCTGCTCTGCCTCAGCTGTTCTTTTTTGGTGTTCCGTCAAATATTTATGGAGTACGCACGATGGCTGACTCTCACTACAGGTGGTGGTCTCTTCAACCACTTCGACGGATCCGTAGATCTTCTGGATGACTTGGATGATCACTACACCGCTCGAACTCACAAGAAGGAGCGTAACACCATGATCGAGCGATTTCAGCAGATATGCAAGCAATGTAAGTCATCGACTGATAGCTTTTCCCCATGACGAGGGCGTGGGGCTAAAGTCGAACAACTAGTCTCCGTGCGCGTGACGATTCTCGGCGGAGATGTTCACCTGGCAGCTCTCGGCCGCTTCTACTCCAATCCCTCGCTCAATATCCCTTGCGAGAACGACCACCGCTACATGGCAAACGTGGTCTCGTCTGCGATTGTGAACAAGCCCCCACCGCAGGCTGTCGCAAACCTGCTCGCGCGCCGCAACAAGATCCACCACCTCGACCACGAGACAGACGAGACGCTCCTGAAGCTTTTCGACAAGGACCCAGGCGACTCCAACAAGACCGCCAACCACAACCAAGTGACGATGCCGAGCCGCAACTTCGCCATGCTCACCGAGAACTCGCCCAATAACCCGCCCAGGCAGCGGCCCACGACAGCCGCCAACGGAGCGGCGGAGTCGACCAACGGCCAGGAGGCCGCATCCACCGTGAGCGGGCGCATCTCGGTCAAGTCCAAGGACGGCCACCTTCCCATCCACCCTGGTGAGGTCGACTGCGGCACGAAGCACAGAGCTGCGTCCGCGCAGGATCACGGCAAGGAGAATGACGGCAGTCTGGACATCTGCATCCGCGTGGAGATCAACCAGCATGATCGCGAGGGCAGGACTGAGTCCTATGGGTTGACGGTGCCTACCTTGACTGTAGCGGCCTGAGCCTAATTCGCGGGATCCCAGTGTGCGCTGATTTCGACATTAATTCTCCGTGGTTTCATTTTGTTTTCCGCATTGTTTCATTGTGTAGCAAATACCCTTTGTATACCTAGATACCACCTTCTACACTTAAAGTCTCGCAATTGGGTTTGTCATACCAATATAATAAATGTTCCAGACGCACATTTGAACAAGAGATTTTGTGGCAGGGAAGTCCGCTGGAAGTTGATTAGTTGAAGTCAGCGGTTTCATTCCGAATCCATAGACATCTCAAACACATACAGTCCTTTCACGCTATGGCAAACTTTAAAGACCCAAGATAACTTAATAAAAAAATAGATTAGAGGTTCACACTTATATATATATATATATCCTATAGAGCTTACTTAAAAATTTAAATATAAATTATTTAAATAAAAATTTTAATACATAGTATTAAATTATAATAAATAAGATTTAATAGTATATAAATTTAATATATATAAATTATTTATATATTTTTTAACTTTATTATTAAATTAAAATAAATAATTAAAATTTTATAAAAATAAAATAAAATATATTTTTTAAAAATTAATTTAATAAAAATTATTATATAAAAGTTTTTATAATTATTTTATAATTATTTATAATATTATTTATTATTAAAAAATATTCTTTATATTAATATTATTAGTTTAATAAAAGTTAAAAATATTATATAGCTAAAGCCTGATGATTCCATGTAGGCAGGGAGGGTCCTCATAGTAACCGGGTTTGTGGGGCTTTACGGGATTGTCTCTAGAAATAGACTTATCAGACTCGCCCGCACTAGCCACACCGGGTATCAAAATTTGGGGCAGCTCTCTCACTGGCCGCCAAGGCCAAGACCTTTTGTGAATCCCGCTGGCGACCGCACCTGGAAGTTTGCGCCTCGGCAAGCTGCACTTTGCCATTCCACAACACAAGTGTGAGCAGCCGTTTAGTGATGCTCTTTCGCCCCTTGAAGTCAGTTATCATGTCTGAGGCGGCTCTCAACAGAGTAGCGATCCCTCCAAGGGGAGTCGACTACAGAGGAAAACTGGTTCTGGCACCAATGGTTCGGTCGGGCGAATTGCCATCGCGCCTGCTGGCCCTCCACTATGGCGCCGACTTGGTATGGGGTCAGTTTCTCTGCCTATCTAAATGAGATTCTACCATGACTGATGGATTTTGCACGTGCAGGCCCCGAGACCGTCGACCGATCCATGTTGGGCACGACAAGACGGGTCAATCCGTCCACCAAAACAATCGACTTCATCCGCATCCCCCACCAAGGGCAGAAGCAGCCGCCGCCCAACGCCAAAGAGTCGGTGATCTACCGGTTACACCCCGAGCGCGAAGGGCGCAAACTCATCTTCCAAATCGGCACTTCCGACCCAGACCGCGCCGTCGCAGCCGCGCGACTCATCGCACCAGACGTGGCGGGGATAGATGTGAACGCAGGATGCCCCAAATCGTTCAGCACACACGACGGGATGGGCGCGGCGCTCTTGAGGACACCTGAAAAGTTGGTAGCTATCCTGGAGGCTCTGGTGAGGAACATTGTACCCGAGTTCCAGATTGGAATCAGCGTGAAGATCAGGATACTGGAAACACCAGCAGAAACGGAAGCCCTGGTGAGGAGACTGGTAGCAACTGGGATCACGGCGTTGACCGTGCACTGCCGGACAACGCCTATGCGACCACGCGAGAGGGCCATCCGAGGCCAGCTACAGATGATCCGTGAGGTGTGCCACGAGGCTGGTGTTGCGTGCCTGATGAATGGGGATGTCGAGGATCGGGACTCTGCCGCAGAGCTCATCAAGGAGTTCGGTGTCGACGGTGCCATGATCGCGACGGCGGCAGAGAAGAACTCGAGTTGTTTTAGAACCAAGGCGCAGGGCGGTATGGCGCCATGGGACGAGGTGACAGAGACGTACCTCCGCTTTGCGATGGAAACGGAGAACAGGTTTGGCAATACAAAGTACATGCTGAACCAGATCATTCCCGGCAAGCAACCTGCCTACAAGCGGGTCCAGTCCTGCAAGAGCTATACCGCCGTGTGCGAGGCGCTGGGGCTCGACCACTTGAAGGACGCGGCAACCACCGCAGACAAGGCAGTTGGCATTACTGTCGACACTGGTGCAAAATCCTCAGCCAAGGTGAATGGGAATGCAAAGCGGAAAACTGAAACACGTCCAGCTTCGCAGGTCTCTGAGGAGGCTTCCAGCAAACGTCAGAAGACGGACGAGCCGGCCAAGGAGCCGGCCAAGGACACAGAGATTCTTCGGTCCCCTGTGGCTCTCTCAGTTTGAACATACTACACCTCACCAGGACGTCAACTAGCATATCCAGGAGTGGAATTTGGAAAAGTTTTGGCAATTTGGCGTTGTTGGTAGCATGCATGGACAATACGGGTTTAGACAAAGATATCCAAAGACAAGTTGATGTACCGGCTGGGGAAAGGTAGTTAGTTGGACTCTCCCCCCAGTGACTGGAAGGCTAGCATTCGCATCCTGCTCATGTTCGTGATTTTCTTGTACTGATGCGTCTTGGGGATTACGTACCAAGCAGACCGGGACTTCAAATTGTGCCTGCAGCTGCAATTGTTGAATCTGGGTGCTGGTGTATTTTATTTAGATGGTGGCTGCGCCACTTAGACGGAACCCGCGACCATTGGACCTCATTGTGCAGATGCTGATGCTCACAAGATTTTTAGAAATTTTCTCTCTAAAACAAAACATTCAGCCGGCTATAAGAATGTCCAGAGTTTATGATCTGGCCGGGGTGGTGAGGCCCTGTGTGTGGCGCTGCACTGTGTAAAGCACTGTACCTGCCGCCTCAAAGAGTGGGAAGCTCACTTGCCTATGTGAGTGGTCCCCTCGTAGCGGCCACGGCTGTCCAAAACGCGCCTCCCGACAATACATGTGAGGTGACGTATGTGACAGGTATCAACGGCCTGCATGTGCACTTGCATATGAACTGATAGTCTGGTCATTTCAGAAAGCGTTTCCTGCAGCCGTTTCGACTATCCTCCCCGAGAGGAACGCCACCACGTGCTCCCCGCCAAACCGTGCAACACTTGTTTCAATCGTGTTCGTCTCCCCAATGCAAGCTTGATTGGGAGAGTCTCATCCATCGATCGCTGGCGGTCGGGCTAGATGACGAAGCACAGTATCAACGCACTCGGAGAATTACGCGCTCAAGATGAGTGATTTGCAGAAGGCGTGGGCGAAGAAGAAGATGGAGCTGAGTAATGCAGATGTGTTCAATGAGCTAGACGAAGAGGAGGAGGAGGAGGAGGAGAGCGGTCGCATAGGGGAGCTCCCGGAAGCCTTGGACGACGACTCCTCGTCGGCCTCGTCGGCCTCATCCACCGGCACCGTGGTTCCCACCCCGAGCAGGAAGCTGTTTGCGAGGCCACTGGGGTGAGTGCTACTCATTTATTCTCCAGGCAGTCTAGTTCGAGGAGATCTCATTGACATGACTGATGGGACTAAACCAGTCCGCCACGAGGGGGAGGCAGAACTTTGGACCAGATACCTTGGACGACGTATTTCGAACGGGAGCTCTTCCTCGAAGGCCAGAAGGACGAGACCGGCATGGCTCAGATCATACATCATGCCTACCTGAACTCACCTGGCGATAAGGGCCCACTGTTCGTGATGCACCACGGCGCTGGGTCATCTGCCCTGTCGTTTGCAGTGGTAGGCTCCGAGATCAGGAAGCGGCTGCCATCTGCAGGCATCCTGTCCCTGGACGCGAGAGGCCACGGATCGACGGTCACGCCCCCAGATTCGCCGCTTGACCTCCGCCTGGAGACATTGCGCAAAGACTTGTTGTCCGCAATTCAGCAGACCCAGGCGCAGATGGGCTGGAAGGAATTACCCCCCATCGTTCTCGTCGGCCACTCACTCGGAGGGGCTGTCGTGACGGATCTCGCAAAATCGCACGCCCTGGGAACTTCGCTGCTCGGATACGCCGTTCTGGATGTTGTCGAGGGCTCCGCCATGGACGCGCTCCAGAGCATGACAACATATCTGTCTACCAGGCCCACGGGCTTTGCCTCGGTCCAAGCTGGCATCGACTGGCACATTCGGTCGAGGACACTCCGCAACTCGATCTCAGCGCGCACCAGTGTGCCCGCCCTGCTGATTCAGGATCAGAGCCCAGACTTGAGCAGGCCCTGGAAGTGGAGGACGAATCTAGCTGCCACAGAGCCCTTCTGGTCCGACTGGTTCGTGGGTCTGAGCAAGAAGTTCCTCGAGGCCAAGGGCGGCAAACTACTGATCCTGGCCGGTACCGACCGGCTGGACAAGGAATTGACCATCGGTCAGATGCAAGGTGAGCCTTTCTTTTTCTTTTGTCGCGGCGTGTGGGTAAGTGACTGCGAAGCTGACTCTCACACAGGCAAATATGCCTTGCATATTTTCCCGGAGGCTGGTCACTTCGTCCACGAAGATGTGCCTGAAAACACGGCCATGGTAATCGTCGACTTTTACAGACGCAATGATAGAAGTGCCCTGGTCTTGCCACCGAAAGTAGGAGATCTGTTAGCACAGGGGAAGCGAGTCTAGCCTCCAAGGCTCAGCAAGACGGCCGGGGTTCATCCTGTTCAAGCCCACCTTTCAGTGTGGCTTTTGAGGGGGACAAGTCCTCACAGCACGTGATTGGAAGCCACATGACAAGGGCTAGAGCGTACACCGAAGTAGAGGGGACTTAAAGGCCGAGGCATGCGTAGTGCTTAGCCATCACATGCAGTGTCAACAGGAGCGCAGAGGGCAGATGGTCGAGGTAGAATAAGATTTAGAAGCTTCACTGTCAAGATACTTTGGGTCCTCGCCTGGCCTATGTCAAAAGGATTCCAGCCCATCCAGTACGCCGAAATCAGTGCGTTAGTACCAGGCGCTCTTCAGTTGTAGTTGCGTTGTTCATCGTTCCTCTCAATCTCTCTCCGCTGCCTCTCCTCGTCGGCATGCCGCTTCATGGTCTCGTTCAGGGGTTCCTTTTTCTGTTGCTGCAGCTGACTACCCAACTTGCCACTGAACTTGCCTTCTGCCGCTTTCTGTCTCGCCTAAGAAAGCTGTCAGTTTCCGGGGCGGTGGCCGGTGTGGTGCTGATTATCGCGATCCATGATGGAGGATTCTTGCTCACCTCGGCAGCCTCGGCAGCCTTGCGCCTCGCATCCGCGGCGCTTGAGGAGGAAGCGCCGCCGCCGCCGCTTGACGAGCCTCCCAGGGTCCGCGGGGGCCCACCGACGACGCGCTTGTTGCTGGGCAGCGGCGCGGTGGGACTCTGGTCGGGTGATGAGTCCAGCCGGCGGCCTGGGCCGGCGAAGTTATCATCCCTCGACTCCTTGCCGCAGAGGGCACCCATCTCTGCGTGTGACGGTGCCGCTTAATATGGGCCCCGAAGATATGGACAGGAACCCTGCCACAGGGAGGTAGTGGCGCTCGGGGGTGTGTCAACCGCGAGATGCCGGGGCAGATGCGGGGATATGTGAGTCCTTGGCTGAGCTGCTGAGCAGCTGTTCGCTGTGACGGCTTGTAGAAGTCGGGTTGGATTTGCCCAGGCATCCAGGAGCAGCAAGTCGGACTGCTGAGCAACTATCTGGCTTGCCTAGTGAGATCTTTCGCACAAAGAGGAGGGATGTCTGGGCTCGGATATCCCCTGTCACAGCTAATCAAACCGGTCGCCATGTGGAGGTGTACCTATGTTCCTAGGTAGCTTGGCACACGCTTCCCGGGTATTCAGTTGTATCAGCAGTGGTGCACCCCAGACTACCTGGAGCAGGCTGGCAGGGCGGGGTGAGTGCTTTTAGACGGCGCCGTCTGACAACACCGACCCTGGCCAATAGAACCCACCAACATTGTCTATCTGCCCGCTACAGCTTTCTACAAAGTCTCAGATTGTTTGGCTGTCTAGAAACTTGGGCAGGACCCATCAAGGACAAAATGGTACCCGTTAACTAAACTACCTAGGTATCAGAGTAGGTACTATGTAGACACACCTTAATTCTGCGCTCCTTATAAAACCATCCTTGTCCCAACATTCCCGCCCACAAGCTGCATGTTCACTCAACTCCAACATGACCACCAAAAGCCCCCAAATTAGACACTTGCAAAACATTCCGTTCCAACCTTTTGTCGCCATTTGGTAATGGAAACTTTTGTCACATATTACTTGAGTGAAATACATAGACTGCAAGACATGTACTAGTCATCAAGTGCATGATTCTGAGCGCTTAAAGATCATCTTTCCAACCCTAGAAATCACCACTTCACATTCATTCAACACATCCCCCCCCCCCCAACCAGTCACCATGGCACGGCTGAGTACCAGAATGTGGATGAATATGTCCTGGCTGATGATGCTATTTAGCAATTTTGTTTCACAGCTTCAAGAAAGCTGCACCGCTGACGCAAACTGAGGCCGTAAGGTGTTGCTAGTGACGAGCCAAGTCCTGTCCAATCTGTAGGCGTCAGCTGGGGCTGTGCAACGGGAGCGAGACTGCTAAGGCTCACACTCTACCATCCGGCCAAAAGACCATAATAACTAATCTGGTAGATTGGCTATTCCCTAGCAGTTATAAGTACCATGCCGTCACTAGCTGACCCCTTGTGGGTGGCATCTTACGGGCACAAATATAAGCATAATAATCTATTATCAAGACGGTGCCCCTTAGCCTTGTCTGTGCGTCGCAAGGCTGAGGCCACAAGCACCTATCGTATTATAACTACTGTTATCGGCATCGTATTCTTTCCAAGTAGAGTGCTTACTACCATGAAGGCGCCATGTATGGCCTCGGACGTACACGGAATAGAAGCTAAACCACCCACCTAAGCCACAACAGAACCAAGTTAGGCTTAGTAGATGCAGCACACAATATGTTTGTGTGTCGTCTAACTTTTGTGCTCTTTCTTGGTAGTAACTACCTAGGTACCTGTAAACCCACAGACTGGTGGGTGCCGTTTGACCATTGTCTTTCGAGTCAGGATGACACCCCTGCCTGCCCAGGTCCCAATGTATACTTATCTAGGCACCCTGCTGTTTGAATCCCTGTAAGTACCCTGCCATGCAAACATGATTTAGTCTCCCCTTGAGTGGCCAAAGTCACTGCATGGAACTTATCCCAGGCCTGACGCTCTCACCGAAGACGGTTGCGATTTGAGCTCTCAGGACCCATTGTCTGCATCTGCAGGTGTCCATTGGCCCTTACCCGCTATCTTCCAGTTACTGTACCGCATGCAGGCGATCGAGTGCACAAGTACGGACCCGTGTACGGAGTACCCAAGTACCCGACGCATTTGGTCAGCAGCAACCAATCAGGTGCTGCTGACTAAGTGCATGCCGACCCCGGTCCGATCCGTTGCCATCAGGGTGCTCACACTTCCACGTCCAATTCTTGCCTCACCACTCGCTCCTCTTCGCCTGCCCGCCTCTCTCAACGTCACCCCGCCGGATTGCACACCTCTTGGACTCGGGTCATTCGTCCCCAGGCTGGAAACCCACGGTCCGCCGTTCTTTTCCTCTTGAACTACCGCTCATTGGCAGCACGTACATCCAACCCACTCAGCGTTCTGACCCACGACATGTCTTGAACCCGCACCACCATTGGAAAGCCGACTCTTCAGGGACCACCAAGGGTCCTCTCTCTCCCTCTCCCTAGCAACCACCTACAGTTCGATACCAGTCGATAGCCTGGCTGCAGTCTGGACCGGAAAGTGGCACCTCCAACAACCTCCTCCTGAACAGACCCGTAGGACTCGCACCATGGATGACCTGGTGCTCAGTCTTCCACTATATGGGAATGCCTATGACCACGAGTCCTCAGCGCACGACGACACATGTCTGATTGGTGCAGGGTGTCAAGGCCTTGGTCTTTCCCGCGAGAATGACCCCGACTTTGGGGCGGCATTCAGCGCTGTCCCTTACCCGACCCTGACTGATCTCGGCAGCCATGATGCCGCCGTGCCTTCTCCGCAGTCTCCTAACGCTGGTGACACCTTTCCTGAGGCTATCACTGGGAAAGTGCAATCAAGAATACAATCACCTGGCCATGACAACCCGGATCCGATGGCCAATGAGGTGGTGTCCATGGTCTCACACCACACGGCCCCTGGCCAGCCACCTCCAGATGACGAGCTCATCGAAGAATATCCTCCGTCTGAGGCAGGAAGTAACGCCTCTTGTGATAGCCAATGCTCAGGGAGCAAAGGTCCATGTAGTGCAGGTACATGTGATCTCGTCACAGCCTGCAGAGACGAGAACTGCACAAAACCTGTAGTCGAGCCTGAGGTCGCCCATAGCGCCTTCATCTTGCAGGGTATCATGACGAGTGCGAAGGAAGCCAGTGCAAATATCGTGGCTTTCCATGATCGTAAGTATTCTTCTTCATCCCTGGCTGCAAGGTTTACATAGGCCGCTGCAGCTATGCACATATGACTCTTGAGCAATGGTTTCTTTCCTCCTGATATACTTGTCGGAATCATGGCTTATGCTTCCTTAGAACCAAACCTGTACGACCCGGACATGTCTGGGCACAACTATGCCTTCAATTTCCCCCAGGAGGCAGGCCCTGGCTGTCCCGACCCAGGGTCACACGCTACCTTCGCACACCTGTACCAGACGCAGGCACAATCCCATGACCCCCAGCAGCAACTCGACCAACAAGAAGACCTGATGGCAATTGATTTTGATATTTTTGCGTTAGGGCCAAATCCCCATTGCCATGCGCCTGCTCTTCCGGGAGCCTCAGGCCAGAATGGCATGGTCAATTTCCAAGGTCATGCTAATAGCAGCAGCAATTTTCCAGGTGAATGCGGTGTGCCCTTCCAAAACCCCTTACAGGCTTCGCAGCATATTCAGCAGCATACTCAGCACGGCCATATAGTCCATCTCATGGACCAGGGCTTGCATTATCCGCAGAACATGCAACTGCAGCACTCAAACCAACCTGTCCTGGACTTTTCAGGCATGGAAACTGCAGCCACATTCGGCACATCGAACAACAGTTTTGCACAACAGCCAGTGCCAAGCGTACATCAAGGAGGTCTATTTGCGTTCGGTCACGAGCATTTGCCATCACCAAAGAATCAAAACCTAGGCCGTCTTGCATCTCCAGGCGGAGCCAATTTCCCCCCGTCCGCGTCGGACGCCGGTCAGGATGTGCCAAATTCCCCAGCCGAGTCCTGCGCATCTGGCGACGGCCAGATGCAGGATTCCGGATCATCAGTCTGTCTGTGGGGCCAAGGCGCTTCCAAGTGCGGGATGGTTTTCGAGAATCCGGAAGAGCTTGAGATGCATGTGCAGACAGAGCACGTGGAGAACATGGCAAAGGCCGATGGCGGGTACGTTTGTGCCTGGGCTGATTGTGGGCGCCGGCACAAGCCTTTTGCACAGAAGAGCAAGGTCAAACGCCATATGTTGACTCATACCCAATGTAAGTGTAGTGTTCTCGCGAATCTCCATACCAGAGACTAACCGCGTCCAGACAAACCCTTCAAGTGTGACCATTGCGCACAATCCTTTTCTGCCAAACAAGCACTGTCGCAGCATGTCCTGATCCACAAAAACGCCAAGCCGCTGAAATGCAATACTTGCGGGAAGGCGTTCAGGCAGCAAAGCGCTCTAAGTAAGTCAGGCCGCCATTGTACCAACATCAGCGATATACCGAAGGGGCACTGCGGCTGACCCAAGATGCTTACAGCCATGCACATACGCACGCACACCCACATGAAACCGCTCAAATGCGAAATCTGCGGCGCCTTATTTGGCGAGTCCTCAAACCTCTCCAAACATAGGAGGACGCATGATGCCGTTGGTCGGCACGCCTGCCCCGAGCCTATGTGTGATAAAAGATTCAATAGACTGGATCAGTGCCGCCGCCACTTGGAAACAGTCCACAAGCGTCGTCCCGAGGGTGAGAATCAGCATCTTTGTGCTTGAGACCAAGAGACATTTGCTAACAAATCTCGATCACCAGAAGTGAAAAAACTTGTTGGACCCATAACGTTCCGTCGCAGCTCCAGCGCCCGGTGCAGTCGATCGAGCAGTAGTAGTGTGGCTGGCAGCAACAAGGCCTCACTTGTCCCGTCGAAAAAGGCTTCGAAATCTGTTCACGCTACTCCTGTGGACTTTATTCCTCGGGGAGCTACTACCAACCATGTCTCCGGTGCTGAGAAACCAGACAACATGGCTGCCCCGATGAGCTCACCCTCAATTCTGCAATACGGGCAGATATCTGCGGGAAATGCTTCTTTGCTATACAACCCCCAGGACGGTACAGGATATGATACCATGCCCCTGCAGCAACAATCCTTCGCAGCCGACGGTGCGATTCTGAATGGAACGACGTACAATTTCAACCAACCACTCCAGAACTATGCCGAGTCGGCATGGTAGAGTCTTAAGCACTGCCTTTTTTTCTCAATTTCCCTTCGTTTCCCTTTAATGCTCTCTTGCGCTTTAACGTTCCCTTGACCCATAATTTGCTTACCCTATCCTTTCCTACGTGTGTCAATGGGATTTTGGAAGGGTCAGATTCGTGACTCGACACAGGGGAAGAAATGAACGCAGAAGAAGAAGGAGTCATTGGCATGATGAGATGATGATACCCACAATACCAGGAATATGCACAGCGATAGGCGTTCAACAGGACAGACAGCCTCTTGTCCCATTGAGAGAGAGGCAGAGTTGGGGGACGGGGTGCATGGACATGGCGAATACGGTGACCTTAAATAGTCTGCTTCATAAAGCCAACTAATCATTATGACTGGCTCATGAAAATGTCCATTTCTTTTTTGTGATGGCCTGTTCTCTTGGGCGCCGTTTTTGTGCACGTCATGCCGTGACCATTTGCATGCGGGACGGTCAGTAAATGCAACGGTTCCTTCACACAACATTGAACACATGGTAATCCACTACTTGTAGAACCGGGCATGGATTGCCTATTTATGTATGAGAGGATCGACAAAGGCTTCCAAACCTTTTTCAAATCGCGCCGCCCGACTTGAAGGATGGAGGGAAAAGGATAAACGGGCACTTTGACGAAGTACGGACTCCAGCCGGCATTGTTGATCCACTCGGCTGATCATCGCTTCTGCAGGCCTGAATGGATTGAGACTGTAGGGTGACAATTCAGAACAAGGTGGGGGTGTGATGACCACTCGTTGTGAGGCAAGCCCATTGGACACAGTGAAATAGAAATTCAAGGGCTGTCCGACAATCATCTTGGTGAAGGGGCTGTCTCTCTCAAGGTTCGCTATCACATTCTCAAGTGGCAACGACGTGCAAACGTGATGCGGCAGCTTCGAGAGCAAAACGAGATCCATCTGCTCATCGCATAGCTGATGAAGAAACACCGGAGGGTCTACCTTGAAGAGTGGGTGGCACTGGCAGCTTGCAGAGCATAGCAAGCAACATGGACTGAGTGAGTATCATGGTCGATTCATCGAGCAAGCAAAAGGTCCTTTCGGCAGGATTCGGCCAGTCATTTAGTCTATTGCTCCAAGTACACCATACAAGCACCGAGCGCATTTTTGACATCCTCGATGGGCCGAACTGACACGAGCAGAAGCCTCCGACAAGCAACCCACGTCCATCGATATCGATGAGGGTATTCGACCGCCCCACCGCCTGATCGTCTTGGGTAGTAGTCTCAGCCTCGGCGTTTCACACGGGGGACGAAGCGTAAGTGGTGGTGGTGAAGTCAACTCGAGCTCTCTTTTGGAGCTATCTGGTTGACTAGGTATCCGGGCTTGCTGTCATATATCCTCATAACACCGAGACCCGTAGCGGAAAACAAGTTTGTGCCCTGTGATGCCATACGAGAATGCGTGGAATCGTCCTTTTTCTTTTTTGATTCTCGGGAAAACCACGCCAGCGACCTGTAGCCTTTTTGCCTTGACCTGCTTCAATTACCAAAAACCCTCAAATGCCGACGCCGTTTGCCACTTTATGCGGAAGCCTGTGTGCCACCCGTTAGCACGCTGCATGCCCGTCCAGCCCCAGCGGGCAGTCCAAGGTTCCCTTGCTGCCCCTAGGTGTTGTGTTGTTGACCAACCTTGATGGCGTATTTGCGCTGAGGGAAGTGCTGCTGGCGCTTCTTCGTCTTCTCGAGCTTCCTTGAGGCGTCCTCGGGAGACAGGCGGCGACGGATGGCGCGGGTCTGCTTTGCGCGGAGGTCGAGGGGCAGGTACTTCTTGTTCTTGTAGAAGAGGCGGAGGTGGTGTCGCTCCTTGGCGTTGATGATGGTGAGGACACGGGCGATCGACTTTCGGAGGTCGTGGCTGCATCAAGAACCGCATCGTTAGCTCCCATGCTCCTTGTCCAATCCCATGCGCCGCCTAGTGCTCGGGCACGTTGGAGGTGGTGGTTCGTTGTGTGCATCGCGTGGTGTGTGTATCCGCTCACATCTTGTTCAGCTTGGTGCCCGAGGAGGCGATCTTCTGGATGCGCAGCTGGCCGAGCTCGGTCTTCAGCTCGCCGAGGGTCTTGGTGAGCTCGTCCTTGTTCTTGGACCACAGCTGGCCGGCCTTGATCTTTGCGGAAGACTGCAACATTGTCAGTTACCCGTCCGTGTAAATCGTCAATCGCGGTCGTTTGCTAGTGGGGGTGGTTTGGCGCTGCGGGAAAAGCATTCCAACAGCCCAATTACCACACACGGCCTCGCAGAAATTCGGGGTCGGGGTCGTGACGCACCATTTTCGCAGGTATTGTCGATTTAACGTCGTCTGTCGGGGGCGGGCAGAAGGGCAAGTTGCTGGGTCGTTCAGTCGTCGCTGCGGGTGGAGTTTGAGGGAGAGCGAAGTTTCGGCCTGTGTGGGAGTCCGGAGAAAAGTATTAGCAGCCGCCGTGTCCAAAAAAAAATTGCTCAGAGGCAGGCTCCGCGCCGGGGGCAGGCCCACTCCGCGAAACGCTAGGGGTCCAAACAGGAGTACTAGCCACCAATGGGTCGCTGACCACGCTATCAGGGTACCTCCTGATAAGCATTCTATATCCGACGTCTCTGCTGCTTACTCCGTACAAGTGCTTTGTCCTGTGCCGGGCTTCCTCCAGGTGTGACGACAGGCCAGCGACTCGTCCTCCCAACGTGGAGGTATCATAAGGCAGAGCACCAACCACCCTACAGAGCGCATGCTTATCCAGATAATACACCAGTTCCAATTAACCCCCCCGATAAGAGATCAACCCTGTGGGCTGTCCTGCGCAGGCAGCTGCACCAGGATCATTGCCACCGCTGCACGACCGCTGCAGCCGAAACCGAAACACCAAGCCCGCCTCCGGACACCACCACCAAGACGACCATGGCATCCTCAACCGGCAACAATGGGTGGGCGCAACTACGGCAACAGGCCAGAACATTAGAGTCGCAGGTCAGAAGCCACATCGATGGTGAATTCGGGTGATGCTGCTAACCCTTTGCTCAGACGGAGTCATTGTTTCACACCTACTCGCAGTTCTCGACAGCACCGAACATCCCGCAGAAGCCGACAGAGGAGGAGAGGTCCACGGAAACAAGGCTGGAAGACCTCCTCGCAAAGGTAAGGACGCCATCTGTAGGTAGATGTCGCATCTTGGTACTGACAAGTCTCGATCCCCAGCGAGAGAACGTCATCACTCAACTCAATCGCCTCCTCGACTCCGACGCGACCCTCACCTCCTCAGCCCTGAAGCAGAACAACCTGTCCCTGCTGCGCGAGAAGCTTGCAGCCCATAACAAGGACCTTGCACGCCTCAAGTCGAACCTCTCCGAAGCTCGCAACCGCGCCAACCTGCTGTCCAACGTCCGCGACGACATCGAGTCATACCGCGCATCCAACCCGGAGCAGGCCGAGGCCGACTACATGCTCGAAGAGCGGCGGCGCGTCGACAGGAGCCACGACGCCGCCGACAGCGTGCTGTCACAGGCGTACGCCGTGCAGGAGAGCTTCATCGTGCAGAGGGAGACGCTCGCCAACATCAACCGCAGGATCACGCTCGCCGCGAGCCAGGTGCCCGGGATCAACTCCCTGATAGGCAGGATATCGGCGAGGAAGCAGAGGGACGGGGTGATCATGGGCAGTTTCATCGCGTTCTGCTTTTTGATGTTCTATTTCTTCTTATAATATGACGGCGGGTACCGGGGACACTGTCGGTCGGTTTGGCACGCGCGGTAGGTTTTGGATTGAGGGCGATGCATCAACATCTTTCTTTTGGCGGCATGGCGTTCGAGGCGGTGACATTTCGGGCTTGACACGAGAATGTTTTGTACATTGAATGGGGTATCCTGAGGTGGTAATGAGAGCAATGACGGGATTTCATGACCACCTGCTTGCACTGTTCCCGTTCGCTTCTGCGGTCGAGGTCTTTCCCACTGGACCTGTTCCAGACCAGACCCCCTTGTCCGCTTCATCCAGGAGTCTCTCGAGACCCCTGGTCAAGGACTCCCTCTCGTCGGCTTCAGCAGGTCCGCTCCCCGCCCAGCGGATCCTCCAGTTCCCGTCCACCAGGTACGTGTAGCCAACCTTGCTGTTCAGATACCCGATCGACTCCCTGATCTCGTCCGAAATACCTTTCCTCACAAGGAAGTACTTGTCCCAGTTATCCTTGCCCACTTGTTTGCGGTAAGATCCCGAGAGCATGCGGGCAATACAGTACCTCAGATAGGAGGTATCCTCGACGTTGATGTGGACCAGCTGGGCCTTTCCCTTGTTCTTCTCCAGAGTCTCATGTAACGCAGGGTTTTCCCCCTTGCCCATGAAGCTGTTGACCTGCTTGCGAGCCCACTCGGAGCTATATATAGTGACCACGGACGCCTTGCCTGCGAGCACGGGTGTCGTGTCCCGTGGCAGGGTTGTGTCCTTGAGGAGGGTTCGACCGAACAGATTCGGGAAGTAGAGAGATTTGTCGTGCTTGAATAGTCGTGGAGGGGCGAGGAAGGTCTTGCCCTTGTGAAGGGCCAGGTTGGTCCAGTCGCGGAAGTAAGGACGGGCCATCTGCGATTTTCTGCCAAAGACGATTAGCAGCGTGCCGGGAGAGCCACAAAGCGGACCTCGACCAAGGCTCACAATTGTTCGCGCCTCTTCAGATGCGCGTCATAGTTGACAAAGTCATCCCTCCGCTGCTTTAGTGAGCGGATATCGATGCCGGTGTTCTCGCCCGGGCTGGGCGGGTGGTTCATGCCAATGGGCCGGGCCAAGACCTTGGGCTTGAAGTCCTCGACTCTCCTTCCGTATGATCGTGGCGCATCGGCCAGTGGGCTCGGCTCGGACGAGGCAGCCGGTCCCGGGGCGGTGTCGTCGGTAGTGTTCGAGGTCGTGTTCGAGGTCGTGTTCTTTGAGAGCTGCTTTGGACTTGGGGCTTGGAGGCGCGGATAGGTTGTGACAAAAGTTCGCCATTGGCACATCAAACAAGTACTTGACGGCCTGATTACAGCCCTGAAGTTGGGCCGTGCCACCATCCTTTTGAGCATCGTGTGAGATGTTAAATGCCTGGCTGCCTGGGCGAAGGCGGTCGGTCGCTTGGGTCGAGCTTGATCAAGCTCGCGCTCGGAAATTTTGGCCGGCCATAATGCTGCAGGCTGCAGGCTGCTGCAGGGGTCAGGAGGGCCGGCCGGCAAGCCCCAGGTTTTCTAGAAGCCGTCTTCCCCAGCTGCCCAGCTGCCCAGCTGCCCCCCTGCGTGGGCCCTGGGGAAAGCAGCGGCTACCAGCGGAGGAGACGTCACTCGGGCATGGCATGGCTGGACTCGGCTTTGTTTGCGCGTGGACTCGGCCAAACCATGATAATATCGGGGGCCATGCACACGATGATTGTCCAATTGACCCGAGGGAGGTAGATTCCCTTTCCCACCACCCTTTTCTCTCTCCTCCTCCGGTAGACACAATGCTCATGCAACGATCTTCTCGTGCGTTGCGTCTGCAGTGGCAGCTGGCCCGACGTATAAGCTTAAGCCAGGCATCCCCCACAGTCGCTGCGTCGCCGGCTCCATTCTCCACAAGGCCACTTCACGAACCAAAGCACACCGTCCCATTGCGACCGAGGAGATGCTTCCACTCTACGCCATCGCGCAATGTCGTCAAGCCGGTGTTGCTAGCTGATATCGGCGAAGGTCAGACAACCCCCCAAGCCCCAAATCCCCGAACCCCCTCGGCACGGCCTTGAGTTCTCATCAGCCTCGTCTCTACTCTCTGCAGGAATCGTCGAATGCGAGATCATACAATGGTTTGTCGAGCCCGAAGCCCGCGTTGAGGAGTTCTCGCCCTTGTGCGAGGTGCAAAGCGACAAGGCCTCGGTCGAGATCACCTCGCGATTCTCGGGCGTCGTCAAGAAGCTCTATTATGACGCTGGCGACATGGCCAAGGTCGGCAAACCCTTCGTGGACATCGACATCCTCGGCGACGTCAGCCAGGAGACATTGGACAAGCTGACGCCTTCTGGCGCCGACGACCAGACGGCGCCGGCTGCGCAGAAGAGCATCCCGGAGCCGACGTCTCCACAAAAGCCGGCGCCAGCCCCGTCCAACAACGGGGCTGTGGGGCCAGCTCCGGCGAAGCCCAAGGGAAAACATGCCGCCCTGGCGACGCCCGCCGTCCGGCATCTCTCTAAAGAGCGAAATGTGGATATACTGGATGTGGATGGGACCGGACGGGACGGCCGGGTTCTCAAGGAGGACATCTACAGGTTCATCGAGGCACGAGACAACGGCGCCGTGCGGCCTCCCCAGCCCGGCCCCGGCGCAACGGCAGCACCCCATATTTCCGCATCGCCTGGCGTCCAGACAGAGGACCGCCAGCCCCTGACCAAGACACAGGAGCAGATGTTCAAGACCATGACCCGGTCGCTGAGCATCCCGCACTTCCTCTACGCCGACGAGATCGACTTCACCGACCTGTCGGCCCTGCGCGGCCGGCTGAACAAGGTGCTCTCCTCGTCGCCCTCGTCCCCGGCGCCCATGATCCCCAGCAACCAAGGCGTGGCAAAGCTCTCCTACCTCCCCTTCATCATCAAGGCCGTGTCAATGGCGCTGCAGCAGCACCCCATCCTCAACGCGCGGGTGGACGCGTCGGCGGGCGAGAAGCCGGCCCTGGTCTACAGGTCGCGGCACAACATCGGCGTGGCCATGGACACCCCGCAGGGCCTGCTCGTGCCCGTCATCAAGGACGTCGCGGCGCACAGCATCCTCACCATCGCGGCGGAGCTGGTCCGGCTGCAGGGGCTCGCGGCCGCGGGGCGCCTGTCCCCGCAGGACATGTCCGGGGGCACCATCACGGTCAGCAACATCGGCAGCATCGGCGGGACCTACTGCAGCCCCGTCATCGTGGACGGGCAGGTGGCCATTCTGGGCGTCGGGCGCATGCGTGACGTGCCCGACGTCGCCCCCGGTGCCAGCGGGTCCGGGTGGGAGGTCAAGGGCGTCAAGAAGGTGTGTAACTTCAGCTGGTCCGCGGACCACAGGGTTGTGGACGGGGCCACCATGGCGAGGGCTGCCGGGGTGGTGAGGAGCCTGGTCGAGGAGCCTGATGTGATGGTCATGCATCTGCGATAGTTATCATGTGGCGCAGGACAATGTAAAAGAATAAATAACAACAACAACAACAACAATAATGCCCCCTTCCTTCCCCCCAAAACGGGGGTGACAAGAGCTTGCCTGGCTTGCCTTGGTTTCGGCACTTTTGCCCGTCCCAACAACACCCCTCGTGTTGCTCAACACTCGCCGCGTTTCCCCACAGACTGTGACCTCGGTGTGCAAGCTGCTCACAAATGCGGCCCCCCTGGCCCGACCTGCTCCCTCCTCCCCTTGTCATCAGGTCGGGTTCCGTACCCCTAGTAACGTAGCCTGAGCAGCCCTCGCGCGACTATGCCCCGAGGGCGCCGAAGAACCCAGGCCACGCCGATGCAATGTCCTATACCAAAGCACGGGGTAGTATATTATGTCACTCTGGTGGGAAGGTGGTTGTCAGGCTCAGCCGCAGCATAACATCTTCTGCTTTTGCTCCATTTCTCCGGTGTCATAAATGACGAGTCAAGGAAAACGAAAGCGAAGAGGAAGACCGAGAGAACGAGGCGGGCCGTCCCCCGTACTAAAAATAAAGAGTTTATTTCTTATTTCCTCCCACCCTTGCCACTTCAGCCTATTCTCGAGGGGGCCGTCTGGCCAGCTGGGAACAAATGAATCGACACACCGGTCGGCGGGCGTGAGGGTGTGCAGGAGGTGCACCTTAGTGGTGTCACGTTCCTTGGGCAACTTGGCATTGGGTGGCTTCAAGGTAAGAGGGAACATATACAGTAGGTACAAGGGGCCTGGACAGGACGACGGCCCAGTCGAGCGGATTACCGCGCGCCGGTGCTACACGTGGTCGAATGATCTTCGAGACCGGCGGGACAGGAGACAAGCCCGTATGACTGCATCTCACCTGCTCCAAGGCCCTCTTTACTGTTGGCCTTGGGCGCTGAGGCGGAAGAGGAGGGGGTGTTGATGGTGTTGATGGTGGTGCTGGCGGTGCTGGCGGTGTCTGTGAGGTATTTCTGATGTCAACGCGAGTATTTGGGCAGTACTCGGCCGACGCTTGGGCTGCCCAGCCCCGGGGCTGCTGGCTCACACAGAGAGGGAGGGCGGCGTGACGCAGGTAGGCAGCTAGCAGGACCCAACTCCTTCGAATATCGACCAGGCTGCCTTATTGGCTCCCTCCCCTGTTGTTGATCCTCAATTATTGCTCGAGTGGGGAAGGGAGGGGAGGGATTCTCCAGCATTACTTGCATCTCTTATATGGGCTGCGTTAATACCTGAAAACCTTGGAAGTCGTATTGAGCGGTCCTCACCGTGGCAGAGACAAATGGGAAACCTAGAGCACCCGGGGTAGCGGTCCGGACTGTCACTGAAACCGGCCTGGGCGCGCGGGAGGGAGGGATGAATGATACATTGCCGTTGTTCTTCGTTATAAAACGTTTACATAATTTGGCTATTCTGTTTCCAAAGACTGCAGCTGCAAGTGAGCTAGCCATGGTGCAGTACTGCTTGCGCTGATACTGGCTGCGCTGTTTTTCTCATTCTTCAAGTTGTTCTTTTCTACCAAGTTGAGGCACTTGAGGAGCCGTCCATATGACGTTCTCATCTTAGAAGTGATTAGTCCAATCAGGACTGTCTTGATTCCTCTTCCGAAGTACAGGGTACAGTGTGCGGATGTCGACCGCAAGATATATCATGAACGCTAGTGTTGGTATTGAATTGCCACGACTCTGTGGCAGCGGCTGTGTAAATGCGATTCCCAATATCAAATGACCCCAAGACTCCTTGGCTTTTTTGCCCGCCGGAATCCCGCCCCGACCTTACAAACAGTGCGCCAATTATTCTCCCCGGAAGGATATGCATACTCGAACATGGCGTTCGAGACCTGGTGTAGAACGACATGCTGTTCTGTGCGCGAAAGGGAGCTCATGCCGCATCCTCGGCCAACTTCCTCACGGTCTGGTCAAGCGCATCACGGGTGACCTCCTCCATCGTCCGGCTGACGTCGACGCTGATGACATCCTGCTCCTCCTTTGTCGGCGGCTCCAGGATCTCAAACTGGCTACGGACCATCGTGGCTCCCATGTAATGGCCCTGGCGGGCCGCTACCCGCTGCAACAGGACCTCCTCGGGGGCGTGCAGGTAGATGAAGTGGAGCTGGGCGCCGGGGTAGAAGTATGGGGCCACGCGAATGACATCTCGGTATTTCCGCTTGAGTGCTGAACAAGTGACGACAACACCACTGCTGCCCATCTGAATCTGCGCCAACGCCTCGTCACGAAGGCGTGTGAGCCAGTCCCATCGGTCGGCATCGGTGAGCGGGATGCCATTGCTCATCTTCTCAATGTTGGCGGGCGGGTGGAACTAAGGTCTTGTTAGTCGGAGGACATGTGTGGTGAGCGTGGGCCTGCTTGGGGCTTACATCATCGCCTTCTATGTAGGACATGCCAAGGGAGTCTGCAATGTGCTTTGCAACAGTGCTTTTCCCACAGCCTGCAGGGCCCGTTACAAGCCATATGTGGTGGTGTTTGGTCTGATTGCGAGTATAGGTGGGCACAGTGTTGCTAGACTTGACTATGTCGGCCTGTTTGGTGTGCCGTACGGGCTTGGAGGATGATATGACGGGGCGGTTGGGAGACATGGTTGTTGGCGACACTGGGGATGGCCCATTGACAGATATCGGGGAATCGTAGGAGAGCATGGTGATGGATTTTTGGTAGGACGCAAATCTGTGTTTGTCGGGCTGTGGTCTGTGGGACGAAAGCACAAGTTTCCAGTCCGCGGGCTGGTGACTCCGGTAAGGCTGTCCTGGGAGCGACCCAAACGTCTCTTCCAGGCCTCCTCCTGGGGCGTTGTGTGGCGAATCTACAAAAGGCAGGTGGACTAGGTGGTTTACAAGAGTAATATTGGCTTGGGATTGGCGGTGGTGTGTAGATTGTTCTGGAAGAGAGTATCAAAAAGTCAAGACTAGGTTTGGGAAGAAGGACCAAAGGGGGATGTCATGGAAGGGCTGCCGGGTTGACCGGGGCAGTTATATAAGTGCTAAGGTGACGGGCCTCAGGTTGAGACGAGCCGTCCCAGTCTCGTTCCCAGTCCAGCGCTGCCGTCAGCAGGCCCTCGATGAGGTAGGAACCCCAGCCTGTTCCTGGGCAAGTTTGGGGTGCGACCTGCTAGGGTCGGGGGCCGGGGGGATGTCGCCCGCAGGTATCGACGGGGCTGAGCCATGTACCGGGCAAGGCAAGCCGCTAGGCGTCCCAGTGTCCTCCCTGTCGTGCAGTGCCCAGACCGTACCAGTGTGCATGCGTGCCTGAGAGGATCCCCCGGATTTTGCAAAACGACAGGCAATGGTTCGCTCATGCCTGGGTACGTAGCACACAGTCAGACAGGACGGCTCGCATGGACAGCGATGGACAGCGATGCCCAGCAGTGCGGTCCTTCTGCGGGTTTCCATCGTCCACGAAAGACATGATTGGGGGGCGGAGGTTGAGCGGGAGGAGCGGGAGGAGCTCCTCGTTCGCCCTTGTCACAGCCTGTCAGCTGGTCGTGTGTGCCGCCTTGCACACCAATCAAGATTTTGTGGACGGCGCTGTTTGGCGCGGGTACTCTGAGGTACAAGGCCAGGACGGGCCTCAACATGGAGGTCCTGACGCAATCTTGGGCCTGGAGAAGCGTGGGATGTCTCTGCAGACTGTGGGGAATGCGCCAAATCCCACGTTCCCATCCTCTTTTTAGACTCGGTGCTACGTAGTGCGTCTCTGACTCCCCCTTACGACCACCACCGAGCTGGTCCGTCCGCGTCCGACTCTGGCAGGTCTGGGCAAGCAACGAGTGGCTGCCCGGCATTGCAGGTCAGTCTGGTACAATAGATGCATGCGACACTGCTCATGGGCTTGGGCAGTCGAGTCGGGTCGGGGGGCGAGACCGTGACTTGCTGGGTACGTAAGAATCCAGAAACAACCGAAGGGTGAAAAAAATCTCCCCTGGAGCCCAAGTTACGGGAATTGAGAGAGGAACCCTGTCGCGCGTGGGGGTCCGCGGTCAAGGCTCAGTCTCATTTTCAGGCCCGCCAGCCTGTCAGGCTGAAATTTGGGGGGCCGCCTCCTCAGAAGACTCCCATACTCCCACGCCGGAGAGGGTCGCACAGAGGGCCCGGCTCTCGGCGACAGCGAGACGAACAGGGGAAAATCACGATGTCCTGAGTGGGGTGCCACATTTGAATTAGGGTGCAGCTGCTGCCGGAGGTTTTTCTGGAAGATTTAGAAACATGGTCGCTCATCCTTCCACGGCCATGTGTCCCGACTGCTGTCGGGGCTGCTGCCGGAGAAAAGCAGCCCCCCCCGGGCAGACTGCATGCAGGAGCTGACTGCTCAGGTACACAGCCAACAGCATGGCTGCCTCGGCGTGTCTTGAAGCTCTTCGGGCGGGATCTCGGGGCAGCAGTCAACGTCGCAGTGAAGGGTTGACTGAGTTCCGACTGGTGTGCAGGGTCAACGGCATTGTGTCGGGTCGGCTTAGGTTCCGGGTTGCGGGGCCGGCTCGCGGACGTGGTCAGCCGGTCTCTGCACGTCGCCAATTCGAGATGCGAGTACTGCGTGCTGCTGTAGTAGTAGCAAGAGTCGCAGCGTGCCCCGGGCGGAGGAGAATTGAAGTAACCTTCCTGGCGTCGTGTATGCCCTGTTGCTGTCCGAGAAGTGGAAACCGCGGACCAGCTGTTCTGATGAGGTCCTTTGGCATGATCTGCCTTGGTCGTGTGCTTGCTCGTGCATCGAACTTGTGGGAACGACGAGGAACACACGGGCGGGTTGGCGGGTTGGCGGGTTGGCGGGCAGGCGGGCTGAGTTGCTGACAGGCAGGGCGAGTTGGACCCCCACGCTACTGCGGTACATGGTGTACATGTGTACGTAGCGCAGGAGTGCACTACATGCCGCAGGGCCGATCACGAGTCCGCCACTTCAAGGTCCTCCCATGTATACTACATAGTACGACGTAGGTAGTCAGAAAAGTGGGGCGGCCATCCCGCATTTCCAAAGTGGTCAATTTCGGCGAGTGTGCGTTGGAGGCTGCCAGACTCTGACCAGAGCGACAACACCAACGCGGCAAGACTTTGGAATCCTGTACACAGCAGACGTGGAGGAAGTTGTCGGCGCAATTCTCCAACGGCCTCATCCCTAAAAGTAGGCTGCCTGTCCTAAAATGTCAGATACTGCGTGCTCCGGGCAGAACAAGGTCTTGTCCTTGGTACTCTGGTCCCAACAGGCCGGGTCAGGGAGCGCCAAGTACGGAGTATCTTGCATGTCACAATCTGTCTGCTGGCGGTGGCCGGGCACGTCTCTGATGTCCGTGGCTGCGTGGTTGTGGCTTGCAGAGGACCTCGGCCGGGCGTGTCATGAAGATGAGTCTGGACTCTGGACAGGCAAACAGGGTACGACGGTACAATTCCGATTAGTCAGTCCGGCACACAGAATTGCTGTGTGGCCCTGCCCAGCTTGCCAGCTTGCCCAGGTTCTTATTAGCGTAGGTTCCGCAGAACCGCAGTACCGAGCAGGCAGGAACAGGGCCCGTCGCGTGGGCTGATCCCTGCCTGTCCTTGTCAAGGAGCCGGGGCAGCTTTGCAGGCTGGCAGGTCGGTCGGTCGGTCGAGCTTCGATGACGCCGCTCCGGCTCCCACCACCATTGATGAGTCCCCCGATCCAGTATCCCACGATATGGTGCCCCATGTCGCCCACAACGCTCCCAGAGCTCTTTTGAGGGCTCACTGCGCCCGCACCACCTGCAATGCCGTCCGGCTCTACAGCTGCCCTCGCCAGCCAGCCAGCCGGGGCGCCGCTCGCCAGCCCAGCCGCCACTCCTCGAGCTCTGCACCCGCCCCCGTCGGCGCCAGCACTTGGCTCCCGATACGTCCCCGCTGGCTTGAGGCCAATGCCGTTGCCCACTATCGCACCCGCAGGAGCTACGCAACGGCAACGGCATCGGGCTCCGGCCCCCCCGCCGACATTGCCGTCCTTGGAGGTGGCCTGACCGGGCTCACTACTGCCTACTATGTGACCCGCTTCAACCCGGACGCCAGAGTCACCATCTACGAGTCCCAGTCACGACTGGGAGGATGGATAGACACGGAAAAGGTCGACGTCACCACCCTCGCCGGTACTGACGAGACAGTCAGCTTCGAACGTGGCGCTCGCGTCGTCTCGCCCCAGTCCTCCCTCACACGTTACGAGGACTTTGTTCTGTACGACCTGGTATGGCCGTCCTGCGGCTGAGCTTGAAAAGCCTGTATCCCGAGCCCATGCTGACACGCCTGTCAGATCGATCAGCTGAACCTGGTGGACGAGTCAGTTGCTCTGTTCAAGGACGACCCTGTGCTGAGTAGCCGCTATGTCTTCTATCCCGACCATCTCGTCGAGATGCCAAGCAACCTCCCCAAGGACTTCTTTGGGAGGTTGAAATGGTTTGCCAGTGTCGCAAACAAGGTCTTGACCGAGCCCGTCTTCACTGGTGCTCTGAGAGGGACATTGCATGCCGCCCTTGCCAGGAACACGCGCAATGCCCAGGCAGCACAGCAAGCATTGACAGAGGCTCGCAGTCATAAGTCATACGCCATCGCGGACCTCAAAGACGTGTCCATGGGCGAGTATTTCGCTGGTCTTTTTGGCCGCCCTGATCTTGTCAACAACCTCCAATCCGCCTTAATCCACGGAATCTGGGGCGGTGATGTCTGGAAGCTGAGCATGCGCGAGGGCACATTCCAGCAGGCGCTCATCCAGGAATCACACGGCGCAACTCCACTGGTTGCGGTCAAAGACCATGATTTCTACTCAGGACGAGACGTCGCCGTCAGGAATGAGTCTTCGTTGCTGCTGGCCCGCTACTTCGATCCCAGGGTCGGATACATATGCTTCCGTAACGGCTTTAGCACCCTGACAGATGCCTTGGCCGACGCCCTGAAGAATAACCCGAACGTGACTGTCAAGACCGGCATCCCAGTCACCTCGATACGGTACGACCAGGGAAGAGCAGTCGTCTCTGCACCCGAACAAGCAGGAGCCACTGAGGTCGGTGAGGCCAAGTACGACAAGGTGATATCGAGCCTGTACAGCGGCAGCCTCGCCAAGCTCACCGGCGAATCTCTGCCGACCCTCAAGAACCATAGCGCGGCCGTCACGATCCAGCTCGTTAACCTGTGGTACCCCAACCTCAACCTGAACGCCGCCCACCCGGGATTCGGCTATCTCATTCCCCAGTCGGTCCCTGCCGACAACAACCCACACGCGGCCCTGGGTGTCATCTTCGACTCGGACAGAGAGGCGGCCGCCAATGTCCCCGAGCGCGAGTCTGCACCGGGCACCAAGCTGACCGTCATGCTGGGCGGGCACTACTGGGACTACCTGGACGCCGACTCGTGGCCCGACGAGAAGGAGGCCACGGCCATGGCCATGGACACGGTGCACCGCCAGCTGGGCATCCCGCCCACCGAGCCCGTCTTCACCTCGACCAAGGTCTGCCGTGACTGCATCCCGCAGCACTTGGTCGGCCACCGGGAGCGCATGGCCCAGGCCCACGCCGAGCTCTACGACGCCTTCCGCGGCACCCTATCCGTCGTGGGTAGTTCCTACACCGCGCCGGGCGTCCTGCCCAACCTCAAGGCCGGCCGTGACATGGCCCTCCAGGTCTCGGGCCAGGGCTACAAGCTGGACGACGGCACCCAGTCCGACATGCTGCACGTGGGTCCAACAGGGCTCGCTCGGTTTGTCGGTAGGAATGAGACCTACCGCCTGCGCGACAGGAGGCAGATGCCGTATCGCTTCGGGAACAAGGCTTCTCCGGACGGTCATGGCTGGCCATCTTAGTCGTCACCTCTTGTCAAAAAAAGTCTTTGCTTGTATATATAGTAGACAGTATTCTTACAAAAAGAATAGACAAAAGCAAAAAGGGGGGCTGCAGATATCTTGCCAAACGAGTTTCTCTCCCTGCGCGTTCCATGTTGAGATCTAGGACACACCCTCATGGGCAACCCTCGGGGTTGAGCACGAGCTCGAGACATGGGCAGACGAGCAGCGAAGATGCTTATGACACGTCATTGCCGATTTGTTACACAGTCTACGCCGTGGTTCCAATTGCCCGATTTGCTTGCGCTGCCTCGTTGTTAGTAAGGGGGCTTGCGGGAACGTTGCACCTCCCGCCCTGACGTGGAAATGACCTCGAACCCATTGTTGGTTTTTTCATTTCACAAATCTATCTAACCCTCCCACATTATCATCAGCCGTGGTATCATCGGTCCGTGCCTTTGCCTAAGTGACTTCTAAGATAGGAAACGACAGACAGTAGTATCTGGCGCCGAAGAACGCATGAAGAGCTTCAGACGTCTTGCCCAAACGCCCATGACGTACAGGAAAGAGACGATGGCAACGGCGGAAAAAATAATAAACCATATAGCCAAGTGCTCGAAGGCTTGTCGAGGGGAACATAAGAAATAGAAATGGGATAAGCCGCGGGTGGCATATTTATGCCGGGCATTACCCCGGAGCCCAGATCACGGTTCTTCTGTATTGGGCCTTTCCGGTGAGAACGGCGACCCAAGCTTAACCTCAACCGCCAGCACGCGAGGTCGTTCCTCCGTGGCTGGCCCCGTATCTTCGCGTCTTTCCGATTGAGAAGTCGAGCCACCACGTGAAGATCGAGCATCATCTTGTTCGATGTTCTCGATCTTGTCACAGGAGTCATCTTTTTGTTCATTCTGTTCAGCAGGACTGGAGGTTTGGTACGGTGCGGGCAGCATCTGGGGAGAGGTCATCGCTCCGTCAGTGTCAGAGCCGCGCCGTCTTTTGCCCCGATTGTCATCCGAAGTCGCCCCTGATTCAACCCCACGGAGGTTATTGTATCGGAAGTCGAGATCCTGCTCCTGCACCGAGCCCGCAGTCGTCGGCGTCCGGAGAAGGGCGGAATCTTGCCCTACACTGGTTGTAGCACTGGTCGCAGCACTGCTCGAGACAGTGCTACTTGTGTTGCTCATGGCACCAGTAGTAGGAGCCGCAGCTGATGTCGCGGACCGTGGAGTTGTCGACGGCACAATGACATTGAGGACGCAATCGTCCAAGTGCTCATAGAAATCTTGAGCCGTATAGAACTGGGTGTGACAGATGGAGCATTTTGCAGTTGCCCCTGCGCTGGTCGTTCCGCGCGACAGAGCTGCACCTCCATCTCTTGACGATGCTGCGGATGAGGAGCTGCTGATAGCCAATTGCTTGCGACTGTTCGGCGGTGTCTGTTCGACATTGTGAACAGCCGTCAAGTGTCTCTTGAAGACATCGGCACGGTTGAAGGACTTCTCGTACGCAGTCCCAGGCCCAGGACAAAATGGACAAACCATGGTGCCCTTGTAGTGAGTCAATGCATGCCGGTTCTTGTCGTACTTCCTGGCGAATCCTTTTGTATGATACTCGCATGTCTCGATCGGACACTTTTCTGGTCTTTCTTCCATGTGAGTTAGCATATGGGCTGCGAGGTCTTTGAAAACCCGTCCGCACTGTGGGTGTGGACATCGGTTGCGGTTCGAAGCAGGCACCTCATCGAGCCTGTTTACGCTTGCAATGTTGGAAAAGTTCGTGGTGCTACCCTGGATCGGACTTGTTTGAAAGTTGATTGTTGCCGACGTAGCAAGCGGTGGCATGTCCAGAAACGGTGCCCCCATGAGAGGAGCTCGTTGCGGGGCCATGAGATGAACAGAAAGACCATGGCCTGATGAGGGAGGCGCTGGAGCAAGTCGTGGGACTTCCAGGACTGGAGACCGGCGGCCGCTTCGCGGTGATATGGCTTCGGATCGCTGCTTGAAGTCGCCGTCGTCCTCACCACTGTCGGAATCTTGATCGTTGATATCCACCGACTGTCTGACCTCCTTCATCCAATCCTTCAAAATTGTCATCGGTGGCCAGTCCCCGCTCGCCTTACCACCCCTGTGAGGATTGAAATGGGCTCTTCGCAAGTGAGCTGCTGCATTGTAATAGGCACCATAGCGTTTCTGGGTGACGCAAGCCTTGCACTTGGACAGAGGGACCACCGGCTGTGGTGAGTTAGGGCTGTAGACATGTGGTTCAGAGCACACCCATCGCTTCACAAGAGCGGCGTGCTTGGCGTCATTGTGCCTTCGAAGCTCGTGCTCGCCTCGAAACCCCTCGGGGTACTCATTACACTTCGTGCAGTAGACCCTGCGAAGTGGCGGGCGTTGGTAGGACGGTCTAATCCTAGGCGCGGGAATCGGGGACGTCAGTCCCGTACCTCCCCCGCGAAACATCGGGCTTTCCGCAACGCTGTGTCTTCGTGCTGGGCTTGTCGATTGCGGGGATATCATTGACGGATCAGAATAGAGTCGAGGAGCGAATGCGGTCCCTCCCGGAAACCCGCCATTCGCGCTCCAATGCTCGCCATTAGGGCGGATTTCCGCCAGAGGGCGCCGGGGATCCTCTCCAGAACCAGGTATGGATGTCGTTGCGGCCCCCCCGGGTCGAAGACTAGCTGTTCTTTGCCTGATGAATCCGTTCGCGAACATGTCGTTGTTACCCATGTCGCCTAGTAGCAGCAAGAACTGTTTGGTCGATGCCAGGCGTTGCTCGTTCCAGGATTCTTTCTTCGTAATGTCGTAAAGCAGGTCGAAAAGCGCGCGATCGTCATCGCTCATAGCCAGATGATAGTCGTCGAGCATCATTGGCGAAGCAGAGTCAAATACACTGACCAGTGCCTTGTAGACACTTATCATAGCTGCAGTGGTCGAGACCGTGGTGGAGCCGGACAGAGGACTGGGCCTCGATCCGGAGGAAGAAATATCAACAAGCACAGTCCGCACGACGCTGAAAACACACAATGAAACGAAGATGGAGACCCAGGTCCTCGGATCAATAGGGTTGCCGCTCAGTGTGCTGTTCTCAAATGACTGCAGGAAGTCAGTCATGCAGTTGTACAGCAAACGATATCTTCCATGGTTGGTAGAATCATCGCAGTTAGCGCGTGTCTGCAAGAAACTTGCTTCTGCATGTATTGAGGGCTCCGCTTGTTGCAGGTCGTAAAACAAGACCTCCCTTAGCAGCAACTTGGCCCGGTAAAGCACCGGAAATGCCGTGGCCTCCGCTTCCCTATCTGGCGACATATACCTGCTCAGCCTAAGTAGCTTCCAGAAATTATACGTCGTCTCGGTCATGTTCCAACTGGCGGCAAAGACTGACAATAACGGTGGTGGCCTCTCGACTGGCTCCCGATGGAACGACGACACGGATTTGCTGGATGGCGATAATTTTGAAAGGTCTTCGGACCACCAAAAGCCATCGTTGAAATCGAGGTTGTACTGCACCAGACACAGTACATCAGGATTGATTCGGTATGCTTGTTCGAGGTATTCGTTCATGTTTCGCCTTGGCACAAGCGGAGAGGGAAGTGGAGTGTGGCTTTGCCGCGGCGAAATAGATACTAGCCTATAGTCAGTCGATGCAGCAGTTGCAGTCGGGTCCAAAAGACGAACTTGGCACCATAGTCTCAGCAAAAGCGCTGAGAGGTCCTCGATGACAACCAAGGACAGCCCAGAAGCTACCAGAGGGAGGATCAATCTGGTCCAGGCAAAAGGAGCATGGATCATTTGAGTCGCACTACATCGTTAGAAACAACGTACGTAAGGGGTGGTTGAGGGGGTGCGATGCCTACTCCTTTTCTCGCGATCTTGCACCGGAGGCATGGCTGAACATCGCGCAGCAATCTAAGCTCCTCAATGGACTCTAGCCTGGACTGTCCAACACGACTTCTCTTCAGAGGCGGGAGAAGAGGGTCGACTTCGGAGTCGACCGAGCCTCGCAGATCTCTCTTTGATGATGTGGGCTCCGAAATGAACGAGTAGGACCTAAATGCGTCTCTGGGGTCGCGAGAAGGTCCGGAAAATGGAGATGTTGAGACCTGCAAGCTGCCACTAGTAGGGCGCGGCAAATAGACGGGCGACGAAGTTTTCGGGTACTCATGACTGTACTTGTGGTGATGGGGCAGGTGGTGAGGTATCACCGGTGGTGTGCCGCCGACAGACAATCCGGAATCTCGTTTGGAAGACACCATATGGTCCCTGCCGTGCTGGTCTCGCTCCTCTGGGCTCGGGAACCCGTATACATAGTGATAGCACCTTTCATCCCAGCACTTGAAGGACTTGGGACCGCGGGACTTGGATGGCAGGCTGCCACTTAATCGCCAGCCCCGAGTAATTGGATCACAATACGACAGATTCCGGTCCAACCATGCTTCGTACCCAGCTGGAGCATCGTGTCGGAAGTAAACTTTTAAACCCACATTTACCCTCTGCTCGTGGATGTCTAGACCTGTTGGCATGTGTTAGGGCACATGAGACCTACTGCCCCGTTTGCGGTAAAAGTAACCTGGAAGCTAGGGGCGCACCTTGCTCTAGACAAGCAGTCTCGATACACTCGCACTGGTACTGGAGTGCTCTGGCGTCCTCGATCTCAAACAAGACCGGAATCTTATCGGATATATCTGATATGCTGCAATATCAGACGGAGATGCACCAAGAAGTGTATGATCAGAGCCAGCAGTTACAGACAAGGCATTGGCAATGCAACAATCATAACAAAACCAAAATCCCAATGCCAGTGCGGATTGGAGGAATGGGGAGTGCCTTACGATTATCGTCGGCAAAAGCGCGCAGGGATTTGAGCTTGTGCCGCAGCATTGCGAGCTCGACCTTGAAGTCCGGGCCGTGTTTTTGGGGAAGCAGTGCAGCAATTTTGGCCTCAATCTCGGCCTGCTGGTCAAGAAGAGCTCTGATAGTTGGGTCGAGCGAGTAGTCATGGGCAGGGCTGGAGACAGAGACTGAAGCCTGACCCTGGCTGTGGCTACGGACGGGCCCGTTGAAGGAAGCAGAGGAGGCAGGCAACCCAGAACCTGGGCCCCAAAGGGGATCGGGAGCGGCGGCGGCGGCGGATGAAGTATCGCGATCCAGCTGGGAAACGGAGGCGACTGGGTAGGCAGGCCCGAGGTTTTCGGAGGCCATGGGGCCTTAGCACGGCCGGCTTTCCGGCGGCCGCACGGCAACGCCAAGACGACGGACGGAATCAGGAGACGGCGTCAAAGTCGGGATACCTCCGGCTCGTCGTAGGTATTTTAGCAGCGGCCTCGGCGGTATTGTTTCTTTTCCTCAAATCTTGGCTCTCGTCTTGCCGCAGCTGGCAACACAGTCGTCGACCGGTCCCGCTATGAAAACGTATGCAGCGTCTTGGGTGGGCGGCCGACCTAAAGCTTGCCTCGGATGCAGTCCTGGCATACCTTCACGAAGACCTAGCCAACTCAAATAGCAGTGCGGTAACTTTGGCCAGCCCTGCTCGGTGATGTCTTGACGTTGGCCTTACGGTAGACACGAAATAACTCGGCCGATGCCGGTGTTCTGTGCTTGTGCAGTCCTCACCGGTGCTTCAACAAGACAAGACGATCAGGATGAGGAAAAAATCCATTTGGTAGCCAGAGGATATTGATTCGTCGTTTCTTGCGCGGACTCATTGGAAGGCGAGGACGATATCATAGAGGCGAGGGTGGCATGGCGCGTGTGAAGGAGGCTAGTCGCAGGACGGTGGGAAACGTATTGGGCAGGCGAAGAGAAGGCAGGAGTGCGCAGAGCAGAAGAAAGGGGACGCACACCAAAGGATGGGTCAGGATAAGAATGGGTTGAGGGTTGAGGGTGTGAGGATGAGAAGCGAGGACAGGGTCGAGGCAGCGTGTGGCGCAAGGCGACTCGGTCGAGGCAGGCAGGGCAGTGATAGATAAATGGAGACGGGATGGGGCAGGAGGGCTGGCTGCATGCTCATGTGCGATTGATGGGATCTGGAGCCGTAGCTGAAGCTGCAGGTGTGCCGAATGAGGGAGGAGGGCGAAGTGCGAGGTTGCGAGGGTAGGTACGTGGGCCGCAGTTGCAGGCACAGGCACAGACTGGCATACCTGCATACTTAGGCCAGGTACCTAGGTATATATACAGAGGGCAGAGGCCGGGGAGGCAGGAGGGAGAAAGAGAGAGAGATAGGTGATATAGTCTACATATAGGCCTTGCACAAAACCTCACCTGCCCAAGTAGTTATGCAGCCTGTCCGTCAAGCATCCCACCACCAGACTGGGGATAGATATACATGGGCGGGGAGACACGGGGACCCGTGGACCAAGAACCCCACCTGGCCAGCTTCAAGGACTTTCAAGGGCACACCATAGGTCGTTGCAGTTGCAGTTGCAGGTGCAGGTGCAGGTGCAGACTGCAGACTGCAGACTGCAGACTGCAGGCGCCGCAGGTGTAGGTAGTCCAAGTGTGCAGGCGCAGGCGCAGGCGCACACGCGGACAGAGGTTTAGACACAAGACATAGACAGACAGACAGACAGACACCGATACAAGATGCATTTTCCAGCTGGACAGATATCGAACCCTTGAGAGCCGAGGGGGGGGTGGCGGCGGAGGGTGGGGCCAGGACCATAACCGTTGAGCATTGACATGGGGGGCGGTTTACTGGGTAGTTAGTGTACATTGTGTGTGCTCGGGGGTGATGGGCAGGCAGGCAGGACTACGGGGGTACGGGGGTACGGAGGTACGGGGGTACTTTGTTTCGTTTCGTTTCGTTTTGTTTGGTTCGTGCTCTCCCATCCTGCTCAGTCTTTCTCCCGTCCGGTCTTTTGATTCGACTGCATGGATACACAAAAAAGTGAGCAGCAGAGCATGCAAGAGCGCAGCCTGGGTATCTACCAGGGCTTGGGGCAGAGGGACCAACCTTGGAAAGCAGTGCCAGTGCAAGGATCTGTGCAGCGGGGGTGGGGCAGCCGTTGACTTGGACGATAGTGGCCGTGGCTTGGATGGCTGGCAGGCTGGATGGCTGGCAGTCCACCTATTGTATGTAGCTTATCATGGACGACTAGTGTGCGCACAACATACTCTACCTAGAACAGATATACATAATCATCTCTGTAGTTGAGTCCCTGTCTGTCTAGATCGTATCTACTGTGTCGCTATACGGCTGTGCCGTGCTCTGCTGTGCTGTGCTTGCCCTGCTTCTTTGACGTGGACTGAACCGATGTTCATACATCGTCACGTATTATACCCTTTCCCTTTCTTGTTGTTGACAGCCTCGGTCGCTAGTCTAGCTGCCCCTCTTGCCCTGAACGCCGACCAAGGTCTAACCATGGGCGGCACCATCGCTCCTGGTCCCTCTCGATCTCTTCGGACCCCATCGGCTCGTCAATTCTCGCCTCAACTTGGGCTCGACCTGGTCGATGCCCCCGAGCCCGCCTGTTCCCTCTCATCTCAGCTGTTGCGATTGGTACGGCCTAGAAAACACTCGACGCCTTGGCACCTGTCCGTCCAGCCAACCTGCTCACCAGGCAACCTTAGAAGCTTGGGCCCACCGAGCTGCCGTCTGGCTGCCTCGAGCTGTCCCGAGCTGTCTCGAGCTCCCACCCCGGCCACGGCCACGGCCACGGCCAACCTTGGTTCTGGCCGAAGCTTGACACCCCGTTGATCGTCAAGGGTCGGAGCGCTACATTTTTGAGCCCATGAACTCCAGATCCTCCCGAGCGGCTCAGATCCCGGCCTGGCAAGACCACACATGCCACACAACCTGACAACCAGGCAGGACAACACGCGCCATTCTCCTCCTCAACGCACGGTTATCACCCTTGATGCCCATCATTAATTAAGCCGTTGCGGTTCTATTCTTCTCCGCTGGCCCACCCCATCCATTCGCCATCTTCTGCTGCCTGATCTAAGCCAGACAGCCTGCCCGGCCCGCCCGCCCTGAGCAAAGAGATGCTGCGTCCTGCCGTGTATGATGAGCATCAACGCCACTCGCCTTGGCTTGGCGCCCAAGCTCTCGCATCCCGGGCTGGCTGGCTGGCAGGCTGGCAGGCTGGCTGGCTGGTTGGGCCCAGCCATTTGCCGTTCCTCCCATCCGGCTCCCGCTGCCCGTTATAGCAGGCGAGATAAGACTTCCCCAAGCTCCCCAAGCTCCCCCAGGGCATCGCTACATCTCGCTGTCGATCCCATCTTTGTTTGGACGCCAAGCTCGATCAACTCTAACCATCACCACAGGCTTGACCTGCCGAACGAAACATCCATCCTACTGGCAGTCTGGCAGTGTCGGCTTGGACGCCCGGGCAGCAGGGGTAGGGATGGCCTCGCCATGCCTATCCGAGCACTGAATGCCACTGCAACCCGCCCACGGCGGGACCGCCTGCCCTCCAGCCTGTGCGCTGCAGCCTGCAGTGGGCAGCGCCTGCTGCTTTATTATTACCCTGCCATGCACGTCCAAACCTATGCCGGCATGTTCAGCACATCAGTTGGTGTGACCAAGCAGTGACGCTCGTCTGCCCCTCCCGCCATCATACCCTCTGGACCCATCGTCGGCCCATCGGTTGCCATGATGCGACGTCCAGCTGGGGTCTCAGGCATGTCACTATAGACCTAGGGAGCCATTGCAGCTCGAAGCCGTGCGATTCCTGTGTCCTGTGGACAACACCGCACCGCGGCACCCTGTTCCTCCCAGCTCTCCCCGGAGGCTATGTTGAATACCCTCTCAAGCCTCTCTTGCCTCTCTGCCTCTTTGCCTCTCTGAGCACGGATGCTGGGTATACGGTTCGAGAGACCAGCCTTCAAGGGCATGATCCTCGAGCTTGCTGATCGCCGGAAAGGATCCTGGCTACCCTTGCTTGCCTTGCGAACAGACAAACTGAGTTCAGCCAGACTGGACCCAAGTCTTGACTCGGGATCTACGTGAGATCAGGCTCCTATCCCTGTGATCACCAGCTAGCCATGCAATATGGGAAGGCAATTCGCACTTGTTCACAGACACGTCCCCGGGTGCCGGACGAGACATCCCGCGGCTAGAACGTCAAGGAATCCTTGGGCTGGCTTTGGCCTCAGCTCGCGACTTTTTGTCCTCGGCAGCGGTCCCTCATGCTCTGCTGGTTGAATATACTGTAAGTAGGTGGATTGTGGGGCAGCGGAATGATGACATTGGAGTTGAAAGTTCGATGATGCAGAACTCAGACGAACGTATCGAGTTACTCTGTCACCGCCGGGGCTTTCTTTTTCAGCCACAACCACTAATCGGCTTCATAACCGCAGTCCAAAAGCAGCAGCACGTGTCAAGCTTGGCTCAGGTGTTCGAGGCGCAAAAGTTCAATGTTGTTTACGGCGGCGATCTTGGCCAGGGCCACGGGCCAGCAGCTCAACGGCCGGAAAGGAGCCGCCATGCAGGCATACTCCCAGCCCAACAAACGCTGTCATCTTCAGGCCCTTGACAGCATGGCAGCGAAGCACTGCTTGCTTTACATTGCCGCACGAGGGTTAGTAAAATGCTGGGTTGGAGAAGTTGCCGTCTTCCGTCTTTGCAAAACTCAATGCTGGGTTGGAGAAGGACAAGATTAGATGTATCACTCACGCGGATGCCATGTGCGAATGAGGCCGTACCGATTGACCCGGGACGGAAAGCTTCTGCTGAAAGCGGGATGGACACCGTGATAAGACACGAGCATATCGGCGACTCGATTCAATCAATCAATCAGGAGCAGATTGGTTGGCCGAGCACATCAGCGAGCCCGGCACATCACAAGGGAAAACTGCAACTCCAAGTGGTCGGCATGATAGCCATACATGATGTAACCCCGTTTGACGGACCCGATACCCCCTCTGAAGTCTTGTGCAGTTCACTACATTTCAGCTTCCACCGAGCACGAGAACGAGTATTGCCAATATCGCCACCATGCAGACTGGCAGCCACGCATAGGCAACCTCTTTTAACTGTCGGCCCAAACTCTCTAGGCACTGGGCTGCCAAACCATCAGTTAGCCTTGGCTCGGTTACTGCAGAGCTTAAGCGCACCTGGAGAATACTGTGATGCTAAAGCAAGTAGCCTCGTTGTTGAGGTGGCGTGGCCATCATCTCCCGCCCACCCACACTCTCTTCGCATGATCCATGCCGAGAGCTGCATGCTCGTCCGAGGAAAGCAACCCTCCTCAGCTTCGTGATCACGCCGGCCACCGACCCCCATCCACATCGTCGCTTCCCCTCCCTGTTGCATGCCTAATCTTAAGCTTGTTTCTACCTCTACCGGCCTGTCAGCTGGGGCAAGGTCCCCATCGGCAAGGCGACACGACAACCACAGCCTGCCTAGCGGCACAACCTGTACACTGCAGTTGCTCGCCTCAACAGCCTCAGCTGCCACTCACGAACCTGTCACGCCCCTTCTCATGTCTTTCAACCTGTCCCCCTTTCTGTTTACGTTACCGACCCCCGATTACAGTCGCAGATCCCCAGCACGGCCAACTACATTGGCCGAGCATAGAACAGCAGCGGTGAGCGCTTTTGGAACCGTGTCGGTCGATTCATGAGGACCGGGATTGGGGCGCACAGTCGCTTCGGGTTGCGACCATGTTCCCGACGGGGCTGAGCACAGCCAAACTGTTCTCCCTCAAACATTGTATGTGAGAAGCACCACTGTCCTACACCTGGTGTCGGAGCTTCCTCGGAGGTTTCCTGCCTGCAACTGCACGGCCAGTCGCGGGGTTGCTTGACTTTTGTCCATAGGCCGTGTTGCGTGATGAATTTGAGGCGAGCGAGCAGTTCGAGAGGGTCCGTCATCGATTCATACCCCAAGATCGTCAGCTTTGTGGGGTTTGGAAGAGTATGACCCCGTCACCCTGTCCTCCCAGAGTAATGTCATGCCAAGATCTTCAATTTACTCCAAAAGTTTCTTTGAAGCGGTCGGATCGTCCCCGGGACCCTTGGGGCCAGCCCCCTTGACTGGTAGTAGATCTACCTGTAGTCAGGGCCATGGCAGCTGCATATTGGCCGACCGAAGTGGGGCTGGCCGCTCTGCTCTCCATTCTTCTCAAATCTCACTGCCGGGATTGAATGTCAGGAAGGTTACCGATCCTAGTGCCTAGAGCGCTTTACTCTAGATAATCCCATCCTAAAATGTCAAAAAGCTTAATTGTTGTCGATCAATTACCATGTCCCTAATCCCAACCCGCGATTGGATGTCCGTAAAAGTGACCATGACTCTGTCGAACTTGTGGAGTGGTAACAAATGGGGCGACGCCTAGTAAGTCCGTCTGACCGAGCGGAATGGCAAGCAGAGCTGAAGCACGCCCGGAGGACTATTGTCTGGCGCTAGAATAATTCATAAGGGCCTGGACCTTGAACTGGTTGAGCCCGCGGTGTCATCCTCAACAACTCCCTAGGTAAGCTGTTCCCGGGGCTCAAACAAACTGTGTTTGATTTACCTACTAAGTAGGTACACAGCACTATACACGATTCAACCAGCTACTGACGGTTGAGATTTGTCAGTGACGACATGTAGCATCCTGTCTAATAGAAATCGAGTGATGTAATGATCACAGCTTTTGCATAGCGTATCTGAAGTCATGTGGCTCCGTCTTCACCGATCGGGCAATCCAGTGAGCTCATCGACACTGCTCGAAAGGGATTGTACAAAGGCAGCCAGTCGACCAGCACTCCTGAGATCGGAGATTTGCACTCGCAAAGACAGAGAGTACATCTGGGTCCCATGCACGGGATAGCCACTTACAGGATGACCTCCTACGGGACAACCTCCTACGAGATGACTTCCTATGGGACAACCTCCCTGAGGGTCCTGTAGGATCTTATCCCATAGGACGAACTCCTATGTGTCCTGCGAGATAACTGGCGGTGCTAACCTGAGCACCTTAATTTCTGAGTTGGATGGTATGGTGTATGTGCCCTTTCAAATGCTGTTTTTGCGGGTGGGAATATCTGATCTATTGCTTGTGTGGGCTCTTTAAGCGTTTACCACGCTGCAAGGGGACCGCATACGCCTTTAGATGTATATGGGTTGAGAACGGAACTACTCACTTGTATGGACAGGCGTCGCTGGCGTGTTTATTAAAAGCGGGAAAGTCGTGATCTCGAGAACTCTCACCATGCTGTATCAGCTTATCCGCATTCAGCCACATGTTGTCTTCTTCACTATAGCCCCGCAAAGGACAATGAGAATCTGTATGCACACAATTCGGGATGACACAATTACACATGCCAACCAAGGTCAACTTGATGTAAAGAAGCCTTTGATATAAGTTCAACCGGTAATTGAGTAGCAATCGGGCTCTCTGGGTCTCTATTCATGATTCCCTAGAAGAGATAATTGAGATGCACACGAACATGACTGCGCAGATCAAATCATCTCAACTCATATTCACAGCAAGAACATCTGGAACTCTCGAGCTCTACAACCCCTAATCGATTGACGGTCATTGATTCTGAATACTTGTCAAACGCGAGAAGCTGATAAGATTTTTTTGGGGGCCCCGGTTGAAAACCGATAGAGAGGCACCAGGGCTGATGTTCTCGTGCGTCTTCCCCTGGATCCGTTTGAACTCCCGAGTTCATGGCAGCGACAGGCATGTTGGGTCCATGGAGGGCAATCCCCTAAAGATGGTTACAGGAATATCCTATTAAGACACCAGGATGAAGGCTTGATGGCTCTCCCTTATTGAATGCCATGATGCTGCTCTTATTGACTGATAGGCTGAGGTTTTTTGCTACATCGAGGAAACTGTTTCTTTTATATGAGGCTTATAGTCGGTTTGTTCCCCGGTTGTACTGGTACGGTGCATCTTTTGTTCCCCGACCAGAGGCGTTTTCCAGATGTTGTTTAGGGGGCCTTCGAGGGAATTGAATATCGGTAATGAGGGGGAATTTCCCTGGTCTGGTGGGATCCTGTAAGTTCAATCGGCCTTGCCCCTTCTCCTTCTCCTGCTCAAGGTGTCTCTGGTCTTCCTTTGACGGGCCCTTCTTGGTTCGAGCTGTCCGGATTTCACCACCGGCCTTCTCCGTAACACTGGCGGAGCAAGCGAGAGCCTTCTCAGAACAGCAGTTGCATTTGTCGCCGGGCCATTTGCGATCATTGGGGCAGGTTTGGCAATACTCACATCTTTCTTCTCCTTCCTGCAGAATTTGCGCCTGTTGTAGTTCAAGCGGGCTTTCTTGGGGGAGGTCTGCAATCGCTCTTCCACAGTACTAACAGGGTCTGTTTCAATCAAACGTTTTGACCCATCTGCGGGTTGTAGGGTACCTATTTTCACTGTCCAATATTGAGGTATCCATACAACAATTGCATCTGAGCAAGGCTTAGTGCTGGCTCAGCCACGACCTCGCCTTGAGGTCTTTGATGACACACTCTAGATCAAGCAACCCGAGCGCTTCATCAAGTCCACCTCTCGCTCGCTGAAGACATTTTCTAGCACATATGACTTGGTTGCGCAGTGTTGGCGGAATAATTTGTAAATATGTCGAAGCTATATAGAGTTGAACCAGATGTCCCAAGGAAACCTGGAGATGGCTCCGAATGAAGCTATATCATGCAAGAATGTAGATGGGCCAAGGTTTCCCTATGATTAGGGTTATTACCATGCGCTCCTTGGACTATTATGGCAGCCTTGTCCTAGAATCTGGCCGGGTGGACCTATTGAAGAATAGCGTACTTATCTTCGCGTTCGAGCCATGGCGGACCTAGCCACAATATATGTGTCCGTCGTTGCAGTACGGTAGGTGATGCCTGCTTTTAGGAATGCGATGGATCCCTGCTGCCGCAGTACCACGCCGCAGTACCGCACTGTGGCAATTTCGCAGTGTTGAACTTGCTGCTGGCGGTTCCCAGGGGTTGGCGATGCCCTGGGCGAATGGAGAAGGCGATCCTCAGCCACCGCCTGAACAGCTGCAGTAGCCACTTGCAACCGCATATGCAGTAACGTCTTATACCAGAAGTGTGCGAAAGCACCACCCACAGCGCACCCTGGGTTGAGGAGGTCGTCCTGAAACCCACTACTGGCATGTAATGTCTCTATATCCCTGCTGTGGTGACCCAACTCCAGTAGACAGGATGATTTGGTTTCCTTCTCGAAGCCGAGGCCTTCGACTTTTGGCCGTGAGGGCTGGACGCACTCAAGTTCCTCAAGAGGTCAACGGGTCCCACTGCATTCTCAAAAAGGTGGAATGCTCTCCGCCTGATGGCCTGGGCCCAATTGCGTCGGTACTCGCTTGAAAAGGACAATTATATTATCGTGCGTTGATGTACGCGCATGCCTATGTACTGGTTTGCTTTTTTGACTCTGGAGAGCATGTTGAATGGCTGGGAACCTGTCCCCATCTCCTCGGGAACATCCCGCTCTGAGTTGGTGGCGGCCGCCCCCTTGCTAAGCTTCTGGAAGGCCTTACTGCTCAGCCCACCGCCTTTCTCGCAGCGGGAGCTCTTTACCCTCTGAAGCTCGGCTCCCATCAACCTCGGCTTTCCAGGCCCAGTACTCGCCCAGCCTGATCTCTGCGTACGAGGCGTAGTCGAAGTCGATGTCCGAGATGGTTGCCTGGATCAGTGCCCAGATGCCCCAGTAGAAGCCTGGAACTCCGCGAAACAAATCGACCTCGTCTGCTAGTTTCTGGATCTCGGACGTCTCGTCGTGCTCGGGCTGCTCGGGGAGGAGACTGTAGTACGAACGGACGTACTCGGTGATGAACTCGTGCCGTTGGGACTTGGAGGGTAGGACATTGTAGTCGCAGTCGAAACCGCCCCATTCGGCAAAGTGGTTGCACAGATCGAATGCTGCCGGGGAGGGCACGGCATATTCATAGTCGATAAAGGTCACGTTCTCGCCCGTGCCGTCTGCAGTGCCATTGCTGATGATGCCAGAGTCTTGAGCGCCGCCCTTGGGCAGGACAATAACATTCCCGCTTAGCAGGTCGCAATGCGCGAAGACCAGCTAGAGAACGTCAGCACTGATCTGGCAGTCCACCTTCGTGACGGTCGACAACAACTTACACCGTCCTTTCCCAGGCCTGGCCGGCGGCTCAGCTCAGTTACCAGCTTGGACAGCTCGACCTGTAGCCGTTGTTGGCGGTCCCTCTGGGCGGCGGTCTTGGTTGGAAGGGCAAAGATCCACTTCTGCATGACAGTCCACACGTTAGGGGCCTGCTTCCCAGGGGCGGCAGCGTCTATGGCCTCCTGCAGGGTGGGGTGCTTGTTCGCAGCGCCGTCGAGCATGTCAACGCAGTGGACATCCATCTTGTCGCTGATGTGCGTCTTGCCGGGGAGACAGGGCACTGTGGCATGCCATTGGGCCAGCCTTCTCGCCACGGCCAGGTATATGTCGGGGCGCCTCAGGTCCTCGGGGTGGGTGACGCTACCCTTGATGAACCTGTACATCATGCCGTTGTTGAAGCGAGCCAGCAGCTCTGGCGCCAGGCCGTGGCGCGAGAGCAACTCATGGTTCTGCGTCTCCCTGGCGCGGTCGATGATCAAGTCGGTGCCGTGGCCGTATGCACGCAGCAGGATGGCCTCCCGGTCGACGTCATCGTTGGACAGGCCGGGGCGCTTGTTGACGGCCTTGAGCAAGGTGTTTGTGATGCCATCGGTGAAGCGCACAAACTCAATGTTGGAGTCGTCTGACGACCACTCGGGTCGCAGGGACAGGATGAGCTGGCGGGCCGAGTTTTCGGAGTCGGAGCCGTCGTAAGTCTGGGAAATAAAGCGCACGGGTGGGTGTTGGTCAGACCGGGCGGCGGCGCGACGGCCGTTGTCGCCGTCTTGGTGTATCATTGTTGGGGAACGGGCAAGCGGGCAAGCGGGCAGGGAGGCAAGGAGGCAAGGAGGGGTCGCTTGCCTGACCGGGCGGGTGTGGGTGTGGAGGGGGGGGGGACCTGGAAAAGGGGCTGCTGCTGCCGGGACCTCAAATGTTTTCTATGGTTGCGGGACGGCGACGAGGAATGCACAAACAAGCACGCACAAGACGCCTAGGTTCCTCAACATGTGCCCTTTGACTCTGAGTCCCAAGCGGTCAGAGCTTATATCACTTGAGGCTTGCCTTTGATTCTACGTGACACATCCATCCACAGCCTGTCTGGTGGGGGGAGACGTCATACCTCGCCTGCCCGACGAGGCAGTGAAGGGGGGGGGGTTTGGGGCGGGATGGGCTTAGCTACGTACCGGTACAGAAGCTCAAGATGCCCCCAAGATGCTCGAAGCTATTCTGGAGCAAGGCACCTTTGCCTTTGGGCTTGCAAAACCGACAGGAAAAAGGGGAAAGATTGTTTGCGGATCGAGGAACGACGCCGAGTGTCCAGGACGACAGGCAACACGGCCGGCAGCAAGAATATCTGCCGAACAGCAATAAAAAGGCTTCGAGCTCAACGGTCTGAGGAGGGGCACGTGCCCGTCATGGAAGGGAGAGAGATCTGGCTAGTCTACCACAGACCCTACTTCGTACCTCGAAAAAGACTCCCATGTCTCTCCCTCACAACAAGGCCTGCCCCTGCTGTGGCAGACGCCCCACCTAATTATAAGGGTCCTACACAAGCTACAGAACCAGTATTTGCCTCCAGAGCATGTGATAGATGGCCAGCTGCGGGATGCGGAGCACCCCTGAAGCGACCAGCTGGTCACAGCTGTGGGACGGCTGGCCCGCCTACAGTGCCGTATTTTAAGATGCTTGCAGGGTGCCAAGCATCAAGCAAGCCTCAAGCATCAAGCTCTCTCGACTACAACGTGACGGTCACATTTGGACACTGTGCGACGAGGCCGCGATGCTCATGTTGTGTTGTGATCCCCCGTGCCTGCACCTCATCACCGCGCCGTCCTGCTGAAGCAACTCCTGTCTGTGATGATCGCTGCCTCAACACACCAACACCCATGCGCGCCCAGCAGCCCACACCGGCCATGAAGGATGGTGCTTTGGAGTAGCAACTGAATAGTCTGGACTCAGGACCAAGATCGCCCTTGATGGGCCCATGGCAATTTGTGTGTGATAGCTAATATACGAGGCTTGAAACGCCCTGTCGCAATCCAACATCTCATCTGACAGCCGAGCTCCATCGACCATGACTCTCCCGGCTCTTCCAAACTCCTCCAACTTCCTTGGTGTGGCCCTGGTGATCAACAGGAATCGTGATGGGCCACGATTCGTCTTCCATTACCCTCCTCACATAGTCGCTGTCGAGGACCGGCACACAGACGGCAGCGAGGACGGCGTCGATGAGGATGACATCTTGCTGGAACGCGCCGCCGCGCCCATGGACGCATCATCGCCCTACAACCTCAATGTTTCTGACATGCTTCCATGGGACCAGGATGACCACATCGTCACCGACAGTGGTACCCAGATTGTACCCTGGGAGTATGTCGCTGGGCTCCCGACCAAGGATCTGGAGAGCATCCTGACCCCGGCCAGGGCATATCATAAAACGCTTTTCCAGATATCTCTGGATCCCTTGTACTTTGTTTCATATCCTATTCACAAGCCTGAAAACGGAATTTGGAAAAAGAAGAGCAAGAAGAGGGAAAACCAGCAGAGGCATAAGAACAGTGACGCCTCAAAAAGGGAGGACGACCAGCTGTCGCCACACGAAGACCCCTTGGACAGCGACACCGCCGCCAGAAAGGGAGATGCATCCCACGAGGACAACGCTGATGCCAAGGAAAAGGCGGAAAAGTCCACCGTGGGAGCAGGCAAGCCCTCGGAAGAGGCAGAAGACAAGGTCAGCTCCATGACCATGTTCAATCTCGTCTTCATCCTCAACCCTAGGAAGCACGAGGCCAAGCACTTGATCGATACAATGTACACCAACATCATCCGCAAGGTCAACAAGGCCTACAAATATGTTCAACAGCGCAGCGACTTTGTATGGAAGGAGTCCAAGAAGATCCTGTCCATGAAGGACAAGGCGCGCGAGGAAAAGCGCAAGATGAGCGTGTTGTGGGAGGAAATCCTGCACAACTCGTCCCTGGCCGCATCAATGCAAGACCTGTACGACGCCATCTCGCGCAACAAGATCGCTGCGCTTCAGCTTGATACCGGCGAAGCCACCGTCACACACTCGGTGCAGATCCCCGTCCCTTTCCACATCCCCGATCTACCGCCTCTGGATCGCGAGGAGGACAGCCGCGGCCTGTGGATAACAACGGCCAACACCTTTGTCGGAGACAGTGACGCATTTGAAGAACCACATTATCTTGACAAGAACTTTGCATTGCTTTTGATGGATGACGACAAGAAGATCATTCAAGAGTTGTCTTCTGACCCCGATGAGACTACACTGTCCATGATCGAGTTTGTCCGCCACTCGAAGCCCACCATGTCGTTTCATCAGGTCGCTCAACAGACAAACAACATACTCACCCTCGGACAGGTGCGCAAATTCGCGCAGCACTTCATATTCTGGCGACGCGCCATCGCCATACCTCCTCTCCATGCCCGAGATATTTACATCCTCAGCCCCAATGCCGATATGAAGGCACTGCCACGCGCAAGTGCGGACTGGGCAAGGCAGTTCCCATTTGCACCAGCATTGCCGAACTTTCTCGCCGACCTCTCTGCCGCCCCGAGACCCTACAAGTGGTTTTGTCCCTCCAAGAGCTTCCGCCCTAGCTACCTTGAAATGTTGGCGTGGCTCATGCGCGGCGGGTGGGTGGCACAACTGTGCACCTTCGCGTACGTCGTTGTCTGGCCGGAGATACTATACGAAGTGGAGTACGCACTCGAAGCAGAGGAGGTGGCCAAGGCGAAGAGGGCACAAGTTGCGGCCGTGGACGACCTCGAGCACGGGTCGCCTGATCATGCATCCAGCGCGTTGAGGAACCGGAGAGGCAGCGGAAGAAGCAATGACATTCTGGCGGGAAGCGTCGAGAACCTCGCTTCTTCCACGTCTACCCTTCAGCAACAAACAGGCAGCGTGGTGGGAACTGCCCTGGAGAGGAGCATCGGTGATCTCAGCTCGCTCTCCATCGGGGACGAGGCTCAGCCGTCTCCTCTGCCCTCATCGCCCTCGACATCCGTCGTCCTCAGGGACACCTCCGCCCCGGGCTCCGAGGTACAGTCGCCGACCTCCGCAACGTCCCACGGCCGGCCGCATTCCCAGCCCACCCTCGCCGAGCAGGTCGCGGAGAAGGCGCGCCTCGAGCGCATAGCCGACAAGCTCGCACGAGAGCTCGCCGAGAAGGCGACGGCGCACGCGCGCAAGGCAGCACCAAAGGCGACTGACCACCCCAGCGTCAACAAGGCCCCGCACCTGGCCCACCTCAGCCCGCACATCATCTTGGATGCGAAGAAGGCCACGGGCAAGGAATCGCTCTACCTGTCCGCGATCGCGAAGCGGCTGCGGGAGAGGAGGACCGCGGCACCGCCGCCGTCCAAGTCGAGGAAGGACAAGGCCAAGGCGCAGCCGACCCTTGGCGAGGGCAGCACCACCAAGAGGGCAGCTGCCGCGTCAGCAGCGGGCGGGAAGGACGGGAAGGCCGCCGGCGGCGATGGCAAGGTTGTCGACTGGGACGAGAGGGTTGCGAACACGTGGCCGCTCTTCTGCAAGTATTTCAACGGGCGGTGCGCGCTGGAGCGGATCGCGCTGCAGGAGGAGATGAAGAGGAAGGACGTATGGAACTTGTTGACGGCAATGAGCGAGTACCTGCAAACTGTCCGGCACTGGTAGGGGGGCGGGCCAGAGAAGGAAGAGGGGCTGGGGGGTGTGACGGGGGCGGCGGTGCTGTCTGCCACGTAGTAAGCTTGGAGGGATCTTATATCAGATATTATCAGAGAGGATTCTAAGCCAGAGCCGGTATTCCGGTTGCGGGTGTGCAACGTCGTGTCTGGCTCTCGAGCAAGCTCAGTGTCCAGCGGCGATGACTGCTGCGTATGACTACTCGTCGTGAGACGTATACCTGGATAGGGGCGAAGAGCTTAGCATATGTTATGATGAATCATGTAGCGGGTGGCGTATTCCTGCAGTCATCTAGCTAAAAGCACATGCAGCGTAGTTGAGGCTGACTGCACAAGCACATATGTCGATTTCTCGGCCATTTACCGCACATTGAGACTATCAGAGCACCCATCCCTTCCAGGGAGCCCATCGAAATGCCCATAAACTGATCCGAATGAGGTCATTCTGTTGAGAAGACTTTGTGGTCAGGGCAGGGCGCCATCAGGGCCGCCAGGTCGAAATTCACAGTTCTGCATGGGCATGTTCACATATCTGCGGCGGACATGATTTGACAAAGTTGTGTAGCATTCCAAATAAGAGTAAACGCTGGGCCTTACAACTATCACCTAATACTGCCCCCCTCCTTGCTGCTGTTGTAGCCTAATAATCTCCACATCGAACGACTCAGGTATCATAGTAAGCAATAACGGTCTGTAACAATGCCCAATTAACCAATGCGACCCAACCCAAAAGTACGTGGTAAGAAAAGGGAAACTAGTAAGTAGAAATTGCCAAATGCAGCGTTAGGAGTCGAGCAATGAAATTGTCCGAAGATTCCGCCAAAAAAATCCCATCTTCGTATGCTTGGGGTGGTAATCCCCTTTGGGTAACCCCCTTTGGGAATGGGGAAATGAGACCTCAATACCAGCACAAAAAACGCCAAAATGTGTTGCACTGCCTTAAAGAACACTCCTCAACGTCCGCCTGATGCAAGCAAGAGTAAGGGTCTTAGACTAATGGTCAAGGGGAAGAAAATACAAAATGATCTCTGAGGGACAAGGCAAAAGAACGAAGACCACCCAGCCTGTGTGCTGTTGACGCCGTTGTGACGATGGGTGGTAGAAAATGTTGACAGCTTGATGAAGTCTGTGGGGTTCGCGACGTGTGGAAAACTTCCTCAATTCCCGAGCTCCATGAATTCGTCTTCCTCGTCAAAGCTGTTGCGGTTGAACTTGATGTCTTCGGCATCATCGTCCCAGAAGTTATTGTGCTCCATCATTCCGTTGCCAAGATGACCATTGGTGTCGCCTTCTGGACTGATCGAGTTCATCTCGGTGCCGTGGTCGGCACTGTTGAGAGGCTCTCCCTTGTAGTCGGTGTGATGAGGCACTCTCAGGCCCGACCCTGCGGTTCGTGAATAGGTGAACTCTGTGGCCTCGTTCTTCGCAAGCGCCTCAAGCAGCTCCGTCTGCATTCTCTTCTCGTCTTCAGTGATACCGAATGGGGGATTACCGCCAAGATCGTGGATCAAATTGATGAGTTCCTCTTGTTGTTGGATCTTGGCCTGCAGCATCCACATGAGATCACGAGTCCAGCTGACTGCGCCGTTGAGGATGTCACCCTTGTTAGGACCCTTGTCTTTGTCCTCCATGGGCAAGCCTGTAGTGATGTTTCCCGCAGCGCCGGTGGTCGCTCTCCTGGCGCCCGGACCAGCCAAGCCGGAAGTCGCTGTACCTGGGTTGGAAGAGCCGGATAGTGTCGGTGACAGAGGGGTGCCGTTGGTGATCATCTTTCGGATCTTCTCATCGTCCAGTCTGTGGGCGGGAACCAGCTTGCTCAGGTCCTGGATCCTCTCGTTGATGTTGTCTCGCCTCCGCCTCTCGACCAGATTGTGAGATTCCCTGCGACGCTTCTTCTTGGCCTCCTGCTGCGAGGACAGGGCATTATTCTGTCCCAACTTGGCGGGCATTGACGTGCCCTTCATGATGTATTCGTTGAGTTGATTCTGGCCGTGCATTTCGGTCTGCAGTGGTGAAGACAGACCAGAGCCAGGGAATGAGGCCATGCTGTTTGGCGTATGCGCCCAGTGGCCAGAGGGTGCCTTGACATGGTGAGGACCTCCGCCCGTCCGTATTGGCTGGGCTCCAAATCCGTCTTGAGAGCCGATGGACAGGCCCAGCGCACCCATTTTGGGAGTAAGCGGGCTCCTCGCGTTGGAGGCCTTGCGCTGCATGGCCTGCGCCTGAAGTCTCTGACGGGCTTGGATGTGGGCGCTGTCGTTGGGATCCTTGTTCATCTCGTTGGCCAGAGGAGAGCCGGCATATGACAGGGGGGACTGTATTGAGTTGCCAAAAGGCTGCGCATGGCCGTGCATGGAACGGTATTGTCCAAGGTTCTGCATGAAGGGGCTTTGGATAGGATCTCCATCGGGTGTGTTGGAGTAGCCCGACAAGTGCGACTGGTCGATCGGAACGCTCGGGTGCGCGTTGAAGTTTGCCCCATTCTGGTTGTAGTTCATGTTCATCTCGTTCATCCCCGGGAACTCCTGGGCTTGCATACCTGGGCCGCCTTCGGTTGGGCTCGCCAGGCCATCTAGCAGTTCGTCGTCGCCAAAGACGGCCGAGCCACTGGAGAATGCATTGTTCTGGTTGTTTGAGCCCGCCCCAAAATTCTGCTGGAGGTTGAAGTTGAGATCATTTGGGTTGATGCTGCCGCCGCCGCCGTGGGCGTACTGGTTGAAGCCCTGTTGGGCCATTGCGTATCGATGTGGTCAACGAGACCTTAACGGGTTCCGTCGGTGTTGGGATTTGGTGGTGCGAGGAGTCGTCTGATGATGACTCAAATGGCGCTGTCGCTCCGGACGTGTCGCGGTGCGCGATGGCGTCGGTCTTTGTGGTCAGAAGACGGCTTTTGAGAAAACAAAGTCAGCCTCAAGTTGGAATCCACTCGAATTAGTACGATGCACGATCGAGCGCGCTCGCTTGGGCGCGATCGCAGCCCTGCAGGGCAAGATGACTCGACGTAGGCAGCGTCGCAACTTGCGGTCAGCGTGACCCCGCCAGAGTGCAGACCGAGGCAGTGTCCTTGACAAGCTCTGGGAGTCAAAAGTGCGCTTTTGGGGAAGGGGAGCAAAGAGAAAGACGGGTATTACCAGCTGTGAGTAAGAAGGATTGAATTTGTGTCGGTCTTGGGGGGTGAAAGGAGCCCAGCGAGAAGCCGAGGGTGGTGAGGCTGTGATTCAGCGCAGTTCCCGGGTGGGGCTTGGCGATGAGGGTGGGAGGGGTGCGAGTCGGTCAGCGCAAGAGGCGGCGAGGTCGGGTTCACCCCAGAGGCAGACGGCCCAGCGGCTTGGTGCGACGAGAAAGTTGAGACGACACCGAGGTGGGGGCTCCGGACGAGATCGGATGCTATAGAACAGAAAGGAAGGATGGTGGGAGGATGTTGGATTGAAGTCGTCGAGAAGAGAGTCGGCCGAAAAGGTGTGAGACCTTTTTCTGCTTCTTCGTGTTGCGCTGGGACTTGCGGATGCGCGGAACAGGCGGGCAGTGCTGGTTGATGGCTTGTTCACGTTGTGGGCGCTGCTGGGATGGCTTGGACGGGTGTCGTGGGAGCGGCCCTTTTGCAGCGAGCCGTGTAGGGAATCTTCTGTGTGTATGCAACCTCTCAGCCGCTAGCTCCTGTCGCATTGCAGGGCGACAGATGCACCGAGGACCTGTTCCGAGCGACAAGGCCGGGGAAATAGAATGCAGCGGGACAGCGGGACGGCGGGACAAACAGAGAGGCTCTCTCTCCTAGCGAGCGGCCTGCAGCTTGCAGGTCGCAACGGAGCCCGAGGGAGGCAGATGCACTTACATTTATTTGCTGGCTGCCACGGGCACGGGGATAGATAAAGTTGAGGGCGAGGGCGAGGGTGTCTGTCTTGTGTGAGCCTTGCGGCTGCGACTGCGACTGGCAGAAGGGTGGTGGGTTGCGATCGCAAGTCGCGGGTGCGATGCGGGTCAGGTCTGGAGAAGGCGAGATGAAATGCTGGGGATTTTCTGGAGAGGGAAACCGAATGGAGTCAACCGGGCTTGTCCAGTCCGTCTCGCGGTTTTGTGGCCAACTAGGTTGGGCTAGAGAGAGCGGAGGAGGCACTGGCGGACAAGGGTCAGTGCGCCCGCACCTCCCACTTTCCCACTTCCAAGAAACCCACCGTCCCTTGTACCGCGCCCACCGCAAACACGCGGGACAGGTACAAGGTACCCAGCTCGGGGTACGTCTGTACTTGTTGTCGCTGGGGGCATCTGGAGCTGTGGGGATGGTGTGGGATGGAAGAGCGCCCTCGCTGCCTTGAACGAGTGCTAGCGCCGGAGAAGTTCCCGACGACAACGACGGCCGCGAGGGTGATGATGGGCCATTTTCTCCAACAAGAACACTTTGCGCACAGGATCAGAAACTGACTTACGGTTGTTTTGGTTTTCCTGTTTTTCCTGTGCAGTGCGCTGAGACGGGTGGTCAGAAGGTATTCACTCGGTGCTTTGGCTGACCGATAGTCGATGGCTGGGATTCAGGATGGATGGGGGATGGGGGATGGGTGATGGAGGGTGATGGCCGGGGGCCGGGGTGTCGGTGGTCGGTGGTCGGTGGTCGGAAGTGTGGTGGTGGTGGTGGAGAGCGAGCGAGCCAGCGGTGGGTGTGGTTGTCTCTCAGCACCGCTTGGAAGTGGTGCTGCGACGGCGCTGCTGACCTTGGAGAAGATGATGATATATGACCGGTCCCAAGTCCAGGCCAGCCCAGGCTCAGTAGCACACGACGCCCTGAGACGGATCTTGATCGGTCCAACGGTTGTCCAGGCCTCTCCTCTTGGGGTTGGCTGTCTTGTTGGGCGAGATGCAGGCCGATCTCTTTTTGTCTCTTTTTGTCCCCGGATGGCTGTCGCTGTCTCGGCGGAGCCTCTTCTCAAGTCCCGCCCTGGGGCTTATTCCCCGAATTAGAATTGGTAGCGGCGGTTTTGGGGGTGTGTGTGGAGGCGACACCCGGTGAGATGATCCGGTCTTACTCAGTCTGCATGTGAAGGTCAATCAAAACAATCTATCTTGCGCAACTGGTGCCGAAAAACAAGCCGTCATTTCATCACCCAAGCCCCATCGCATCGCATCGCATCGATAAGCGATGCAGCCGCTGTGTGTGGTTCTTCCGCCACAGCATCCGCAGCAAGAAAAAAGAAATGAAAGAGAAAAAAAACAATGAAAGAAAAACAAGAAAGGAAAAAAAGGAAAGACATGAGATGCGTACCGGTCTTGGGCGGATCCCTATTTTGTTTTCGATTACCCGCTCCAGGCTCAACTCAACGTCTGAATACGCAGTAGACAAATGTTCTTGAGTGCAGGCCGCGATGCGCCGAATATAATGGGTCCCGCCGGCGGCAGCAGCGGTCTTTCGCTTCTCACAATAGTGGGCGCTGGTCTTGACCCTTGTTCCGCCGCTTATCACGCTTCGAGTCGAACCCAAATAAATGTCTTCCTTCTGTCCTTGCTTAGTCTTGCTGCCTCCCTCGTTCGCCACTCGGCTAGCGCTCCCACAGTTTGGGGCCGCACAACTGGATTGGGCCTTGTCTTGCAGAGCCCGGATCGAGCTTTGGTGTCACTCGAGGCCTGTTGCCAACGTCGATCCGTCGCTTGCTTGTAATGATGAGTATGTGGTGGGTTGGATGCCGTATGGATGAGCCTCTTGAATTCTTCTTCACTGGTCAGCGTCCGATTGTGCTGGGTCGTGGTGAGGGCCTCATGCGCTTGTCATAGCACCTAGCGGGAACCGTAGTGTGCATAGACGCTTTGCCTAGAGGGCTTGATATAGCTGGGCCTCATACCATATAATCAACTGTGACCAGGCGGATGGGGGCGGTGGTGTTCCTTGCGCGGCTGCATACACTTTCGTTGGCGAGACAAAAGAAGAAAACACGAGATTGGCGAGGCTGCAGGGGAAACCTTCTGGTCCGTACCAGGCTCCCTTTTATATGATTCCTTTGGGAGGCTTCAGATTGGCTGCCACACGTTGGAAGTGAACGCAAGGTGCGAGTCATAGGAGGGATACGTCCAGACGAAAAAGGGCCGGTGGGCTGGCAAAGTATCTCAGTATAGCACCAGCTTATATACTCTACACTAATCCCATGTACCTCGCCGGCGAAAAGTGTCATGTACCAGCCCATCCTCGACAGTCATGTCTTCTGACTTTGAGTTGGCGGGATGGTGTGGAAGCCAGACACAAGATGTTGCGACACAGCCCCGGCCTGCCTCCCTTCACTGTGTCCTTAGCGCAGACGAGGTCTCCCGTATGCTGAAGCTGAACCCGCCACGAAAGTCTCCGTGCCGGTGTGCTCGAGATGGCAGAGATGGACCGGTATGGGCATTCCCGGAATGCCTGTGGAAGAGGAGGGGGGGCCGTCACATCCAACGTGACTCGTGTGGGAGACCGCAACCTAAGACATTTTAGCACACCAAGAGCAGGGCAAACAAGCTTGGAACCAAGGAGGATGTGCGACCTGTTAGCTCCCCGACCGTGATACAGACGTCGACAGCTTGCCAGCGGCAACGACGGCCAAAAGCCGCTTGTTATCTTAGCTTCAGTGACTTCCGAGGCCTTGCCATCCGTTACACAGTCGATGCCTGCTCTGCGTGGTCTGCGCGTCGTGTTGATAGGCTCCCACACCCACATACACGGAATCACAAGCAACTGACAATATGGCCATCATAGCAGAACAGTGAATGTCCCCTGTCCACCTGTCGCCACAGCCACGGCGGGATTTGGACCAACGAGGGGATCGACAAGTGCAGCAGATCGCGGCAGTCGCTGAACCGAATCTCAGATACTGTGGCCGGCCTGGTCTGGTACTGGTACCTGCTGTACCGTAGGAGCGAGTCTAATAAGAGCTATGGCCCATGGGCCCCCCACACCCACGCCGTGCTCGGAGGGGGGAAGCGTTGCCTGCCCTCTGAATCGCATCGCTCCGGCCGGCAGAGCTTGAGTGATGGGAGCCCTCGGAGCAGGCCCTTGAAGCCAGGGTCACATAATCGTGACAGGCTAGACTATAGCACACCAGCGCCGTCGCGGACCCCAGTGTTGCTGGAAACCTTCGGCCCTGAGCAGGTGGGAAGTTGTGGCTGGCCTGGTGATGTCCATGGGAAAGCCATGGGATTGCCCAAAGTCCCATATTTCTGTGAGACAAATCCCGTCATCGCTGCCCAGTCAAGCGCAAGGACGGGGCTTGCTTGCATCCCGTCTTGCGACTAGGACCGATCGTGACACCTTGCCCGGCCTTGCCTGCGAGCAGGGGATGCAGGACAGATTCCTGCCGCAGATGGCTGAGTGAAGCTCGGGAGCGTGATGTGCTTGGTGTGTGGTGCATGTGTGTTTGGGTGGATGTATGTGCGTGTGTGGTGTGGGTGGGGTGGACGGGAATTCCTGGTACAGCCCGTTGGGTGCGGCACCCCTGCTGCGATCACCCCAAGTGCCGCGCTGTATTGGGGCACGGGGCACCCTTGGGCTTTGGCACCTGCAGACCCCAGACCCGCTATTTCTGGCAAGGTAGCACTAACCCAACGTCCCAGGCTCCCGACGTCTGGCTGTCCGTCCGTCGTCATCTCAGAGCTGAGGTTCGTTCTCGACCCTCAACCGGGAACGTCACAACACGACACACCCACCCTGCCGACCACACACCAACCAACAGCTGCTCGCACCTGCGCCCAAGGCAGCCCAGAATCGCCCCGGTCTATCGCTGATACCTGATACCAGCCAGCCTCCCCCTATCGTCACCGTACGCGCGGTTCGCCCAGGCTGCCAGAGGGAAGGAAACCTTGCTTTCGGGCCACGTCGCCAGCGCAATACGAACCTCCCCTTCCCGACAATAAGACAACCGCACAAGCGTTGATCCAGATCCACAAATCCTGCCATCAACCACCTCCGAGGCTGGATCAAAGCCCAAGCATACCAGAGCACAGGGCGCAGAGACAAAGCACTGGCTGGACCCGACCTGCCCGCCCCTCCTGTCCGCCCCTCAGCCCCTGAGGCTTCCGCATACCGTGTGCCTGCACCACACCCCCGACCTTCCGATCCACACCTGCTCAGGAACCTGCCACAGAGATAACGGTAGGTGACCCTTTCAGTCACAGCCTCGCCCTCTTCATTACGCCAGCCCTCCCTCCCTAGTGGCTCGCCGGTTGATCCTCCATAACCCCCATCTCAATGCCACCCAATAGAATCGCGCGCTTCACACATGCTGCACCCCCCTTCATCGTCTCGAGAAAAATCACAAGGCCGGCCACTGATTATCGTCACGGCAGCAGCAGGTCACTGGGCACACCTTTTCGCCACCACGTTGGTGACCCGGAACCGTCGGTCCTGGCCCTACGGTTCTTTCTCGAATCCCTCCGACTGAGCATCCACATTTGCGCCCTTCCCGGACCGCCAGGAGCAAGACGCAGTGCCCTGCGTTGACGACAAGATGGCATCAGCATCATTCCGAGACCAGATGAATGCCCTTGGCTGGTCTAGGCGCGGACAGGATGAGCCTGTGAACACATCCCAGCAGAGCGGACTGCTGTCGTCGATCAAGTCGTTGAACCCATTTGGCGACCGTGGCTACGTTCGCCTTCCTACGACGGAGGGCGCCGGCGCTCCACTTCCCGCAGCCTCGCGGCGGGAAGAGGAGGAAACCTGGTTTGCATGTGAGTCGCTGATCGCCGCTTAACAAATTCCACCTACCCCCAGAGAGCCTCCGGTTCCCTTGCAGACGGCAGCCGGCCCTACGAGGGCGCTGCTCGAAGCGCCGTGTCTCACCATCAACGGAACAAGAATGTCTATCCTTACCGCGGGCTTGCATCCGTCACAACAGACAAAGGCTGACTTGGCGGCTCCTTGGGCTTGCTCCCACAGTGAATAGATGGGATCGGTTAATGATTTTTGGTGCTTGCAACTTGGGCGCCGCGGTCTGCTTCGTTATCTGCTTCTTTCTATTCCCTGTGCTGTCACTGCGGCCGTCAAAATTCGTCATTCTGTAAGTGCGCATGTTTTCTTGAGTACCATGTGAGCACCCACAGCAGGAGTAGCGCTGGGTGCCCCCATCCCACGACGCCCGAGGCGGTACATCCCTATTCTACATCCCATGCACGGGGCCCCCTTAGCCGGCCCGTTTCGTTCTGGAGGAAACAAGCTTGGTTTGCTGCAGCTACCCGGCGCGCATAAGCTGTCGATCTCGCATGACACGCCGAACAGCCAGTTCCTCGCCCGGTGACTGGTGAGGGTGACCTGCAAGGCACAAGCCCCCTTCCAACTTTTTATTTCAAAGCACTCTCTCTCGATCCCGTCCCGGCCGCGGTGGAAATGAAAAACTGACTCACAAACTTACTTTCAGGTGGACGTTGGGATCGACATTGTTTCTCATATCCTTTGCGGCCGTGATGGGCCCATGGGCCTACGTCCAACACTTGCTCTCCGGGCCACGGCTTCCATTCACGGGCGCCTACTTCGGATCCATAATCCTCACGTTTTACTTCGCTCTAGGGGTGAGTCATTCCTCCGTCTCCCATTGCTACGTGTCCTCAAAAGCCCGTTATCTTTGAAGCCGAGATCCTAGCTGACGTAGCCATCCCCCACCCCCACGAATAGCTCCGCAGCACCATCCTCACGCTGTTTTCCGCTATCATCCAGATGATTTGTCTCGTATGGTATCTTGTCAGTTACTTTCCCATGGGTTCCAGCAGCCTACGCGTTGCCTCAAGCTTTGGCGCAAGGAGAGCTGCCGCCTGGATGACCGGGTGAGCTGAGTACACGTGGGTGCCATGACCGGGAAACAGGTATTTCATTCTAGACATCACGAGGCGGAAAGTGGCAGTGGAGACATGGTCTCTTTCTTACACGGCTTATACTATAACGGCGGTTTCAACTAGGAACAGTGGTCATGAGATGGAGCGGTTGGGAGTGAATCCATATCGAAGCGAAGACGGGCATGAAAGGAGGTGTAGTAATGATTGAGCAAGGCTCGGTACTGCAGGCGGGACCTCCACGGGAGGGCAGGCGTGATCAGAGATCATGCAGCGCTTAGCTGAATGTAACATAGCATATCCATATCCCGGTTTCCGTATTCCGAAGAAATGCACGACATACAGTACAGCTGCCGTATCGTGCGCAGGCACTGGGGCGGTGACCGGTGACTGGTCGACTTCTGGGAGTTGAGCGCTGGGCGCGGCTAACTGAGAAATGAGTGCGGTTCCTCTCTCTGCTGTCTGCCATCAGATGAAGGGTCGATGTGACATTGCCCTTGCAGTGGCTTTGGTTCGCGCTATCAACCAAGGCCCTTGGAAGGGCGTCCTTCAAGGGTCGACATCTCGAGATCCCCTAAATCCTCCCCAGTCACAGGGAGGCCTTTGCTGCGAGGTATCCCGGGGCCATGGCAAGGTTTGTCAGTTCGCATGTGTCGCTGCCGACGCCCGTGATGGAATACAGTAGCGCGTCCCGTGCAAGTATTAGCTTCCCACCGGCCCGCAACCTTTCCCTACCCCCCTGTCCCCCTGCCACCCCCCACAAGCGGCGCAACATGCCCTCAGAGATGGGGCATCGCGGACGGGTCGAATGAAATGAGAATGCCGTGTGGCGACAAACATCTCGACACAGCACTGTACGAAAAGAAAGAGGAAGAAACGTGTGTGTTGTGTGTTTCGGATTAGCCACGGCGCAGCTGGACGCATCACCGTCGTCATGACGTTGCAACGGGCCTCCACCCTCCTGCGCCGCGGCCAAGACACTGTACATATATCTACATACATGCAGTATTGGAGGGGGCCTAACACAGGCAGACGGGCGACGCGAGTCTGCAAGCACTTGAGCTGGGGCAGGCAGGCGCAAAAGCTGCTTGTTCCCTGCGTATGTGTGTGTGTGTGTGTGTGTGTAAGTGGTATGTATGCAGGACGCCCGATCTCGCTTTGTGTGTTTGAGGAGTGTGTGTGGGCGCAGTTGCAAATGTCACCCCAATATACTTCACGACGGGGGTGGTGGAGGGGGAGGGCAGGAGGGGGGGGTTATGCAACTTTGGCCAGGCGTCTTCTCGTCTGTCCGCAAAACATCACGTGGGAGGGCGTCTGGTGACACCCCATGCCCCCTCGGACGAGGTGTGCCCTCCTGCTTGAGTCTTGCCTGCCCGCGTAGACTAGTTTGCTTCAACTACCACGGTCGTCATGCGTTCTGACTCGTCGGGATGTGTCGAGTGGCAGGAGGAAACGTTCCGGGAGGAGGATGGGCCCAGAGACTCTGCTCTCTCCTTCTCTCTTGGCCTCTCTCCTTTTCGCGGTCTGCTGGTGGCAGTCGGATGTGAAGGGGGAGGGAGAGGGAAGCAAGCATCTGTCTCACACAATGCACCACCAGCTCCACGAAGCGAAGCGAAGAATGTCGGCGATCTGCGCGCGCCGCGGTCGCAAGACAGAGAAGGCCGCCGGCCGTTTGGCATTTGCCAGTCTGCCAGTATGCTGTCCCACATTGGCCTGCAGCGGCGGGAACGGCCTTCACGTGCACCCAGAGATCCGGGGGTTCTGGCTCGACGCCAACTATCAGACTTGCATGCAGAGGCGGCAGGTTTCCCTGAGGCAATCTGGTTCAACCCCAAGCCACAGGGGAGGCGGGAGGGGAGGCCTGCCGCGGGTTGATAGGGTGTAGCTCATCTCTTGACACGGCATCCATGGATCCAAGGATGTCTTTCCGCTGCTGCTTGTATGATACTAATATACTCACTTATATTTAGCGAGCGTCCCCGGGGGGATCAGAGACAAAAAAACAACCCTCGGCCGCTGCAGCATCTGGCGTCGCGCGCAAGCGCGGGACGGGCAGCGGTGAGATCTCAGACAAGAGTACGTCACGCAAATACCAACCCGTGCCCGTGGGCTGCAGTAGTACCGACCCCCGGGAGCGAATGGCCGCATCTGACAGCCTGCCCGGCCCGCGGGATACCTGCATGCGGGTGGCTGCTGTCTATCACCAATGGACCGCACTGGTCAGATGAATAGTCTGCACCCTACGACGGCATGCCGGAACATGTGGGCAAAATACCCTGTTCTACCCGTCGCTTCATATGGGACGGCCGTATTGGGCACTCGCGCCAAGTGCAAGGGGTTGATATAATCATGCCCAGGTGCCTCCATCTCAACAAATTATGCCAGTTTGACACGTTCTCGGTCGCCGATACGAGCATCATTACTAAATTACTGCGGACTGCCCATTGAAAGTTGCATGTATCCTTTGTGGCTTGTCTGATGCTCTCGCAGGATCATGTGTCTAATTTACCTGATCAGCCATTACAGAAAACACGCCACATTGCAACTCTGCTGTATGTACTGCCCCTTCTGTGCGTATTGTCTCGTGGACGTCTTGTAACGTCTCACATACCAGTCAGTGTCTAGTCAGTGTCTTGTTCAAAAGAGCTTCCCCAAATTGCTAACTGTCAGGTTTATTTACTTCATCTGGAGGACACACATCACTGTGGATCAGAGTACACGTGAAATGCTGGAGATGATATCAACTCGGCTAATTAACTACAAGGAGTACTTTTAGCCCGAGGAGTGAAATCTGGTCATACTTCCCGCAGTGCTTTCATATCATGGATGAAAACCCGCATGTACGTGTCGAGTCAAGTCCAGCTGCCCAGGTGCCGAGAGCTCGTATCGCTGCGTCTGCCTCAAGTGCTCTTTTACCGTTCGCACATACCCGCAAATTCTAAAGTAGAAAATATATGGCGTGTTGGACTCGACTGTCTAGGTGTAAAACGCCACTGCGAGTGCTAAATGATACTTGCGTAACGCTGTCACTTGCTACTGACATCTGAGAGAAAGGCTACCTATCTGGATAGGTAAGGACTTACTAGACCTACATGTTCAAAAGCGCTGGCACCTAGGTAGCCTTTATCAGAGCTCCCTATCCCTTTCTCACCAACCTCATTGTAGACAGTTCCTATCCTATGGCGGCCTACATATATTCAGCTCACAACCACAGTATAAAATCTTTTTCTTATAGCTATTAACTATAAAATATACTATAAAAGAATAATTAACTTTACTTAATATTATAATTTATAATTTAAAATTATTAATAATAATTTATTTATTATATTTTTATATTTATTATAACTTTAATTTTAAATTATTTTAATATTTAAAGTAATTAAATATTATTTTAAAAAAACTTTATATTTTATATATTTATTATATATAATTTTACTTTTATTTTATATATATTTAAAGATATATATAACATTTTATTATATAAAGACATTATATATATTTTAAATATATATAAAATAAAAGTAAAACTATATATAATATTTTATATAATAATAAATATTTAAAATTTAATATTTAAAAAGAATATAATATTAATAATAATAATTTTTAATGTATACTTATAGTATATAGTAAAAGGAATAAATTTTAAAAGCTTTAATATTAGTAGAATAAGTAGGGAAGTACTCTTTTTAAGTATAATAGAGCCCTACACACTAAAACTAGGTCGAAAATCAACTTAAAGTTAGCCTAATCTAATTTCAATATACATTAAATACCCACCTAATATATAAAAGCTACTATCCCTAATAATATAGTAGTTAAAATCTTCCTAACTAAATTAAAGGTTATTAATTTAACTTTAAGTATTATTATATCTTTTTTTATTTACTATTATAATTAGCCTTAAAGCCTTTATTATAATAGTTATCCTCTACTCTATTATCTTCCACCCTCTTATTATTAACCCTATTAAACTTTATTTTATAATAAACTTTATTCTTATTTAATTAATAAAAGATATAAAATTTATTAACCCTTAAAGCTTTTAGTATTACTTTAAGTTCTATTTAATCCTTTAATTAGTTAAAAGAAAGTTATAAACTTATATAAATAAAGTTAAAGTTAAAATATTTTAAATTTAATAAATCCTTTTAATTAAATTATTTATTAAATAATAAAAAATAGGCCTCCTTAAATATTCTCTTCCTTAAAGGTTATTATTATTTTAATTATATAATAAAACTTTATAAAAAAGTTTTATTAAAAATAATTAAAAAGTAGGTTAAACTTTAATTTAAAGCTTTTAATAATAAAAGATATTAAATAGAGTAGATTTTTATAATTTTAAAAGTATTAATTATTTAAATATTATAAGACTTTAATAAATAAAGTTTATAAATATAAAAATATATATATTATAAACTTATTATAGCTTTTAAAAAATAATAATAGTTTTAATAGTTTACTTTTTTTTAATAAAAGATACCTTAATATCTATAAAGGGAGAAAAACTAGCTACTTTAAGGTATAAAGAGTGCTAACCTTTATTTAGTTTTAATAGATATACTATAAATATTTTAGTGTATTTAATTTTAAAAAACGGCTTACCTTTTAAGTTATAAATAAATATATTTTAAAAGACCTATTAAAAATAGATATTATTACTATATTATAGCTATTATTTAATATATATTTATAGTATATAGTAAAAAGAATGAATTTTAAGAGCTTTAATATTAGTAGAATAGGTGGGAAAGTGCTTTTTTTAAGTATAATAGAGCCCTATATATTAAAACTAAGCTAAAAATCGGTTTAAAGTTAGCTTAGTCCGATTTTAATATATATTAATTATAATATAATAAATATTTATAATTTTAACTTTATAATATATAAATTATTTATATTTTTTTAATTTTATTATTAAATTAAAAATAAATAATTAAAGTTTTAAAAGAATAAAATATAATATATCTTTTAAAAATTAACTTAATTAAGTTTATTATATAAAACTTTTTATAATAACTTTATAATTATTTATAACACTATCTATTATTAAAAGATACCTTTCTATATTAATACACTAAGTTATACTAATTTAAGCCGGCACTATTAACCTATTAAAGGTTAAAGCTATCACAAACTACAAGCTACCTAGTTTAATATTAATAAGTATTATATATAAGTGTTAAATTCGCTATATAACTTAGGTAAGTTAGCTAAAATAGGCGAAGATAAAGCTGCTATTCCCCTAAAAAACACACACGAATTCTAGCTCTACTTAAATAAACATCTATCTATTAGCTCTATTATATTATAAGTAAAACTATTTAAAAGTAGTTACTTAACTAACCTATTAAACTAAAAAATAGTTAAATAAAGTAACTATATTTTATTATTTAAGTTTATAATTCTAATAGCTTTATTATAAATAAAAGAAAAATAACTATTAATAATTAAATTTATAATTATATAAAAGTAAATCTTTACTTTAAAAAAGTTATTATTATTTAAAATAATTAATATATTTTAAAGAAATTAAAGGATTATAAGTTTAATTTTAAATATATTAAAATTTATAAGAATATTAAATTTAAATTTAAAAATATAAAGCTTTAATTTATTTTAAAAAAGATTAAAAACTTAAAAGAGATTTAAATTAAATTAAATTAAATTATAATATAATAAAATAATTAAATAAAAATTAATT